TTCCTTATTAATTTGATGAAATTTGTTTGTTTGTTCGTTTAAATGAAATTATTTGTTTCCCTTTCAAGAGACACAGCTCCACTCTAGCACTTACAATCCCTTCCTCTTCTTTTTCAACACAGGAAAGAGCTAATTGCAAACCGTTATTTAATTTAAATTATATACTTTTGTCCCCTTCGAAGAATAACTGTCATTTAAAAAGGAAAAAAAAGTTTCAAGCAAATATTCAAACGGTAACTTTTATTAAAAACAATGTGGAAACAATTTTACGGGATTTGGATATTTGGTTATCCCTGCTGTTTCGTTCCCTGATCAAACCTTTTAATAATGATTTTACAAGAGCTATTTAGGCAATTATTATTTGCAGGTTTCGGTGTTAACTCCATAGTGCTCCTGTCCCCTCCAGTTCTCTTAGATTGCGTCCAAACCCTACCTTTCAGTTCACTTTGATTGACAGTGGATGACATGGCATGACTAGGAGCTGAAGAGTGATGTGATTCAAGCCCAAACCTTTAACATGTTTATGTTGAACAAACTCCCATGCTGTAAACTGCTTTTAAAACACATTTTTCACGGGTTTCACCAATCCGGCATGCAGGATCATGGTTCGGAGGACACAGGATCCGGACGTCTCCTTTAGCCCAACAGAACAGGGTAGTTATTTAACTGCTGATCGTGTCCAGGTATGTGGAGATACTGGGAATGATTTTATCTGTAAAAAATAATCGGAGCAGAATTCGTTGAAGACCTTTCGCCTGGTTATTTGTAGGAGTTTTGGTCCGTAATAAATTGCCTGCCACCTTATTTTTGTGTCTGTTCTTGATTTTATTGTCTTATCTTTTTGTAAACCGCTCTGAGGTTTTTGTGTTTTTTGTTTGTTTTATTTACAAATGAGTGGTGTATAAATATTATGAAATAAATTAATAATTTGTTATAGTAAGAATGGTGACTATGAGTTAATAGTGATGCAAAAATTACTATTCAAGACATTAAAGATCCAGGATGCTGTTAAAGCTGTTAAAGGAAAACCATCGGAATGTTAACAGGAGAAAAACCAGGCAAAAAATGGGAAAACGTGAGGGTTGCTCATTAATTTGGGGGGAAATTAACAAGATTTTTAAAAGTTCAAAATTTATTTTGAAAGAACTAGAGTAAGTAGGGTGAATTATCAAGATGTTTGTTAAAAAATCTAGATTTAAATAAAATAAATGTTTCTTTAACTGGATAGGGTTTAATGAAATGAATTATGGCTTACTGTGTGCAGTGGAATTTTGAGTGTATGTAATTAATTCCACATTTTCTAACAAATAATACATTGTTTTAAGATATTAAAAGGGAGCTTCCAAAGGCATGCTGATTTTGGAATCAGTGCTTCTCATGGGTGCAGGTTTTTTCAAGTGTCCTTATGACATTGGTGTCATCAAGATATGAGCCTGTTATAATATCAGTCCCCAAATTATATCTGGATATGCGCTTTTTTGAAGTAAATCCTTCTTTGCAACAAATAAATCTTTCCAAAAGTCCATTTGTAATATCACAACGACCCATTCACAGAATTAAGTCTCCTTCAGAAAGCACCTTGAGAAAATATTTTTTTCACCTTGGAAGTATTTAAAACACATTAAAAATCCACTGAGTAGCATTTAAACAAAAAACAAAAAACTCTGAATGCAATTAAATAGTTGGCTTTTCACAGAAATGCTCTAGTTCTAAAGTGCATATAAAATCAGAATGCTTTGGGGAAATAACCATAACTATTGTTTTAAAAAATGCTTTGGAAAAATAATTTATAACTACTGTTGTTTTTTGTTGTTGTTATTTACCCAACCTTCAACATAAGGGCGGACTACAACAAATTAAAATACAACATTCAAAACAGTGTAAAACAGCTGCACAGAGACCTGGTTTTGTTTGTTTAATTATGATGTGATATAGAAAATCTCACACGACCCTAGAAAACAGGACAGTGGGTGCCTCTGAGTGTCACTATTTTTGGGAGGGATTAAAGTGCTTCCCATGAATTCAGACTTGTGCAACTGGAGTAAATGCTCTGTTGACCCTCTGTAACATATGCACTTTTTGTGGTCTGGAAACTGAAAGAGAAACGCATTGAAAAGTGGAATGAACAAATTATTAACAGAAGACATGCAACCCCCGAAAGCAAATAGAGATTATTGCAGGATGAATACTTGTCATATAACCACCCCGCAAACAAACTGTAACAAATGCTCGATAAATTACAATTATTCCTGCATCACTGAATGATTGGCAATTACTATTGCAGATGCTCCTGCGCATTTTCAAATAATTTGGATCTGCAGCTCTAAATGTGTTCTTCCAATGTTGTTTGATGTTCTGTTTTAGCTATATATTATTTTATCTATTTTCATCGTTACCAACCACTTCGTGGAACGGCGGGTGCTATGTCTCATGTGGCAGAAAAGGCAGACTAAAAGTGTGAAAATAAATACACGGATACGCAACATTATCGTATTTCAAAAGGCATAATTTAAAATATACAGGTTCATATTTCTTGAGAAAGCATAATCGTCGAATTTCAGGCAATTAATTATTCACTATGGTTTAAGCCCAGGACGGGGAGGGATTATTTTGCAAAATGGACTCAATCTGTCCCCTGGGAGCTGGAAAGCAAATACTGTCAGACACTGTCTTGTTTGTAGATATTTTTTAACAATGGGGAAATTATTATTCTCTCCCACCCCACCCGCTCTCCCCAAAGTATCTTAATAAAACACTGGAAGTGTTCTGTATCCTGGGTTTTATATCAAGCAATGCATTTAAGATTCAGGCAAAGGAACTGTGCTATGTCAACGTAGAAAATGGGGCAGGAATTTGCCACATCGCTGTCTGATCAATCAATAAGCAATTAACAGCAGCAAATACGTACGCCGAACAATAATCAGTTGCTACTTCTATTGCTCTTTAAAATATAAGACACTAAGTCTGGGAAAGATGACAGTATCATGGATATTTCATAGAATCAAATCAGGGGTCAGCAAACCTTTTCAGCAGGGGGCCGGTCCGCTGTCCCTCAGACCTTGTGGGGGGCCGGACTTTATTTTGAGAGGGGGAATTGAACGAATTCCTATGCCCCACAAATAACCCAGAGATGCATTTTAAACAAAAGGACACATTCTACTCATGTAAAAACATGCCGATTCCCGGACTGTCTGCAGGCCGGATTTAGAAGGGCGATTGGGCTGGATCCGGGCCCCGGGCCTTAGTTTGCCCACCCGTGAATCAAGTGTTGTACTCCACATTAGTCAGAGCAGTTCTGTTTAAATTAATGGGCATTTACTAACTTCAGTGAGTCTACTCTGAGTATAACTTAGTTGAAGGCAGCCCATTCTCTTCCTCCCCTCCATTTTATTATCACAACAACCCTGTGAGGTAGGTCAGGCTGAGAGAAAGTGACTGGTCTAAGCCACCCAGTGAGCTCCATGACTTTGTGGAGAGATATAAGATCAGGGCAAAGGCCCATCTGGACCAGCATCCTGTTCTCACCGTGGCCAAATAGCTACCCTGATGGGAAGCTTGCAAGAAGGTCCTGAGCAAAACAACTGTCACGGTCTGGTTCACGGGCGATCGAAGTCCCAGCAGGGGACGTCAAGACCGGGGGAAAGATGGCGGGGTGGGAGCAGGAACAGGGGTCCAGAAGCCAGGAAGCCAAGAGTCCGAGGGTCAGGAAGCAAGGAGACATGAAGTCAGGGGTCTGAGGGTCAAGAAGCAAGGAGTCACGAAGTCAGGGGTCCGAGGGTCAAGAAGCAAGGAGTCACGAAGTCAGGGGTCCGAGGGTCAAGAAGCAAGGAGTCACAAAGACAAGGGTCCAAGGATCAAGAAGCAAGGAGTTGCGAAGTCAGGGGTCCGAGGGTCAAGAAGCCAGGAGTCAAGAAGCCAAGGTTCAAGGATCAGGAAGCAAGAACCCAAACACAACAAGGCAGGGAACGTGTTGCTGTGGCAAAGAGCCGAAGGGAAATGCTGACCTTATATCCCTTCCCGGCTCTTGCCACCAGGTGCAGTGAGTTACCGATCGGCCTCACCTGTGCAGCCGCGCCTTGCCTCTTCAGAACAAACTTAGGAAGGCCCCGGTCCTGCAAAGTCCTATTGGTCACAGGGCCTGGCTCCTGCCTGCACACCTGACAACAACATTATCCCTAGCTGTGATTCCCAGCATCTGGCACCCAGAGACACATTGTCTCTGATACGAGAGGTAGGGAGCACCCATCACGACCAGCCTTTTCATCTGTGAATTTGTCTAACCCCCTTTTAAAACCTTCCAGGGTTGGAGGCCATCTTGTGGAATTGAGACCCATAGTCCTGTGGCAGTGCATTCCATAGGCAGTGAATTTCAGTGTGTCTCTGTGTCTGTGTGTACACTTCTGGATTCCTTGAAGGAAAGATGGGGGAGCAGTGAATGCCGTCATCATATTTATGTTAATCTGGGCAGGATAGTATATTTGCACTTCTTTGGGAGGCGAGAAAGGAAATGTCATCATCACGGCTAAATCAACAGTGTGTTAGAGATGGCAGTTGACAGCAGTACGATTTTGAGATTTCAGTGATGGACTATTAAACGCTAATTTCCGCTTGGCCTCTGGACCAAATCAGTACTTTTCTTCCCGATGAACTTAACAAAGTGCACATTTCAGCAGAGTGTGTGTCAGTGGCCGCCTTGGTAATCAAAGCCGGAGAACTGCAATCTTGTTTCCGCTGCCGCCCGCAAATGAATGAGGATTTGGAGAGGGTTTGGCCAGCAGCGTCAGAAAGGTGGGATTGGCTAGAGAGCAAGAGGCCGGGTCACTTTGACTGGCTCAAAAAGAGAGGGAATTTGGTGGTGTCAATGGCAGTGGATGAGATGGGAGTGGCTCCTTTGCCTCCGGCGTTAAGCAAAACATCCAGTTGGTTTGCTGGCCAGGTTGACTGGGGCTGTTGGCCGGACCTGGGAAGGCCCCAGCAACGTCCACCTTCTCTGATGAGCGATGGAAGGGTTAAACACAAACAGCTGGGTCCTGAAATCTCCATTCAGCATCACTAACCTACTCCAAGATGTGGCCTCAAGCGGCGCTCCCAAGGGACCACTGTCATCACCGTTGTTGAGGGAAGACGAGAACGTCGTCGTAGCAGCAGCAGCAGCAGCAGCCGGTGAGGAACGGCAGAGGTTGAGAAAAGAAGATGTTTCTGGCGAAAGGAGAGGAAAACACGAGAAGCCACCTTTCAGCTACAACGCCCTGATCATGATGGCCATCCGTCAGAGCCCAGAAAAGCGCCTCACTCTCAACGGCATCTATGAGTTCATCATGGGCAGCTTCCCGTACTACAAGGAGAACAAGCAAGGCTGGCAGAACTCCATCCGCCACAACCTCAGCCTCAACAAATGCTTCGTCAAGGTGCCCCGGCACTACGACGACCCTGGCAAGGGCAACTACTGGATGCTGGACCCTTCCAGCGAGGACGTCTTCATCGGAGGCGCCACCGGAAAGCTGCGCAGGAGGCCGTCAACTTCCCGGACCAAGCTGGCCTTCAGGAGAGGAGCTCGGCTGGCTTCGGCTGGAGTGACCCTGGCCGGATCTCTCTACTGGCCTCTGCCTCCTCTTTACAGTGCCTCCTCAGCCTACCTGAGCCATCCCCCTGGCACCTTCTCTTCCATTTTCTCCCACCAGGCTATTTCTCCTCCAGCGGGGCACAGACAGGTGGAAGTAGATGGCTCCTACAGCAACCACCAGCAGATCGCCACAGCGATGTTGGTCTCGGCCATCCCTTGCAGCCTCTCCTCACCCGACTGCCTGGACTCCTGCTCTGTCAACTTCCTGGCCGGACAGGCGAATTACATCTTTTCTCAGAGACATCACACCCTGCCAATGAGCCCTCAGGCTGTGCTCCCATCCAAAGCCACCAGAGATCTCCTCGGAAGAGGTCCTCCAGCTTTCCCCGGGCGGCTTTCTCCAGAGCTTCCAAGCTACTTTGCTTTTCAGAACCAGGGCGTTCTTTTTCATCCAAGCCTGCCTTGACTGTACACCCCACAAGCCTCTTCTTCCCTGAAAGAAACATTATTATTTTTAATTCCTGCCTGCTAATATTTGAACCCAGTCAGCCTTCTGTTGTGCTGCGTGATGCATTGGCTTTCCACCTGTGGTCCATGAAAAACTCTGGAGAAATGTTGACGTTTCACCCCACGTGTTTCCTTCTGACCCTTCACTGTCTTTTCTGGTGAAAGCGAGGGCATCTATCAACGTTTACCAACGTGAACTAATTTCTTCGAATGCCTCTCGCTAACCTGAACTATGAGAAAATCTTTGAGGGCTAAGGCAAGTCAGCAAGCTTCCCGTGTAGGTCCGAGTTCGGCTTTGCTGCCGACATTTGGCATCAAGACTGGCACTCTGAACGCCAAGCGAGACAGAATTGCCCCAGCGGGTGCCAGTCGGTTTTGATGCCCATAAATTCTGCACATTTTCCCTTGCCTTGACTCCACCTCTACCCTCCCAATGCCTTTGATCAATGTACTGAATAATAAGACGGACTTTCGAACAGGCACAAATGAACAGCGGTAGCTGCCTGCTTCTTTGCAGAGCATGAAATAAGGCATGCCTGATCCTTCACCCAGCAAAGTTCTAACTTAGCTGGGCTGCTGTGATTCAGCCATTAAGCCTCTCCTGCGATTACGACCTTTGAGCTGTGTGATCCTACAGGGCACATTGGTTTAGGAGCCATTGCAATCAGCAAGACTTCTGTTGTGCTAAATATATTTAAGGCTGAAGAGCCCATGGGTCTCAGACATCTTTGTGTGGCAGGTTTGGGGGTTGCTTTTTTTATTGATAATTCATAAGCAGCGTCAACGTGCATGGCATTTTCTGAGGGGTGTGTGTGTGTGGAACCACCAGACCCCTATCCCCCAAGGAGCTTAGACTATAAATTTCATCAGTGCAGTAAGCTAATAGCAGAGGGTGGGAATGGAAGAGAGAGGAGAAAACACAGTTTGGTTGCGCTTAGTGTCAAGCCTTCTCATCTGCAGCTGTAGCGCATGGTCTGGAAGAAAGAAGAATTCCAGGGCAAGGCAGGTATGTCGTCGTCTCTTCCACCTGAGCACCTCTGCAGGCAGTGCAGGGAGCCGGCAGGTAGAATACACAACTTGCAGTGGTTCACGCAACTCACTGGAATCATCACAGGGCAAAGTGCCCCATGTTTCTGGACTTGGGAGATTACCAGTGCAATAATGCCTTTATGAATCGGGCCCAAAGGCCCATCTAGTCTATCGTCATGTCTCCAGCAGAAATGGGAAAGAAAGCTCACACGCCAGTGTACGAGGGCAATATGCACCCTCTGTGGATTTGTCCCTATAGCATCTTGGAATCAGTGGCGCACTGCTATTAAACATGGACATGTAATTTATAATTATCAATGGCTGGTGGACATTCATAGACTTGCCTTCTTTGCAAATGTAACTTTAAAACCCCCCAAAAAACTAGTGAATTCACTGTCTGGCCATCACCACAGCTCGCGTCAACAAATTGCTAAAGTTAATTATGTGAAGCATTTCATTTGTGCGTAAGCTGCCAATCGACTTAATTGGGAGAGACTAAAAATCTGCTGTTTTGACAGAGATGGAGGGTAATTGCTTGATGCTTGCTTGCTTGCTCTCTCTGAGCAGCACATCCAATCCTTAGAATTTGAGGTACTGGAGAAAATGCAGTAAGGTTGCCGTTCTAAGCGTTTGACGGAAAATCCTACTATAAATGTGCTCAGCAGGATTTGCACAAAAGAGTGTGTCAGAATGTGCAAATTCTGGATTAAATTGCTTTGTGAATCGGGCTCCAGTATCCCCCGATTTCTGCTGGACTTAATTCTAAGTAATTAATTGTGCTTTTAATTGCCGCTTGATAATTGATACCCCAGCCCTGAACACATTTACACAAGGGATCGAAACAATCAAGTCCCATTGATTTAAGGGTTGTGGTTTTAGGCTCTGTGGGTTTGGAAGTGAATTTAGAGACAATCAATTTCTATAGTGTATTTATTCCAAAGTTTTTGCAGTGATTGTAATAGTACTATTATTAATTAGTTCCTACAGTGTGTGTGTGTGTGTTTAATTATCCTTTATTCATGTGTGTTTGTGTGTTTTACGACTCTTCATTCAGAGAAAACACAAACTCTTAATGTGCGGCAAGAACTTTAGCTTGGAAACATCCACACCCTAAGGGAGCCAAGAGCAATTTATATCATTCACCTATTCTGATTTTTTCTTTCATGTGCATGTCTGTTTAAGATTTGGCTGAGAAGCGACAGCTGATATGCTCAAAAGAGAATACAATTAATGTTTTCAGACACAATAAATCTTCTTCTTCATGGCTATTTTTAATGGAAAAGCTCAAATGTGCAGGCTGAGGCTAATTTTTAGGGTGCTTTGCTTGCTTATCTACATTATTTCCAAACTGTGCGCTAGTTTGAATTGGGATGGGAGGGAGAGAGAGGATGAAATCCATCAAGCGTGTCTTATGTCCATAAAGCCGATAAACATGCGATATGCACAACAACTGTGTGATCAGTAGACCTGTAATTTTGTTGAAATTAATTGTGTTTGCATGGGAGAGAGAAGCTCCGTGGAATGCACCTTAGAACGTCCGATATCGCGAACCACAAGTGAGTTTTACCTGCGTGAAACAAGCCCACAATAAAGATACATACTGATCCATTTGTTTCCCAAACCCGACGGCCGTGTTTGATTGTGAACTTTTGTGTCGTTTCATTTTGGCCAGTACAAGGATCAAAGAATCGAGATGCAGGGATCATTAGGAAAGGAATGCAAAATCAAACTGCCAATGCGAATGAATGAATTAATTTCATTATTACGGTCGCAGACCAGTTCCGGCTTACTTACAATATCAGGAAAATCATAAAACACAACAGGAATACATTGAATTGCAATTGGGTATAACGGAGACAATTCAGATATAGCGGCAGTTAAAAATATATATTAAATCTTAGGGAACAAGCTGTACTACCAAAATGATTCAGGTTTTAAATGACAATTTTAGGTTGTATTTTAATGATCAAGATTTAATAAGCTGCCGATGTAGTCGCGCCATTATACAAATCTGTGCTACAACCACATTTGGAATACTGTGTATTTTTTAAATTATTATTATTATTATTATTAAAAGTGGGCAGAGAAAAGTTTTTCTCCCTCTTTCATAATACTAGAGCTCAGGGGATTCCAATGAAGCTGATTGCTGGAAGATTTGGGACAGATAAAATGAAGCCCTTCTTCACACAGCCCATGGAACTCCCTGCCACAGGAGACAGGGGTGGGTGGCTTTAAATAGACAGATTCGTGGAGCATAGGGCTACTGATGGCTACTAGCCACGACGGCTATATTTTGCCTTCACATTTGGAGGCAGTGATGCTTCTGAATGTCAGTTGCTGGAAACTGCGGCAGAGAGGAGAGGGCACTCACGCTCGGATCCTGTTTGCGAGTTTTCCGTGGGTATCCGGTTGGCCACTGTGAAAACAGGATGGGCCACTGGCCTGATTCAGCAGGGTCTTCTTACGTTCTTCAGACTGACCGGCCTCACGAAACTACGCAGTTCATTAATATAAACACAAATGGCTCTATTTGAATAACAGATGACCTGTTTATTGAGCCTTCCATATTTCTAGTTACAGGTAGGTAGCCGCGTTGGTCTGCCGTAGTCGAAACAAAATTTAAAAAGTTCCTTCCAGTAGCACCTTAGAGACCAATAACAAACTTAGTTGGTCTCTAAGGTGCTACTGGAAGGAACTTGTTTATTGAGCATTAATCCTGATTTGCTTGCACAAGGTTTACAGAGAGGTTAGATTATATCTGGTCTTTAATAGGTTTATGTCAATATGTTGCTGTTGTTGTTATGCCCTTCCCATCTGATTAGGTTGCCCCAGCCACTCTGGGCGGCTTCCAACAGATACAAAAACATAATAAAACATCAAACATTAAAAACTTCCCTATACAGGGCTGCCTTCAGGTGTCTTAGAAGATGTATAGAAGATGTCAGACAGTTGGTGATGTTTAAACCATTATCTTTTATATGTTTCTTTTAGCTTTCTGGACTTTTATCTGTGTTGCTTTAATTTGTTTAAGCTGTCCTCGAGTCGTAGTCTGGGAAGAAGGCAGGAAATAAAATAACAACAGGAACAATTTATTGAGCGTTGATTCTGATCTGTTTGTGGGGCAATGAGCACTCATCTCACTTTGCTTGTGGTATGTTTATACATCTTCCCATTAATCAATTGTTCACCTCACACTTTCCAGAGGAGCATCCCCAGCACTCTCTTAACCACGACAAGTTTGCGTGGGGTTTTTAAAAGTGGATTTGTTACACTGGAGCAACAAAGCGCTTTAACCCACTTTGATTGCACAAGGCTACATTTTTTGGTATGTGCTTGAATCCCCTCCTCAGAAATAGTGACCATTTAGAGGAGCTTTATATATCCAACAAGTTGAAACGTAAAGGCAGCATAAAACAGAAATAAAAAATCTTTATAACCTCAAAGTATAAAATGCAGTCACCTTCACACAAACCCTGAGAAGTCGTTGCTTTTTAATGTGTTTTAATGTGTTTCTATGTATGTAGAAAGGAGAAAAACAACATGTGCACAACAAAATAAAATAAAGAACACAAATTGAATCCCAACTCTTTCAGCTGCTGACATGTAAGATTGTATGTCCGGTGTAGCAGTATATAAAATAAAGCTCTACCATACGGCACTGAACTCTAGTGGCTTCTTGCTGCCTTGTACTAGGAGTATATATAGTTTTGAATAACTTGGGTTTTATAAACAAGGACCATAGAAATAATAAACTGATACAAATAAATAGACCAAGTCTGCTCATGTCATTTGTATATCACAAAAATTACTAGAAGTATATTACGAATGATTTCCCCCACAAACGCAGTGATCGACCAAAATTTACTATACCAAGCTTGGATGATTAAATGGTCTAAGACAGTGGTTCTCAAGCTTTTTTCTCTTTATTTCAGAATACAAATTTGCTTCTGCCACACTGAATTTTTGATTGATAAGAAATACATTGGAAAGCAAAAAGAAACAACTAGCAGTGCTTGGATTTTAACCTAGAACACAGCTAATTTATAATATGATCATGGGACACCCAGAAAGTATAAAATAACACAGGGATGTCAGAACATGAATCATTCCCAAAATATAATTATAAACGAGCCTCTTACATATGTACCTTAAGTACATATGAGAGGTGTGAGATTGCTTTTGCCAGGTAATCTCATTTATATTAGGTCTATTTTGAGACAAACTCTCATCTCATCCACACAAATAAGCCTTTTTTCTTTTCTAATCTTTCATATTTGTCAGAGTTGAAAATCTCTGTTTGTGGAGAACTATAGAATACCCAATGTTCTTCAAGAGAGAGGCATGAATACTATTTCTGCTTGTATGGATACAGATAGTGATAGAGAGATACTACACCGAAACGTTTAAATGTTTATTTGATTGCCATTGAATATTCCCACCATACTTGCCATGTTCTCCTGCCACACCCTTTGAGAACCACTGGTCTGAGAATGGCAAATCAAGATGACGGACTATGCCAAAATAGCAAAACTAACTAGGAAGCTCAGAAATCAAGAAGACAAGAATTTTTTAAAAAGAATGGGGAAAGTTTATAATTTATATACGAGACCACTGCAAGCAGGTTAAAACAATGGCAGGATTTTAATCACGCTTGTAAAGTAACGGAAACTATGGACAATTTAGAAGGAAAAATATTTGGATAAATATTGACATGCAGTTGTAATTATTTTTACTAGGACCCAGGGAAGGGATGGGGGGAAGTCAGGAGATTCAGAGTACAGTGCTACCTCGGGTTACAGATGCTTCAGGTTACAGACACTTCAGGTTACAGACTCCACTAACCCAGAAATAGTACCTTGGGTTAAGAACTTTGCTTCAGGATGAGAACAGAAATCGCGCAGCGGGAGACCCCATTAGCTAAAGTGGTACCTCAGGTTAAGAACAGTTTCAAGTTAAGAACAGACCTCCAAACGAATTAAGTTCTTAACCTGAGGTACCCCTGTAATAGCAGTATTTGGTTTTGAATTGATGTTTGTTGTGTGTTTATATATATTTTTAATCAAATAAAATATTTTTTTAAAAAGAGAACCACTGAGGTCACCCACAGCCATTATTGATATAATTTTACATAAAGTATTTTACATGAATGCCCATTTCTTTATCCAGCTAGACCATGGGTAGGCAAACTAAGGCCCGAGGGCCGGATCCGGCCCAATCGCCTTCTCAATCCGGCCCGTGTACGGTCCAGGAATCAGCATGTTTTTACATGAGCAGAATGTGTGCTTTTATTTAAAATGCATTTCTGGGTTATTTGTGGAGCATTGGAATTTGTTCTTTTTTTCTTTTCTTTTCTTTTCAAAATATAGTCCGGCCCCCCGCTGAAAACGTTTGCTGACCCCTGAGCTAGACCATAGTCCCAGGCTTCCTTAGATTCCCACCAAAGCAGGGACTGCCCCCCACCCTCCATTCCTGTTGTGGCACCACGCCAGAGGGACACAAGCAAAACAGGCGCCTGCCCTTCGAGGGAGCTGTCTGAACACGCAGACATGCGAGATGGGGACGCAGCTGACGGTAACCAGAAGCTTCTGTGGATTAAACACAAATTCTCTCTCTCTCTTTCTGCCTGCTTGCCTGCCTGGCACCTGTTGACTTTTATGGTCCTCAACTCATCCACAAAGCACCAGTCACTTCCGTGCCCCTCGGGCGCAATGACTAACCATTCATAAAAAGGGAGGCCAAGGCAGTTACAAAACAAGTCTAAGCAGATTTCACTGGGGAAGAGCTACAGCTCAGTGGTTTGCATGCAGGAGGTTGCAGGTTCGATCCCAGCATTTCCACGTAGGGTTGGGGGGTTTATAATGAATTGGGGGAAAAAGTTGAAATATACATTTATTAAGAAACCAGAGGCCTTTCTTCTTGGGATAATACGTTTGGAATTGCCCCCAAAAGATGGTAGATTGTTTTTGTATGCCACAACTGCAGCTAGAATTTTGTTAGCTAGGAATTGGAAATCACAAGAAGTCTCGACAGTGGAGGAATGGCAGATGAAGACGATGGACTTTTCGGAGCTAGCTGACCTGACCAGAAGAGTCCGTGACCAGAAGGAGGAGGAGTACCAAGAGGAATGGATAAAATTTAAAGACTATTTAGTTAAATATGCTAAGATAGCTTAATTGGAAAAAGTTGCAAATTCCAGATAGGCTTAGGATTTAATTATGTGATTTTAGAGAATAATATGTTTAAAGTAAAAATGAAAACAAAGCAAGAGGTTAAGTGATTAAGTTAATTTTATGAGAAAATAGGTTTTGGAAAACTGTTACAATGATACACACTGAAATTCAGCCAGGGGGATTTGAGGAAGTCACTTAACAATGTTACTAAGACTGGATCAAGTACAGCTAAGATGTATGTTTGTTTGTCTGTTTAAAAATTTTGGAAAACCAATAAAAAAAATTTGGGAAAAAACCGTAGGGTTGGGGGAGACTCCCTGTTGAAACTCTGAAAAGCTCCTGCCAGTTCGTGTGGAGAATAGAAGACCTCCTAGCGTTTCCTTATTTTTCAGGGACAGGACAGCCCCAGATTTACAGAGGCCATCCCAGTTTCTGATTTGATCCCAGAATGTCCCGCTTTCCCTTGGGATGTCCCTATTTTCATCAGAGAAATGTTGGAGGGTAAAGTTATGCAACCTCCGAGCCTCAGAGATAAGTTAAATATACAACATTTAGAAGACATCTGAATAGGGAAGTTTTTGAATGTTCAATGTTTTATTATGTTTTTATATATGTTGGAAGCCGTCCAGAGTGGCTGGGGCATCCCAGTCAGATGGGAGGACATTATTATTATTATTCTGCTTATTTAACTTATATGCAGAATTCATCATGCGAAAGGCTGGGCTGGATGAATCCCAACCCAGAAGTAAGATTGCCGGAAGAAATATCAACAACCTCAGATATGCAGATAACACAGCCTTGATGGCAGAAAGTGAGGAGGAATTAAAGAACCTTTTAATGAGGGTGAAAGAAGAGAGCGCAAAATATGAAGCTCAACATCAAAAAAACAAAGATCATGGCCACTGGTCCCATCACCTCCTGGCAAATAGAAGGGGAAGAAATGGAGGCAGTGAGAGATTTTACTTTCTTGGTGAAATATACTCGAATAACACTTGGGCTCCCCTAAACATTTTTTTTTTAGAAGAAAAAAAAAAGCACTGCATACCTCACAAGCAGGACACAAACGCAACAGCCCTTATTCACAAGATACTGTTATCTGAAATATATATAGCCCTTTTTTGTGCGATGGTACTCACTGGTGACGCTGTGGGTCAAACCACAGAGCCTAGGACTTGCTGATCCGAAGGTCGGCGGTTTGAATCCCCGTGACGGGGTGAGCTCCTGTTGTTCAGTCGCTGCTCCTGCCAACCTAGCAGTTCGAAAGTATATCAAAGTGCAAGTAGATAAATAGGTACCGCTATGGTGGGAAAGTAAACAGTGTTTCCGTGCACTGCTCTGGTTCGCCAGAAGCGGCTTAGTCATGCTGGCCACATGACCCGGAAGCTGTACGCCGGCTCCCTCGGCCAATAAAGCGAGATGAGCGCCACAACCCCAGAGTGGGTCACGACTGGACCTAATGGTCAGGGGTCCCTTTACCTTTACCTTACTCACTGGTGGAGAATACCATAACCTTTTTTCCTGCCTGTTAAAGCCTTTTTATGCTGGCACCTGCTTTGACCGACATAAGCATATATTTATTTTTGCCGTTACATGCTTGGACAAAGCTTGCTTGCTCTTCATTAACAGCCAATTCATTGAAAAAGCCAGCGTTGTGCGGAGTTTTCTGCGCTGAGCTGGGCGCATTAAAATCCCTATCCAATGATGGTCCCTTGGGACCAGCCACTCTCTTTTGGGCCTGACCTACCTCTCAGGGTTCTTGAGAAGATAAAATAAAGGAGCGGGGAAAAGCTACATATGCCAACCTGAGGGTTTTTTTTGGTGGTTTTTTTAAAGGGGAAAGTGGAATATAAATATAAAAGATAATAATGGTTGTCATCTGTCTTGAATTTCCCGGACATTGACGGAATACTGCAGTCGGAAGCAGTGTCCGGGAAAATCCAGTTGTATGGTAACCCATGTGGGAAGACTAGATTTTGGCGGATTTCCTTTAAAGTGGCTCAAAAACTTCTTTTTTGAGAGAGAGAGATTTTGGGAAGAACTAAAGCAAGCTCAACAACTTTGCTCCAAAACGCTCAACAACTTTTGTGTCCGGATTTTCACTTTTTGAAATATGGCAAGAATCCTTCCTTTTCATTTTTGCTGCGGTTTGACTGATTTAGGAACGCCCTTCCTCCATTATAAATGGATTATTATTATTATTATTATGCATTCCCCCCCCCCAACAAAAAAAGTACAATGTCTGGAGGCCAGATTTTACTCGAAAAGAAGGTCCAACAGGGGCTTCTTTCCCAGGAAATGCATTGGAACCCAAGCGAGTAAACAGCCCACAGGCAGGGCAAAGCCGTTTCGCGGGGTGTTTTGCCTCTTCTCGCGCGCCGTAGCCGCAAAGCCATAGAGACGGTAGGCCTGGAAGGGCCGGCCGGGCAGCCTTGGAAATGCCCCGGAAGCGGAAGCCCGGGAAGGCGCTCACATTTGCAAAGCCGCGACGGAGCAGTTCGCCGCGCGAGTCGACGGCTAGGGAGACGAGAAGGGCCCAGCCATGTGAGGACGGGCCGGGGAAGGGGGTGGAAGAGAAGGAGCCCGGGTTTTTTTTGGGGGGGGGGGTGGGAAGGTACCCTTTCTTGTGGGTCAGGATTTTTTGGGGGGGGGTCCTCATCACTATACCGTAAATATTCGAATAGGCGCCCCTGTTTAGGAGCGTTATAATTACTGCCGTATTTATTTATGTCCCACCTTCTTCCCTTACAGGGACTCAAGAAGGCTTACAAAAAAAGAGACAAAATTTAAAAAAACCCTTCCAGTAGCACCTTAGAGACCAACTAATTTTGTTATTGGTGTGAGCTTTCGTGTGCATGCACACTTCTTCAGATATTTTAGTTGGTCTCTAAGGTGCTACTGGAATGAATTTTAAAATTTTATTTCGACTACGGCAGACCAGCATGGCTACCTACCTGTAAAAAAAAGAGAGGGAGGGAGGGAGCAGCTAAAAACATAGTGGGGGTAGTGGTGGAAACCGGTCATTAACAAAGCATTCATGGAATTAAATGGCTCCCGCTGCCTTATTGGAAAGGCTACCCCCAGCTCTCCCCGCTCCGCCCCCTGACACCATCCTCTTCTCTGCCGCCCCTTTTCTCGTTCACCTTGGTCGTTTGCAAGTGGGAAGGGGGAGTCACGGCCTTCATGCGCTGCCTCTGGGCTTCCCTTTCTAGCAGCTGGTTGGCCACCTTAAGAACAGAATGCTGGGACTCGCTGCCTCCCCTTCCCCGCTTTGGTCTGATCCAGCTACTGGCCTCTTCCTCATGCCCAGGGTCCCCAGGGTCTTCCCTCTTGGCTTATTTGGCTGCTTCCAAGATGCTTCCCAGTGGCTAGTGGAATAATTTTGCCGATTCAGATGGGAGGGGTCCTGTATTAGCATGTTTCCAACCACCTTGCCTTTACAGTGGTACCTTGGGTTACATACGCTTCAGGTTACAGACTCCACTAACCCAGAAATATTACCTCGGGTTAAGAACTTTGCTTCAGGATGAGAACAGAAATCGTGCTCCGGCGGCACGGCAGCAGCAGGAGGCTCCATTAACCAAAGTGTTGCTTCAGGTTAAGAACAGTTTCAGGTTAAGAACGGACCTCCGGAACAAATTAAGTACTTAACCCGAGGTACCACTGTACTTTGGTAAAGGGCGCTATGTAGCAAAGTAATTGGGTGCATATTTTAAAGGAACCACCTTAGAGTTTGTGTCTCTTAACTTGTTTCAAAACTGTTTTTTAATATTGTGTTTTGATCACTGTAATCTGCCCTGGCACCTTAGGGTGAAGGGAGGGTAAACAACAACAACTGTTAGGATAATTTTATTGCCTGTTAGTTATGAGCAGCGGAGATTTTGCTTCCACACTAATCCCATCGCTCCCCTGCACAGGAGACTTTTAGTGGGTTGTGTCTACTGCCTTAAAATGTTTAAGTGGATGAATAATGATTCTTGGTAGTTAGGATCTTTCTCTTTTTTTCCCTTCCACCGCCCTTGCACCACTGTGCTTCTTCCATGCTTGCGGTGAAAGGATGCGTCGTATAACCACTAGAACATATTTTATATTGCCAAGTCACATTTAGTCGGTGCCGGTTGTCGTTCACCAGATGCCTGCATAGTTATCCTATGGGGCTTGACAAGCGCCGTCTCTTTTCTTCCTCCTCAGGAGCCTCTTAAACAAGCCCAAGAGTGAGATGACCCCAGAGGAGCTGCAGAAGAGGGAGGAGGAAGAGTTCAACACGGGGCCCCTTTCTGTTCTCACCCAGTCCGTCAAAAACAATACTCAGGTGCTAATCAACTGTCGAAACAACAAGAAACTGCTTGGCCGGGTCAAAGCCTTTGACAGGTAGGATCCTCTGTTGTTTGCTCGGAAGTAAATAAAGCCAGATCAAGTTCAGACTTTCAAAATAAGTGGCAGATTTCCAGTTTTCCTCTTGGTAGTTCCATCTCCTTCAGAAGTTCAGGGTGTCGGCCGAGGAGAGGGGATTCTCTTGCAGCCCCAGTTGTGGAATGCTCTCCCCACAACGATGTGTCTGGTTTCTTCATTACAGCGCTTTCAGCAAATGCTGAATATGCATCTCTTTACCCTGGTCTTTGTCAACTGAGATGTGTGTTGATAGTGCCCATCCTATTCCTGCGGCGGTGATCCGTTTATAAATTTAACAGCAGTATAATTTGTTCACTGGGAATTGAACAATTCCCCTTTGAGGTTCTTCTGGACTCTCTAGTCTAGAGAATGGGGGTTTCCTTGGTCACAGAGAGAGGGATGTTTTGTTCCCTCCCCATTTGTTGGTAGCAGGAAAGAGAGAGCCTTGTATCCAGGTAACAGCTTCCTCTCCCCACCAGGCACTGCAACATGGTGTTGGAAAACGTGAAGGAGATGTGGACAGAGGTGCCCAAGAGTGGGAAAGGCAAGAAGAAATCGAAACCTGTCAACAAGGACCGCTACATCTCCAAGATGTTCCTGCGTGGAGATTCAGTCATTGTGGTGCTGAGGAACCCCCTAATCGCTGGCAAATAATAGGCTATCAGCAGGCTGTAGGTACTTGAGAACCTAGTCCAGTAAAGTGGTATAATCAAGAAACCAATAAGAGGCATTTAAAAGTATTTTTGAGCAATGAATATACAGTACCCCGATGAAGGAAAGTGCAAGGCTTCTTGCTATTCATAGAGGTGACGATGAAATTTCCAATCCCCAGACACCTGGTTATGTTCATATATGTTGCCTGATGACATTTTCTTTTGTAATAAACATTTTGTTAAAATCCTCTTTCTGCTTTTTTGTTTGGCGCAGGCTCTTCTGCCTGGTGAAGCTTTTGATGGCAATGAAGGGAATGGGAATCTTGTGGCTGGTGGGAGCTGAGCTGTGGGTTACTGTATTTTTCGCTCTATAGGACGCACCTTTTCCCCTCCAAAAATGAAGGGGAAATGTGTGTGCGTCCTATGGAGCGAATGCAGGCTTTCACCGAAGCCTGGAGAGCGAGAGGGGTCGGTGCGCACCGACTCCTCTCGCTCTCCAGGCTTCAGGAAGCTATCCGCAAGCTATCCGCCGGGCTCCGAAGGCTTGCGGATAGCAGCCTGCAGCCCGAAGCCTGGGGAGCGCAGCGCTGCGCACCCCGGGCTTCAGGCAGCTGTCTGCAAACCTTCAGAGCGCTCCCCCAGCCCGCAAGCTCCGGGAACGGCGGCAAGGCTGCACGCAACCTTGCCGCCGCTCCCGGACCTGTTCTGGGGACTGGGGTCAGGGGAAGGTCGGGCTTCCCCCGCCCCAGCCCCGCGGCTAAAAACGAAGCCAAGACAGCGAGTCCGGTGCGCCCTATAGAGCGAAAAATACGGTACATGCTTGGAGCCTGATGTCCTCTGTGCTGAGAGCATTAGGTAGGAAAAGAAGCCACTCCCCAAACTGAAAGCTTTTGACTTCTCCCACTGATATAGGTCTATCTGTATCCCCACACCTTATCAGCATTCCCTACAGTTGACCAGCAAGCGCAGCAAAACATCTTCATTTGGTATGAGAACAGAAGTTGTGTTCTGGGTCTTGGTGGCTTCACTGACTTGGACAGAGCTGCCTGCAAGTCCTAGAGTTTGGAACAAGCTTGCTGTTGAGGCATGTAGTTTTTAGCTAAAAGGTAGAGAAAGGTTCTTCACTTCTGTTTTCCCCATTCCTTAAAAATATCTTCAGACTCTTAAAAACTTAACATGTATTGTTCAGAACGAAACCTAGAGACGGAATAATACAATATGCCTGTTCAGTCGTGCCTTGGTACTCAGATGTTTGGGCTTCTGAACGCCACAAACCCAGAAGTGAGTGTTCCGGTTTGCGAATGTTCTTTAGAACCCGAACGTCCAACGGGGCTTCCACAGACTCTAATTGGCTGCAGAAGCTTCCTGCAGCCAATTGGAAGCCACCCTTTGGTTTCCGAACGTTTTGGAAGTCGAACGTACTTCCGGAACGGATTCCGTTCGACTTCCAAGGTACAACTGTACTTGAAACAAAATTTGCACCAGTTTGCAGTCTTGGAAATTTTCAAATTCATATCCAAAAACATTGCATAAATGTATTGATCAGCAGCGGCGGATGGAGGGATTATTGGGTTGTCTTTGTTCTTATTTTTATGGTGTATTTTGTGTTTCTAATATTGTAATTTTATGTTGTGAACCGCCCTGAGATCTACAGGTATAGGGCAGTGTACAAATTTAATTAACAACAGCAACAACTGCAGGGGAGGGATGTTTCTGCATCAATTTGCCAGCATCGGAATTTCAGCCTATATTCTTTAAAAATTTGATAGCATCCTTGGTGAGTGTTGTAAAAACCACACAAACAAAGTGACCATTGCAATTTATTTTTATCACAGTTTATTTATATACTGCTGTTTGGGCTCCCAAAGCTTTGAACAGAGTATTAAAACAAAATACACAACGGAGCGCAAGAAAGTGCCATAAATCAGTCATCAAGCCAAACAATGTAAGAGCAGGACCGCAATGAAGAAAAGCCTTCCTAAGCTAGAAGATTAAAAGCTGTTCTCCCCAACTACTCATCCCACACACCTGGGGGCTGGAAACTTGGAACAGACAATGAAATATTCTGTTTGTAAAAGAAAATACAAAATTGAGTTAGAAAAATGTTTCCCCAAGTTCAATTTAGTAGCGCAGGAAGCTGCCTAATATAGACCATTAGTCGATCTACTTCAGTGCTGTCTTCACTGACTGACAGAAGCTCTCCAGGGTTTTTAGACAGGATACAGTCTCCTACTTGGGAGATGCCAGGGACTGAGCAAAGGACTTTCTCCATTCAGATCAGATGCTCCAGCACTGAGCTGCAGCCATTTCCCTTTGCCTCTTAAGTTGAACACTGTAACTCTTCATAAAACATGACACTTTGGGGCTGTTCTTCCTGTCACCCCCTGCTTACTGAGGCTAATGGGATTTGCAGTCTGAACCATCTGGGAGGCCACCAGGTTGAGGAAAGCTAGGATCGTTCCTAAACCCCAAAGCTGTCTCCCCATATTATTTCAGCCTGCTTGTTGTGCTGATGGCTGTGCCTGGTATCTATTCCTCTCTATTGTGTGTGCATCTCTTCCTCTCCCTATGTCAGCATGAGCTCATTCTTTAGGCCCAGCTGGCTTCCTCCCAGCCCCCAGGTGAAACCCTAACCCTCTCCAGCCTCTGAAAGTGACATTGTCTTGCTTTGATACAGGGCAAACCTTTTACCGCCTAGTGCGTCCTACGAGCCGTGTCTTACGGGGCTGCAGCGCTGCTTAAAAACAAATTTACTTAAAGTATCGGTTACCCCCTAGGGGCGGGCAATCAGTCGACGGGGCATAGCAGCACAAACCTGCTGCTACACTGGGGAATTTTATACAGGGACAGATGGGCGAATCGTCAGAAGGTGCCTGGCAGGAAAAAGAGAAAAAAAACCAGGCTATTTGGGGTGCCCCGTACTTTATTTCAGCATGGTAGATACGGAGGAAGGGATTTGAGAAAAGATTTCAGGTTCACAGGCACTGCATTGAACGAGGAGTGCAGAGGCCCATCAAATTAAGAAAGACTTGGGATGTTGCTAAGGTCTTAAAAACTAACCACTGCTCCCTGAAGATGAAACACAAAATGTGCACCTCGGAATTTTGAAGGTCAGTGGGGGAACTGTTAACATGCTGGAAGTGTTAATTAATTACATGTCTGAATCTGGTGAATTTTGGCATTCACAGGTGAGCGCTGATGGTTCCAGGTTTTTTCTTACATGTCTGAATAATGGATGTGCTTTCTGGGTTTAACAGACCAGTAAATGCTAACTGCTGAATTTTGAAACTTTCCAAAGCTCATCCATTAAGTCAGCCCCACTACTCCGTTCTAACGCCCCAACTCAGATTCTGTACCCAAAGCCATGAAGGGCGGGGTGGTGGTGGTGGTGGTTTGTGACGAGAGGATGCTGAGCTCGAAGGCTGCTGAGCGTGATTTGAGCTGCTTATAATAATAATAATAATATAATAATAATTTATTATTTATACCCCGCCCATCTGGCTGGGCCTCCCCAGCCACTCTGGGCGGCTTCCACAGAAACCAAAAATACGGTAAAATATCACACGTTAAAAACTTCCCTGAACAGGGCTACCTTAAGATGTCTTCTGAATGTCAGGTAGTTGTTTATCGCTTTGACATCTTTGTCACGCTTTGACCACTTATCACTCAAGAGCCTTCTGCATAGGGGAAAAAGGTGGTACTTGTGCAGGAGGAAATGGTAGCTGGAGTCTGGGAGCAACAACTGGCTCCTCCACAATCAGGACATTTCTATCGAGAGACTCGAGGTGGGATAAATAGAGTCACCAACTTGTTTCCTATCCAGCCGCTGATGAAACTCTGGCTGTGCCTACAGTGGTGCCCCGCAAGACGAATGCCTCGCAAGACGAAAAACTCGCTAGACGAAAGAGTTTTCCGTTTTTTGAGTCGTTCCGCAAGACGAATTTCCCTACGGGCTTGCTTCGCAAGACGAAACGTCTTGCGAGTTTGTTTCCTTTTTCTTTAAGCCGCTAAGCCGTTAATAGCCGCTAATAGCCGTGCTTCTCAAGACGAAAAAACCGCAAGACGAGACTCGCGGAACGGATTAATTTCGTCTTGCGAGGCACCACTGTACTTACTTTCAGCAGTGCCCCTCAGGTGTTCAGAGTGGTCGTCTTTGGCGATCACTCATAGCCGAGTAAGATTGTCTTCCAAAAACACGGCTTTAACAGTGAGTCCGTAAGTGACTGGAGGCCAATTCTGGATCCACACGTGCTTCCACCGTGGGGACACAGGTTTCCGGGCGGGAGTTGATCACGGCGAGGGTTTGTCAAACGTGCCTTCCTCTTAGCACGTTTCTCCCTTTCATCCTGAACTCAAATGTCTTCAAAGTCCATGACACCTTTGGTAAAGGCTGTTCTCCATTTGGAGCACTCGCAGGCCGGTGTTTCCCAGTTGTCGGTGTTTACACTACATTTTTTTATATTTGCCTTGAGAGAACCTCTTTTGCTGACCACCAGCATTACGCTTTCCATTTTTAAGTTCGGAAGAGTTTGGCTTTGGAAGACGATCATCAGGCATCCGCACAACATGACCAGTCCAACGAGGCTGATGTTGAAGAATCATTGCTTCGACATTGCTGATCTTTGCTTCTTCCAGTACACTGGCATTAGTTCACCTGTCTCCCTAAGTGTAAAATTTTTTGGAGACACCATTGATGGAATCTTTCGAGGAGTTGGAGATGGCGTTTACAAGTGGCCCATGTTTCACAAGCATACACGTTTCACAAGCATACAGTATGCATCATGGAACAAGTGCACTCTGGGCTTGTAAGCAGGTTGTGGGTGGGGACGGCCAAAGGGGACTGCAGTTTCAAAGTGGCCCTCCAGGAAATATATCTGATATGCAGATGGTATAAGTTACTTCTGCAAATCTATGGAAATTGGTGATTAGCAGACTTCCTGCAAATGATCTTGGGCGTAAGGCAATGGATACCTGTCTCAACAGCATGTTGACTCCTCTGCTTTGCAAGGTGTGAATTGGCCCGTAGTGAATAAGCCTTTTGGAAGTGTTTCAGAGTCCCCTGTTAAAGCTAGAGGCTCTGGCCAATATCTCTTTTCTCTTCCCCCGACATCCCACCCCCTCCCCCAGCCAGCCCGGCCATCCATCCATCCAGGCAGGCAAGGAGATCCAGCTCAATATTGCAGCTCGGGTTTAGCGCAGGACGAGGCTCCAATTTCGACAAGTCAGAGGTTTCTGCAGAGGCGACAACTGATGTTCAGGAAACGGGGAGACAGCGGAGTCCTGATGATTAATTCAGGACGAAAGGGAGAGGAGGCTGATAAGGGGAAGCTTGAGAACTGCCAGGTCCTGGCTGGACCCATCGCTACCTCTCGCCAGCTTGAAGCCCAAAGCACTGGAGAAGACCATAAGAAGAGGGTCAGACCAGTGGCCTCATCCTGTTCTCAGGTGGCCAAGCAGATGCCTCTGGGGACCCTGAGCACAAGACGAGCCTCTCAGCTTGTAGTCCCTGGAGACAATGCAGGTGCACCACAGCCATTGCAGCTGTTGTTTAGTCGTTTAGTCGTGTCCGACTCTTCGTGACCCCCTGGACCAGAGCACGCCAGGCACTCCTGTCTTCCACTGCCTCCCACAGTTTGGTCAAACTCATGTTCGTAGCTTCGAGAACACTGTCCAACCATCTCGTCCTCTGTCGTCCCCTTCTCCTTGTGCCCGATCTTTCCCAACATCAGGGTCTTTTCCAGGGAGTCTTCTCTTCTCATGAGGTGGCCAAAGTATTGGAGCCTCAGCTTCAGGATCTGTCCTTCCAGTGAGCACTCAGGGCTGATTTCCTTAGTAGCCATCAATAGACCTCTCTTCCTCCATGAATTTATCGAATCCTCTTTTAAGGCCGTCCTAGTTGGCGGCCGTCGCTGCCTCTCGCAGGGGCAAATTCCATAATTTAACTCGGCGAAGCATGAGGGAGAACTTCCTTCTGTTTGTCCTGAATCTTCCAACCTTCAGTTTGGATGTCCCTGAGTTCTAGAATTATGAGAGAGAGAGAAACCTCTGCCTGCTTTCACCATGCCATGCGTAGTTTTTATACACTTAAGCAGAGGTTGTATACCTGAAGGAGCATCTCCACCCCCATCATCCAGCCCGGACACTGAGGTCCAGTGCCAGGGGCCTTCTGGCGGTTTCCTCGCTGCGAGAAGTGAGGTAACAGGGAACCAGGCAGAGGGCCTTCTCAGTAGTGGCGCCTGCCCTGTGGAACGCCCTCCCAGCAGATGTCAAGGCAATAAACAACTATTTTACTTTTAAAAGACAATGCTGTATTGCTTTAATATTTGGTTGGAAGCTGCCCAGAGTGGCTGGGGAAACCCAGCCAGATGGGCAGGGTATAAATAAATTATTATTATTATTATTTTTATTATTATTATTATTTATACCCCACCCATCTGACCGGGTTTCCCCAGCCACTCTAGCCGGCTTCCAACAAAATATTAAAATACAATAATCTATTAAACATTAAAAGCTTCCCTAAACAAAGCTGCCTTCAGGTGTCTTCTAAAAGCCAGAGAGTTGTTTATTTCCTTGACATCTGATGGGAGGGCCTTCCACAGGGCGGGCGCCACTACCAAGAAGGCCCTCTGCCTGGTTCCCTGTAACTTCGCTTCTCGCAGTGAGGGAACCACCAGAAGGCCCTTGGCACTGGATCTCAGTGTCTGGGCTGAACGATGGGGGTGGAGACGCTCCTTCAGGTATACTGGGCCTTTGAGGCCGTTTAGGGCTTTAAAGGTCAACACCAACACTTTGAATTGTGCTCGGAAACATACTGGGAGCCAGTGTAGTTCTTTCAGGACTGGTATTATATGGTCTCTTGTAGTTTCCGGATCACCTTCAAAGGTATCCCCAAGTAGAGCGCATTGCAGTAGTCCAAACAGGAGATAACTAGAGCATGCACCACTTTGGCAAGACTGAATTTGGGACTGGAGAAATTAGAAACCAAGAGAATCTGAAATTGACAGGTTTGCACAGCCCCATTCAGGACAGCATTTCAACAGCATACACAGGGAAATGTTTTGATTCCTCACTCCATCTGAGTCTAGCTGGTTCTTTGCTTTCTCTCTTCAGGAATTAAAAGTGGCGATCGGCAGCATAGGATGGGGCACGGGGACTTCAGTGTGTGTGAAGTCTTGGAGCACCCTCTTGTGGAGAATGTAGATACCAAATCTCATGCAGCAACCGGTTTATAAAACTAATGAAAGGTGGGAAAGGAGCAGGTGCCATTCCCCGCCTCCCCATAATCCTAGCCGCCCCCCCAGCACACAAATCAAGGGACTTGTCCAGTTAAAACAATGTCAGATGGAAGACCTTCCCACAGCACACAATTCATATTCTATGTACCAATAGCAAAACGTGTATATTCTGATGTAGCTAAAACAGCCCAACCTGTCCTCAAGGGGGAGAGGAACTTTGGAGAAACTCCCAAGCTTTGCATAAGTCTTTTGGGGGAGGGAAACCCTACGGTGGGGGAGGTTTAGAAACCCCAAAACACCCCACTGGCGCCCTAGCATGCCCAGGGGACATGGGATGCAACTGATTGTTGGGTAAGGGACATAATGGAACTAAGTGGAACGGAGTGTCCAGGAAAGGGTATGACTGGCCTGGCTGGAACCCTGACCTGGAGCGCTCTTAGGGATGGGAGGGGAATTGGAGTCACTTCACATTTAAAAGCAAGCTTGTACTTTCTGAAATGTGGACCGAAACCTAGCCGTCCTTTGAAATTTGCAGTTCTCTGAATTTTGCAATTCAAAAAGTCACGCAGCACAAAAATGCCCCATCATAGTGTGCATATTAAGGCACAGGTGAGCATCAAGGTTGTTCCAAAATGCATTATGTTGAGGGAAATCGCCTTGCAAAAATGTGTCTGTGAGGGAAAGGTGCATATGAAACGTGTACATGCAAGGGAAATTTTTCACTAAAATGCTGGTGAATTTTCGTGAGGACTTCTTAATGGAAAACGCTAGCTGTTGTGGAAATGTAGAGAGCAGAATTTAAGGTGGGAAAGATTGGAAACGGAGTGAAATTCGACATCTTCGTCCATCTGTTACATTAGGAAGTTGTTACATCAGGAAGTTGTAGCAGAGGCTGGTCCATTAGGGTGAACGGGGGCACTGCCCCACCATTCTCAGCCACCCTCAGCCAACCCCCTACTTGCCTGCCTCCCTGTGTACAACCTTCCGTCGGCTCTAGCGCCACCTGCTGTCAGCCTCCTGCCTTGCAGCCCTGCCAGCCTCAAGCTGAGAATCTGCCTTCACTTCCCCGGCAAAGACAGATTCCGAAGAGGCACCTCCGAGACGTTGGAAGGCGTTATCCTGGAGGTGGAGAAGGCATCCGTGGCAGGGGAGGAGCAGATGCCCGAAAAGGCGCTCTCGAAGGCTTTCCGGAAGGATCTCATGCGGAAGACGTAGATGACCGGGTTGATGGCGGAGTTGGCATGGGAGAGGATGATGGAGGCCAGGATGAGTTGGTTCGGGATGGGGCAGCTGGGGCAGAGCAGCATGACCGTGTTGAGAATGTGGACCGGGAGCCAGCAGACGGTGAAGAAAAAGAGGATGATGAACAGCGATGTGGCTGTCTGCAGCTCTTTGCGGACAATCATGCGGCGCCTCTCCTGGGCGCTGACGTCCACTTCTCCCTCGGCCACCTTGCGGATTTGCTGCTTGACCTCTAGGAAGATGCGCCCGTATAGGACCATCATGACCAGCAGAGGAGCCAGCATGCAAGCCATGAAGTTGAAGTAGACCATGTAGGTGTTTGTGATGATGTCGTTGAAGAGGCACTCCCCGCTGGCCGGCAAGGGCTTGTGCCAGCCCATCATGGGCAGTAGGCCGATCAGAAGAGCCAGCACCCAGGACGCCAAGATCACCAGGAGGGCATTGAGGGGGCTCATCCAGGATTTGTACTGGAAAGGCTTGAGGATGGAGATGTACCTCTCGACGGCGATGGCCAGCAGCCCGAAGACGGAGGCTTGCGTCAACACCAGCAGCATGCACAACATCAGGAGGCAGAGCTGCGACCGGTAGCGGGGCAAACCCAGGTTGGTAAATTGGGCAAAAGGGATGACCACCGCCCCAACCAAGACGTCTGCCACGGCCAGCGAGACGAGGAAGTAGTTTGTGACGACAGCCCGCAGCTTCCGGCTCTGTAGGACGACGGCGCAGATGAAGACGTTGCCCACGATGGAGAACAGCGCGATCAGGCTCTCGCTCAGCAAGTAGGGGACGTCCAGGGCCGGAGGCGACGTGGTGTTCACGGCTTGGAGGGGCTGCTGCTGCATGGAGGGCGAATGGTCATAGGCAGCCATTATGGAGCAGCAGCCATGTTGACGCTGTTAGGGAAAAGCTCTCCAGACTCCACAGGTTGCTGGGCCCTTGTGAGTCCTGAGGAAGCCCAGGAGTCTGTGAAATGGGGCAGGGAAGGAGGAAGAGTTCAGTCAATTTATAAATAGGTATTGCATACCCTCCAACATTTTACTGAGGAAAATAGGGACATCCTATCCAATAATAAAAAGGGACACGGGTGGCTCTGTGGGTTAAACCACAGAGCCTAGGGCTTGCCGATCAGAAGGTCGGCGGTTCGAATCCCTGCGACGGGGTGAGCTCCCATTGCTCGGTCCCAGCTCCGGCCAACCTAGCAGTTCGAAAGCACGTCAAAGTGCAAGTAGATAAATAGGTACCGCTCCGGCAGGAAGGTAAACGGCGTTTCCGTGCGCTGCTCTGGTTCGCCAGAAGCGGCTTAGTCATGCTGGCCACATGACCCGGAAGCTGTACGCCGGCTCCCTCGGCCAGTAAAGCGAGATGAGCACCACACCCCCAGAGTCGTCTGCTACTGGATCTAATGGTCAGGGGTCCCTTTACATTTACCTATCCAATAATAATAATAATAATAATAATAATAATAATAATAATACAGTGGTACTTCGGGGTAAGAACTTAATTCGTTCTGGAGGTCCATTCTTAACCTGAAACTGTTCTTAACCTGAGATGCCACTTTAGCTAATGGGGCCTCCCACTGCCGCCGCGCCGCCAGAGCACGATTTCTGCTCTCATCCTGAGGCAAAGTTCTTAACCCGAAGTACTATTTCTGGGTTCGTGGAGTCTGTAACCTGAAGCATCTGTAACTTGAAGTGTCTGTAACCCGAGGTACCACTTTACAGTGTACGCATTTCTGTAGACAGAGCTGCACTTTGTACTTTTTTCTCTGCAAGGTAGAACTGCTATCAAACCACCACAGGTCTAGGATTGGTGTTGTGCATGGGTAGTCAAAATAAGGCCCGGGGGCCAGATCCGGCCCAACCGCCTTCTAAATCCGGCCCACGGACAGTCTGGGAATCAGCGTGTTTTTACATGAGTAGAATATGAGTAGAAAACATTTGGCTTCTGAGATGCTCGAAAACCGAGGTTCAAATGTAATAAATAATAATAATAATAATAATAATAATATTTATACACTGCCCTTCTGACTGGGTTGCCCCAGCCACTCTGGGCGTCTTCCAACATATATAAAAAGACAATCAAATATTAACATTTTAAAAACTCCCCTATACAGGGCATGTTCAGATGTCTGGTAAAGGTTGCATAGTTACTTATCTCCTTGGCTCGGGGATCGCATAACTCCATACCCTCCAACATTTCTCTGATGAAAATAGGGACATCCTAAGGAAAAGTGGGACATTTTGGAATCAAATCAGAAACCGGGACGGCTTCTGTAAATACGGCACTGTCCTTGGAAAATAGGGGAACTTGGAGGGTCTACATATACTACATATTTTGAAAGCTGTTCATGTTTCCTATGCATTTGAACACCCCTTAAGAGACCATAATCAAGTTTTGCATGTTGGTTCTTGAGATCGAGAAGGAGGTTTGTCCTCTATGTTTTGGTGCCATTGTTAATCGATGTGGTGCTGGGCTGAACCTTTCAGAACCGCACTGATTTTTCACAATGCACTGATTTTGTTGGTTTATCAGCATTCCTGAGCAATGCCAGGTACTATATATTAGGGGCGCCTCTCAAGATATTGTAACCAAGTTTTTCATGATGGTTCCTGAGGTCAAATAGCAGGTTTCTGTCTCTGCCTGGATACTGTTGGACACCATATCAAATCAAGATGGCAGCCGGAACCTTTCAAAACTGCAATGGTTTTTTTGTTTCTTTCTTTCTTAGAACTCTTGAGCGACACCAGGAATGAGGCATGTTATTATTTACTTATTATATATTACTATCTGCCCTTCGTCAGAAGGTCTCAGGCTGGGTTACATTAATATAAAACACAACCTTTAAAACAGTTTACTTGCACTGACTGACCAAAACTTCTCTGATAAACCAGGACTCTGTTTTGCACCGAAGGCACCTTAAAACTAGAGTCTTTGCGGCTGATTATTCCGCTTCCACTCAGAAATTGCTTACAAATATATGACAGCGTTCCCAGATTTCATCCTTTTTCTGTACCTGTGGTTTTCCAGACTCTCCTCATTCAGGGAATGGCACCCTTTCCACATGGACTCATCTGCTGGGCGAGGTGTGAGAGAGATAGAGAATCTGCTCAGTGAAGAGGATTTAGGGGGAATGTTCTGCACCCTCAATTCATGCCAGGCACTGATCATGGCATCATTGCTCCCCCAAAAATGCACCTCAAATGCTCTAGCAAGCAGAAAATTGCTAGTGGCCGACAAACATTATCACTGCCATTATTTATCTTCTCATTAAGGAAGCTGATACGTTTCCAGGAAACCCAAGGGGGTCCTGTCTGAAGAACACAGAAACTTGGAAAGATGTTTGGTAGCCGAAGAATTGATGCTTTTGAATTCTGGTGCTGGAGGAGACTCTTGAGAGTCCCATGGACTGCAAGAAGATCAAACCTCTCCATTCTGAAGGAAATCAGCCCTGAGTGCTCACTGGAAGGACAGATCCTGAAGCTGAGGCTCCAATACTTTGGTCACTTCATGAGGAGAGAAGACTCCCTGGAAAAGACCCTGATGTTGGGAAAGATGGAGGGCACAAGGAGAAGGGGACGACAGAGGACGAGATGGTTGGATAGTGTTCTCAAAGCTACCAGCATGAGTTTGACCAAACTGTGGGAGGCAGTGGAAGACAGGAGTGCCTGGCATTCTCTGGTCCATGGGGTCACAAAGAGTCGGACACGACTAAACGACTAAACAACAACAACAATAGCACATTGAAAGTAGCAACCATGGATCTCACAGCTCTTTCCCAAGCATTGGCTGTGAAACCCTGTCCCACCAAAACTGCCTCGTGACCAGAGCCACATTCACACCATAAGTTTAGAGTGCTACGATACCACTTTAAATGGTCATGGCTTCCCCCAAGGAATTATGGGATGTGTAGTTTATTAAGGGTGCTGAGAGTTGTCAGGTGGCAATAGTTCCCAGAGTGGTTTAACAGGCAGTTCTTCTTCCCATGGGGCTCTGGGAGTTGTAGCTCTGTGAGAGGAAGAGATGCCTCTTAAGAGAGATGGGCGATATCTGGTTTTCAACATCGCAGTAAATACTGATATATCACAATGTCCGAAAGAAGGATGGAGCTATGCAGAGGCACTGGCTGGCTTCATGTTTTTCCCCGCTTGGTGATTTTTGCACAGCGCCAACACAAACACACACCACGATTCACAGCATACTGCCAGGTCAAAAACTAGGAAACCAATATCATGGTATGAACCATAGCTGTCAACCGTCCCTTATTTGGCGGGAAACTCCCTTATCCCAGCGCCATGTCCCGCTGCTATCCCTTATTGTTGATGTCCCTTAAATTTCCCGGGTTTCAAAGGAAGCAGCTCCTCTCCCTCCCTCCCTGACAGCCAGGGAGGAGGGAGGCTCCAACTATGTTGCTTGGCTGCATTGCTCACCCAATAAGGAGTCTAAGAACGACTGGGGGGTGGAGCTTGCATGCCTTGTGCTGATCAAATTGGCTGCATTGCCTGGGGACTTGCCTTTGCTCAGCGCTTCCCAGCGGAGAGGTGACGGTGGTTTTCCTTGAGGCTTTGTTTGGCTGCTGGCTGGGCTTTCTGCCTTTGGCTCGGAGGGACTCAAAGTTGAACATACCTGTGCCCGGAAAATCCCTTATTTTGGCTGCTGATCCCTTATTTTTGAGGCTGCTGGTCCCTTATTTTCAAATCTGTAAATTGACAGCTATGGTATGAACTCGAAACCGGTTTTGGATGATATATTGATACAGTGGTACCTCTGGAGCGCTGGTCGGATCCTAAGGTGTGTGTATCCAGAGGTGTCGTTTCTGCGCATGAGTGCGGTGCAATTTAGCGCTTCTGCGCATGCGGCAAAACCCGGAAAAATACTTCCGGGTTTGCTGTCCACATATCCCGAAGGATACGTAACCGGAGGTGAACATAAGTAGAGGTACCACTGTATATCGCCCAGCCCTACCTCCTAACAAGTCTCAACATCCTTAATGAACAAAAGCTCCTAGGATTCTTTGGGGGAAACTCGTGCATGTTTACAGCGCTGTGGTCTAAAGCACTGAGCCTCTTGGGCTTACCGATCAGAAGGTCGGCGGTTCGAATCCCTGCACCGGGGTGAGCTCCCGTTGCTCGGTCCCTGCTCCTGCCGACCTAGCAGTTCAAAAGGACGCCAAAAAGTGCAAGCAGATAAATAGGTACCGCTCCGGTGGGAAGGTAAACAGCGTTTCAATGCACTGCTCTGGTTTCGCCAGAAGCAGCTTAGTCATGCTGGCCACATGACCCGGAAAAACTGTCTGTGGACAAACGCCAGCTCCCTCGGCCTGTAAAGAGAGATGAGCGGCGCAACCCCAGAGTCATCTGCGACTGGACTTAGCAGTCAGGGGTCCCTTTAGCTTTTTAGTGCTTTAAATGGGTGGCATGAAAGCGTCCCAGCTCAGCCCGTTTGTCCTTCTGCCTCTGTTTTGTCTACGCTGACTAGCCAGCGACACACAACTTATTTGTCAAGGGTCAGATGGCTTCCTCCCAGGTTTCAGGACCGTTCTTTCCCATACTTCCTCCAAATATATAGAATCATAGAACTGTAGAGTTGGAAGGGACCCTGAACATCATCTAGACCAACCCCCTGCCATGCAGACGGCCCATACGGGGTTCGAACCTGCAACCATGGCGTTATCAGCATCATTATCTAACCAACTATCTCCAGCTTCAATCTGACGCAAATATTTTTGCCAATCACTCTTAAGACGTAAGAGGAGGACACACACACAACCCCAAACCCAAACTAAATATTAGTTATGTATTTCACAAAAAAATCCGGGGCACAGATTTTCGCTCGAAAAGGAGGTAGTTGGATGTTCTGGGTTTTCCCCAGCATTTGGGTGGAAGGGAATTTGTGGGGAGTAAAATAAGTTGCATTTCCAAAGCCTGCTTCAAGGCACAACCACCAGTCCTCGCATTCCCCCGCCCTCAGTGTGTTGCCAGGTGTTTGGGGCAAAGGCCCATGGCACAAGTTGGCACAATAGTTCCATATGCTAATTTGTATGTCAGGCTGCCTGTTGGAAATGAAAGGGGTGGCCGGCCGATCTCCCGCCTGCAATGCCCTTTGCGATGCACGCAGCTGCTTTTCCCGCAGAGTAAAAATAATATTTTTTAAAGGGCACCCCCCCCAAGACCACCCTTTAACCCTTGCCTCTCCCCCCACCGTTTACCCGGCCACACTTTTAATTAACAGCTTCCCCTCACTGTTTGCTAACTCCTCCGCACCGACGATGATCTCTGGGTCCAGCACCAAAAAGTACAAATTGGGCAACATTATTTTTAGTTTCCCAAGCGTTAAAGAGGCCAAGCTAGGAGTGATAAAGGGGGAATTTAGACCTCCGGGCAGTTGAGATAGCACAGCCTAGTTCAGGTCTTAATACGGGGTCAGCAAACTTTTTCAGCAGGGGGCCGGTCCACTGTCCCTCAGACCTTGTTGGGGGCCGGACTATATTTTTTTGGGGGGGAAATGAACGAATTCCTATGCCCCACAAATATCCCAGGGATGCATTTTAAATAAAAGCACATATTCTACTCATGTAAAAACACCAGGCAGGCCCCACAAATAACCCAGAGATGCATTTTAAATAAAAAGGCACATTCTACTCATGTAAAAACACACCGATTCCCAGACCGTCCGCAGGCCGGATTTAGAAGGCGATTGGTCCGGATCCGGCCCCCGGGTCTTAGTTTGCCTACCCATGTCTTAAAAGTTTTCTTCCTTGTTTCATTGATGAAGAAGCAAAAGGGATCTCTGACTCACCCACAGATCTCTGTCCCTGGACCGGCTGCTATTGAAAAGATCAAGATTGGGGTGGGGTGGCTCACAGCCCACCCCCAAAGCGTTTCCACAACCTGTGCTGCCTGTTCCGTCTGCGTCTTTGTCCTTTTTTTCGTGGCGCTCGTGTTGTGATGATTACAAAAGTCAGATCTGATAAGTGGCGGTTGGCATACAAAAGCACCTGTATTTTCCACGGAAAGGGATGGGCAGGCGGCTGGGCAGCCTGGCTCCGTGGCAGAACATCTGCTTTGCATGCAGAAGGTTCCAGGTTCAATCCCCGGGTTCTCCAGGGATCCGGCGGATCTGTCAGTCCCGGGTTCCCGCTGTTGCTCGTTTCCCCCCAACTCTTCCATGCAGTTCTTTGTGATTCTGCAAATCCGGAGGGGAGTCCCTAAGGCGGTGGGATGGCGCCTCGTATCATCATCATTTTTAATTTGTATACCGTCTTTCTATCTTACAATACTCAAGGCGGTTTACAAGCCGAAGGAACAAAAAATGTACATCTTATAACAATCTAATGCAATACAAAAATGTGATAATAAAACCTAACTTTAAAATAGGCAACCTGCATCAAAAAGTAACATTCAACAATCATTAAAGGTAAAGGTAAAGGGACCCCTGACCATTAGGTCCAGTCGTGGCCGACTCTGGGGTTGCGGCACTCATCTCGCTTTATTGGCCGAGGAAGCCGGCGTACAGCTTCCGGGTCATGTGGCCAGCATGACTAAGCTGCTTCTGGCGAACCAGAGCAGCGCACGGAAACGCCATTTACCTTCCCGCCGGAGCGGTACCTATTTATCTACTTGCACTGGCGTGCTTTCGAACTGCTAGGTTGGCAGGAGCTGGGACCGAGCAACGGGAGCTCACCCCGTCGCGGGGATTCGAATCGCTGACCTTCTGATCGGCAAGTCCTAGGCTCTGTGGTTTAACCCACAGCGCCACCCGAATCCCTCAACAATCATTAGACTAGTATAAAATAATAATATCAACATATAAAAGTTAAACAGAAATCCACTCAACAGTTACAATAAATAATATCTAAACTATAATCAATAAAACAACGGCAAGCCACAGTACATAAAACAATACAATACACATTGAGAAGAAGAGACTAGAGGGTAGAGCAAGGCAGGTGGAAAGAGACCTTGCCTGATGGAGTCTCTCCCCTCACAGTTCTTCCTCCTTCCGGTAACTACGACAGCCAAGCTCGGGCCAGACGTCTTGCTCTGCTTCCCTTTGAACCACAGCAGCAAGGCTGAGCAGGGGGATCCTGTCGTTTGGGCAGCCCAGGCTTGCACCCCAGCAGTGATGCTCATACAGTGGTTTGACTTCACCGCCACTGGCAGCTAGACTGATGACTGGGAGCAACCGCCGAGACCACATAACACCTGTCTTGAAAGACTCCTAGTAAGTTTCCGGGCACAATTCAAAGTGTTGGCGCTGACCTTTAAAGCCCTCAACGGCCTCAAAGGCCCAGTATACCTGAAGGAGCGTCTCCACCCCCATCGTTCTGCCTGGACACTGAGGTCCAGCTCTGAGGGCCTTCTGGCGGTTCCCTCACTGTGAGAAGCCAAGTTACAGGGAACCAGGCAGAGGGCCTTCTTGGTGGTGGCACCTGCCCTGTGGAACGCCCTCCCACCAGATGTCAAGTAAATAAACAACTATCTGATTTTTAGAAGACATCTGAAGGCAGCCCTGTTTAGGGAAGCTTTTAATGTTTAATAGATTCTTGTATTTTAATATTTTGTTGGAAGCTGCCTAGAGATAATTTCGTCAGGCATCACAGTGGGCACCGCAGAAGAGGAGAATCGCCCGCTTTTTCTTCTTCCGGGGCTCTCTTGCCTTAAGCAGCGGCCGCGCACAATGAGTGAACAGATCAACCTTTTCTCCTTGCAGGGAGATCTAATGAAAGGTAAATCATCACCTGCAAAAAAAAAGAGAGAGAAAGTCTCGTTTGCTGGCTCTACCTAGGTTTTAGCAGCACAGGAGCCCTGCAAGATATAAAGAGTTGGCCACACCTAGCACGGCGCCTGTGCCGAATTAGGAACAGCACGTCAGTTTATTCTCTGCATCTGGGTCAGCAAACAAGTCTCCACTAATTTGCTTTATTTTTAAAGTTATTTACTTTTACGTCAAACGAGCCTATAAATCTCTTATCTGGGACCATGTCTGATGTAGAAGAAAAGGGGGGGGGCACCCGAACCATTGTGAGAGGTCTTTTATCAAATGGACGGCTCATTAAACTCGTTACGCTTCTAAAAGTGATGAAGAGAGCCGAGAACAGCTGTGGATACAGTCTGGATAAATAAATACACATTAATAGGAGGTGGGAGCCCGGCCTGATTTCATGTCTGCAAAAGGGGAACATCGGTGGGTTTCTGTGAGGAAACATAGAGGATTGGGTTTGTTTCTCTCTTGCTCTCTCTCTCGGTTGCGTAATCTATGTTCTGGGAAAACTGTGTTTTGTATTGCCTTGGTGATAAACATAAATATTGATTGAATGAAACCTTGCACATTATGTGAGGGGGTCAGGATGTTAAATGAAATTCAAAGGAGCGCAAGATGGCAGAGAGGCATAATCTCTCACCATAGTGCCTTTTATTCCTGGACTTGCTATAATAATGATTTTTATAATAATTTTATTATTCCTACTCTGCCCATCTCGGCTATCATCACAATCATCATAAATTTACTGCATTTATATCCAACTTTTACTGCAAGGAGCTCAAGGTGGCTGGCAGGCATGTCTCTCCCCCTCCTCATTTCATGCCCACAACAGCCCTGTGAGGTAGGTTAGGCTGAGATGTAGGCCCAAGGCCATCCAATGAGCTGCATGGCCAAGCGGGGATTCGAACCCTGCTCTCCCAGGTCCTAGTCCGGCACTCTAACCACTGTGCCACACAGCCTTATAAATTTCCACCTCACCGTTTAGCTCAAAGAATTCTCAAGATGTCGATGGAGGAAGACTGGAAGAAATTCAAAGACTATCTTCAGAAACATTGCAAAATTAAGGAATGTTAAAGTGATGTTGGACTGAAAATAAGTGGTTTCCAGCTGCACAGGTTAAAGTCAATGATAGATTAAGATTAAAGATCAAGATTAAAGATGTTTAAAGAAATGGAAATTTGATATTAAAAGGGAAAATTTAAACGTTATATGATATTAAGATCAAGGATTAGGTTTAAAGAAGTGGAAGTTATATATTTTAACATTTTATTAAATTAAAGATTGGGATTAAAAGTGGAAAAGAAACTGCTGGACAAATAATTTGGATTGGAATACAAAAGAGGGAGGTATGAGGAAGTCCAGAAAATAAGTAATCTAAAAATGGAAATGGAAAAGAGAGTTTGTTTTTAATTGTTATGTTTTTGGTTTGTTTTTTTTATTGTTGAGTTTTGTATTACTTTTTGTGTGTGTTTTCTTTGTTGTTTAAAACTTTAATAAAAATTATTAAAAAAAAAAAGAATTCTCAAGATGGCAGAGATGTAGACAGATAAATGTTTTATTTTTTATTTTTTTATTGAATTTATATACCGCCCTATACCTGGAGGTCTCAGGGCAGCTCATAGAACAAAAACAAAATATAAAGCCACAAAATATAGAATCAAATATAAAAACAACAACCCAATAGGAAGGCTTTTGTTGTTATGGACTGCTGTATGTGCTTGCCTGTTCAATTTTAAACTGTGTTTGTCTATTATTTTCTATTAGTCTGAGTCTTCTTTCTCTCCAAGGTGGAATGCAAACCGATCAGTTAGATAATGCGGGTTCTTTAGTTTGGATGTTTGGAAGCTGTGGCTGGATGGTTACGTGGGAGCCGGTTGAAGCTAAATCCTTCGAAGACAGAGGTCCTGTGGCTGGGACGGGGCGATATGGGATTGGGGGGGCAACTCCCATCTCTTGCGGGGGCGCAATTAGTGCCAGCACCGTCCGTTAAGAGTTTGGGTGTAATCTTCGACACCTCCCTTTCCATGGAGGCGCAGATTGCAGCTATAACAAAGGCGGCATTTTTCCATCTCTGCCAAGCTAAGCAGTTGGCTCCTTACCTCTCTCGCCCTGACCCAGCCACTGTGATCCACGCGACGGTCACCTCCAGGCTTGATTATTGTAACTCGCTCTACGTGGGGCTGCCCTTGAGACTGACCCAGAAACTCCAGCGGGTGCAGAATGCCGCGGCCAATACGCCTTATGGGGTTCTCGCCGCAGGATCACGTTCACCCGGTGCTATACCAGCTGCACTGATTCCTGGTGGAGTACAGGATCAGGTTTAAGGTGCTGGTTTTAACCTTTAAAGCCCTATACTGCCTAGGACCCTCGTACCTACGGGACCGCCTCTCCTGGTATGCCCCACAGAGAAACTTACAGTCTTCAAATAAAAACATCTTGAAGGTCCCAGGCCACAGAGAAGTTAGGCTGGCCTCAACTAGAGCCAGGGCTTTTTCGGCTGTGGCCCCGATCTGGTGGAACACTCTGTCACAAGAGACTAGGGCCCTGCGGGACTTGACATCTTTCCGCAGGGCCTGCAAGACAGAGCTGTTCCACCAGGCCTTTGGCCAGGGCACAGCCTGACTCCCTCCCTCGGCAATCTTCGTGGAGCTCTGGCCCAATGGTTGTCAGTGGCTTGAATTAATTAATTTTATAATGAATGATTTTAGAGTGTTGTTTATGCTGTACTTTTGTATTTTTTTATTGTTGTTAGCCGCCCTGAGCCCCGCTTCGGCTGGGGAGGGCGGGATATAAATAAATTATTAATTATTATTATTATTATTATTCTTTACTAAGTCTTCATTCTGATTTGCTTGCAGGAAGGTTAGACGATGCTGTGTCAAAGCAAGCATCGTCCCACACTTTCCAGTGCATTTCCAGGGGGCCGCATTCTGTTCTGGGCAATGTTTCAGGGGCCGCATCCTGGTGGTGGGCGGAGCCAGCATCAAACACAAGCAGAAGAGCAATTCAATGTTAAACATCGCCTTTGTACATGGGTAGGCAAACTAAGGCCCGGGGGCCGAATCCGGACCAATCGCCTTCTAAATCTGGCCCGTGGACGATCTGGGAATCATCGTGTTTTTACATGAGTGGAATGTGTCCTTTTATTTAAAATGCATCTCTGGGTTATTTGTGGGGCATAGGAATTCGTTCATTTTTTTTTCCAAAATATAGTCCGGCCCCCCACAAGGTCTGAGGGACAGTGGACCGGCCCCCTGCTGAAAAAGTTTGCTGATCCCTGCCTCTGTTCCTGCAGATATTCACCCCCCACCCCCCTTGATCTCTACCCTCTATGCAGGCCCAAAACCAAAGTTTTAGGACACATTTCAGCCAGGCAGAAGCAGGGGAGACAAAGACTGTGGGAGATAAGAGTCCGGAGGGCCAGCATGCAAGGCATGGAGGGCCGCATCCGGGCTGTGGGCCTGAGGATCCCCAATCCTCTTAAAACACAAATAAACATTGTAAAAGACAGGGATAAATGGATCTGAAATGAAAAAAGCGGGGGGGGGCAGAGAAGTCTTCGCTGGCCTGGTGCCCTCTGGATGTTTTGGACTACAACTCCCATCAGCCCCAGCGATGGGAATGCTGGGGGCTGATGGGAGTTGTAGTCCAAAACATCCAGAGGCCACCAGGTTGGCAGAAGCCAAAGGAAAGCTTTCACAGGACAGATACCACCTTGCCAAATGCATAAATAGTTGTCTCTCCCCAGGAATATAGGGAAAATGGCTATATTTTCCCCTTCGAATGCCCACATTTAAAGAGTCCCGCTTATCTTGCCTCTGGCACTCACTGAAAATTGTAAGGTTACTTACTAAATAAATAGGAATATGTTAACAGCAACAGCCTCTAAAGGGGCCTGTTTCTTTGATTCTGGAAGCAAACTGATGAAAAACTGGTGGATGCCACACGGCTGCATTTGCGCAAATCATTTTCCCTGAAGGCCAGAGGGCCTGGGATGTAATGTCGGCTTTAGGAACATTTTATCCCCGCTGCCTCGGCCCAGATTAACGGAGTAGCTAAACACTCTCCAGATAAGGTGGGCCTCACATCTGCTAGCTTTCCCAGAGAAGCGTGTGCCAGAAAGAAAAATAATTAAATGGGTGTGTCCTGCTTCGATGTAATTCAGATTAACCTTTCCTGTCAGTAGCTGTTTTAAGGAGGATGCATTGGGGCTTTTCCCCACATCCCTCCAAGCAAACAGCCCCAATTTCCACAGCCCCTGTCAATCTCACTTCTCTAGGGGCAACTGATGGTGGGAGAGGGCAACTGAGACTCCTCAGGCAGGGCAGATTTGGCTCTGGGGCTTCCAGGCTGCTGGTCCTCACTGAATTAATAATAATAATAATAATAATAATAATAATAATAATAAATAAAAATTTATTTATATCCCATCCTTCCCAGCTGAAGCCAGGCTCAGAGCGGCTAACAACAGTCAAATACCACAACATTCTAAAATCATTTCATTATAAAATCAGTTATAATAAAATTACTATCACGGTCCCACAGTATGAAATATCAGGAACCCTATGACCAGCAGGTGAGGCCTTCTTGGTGCTCCTGCCTCCAGTGGGGGACTGATCGGTTGGTGTGTTGAGCTGTGATGGGGCCTTCTCAGTGGTGGTTCCCCATTCGTTGAATTTCCTCTGTGGCGAAGTGCGCCTGCCATTTTCATTGACGATTTTCATGGGGAATTTGGGAACATCCCTGTTCACTCAAGCATTGGGTGGCTTGGAGATAATGTTCCTGGCAACCCTGAAACCAGTGGTTGAGAAAACGTGATGATTTTTATCTGAGTTTCCCGTGTTGCAGGGGGTTGGACTAGATGACCCTTGGGGTCCCTTCCAGCTCTACAATGCTATGATTTTATGATTAGTAGTATATATTTATTTAAACCCCGCCTTTCTCCTTGACAGCATCTCAAACCAACTAACAGATAAAAATAGGAACAGCTAAAGTATGTTGGGGGTAATTGTTACAAAAACGATTAAACATTAAAAGAATTAAAACTAACTCTTCATCTAATATATTAAAACCCTACAAACCAGCACAACACCAGCCCTTTCATTAAAAGCAGTCAGTTCCCCAAAGCCTGCTGGAATAAGAAAGTATTTACCTGCTGGCAGAAGGACAGCAAGGAGGGAGCCAGTCTAACTTCCTGAGGAAGAGAGTTCCAAAGTCTGGGAGCAGCCACCAAGAAGGCCCTGTCCCATCTCCCCACCAAGTGTGCCTGTCAGGGTGGCGGGACTGAGAGAAGGGCCTCCCCTAAAGATCTTGTACGAGGGGATGCCATCTTTGTTATTGATAGGTTATTGATAGGTTTGCTGCTTGGACTGCTTTGGGAGGAGGGTAGCTTGTAAATTCTATTGTTGTTAACTACAGAGATTTTTTAAATACTGGATAGAATCTGTATATCTGCACTTTCCAGAAGCAGGCTGAATAATTTTTTCCGAGCTGGGAAATGGATCTTTACCGCAAACATCCAATTGTTAGGGTTTTAGCCCTGTTTTAAACGTATGTGTTGTTGTTTTTTGCACTTTAAACGGGTTTTTAATTATCCTATATTGTGTGTGAACCCCCTTGAGACGGTGGTTTGGCAGGTGATTAATAAAACGATAATCGTCACACCCACTAGGATTTGTATTTTCTTTCTTTCTTTCTTTCTTTCTTTCTTTCTTTCTTGGGATTTGTGTGTGGAGACAAGCATATGAGGCAACATGTGAAGCTTTTCCCTAGCGATAAAAAGGGAGCAACAGGCTTCGGCTGTCGCGCCACAAGGCACAGCAACAAGACCGGCGTCCTTTCAAAAAATAAAGAAATAAAGAAGCTGCCAGCCTGGCTTGTTCTCACTTGCTCCAGCGAGTGAGGGCAAAGGGAAGCGCTTCCGTTGCCTTCAGCGGAGGCAACTGGGCATGCGTCAGAGGCCGGCGCATGCTCTGTGGCGCTCACTGAGGGCGGGGTTTTTTTTGAAGGGAAGCTTCCCTCCCTCTGCCCCCTCCTCGATTTGTAAAGCTTCCCCACGCGCTCCGCCTCCTCCCGTCGAGCTCACCAATCAGAACGTCCGCCTCGCCGTTCCGCAGGCCCCGCCCCTTCCCTCTCGGGAAATGCCGCCGCTGGCATTTGGGTCTCGCGCTCTGTCTCTCTCGTGCGCGTGCGCTCTCTCTCCTGCCCTGCGCTGAATTTCGCGCGCTTTCCCCTCCCCCTCCCAGCCCCGCCTTCCCTTTGCTTGGTTGTGAGCGAAGGTATCCCTGAGGGGACAGATTGGAGAGGGGGCTTTTTTTGTGGGATGGGGGTGGGTGGAATATTCTGCCCGCTCTTCACCTCACTTTACGCCTTTGATTAATACCACCATCACTGGAGAGATTTAGATTCTCCTCAGTAACTTCTCTTCTCCCTCAAACTCCCACCTTAACTTCGCAATTCAATATAACCCGCTTTTTTTTAGTTCCTAACCCCACCCCTCACATTACGTTTTTGAAACACGGCCCCCAAGGCACACACCCCATAATTTCCCCCGCTCTGTGTCTCAGGATGGGTCTTGCTAATCCCATATATTTTAATTTTTCTTCAAAGGTCAAATGTGGATATCAAATACTGAAATGTCATCAGTGCGCATGCAACCTCAATTTCATGGAAGAGGCCCCCACCTCAATTAATCCCCAGATCCCCTCTCTCCATTCGACCCAAAATCTTGAGGATTTCATTGCCGCGTTAAAAACTTACAGGGACATCTCTGCCCCACATGGCACCCAATGGAAGTTGCTGCTACAGATGATATACTGAAGCCCTTCTAGACCTCTAGTCATCTTTATCCATCTGAGCCTCGATCCATCTTTCACCCAAACGTGTTTTTGGGGACCCACTTCTTGTTTTGCTATACATTTATATGGTGGTAGTGCTGCTGTCGTGAGCCATCTTAAATCAGGTCTTGATTCAATAAATAACAACAACAACAGACCCATCAGTGGTAGACCATTGCTACCTCTGGCAGATCCCTTCCCATTGCCACCCCATAGATGATGCCAACACACTGTCAGAATTTACCTGCCCCCAAATTTCAGCTAAGTGACCCTTGATATCCCATTGTGAGCCAGGGAGCCTCTCATCATTTCCCTCAATTAAAAGTCTCCCTAAACAGGGCTGCCTTCAGATGTCTTCTAAAAACCCGCAGTTCGTGAAAGTTCCTCTCTTATTTTCATTTTTCTGTCTTTCCCTTTTATAATTTAGTTCCCCCCAGAATATATTACATTGTCAATTTTTCTTCCCCAGAACCTAAAATGGAAGCAAGGCAATAGCTTCCTTTTTGACCTGATAGGAGAGTTTTGATGTAGTCTTCTCTCACTAGGATCTTTGCAAGGAATACATTTTAGGTCAAGCTTGCCCAACTTATGACCAGTTTTGGGCCAGTTTTGGCACACCACCTATATATTGTAACCGGCCAAATGTTTGACAACGGTCCTCTTATCATGGCCCCCAGGCCCCTAACACATTGCTTCTCAAACATTTTGAAGTGGACCCCATCTGTAAACGTATTCAGACTTTCAGGACATGCTTGTAAAAGCTAACCCTTTCCTCCTCAACAACAGTAAATGGCAATACTGTTGCATCAGTAATTAACACTGAGCAAATTTATATTTTGCCTTTCATTAACGTTAGAATATAAAGGCTGTTTTGATAGGAGTTAAGCATTGTGCTTTGGAAGGGAGGGAGCAAGCTTGGCTCTTAAAATGGCTGCCTGACAGTGATGTTATGTTTTGGTCCAGTAAAAGAAATGGAAAAACACTTTTTGCCACCCACAGTTCGAGGTTCTTGGGCTTTTATCAGTTTTCTGGCTCACTAGTTGGGCAAGCCTGTTTTATATTGAGCAAGTGCTCTGTACAGTATTGGTTCGCCCTGCTGGAAAAGCGGCATTCTGGCTCCAGCGAATATACAGCAAATAATTTGCTTCCCAGTTCCGTTTTTCCATTCCTTGTACCCCAACCCTTTCCCCTTTCCCTGTAGATGAATTCCCACCCCCACTCTCTTCACCTCCTTTTTTCTGCATCAGGAATTAACAGTATTTCTCTCTCACACCCCTCACCTTTCTCTGTTATAGATGTGGGACCAGATTGGATGTGTTTGCTCTGAGGAGTTGCAGCCAAGCGGCAAGAATTCCCAACAGAATTCTGGTGACAGGTAAGGGGCGGGAGGAAGAAAACAGCTTGAAACCCTACATTGGGGATGGGGGACCTGTGGCGCTCAGGAGGAACTTGGGCTCTCAACTCCCATCAGCCCCAGTCAGCATAGCCAATGGTCAGGTCAGGAACAATGGGCATTGTAGTGCAACATCTGGAGGGCCGTGAGAGTCAGAATTAAAGTGCTACCTATCAATCTACAGTGGTACCTCGGGTTAAGAACTTAATTCGTTCCAGAGGTCCGTTCTTAACCTGAAACTGTTCTTAACCTGAAGCACCACTTTAGCCAATGGGGCCTCCCGCTGCCGCCGTGCCGCTGGAGCACGATTTCTGTTCTCATCCTGAAGCAAAGTTCTTAACCGAAGGTACTATTTCTGAGTTAGCGGAGTCTGTAACCTGAAGCGTATGTAATCTGAAGCGTATGTAACCCGAGGTACCACTGTATTTATTTTCTTGCAGTTACATCCCACTCTTAATTTCATCCTGGAGCCCAAAGTGGCATTTACATGCAGGGGCAGACTTTAGACTTTAGAATTTCAATGACACTTTGTGCGAGCCCAAATGTTGGCAGCCCGCCCACACCTCTCACCAGTGGTCATGGGGACTAGGCTAGTCCCCTAAATGTTCCCTGTAAATTAGAGTATTAAAGCCTGGTGCCTCCTTCCCAAAGTCCAGGAAGCTTCTGCCTGGCTTAGGGAGGGAGGCATAGTGCTCCTAGTTCCAAGAGCCAAGGAGGTAGCTGCCGGCTCCTCATTCCCAGAGCCCAGGAAGTTTATGCAGTGAGCAGACCCACACCTGCTTTGGCTTCAACGAAAGGGTGGTCTCTACACACTTCACTGGGAGTAAGTCCAATTGAATATGGGGAGTGGGGAGGTATTCTATGGAAACATATATCTAAGATAGGATTGCAGAGTTAATAATGTGTACAGTGGTACCTCAGGTTACATATGCTTCAGGTTACAGACGCTTCAGGTTACAGACTCCGCTAACCCAGAAATATTACCTTGGGTTAAGAACTTTGCTTCAGGATGAGAACAGAAATCGCGCGGCGGCAGCAGCAGGAGGCCCCATTAGCTAAAGTGGTTCTTCAGGTTAAGAACAGTTTCAGGTTAAGAACGGACCTCCGGAACGAATTAAGTTCTTAACCCGAGGCACCACTGTATCTGAAGATTGCTTTGCTCCACAGCACTATAAGCAGAACTGCCTCTACATGAATGAGATTTCGTTTTCTGCTTTGTTATCGTTTTATTCTTAGCTATTAAAAGATAGCAAGCATCAGCATTTTAAAATAATAATAAAAATTACCAACTGACTTTTGAAGAAAGTGTCTGACTCCATCCTTTAATTCTCAACAGAAGAAAATGCAATAACTATACCAGCACACTTAAAGAACTGGCTCAGATGTTGCCCATCCCTATGCGGACTAACTGCAAGAGGCTGACAAAGGTACTGTACTGCAGAATTTACCGTGTGCATTCAAAGAAGCTTTCTGATTTGTACAGTTGAAAATTGGCCCTGGCTCTTCAGAGAGTTTAATATGTGTCGCACATGGGGCCTTGTGGTGTTGCTGCGCCCACATTTTACACTGGTAGGAATTGCAAACATTCCTCTTTTTATTTCCTCTCATTTGCTTTGGATTGTCTGACTTGAAACAGAAAGAAATTCTCCTCCGGGTCCTCCACTACATTGAACATTTGCAGGCGAGCGTTGATACGGCCAGATCGGTTCTCCAGGTCCGTTGCGGAGAACAGAAAGGTAATACAGCACCAAAGGGAGGCAGAGAAGGCAGCAAAACTTAACAAGTTATGTTGCAAGTGTTCTGGATTAAGAACAAAGAAAGGTATGCGGCCACAAAAGGGTTAATTAATCGGACACAGATATCTGTCTGGGAAGGGTGGGGGAGTAATGTGAGAATGACTGCCCAAAAGGAGCTAAGGAGTGAATTGAGGCAGCCTATAATGCAAGATTGCAAATAGTCTCTCTCCTGAACTCCTGTGGTAAGAACTGCCTCCTAGTGACCAAGCAGGAAATCGTGACAGAAGTTTGCTTTTTTCTTCTGGGTTACAAATGAGCATGTGTGAGTTTATGCTTTCAGCAGAGTGTGGATTTTTCTGGTTCTAGAATTACACAGTCCATTTTTTTATATTAAAGCACCTACATAACCTAAGAACTGTACGTAAATCAAAAAATAAAGAAAACAAGCCTTGCCTTCAGACTTGCAACCTATGCAGTGGTTGAGGACCAAAGAAAGGGGACTGTAATATAGAGATAGGAAGTCAGTTTAGGGAATGATGTGATGAAAAGATGAGTTTTTGTTGGGTATTTAATGAGGAGCCAGGAAGTGCAGTGGTTGAGGACCAAAGAAAGAGGACTGTAATATAGAGATAAGAAGTCAGTTTAGGGAATGATGTGATGAAAAGATGAGTTTTTATTGGGTATTTAATGAGGAGCCAGGAAGTAAAAGATTCCAATGTAAGGGCAAAAGGGGGACACTTGAGGGATGGAAAGTGTGATTTCGGCTTTTTGGACAAAGAGTACCGGTGGAAAGATTAGAATAACGAGGGTGGAATGGGGGGAAAGGTAGAGAAATAAGTGGAAGCAAGGGAGTGAAGGCATGTTGGGCTCAGCTAATGTAGAGGATAGAAAAGTCTGAAAGACCTTTATGGACAATTATCTCTTTTATGAAAACAGGAGGGTCTGAGCAGATGGCGGCATCTGCCCTGAAGAGAGGACAAAGAGAAGCCACACCACGAGCAAAGAAAACCAAAGCTCTGGGCGTTTGCAAGAAACCTAGGAAGAGGAGACGCACTCGCAAATCAGGTTGCAGAAAGGATCCTGCAAGTGCTGCGTTCTACAACCTCTTACGTTATGTTTTTCAATCTGTTAGGCCTTTCTTTTCTCCTACCTTCACAGGACAGGCTCCCCACCAACCCATGAGGCTGATGGCAGGGGCCAGAGTGGAGCTCGGATAGGCTGCGGATTGGGTGCCATGTGCCTTTTGCTTTTGGAGTGGGGGTAATGTGGAGAAGGAGTACCTGCACTGCACGACTAAGAGGGGAAAGCAGGTTACTTGGTCTATGTGTCCAATCTCAGAGAAGGGCAGCATGTATTGGAGGGAGGGGGCTCTTGAACCAATGAAGTTTGAGGCTACAGATGGACCTGCAAGGCTTCTGAGGTTCCCTTATGTTTCTGCTCCATGTGGGCATAAGAGTCTCACATTTACTTAGCAAATGCGCCTGATGCCACAGGGCAGGTGACTGCGATAGCTGAGACTCTGCTCAATAACGTTTGTGTCACTTGTTTCTGCAGAGCGGCGAGGGGTGAGCAAAAAAGCGTGCAAGTGCCTTGCTTTGGAGACTGCGAAGGGCCCTTCCCAAGCTGACATGCGCAGAGAGGAGAGCATGTCTGCCGTGGAAGAGGTGTCTGCGCTCCTTTCGTCCTCCCAGAAGCAATCCCCTTTCTTTCCCAGCTTCCAAGTTCCAGTGTCAGAATATTACCGGCCTGCAAGCGCTCCCTTTCTGGACATCACCAAAGGTGGAGTCCCGTTCCGTGCTGCAGGGGTGGTTTCCTCGTTGTTTTCTGGGCAGTTTTTGTGTAAAGTTTTTAACAAAGAGCAAGGGCACAGTGGTAACCAAAGTGAGGCTGTTGTTGTTGTTGTTTAGTCGTTTAGTCGTGTCCGACTTTTCGTGACCCCATGGACCAGAGCACGCCAGGCACTCCTGTCTTCCACAGCCTCCCACTGTGTCCAGTATATTAAAGATTAACCTATGGGGGGCGGATCTGCAGTCCAGTTTATATCAGTTGTTTCTAAAGGAAATTCAGGTTTGGACTTTTATCAGACCTTGAAATGGAGCCCTTAACCTTGGGGAGAGGCCACCAGGAGCTGTTCTCTGCGTGCTGTTCCTAGTCGTACTTGGCTGTAATAAAACTCTCTTTCTGTAGCTCACAGAGGATGGAGTGAATGGGTTCTGCAAAGTTTCTAACAACTCTCCCCTTCCCCTCCCATTGTCACTGTTACTGGCAGACTGGAACTTGGGTCGCAGCCAAGAGGAAAGCAAGGATGGAGATGTGTTTTCTGTGTGTGCAGCGCAAGTAGCGTACGAAGAGCTGCGTCAGTATTCTGAAGAACCTGGACATTCACCAATGGGGTAGGAGCAGAGAGTGGATAATTGGCAGCTTGTAAAGTTGAGTTCCCACGAGGGAGTAGCTTGAAGCAGACCTCTGGTCTGGAACTCATTTTTGACAAAGACCTTATGTTTCGAACTGGGCAGGGGCTGGAGAGCCAAAAGTATAGGCTTTATTGGATTTCTGTATCACCCTTCATCTGAGGATCACAAGGCAATATAAAAGCACAAAAATGCATAACATAGAAACAAACAAACAACAATACCTGCCACAGTTTGTTTAATTAGCCAAAGGCCTGGGAGGAGAAGAGGAATGTTTTTGCCTGGCACTTTGCCTCTGAAATCTCCAACTATCCACCTAAACTGCTCACTCCCTTTTGGCTGTGCCTGGCCTCTTTCACAAGTGTAGAGCTGGGCGACTTCTGGTTTTCAAAATCGCAATATGTCATCAGCTAAACATTGTGATATACCAATAATATCACTATGTCTGAAATAAGGATGGAACTATGCAGAGGCAAAAAGTAGGGCTGGGCGATACCTGGTTTTCAACATCATGATATATCACTAGCTAAACATTGCAATGGGACTTGGGTGGCACTGTGGGTTAAACCACAGAGCCTAGGACTTGCCGATCAGAAGTTCAGTGGTTCGAATCCCCGCGACAGGGTGAGCTCCTGTTGCTGGGTCCCAGCTCCTGCCAACCTAGCAGTTCGAAAGCACGTCAAAGTGCAAGTAGATAAATAGGTACCGCTCCAGTGGGAAGGTAAACGGCGTTTCCGTGCGCTGCTCTGGTTCGTCAGAAGCGGCTTAGTCATGCTGGCCACATGACCCGGAAGCTGTACTCCGGCTCCCTCGGCCAATAAAGTGAGATGAGCGCCGCAACCCCAGAGTTGTCCGCGGCTGGACCTAACGGTCAGGGGTCCCTTTACCTTTAAACATTGCAATATATTGACATATCACCATGTCTGAAGTAAGGAGCTATGCAGAAGCATCAGTTGGCTTCATGGTTTGTCACACATGTGTGATTTTTGTATAACACACACACACACACACACACACACACACACACACAATTCGCAATACATTGCCAGGTCAATAATTATGAAACTGATATCACAATAATTGGACTTCAAACCAGTTTTGGATGATATATCAATATATTGCCCAGCCCTACGCAAGAGTCAGCAGGCGAGGTGCATAGAGGGTGACAGGGGTGTTATTTTATTATCATTTAATTCTTTAATTCATATCCCACCTCCAATGAGCTCAAAGTGGTGTTCATGGTTCTCCCCCTACTCATTTAATTCTCACAACAAGTGAGGTAGATTGGGCTGAGAGGCAAGGCCTGGCCCACGGTCACCCAGGGAGCTTCATGGCCAAGTGGGGATTTGAACTCTGGTCTCCTAGGCACTAGTCAGACACTCTAACCACTATGCCGCACTGGCTCTCACAAAGGGTAAAAGATCCCTTTGCCTATATCCCTCCTTGTGCAAGTCCAATTGCCTACATTACATAATATAATGGTAGAGGAGGCATTTAGGATTTGTTTGGAGGGAATGTGGGACACGTAGCAAACCCAAGGGCAGGGCTTCAGATTGAGCCCCTGTGCCACCAGTTGCTTGTCCCTAAAATAAACCAGCAACAGGGAACTTGAGCAGCACTGAAAGGTGCGCTCCGTGTGTTACTAGGACAAAAATGGAAAACAGATAAGGTACCAACGAAAGAAGAAGGGCATCTCAAACCGTTAGAATATGCGGAGTTAGCACGCATGACCACTAGAATAAGAAAATAAAATGATAAAAGATGTAAGGAGGACTGGGTATTATTTATTGATTATGTGAAAGTTTATTATAACCGGACAATTAGCCTAGCACAGGGGTCAGCAAACTTTTTCAGCAGGGGGCTGGTCCACTGTCCCTCAGACTTTGTGGGGAGCTAGACTATATTTGGGGGGGCGGGGGGGGGAATGAACGAATTCCTATGCTCCACAAATAATCCAGAGATGCATTTTAAATAAAAGCACAATTTCTACTCATGTAAAAACACGCTGATTCCCGGACCGTCTGCGGGCCAGATTTAGAAGGCTATTGGGCCGGATCCGGCCCCCGGGCCTTAGTTTGCCTACCCATGGCCTAGCAGGATGGTAATATTTTCAGCAGCATAAGTTAGAACTAGAGCTTAACAGGAGGAGCAGAGAAAGATTGGGGAAACTAAGAAAACTCAAGAGGAAGTGGAAGATAAAAGGAACCATGGAAGGAGAGGAAGGGAAGTTCATCAATGACTGGTGTAATATAATATGTAGTATGTAATTTTCTTTTTCCTATTTCCTATTACTTTGGGGGGTGTTGCTTTGTTTCTTGTGTTGAAATCTATCAGAAATGCAAATTAAAAAAAGGAAAGAAAGAAAGAAAGAAAGAAAGGGGTGTTCAAAATATTCTGTAGGCCCAACTCAGGACCTTGCATCTCTCGAGTCCCCTCTCCACACCACCACATCCCCAATAAGCTCTTCTTTTTTACTGCTGGCATCCTAAAATTTTGCTATAGCACCCCTTGACTGCCTTGGCCACCCTCTCTATTCTTTCAGGCAAGAGCTTGTGCATTATTATTCCTCTTGTGAGGAAGAAGAGGAAGAAGCATCCAGAGACAGCCCTTGGCTCTCCACCCAGTCCCCAGTGAACAGTTCCCATGGTAAGCTGCAAGCAAAGCTGTGGAAAGGCCCAGGAAAAGGCGCTGCTGGAGGGCAGGGTGCTGGGACTTTGATGCAGGGAAGCTTCAGGGCTGCAAAATGCCGCGTGCTCCTGAGCTTAGAACCAGCCCCACTAAATTCAATGGGATTTACTTCCCCAGTGAGCGTGTTTAGGATTGCAACTGAAATGCCATTGAGAGGCAGGCATCAGATGCTTTGCACAGTGGTTGCCGTCTGCCAATATTCAACAGTCTTCCAGAAACGGGACACAAAATCTCACTCTCTCTTCTTAGCAGGAAGCATGCAGCTATGTTCCCCTCGGATTGAGGCCCAAAGCAACACATGCTCGGATTTGGGGCTGAGCCCTTCACTTTTCACCTCTCCTGCTCGGCTGCTTCCTAGGCATATCCTCCACGGCAGCCAGGATGAGCTTTCCCCAGGTAAAGTTGCAGGAAGGAGTGGCCCAGTTGTGCCTCTTGCTCCAAGTGTCTCCTCATCCTGTCCCTGCAAGGAGGGGTTAGTAGGCACACCACCTGCCCTGTGAAATCAGTTTTATACACAGTATTTTTCAAAAGCAGAAATGCAAGAAAATGCTTCATGTTATTTACAAAAAAAATAAATGAGGCAGGGGAGAATCCAAAGTCTGTGCTAATGAAAACCTATTTAAACAAACAGAATATATTATTTAAGTACTTTGCTCATATATTTTGCATGACATTGTTTCTTGAGCAATGGAGAACCCTTAATCCTATCCCACCCCCCGCTCTCTGGAAGTCTTAATCATTCCTCTCCCCCTTTTCTAGTTTCCAATATATATACAGTATTTTTAAAAGTACTACTTACCATTTTTTAAGCTTATCTCTGCAGCTATAAGGGCTGAACATTTTACTGGGGGGGAATTGGGATTTTCAGGCCACTAAGGCAGCCATCCACTATCAACTTATTTTAGAAGAGAGTGCACAGTTGTATCCTCCGATGAAACCTATGTGTAACACAAAGCATCTTTCTCTTCTCCATTAAATATTAAATATATGCATGGATAGAAGGCAAATCCGTGACTGCAGAATTGCCACCATAGCGTACAAAATAAACTATTCCATCTGGTTCCTCCAAATAAATATCTCTGTGTGCTTTAGGATTGGCCCAATACATCTGATTGGCCCAATCTCATCCTCTGCCTCTTATACTCTGGAGGAGCAACAGAGAAATCTGTTTTTGTGTAATTAAATGACATGTGAGGTTTGCCACATTCTCCCCTAGATGTGTTGCTTCACAAACAAGCCATTATGTTGATTGGTGAGAGATGGTTCTGTCTTCTCCTGAAACAATTCTGCTGAGCTACAAGGTTGTTTAAGGGAGGCGGGTGGCACTGTGGGTTAAACCACAGAGCCTAGGATTTGCCAATCAGAAGGTTGGCGGTTCGAATCCCTGCAACGGGGTGAGCTCCTGTTGCTCGGTCCCTGCTCCTGCCAACCTAGCAGTTTGTCAAAGTGCAAGTAGATAAATAGGTACCGCTCAGGCGGTAAGGTAAATGCCGGCTCCCTCGGCCAATAAAGCGAGATGAGTGCCGCAACCCCAGAGTCAGTCGGTCACGACTGGACCTAATGGTCAGGGGTCCCTTTACCTTTACCTTACAAGGTTGTTTTGCATTGGCGGTTAATGAAATGCAGAGCTGCACCTCCACAGAATTATATGGGCATAGTGTATGTAATTCTACTACTGAGCATGTCTCAGAATGCAGCTCATCCGTGTCTTGGATACTTCACAGTCCTCTACAGTAGATTTCATTGCTTCAACAGTCACAATATTACCCTTTGGGGTGGGATTTACATTTGGGCAAATTGTGACACGCTGAGAGACAGGCAGAGGGAAACCTGAGAGCAAATAAAAAAACTAGAACTTGATTGGTTCCGCACCTGCTTTGAGTTTGGGATAAAGTTCATCTGAGATGAGGATAACCTTCTTTGAAAGTGCTTGCTTGAGATTTAGTGGAACCTTGTTTGTTATCCTGCAGTGTTATTTGAAGATGTGTATCTGTCCCCTCAGTCTAGCAGTTTTTCTCAGGCCCTTTCAGGAACCCTCTTGAGAAAGGTAAGTGCATTGCCACTCAGCTTTATGTATATTCATCCATTTCCTCCATTTTTCATACCAAGTTGAGCCATCAATACACCTTGTGAGAGTGAGTTCCAAAATTTAACTACGCACTGTGCGAAGAAATACCGTATTTTTTGCTCTATAAGACTCACTTTTTCCCTCCTAAAAAGTAAGGGGAAATGTGTGTGCGTCTTATGGAGCGAATGCAGGCTGCGCAGCTATCCCAGAAGCCAGAACAGCAAGAGGGATTGCTGCTTTCACTGCACAGCGATCCCTCTTGCTGTTCTGGCTTCTGAGATTCAGAATTTTTTTTTTATTGTTTTCCTCCTCCAAAAACTAGGTGCGTCTTGTGGTCTGGTGCGTCTTATAGAGCGAAAAATACGGTACTTCCTTTGGTCTGTTTAGAATCTTGCAACATGCAGCTTCACTGGATGTTCCCAGTTCTAGCGTTATGAGAGAGGGAGAAAAACTTTTCTCTCTCATCCTGTGGTCATTATGGCTTCTTTTCAGGGTGCAGTTCCTGGAAAAGGTGATGATGGGGCCTCTTGTGACATCCCCTGGGGATGGGCACTTAGGTGCCTGTCCAAAAACAGTGGCCCAGTTAAGTAGTCATTCCCTTTGTTTTCACCTGTCATGGGTGGCTCATTCGCTTATGTCCATGGAGGGGTGGCCTTGGTTGTCTTCCTTATAGCTGAATCCCAGGGTCTCTTCTTCCCAACTTCCTTGGGCATGGGCAATAGATCAGCAGCCTGCCTCTACATGACTTGCTGTGAAAGCTCTCTGCAGATACAGTGGTACCTCGGGTTACATGCGCTTCAGGTTACATACGCTTCAGGTTACAGACTCCGCTAACCCAGAAATAGTACCTCAGGTTAAGAACTTTGCTTCAGGATGAGAACAGAAATCGCACGGCGGCAGCAGGAGGCCCCATTAGCTAAAGTGGTGCTTCCGGTTAAGAACAGTTTCAGGTTAAGAACGGACCTCCGGAACGAATTAAGTACTTAACCCGAGGTACCACTGTACTTGCAAACTGGCCTGCCTAGAAATGACGTATGTGTAGTAATCTAAATATTTGTTTTATTTCTGTCCAAATACACCCATCTCTCTGATTTATGTGGTTTATGATACAGTCTCTGTAGTTGTCCAATGTGTTTGCACCCCATGAGCAGTTACATTGCTCTGGGCCAAACTATCCAGTTTAATTTCAAGGAATTAAGGGCTGGTGGAATCTAGGCTAGGATCATATTCCATCTCTGCTTTCAAAGAAAAACTGCTTTAATTATAATCTTTCTTTCTGTGCACCACCTCTCCTTTTAAGATTCTGTCTGCAAAGGTCCCCACCTCTAATTTCTTCCTTCTCTTGCAGTCGGCATTCACGCTGGATCACTGCTACCTTTCCTACAACGAAACAGGTAAAAGCAATTCCAGCCCCGTGTCACGAATGAATGGGAGAACATCTTTATGGAACAAACAGTATCTTCAAGAGGTGAGAAGAAGGTTGTAGAGATGGGGGTGTTAGCTTTGTGTGTGTAGGGGAACCTCCTCTTCCATTGCTGGAAGCGTGATTGACTGGTTCATTAATTCTCTTATACATTTGGGGGGGTCATATAGTTAATCCACACACACACCCCCACCTGCAAGGCATCAACTTCTATTTATTCATCCCAAATAAGGAACTTGGTTGTTCTCTGTTGTTTCAACCTTGTACTCTTCTTTCAATTTGAGGCTCCACTAAAAGGTCATTTGGGTCAGTGAAGTCCTAATAACACGCACTCCTCTTTCCTCCAGGCAAACAAAAAGCTTTATCAAAGTTCAAGGGCACATTCCAACCAGGCAAAAGCAGTCAAGGAGGGTACAGAGCAGGGCTTGAGAGGGGCATGGCTGTGGGCGAGTTGTAACCTAGGGAAAGTCCCAAGTTCCATAGAGAGAAACCTTGAGTGGCACATCTGGTCCCCAGACCTAAGGTTCCCACCTCCCGTTACAGAAATTTACACTGGGGATTGTTACAAACACCACATATTAGCCCTGTATAATTCTGCACTTCTGTACCATTTCATACTGTTTACAGGAAACTGAAGTCAGTTGTCAAATACAGTTCATTGTGTTTTTAGGGTTTTCTGAAAACTGTGACATAATTGGGTAGGGGGACTCTATTTTTGTTTGATGTCAGATTCGCAAAGTGATTTTTTTTTTTTTATACAAGAACAGTGGGGTTTAATTCATTTAGTAAGATTTTTCTTACCCAGAAAAAAGGCTCAAGAATCGTAAGACTCTGTTTTTATTTACAGTCGTACCTCGGCTCCCGAACACCTTGGGAGTCGAACGTTTTGACTCCTGAACGATCGAAAACCAGAAGTGAGTGTTCCGGTTTTCGAATGTTCTTCTGGAAAATGAATGTCCGACGGGGCTTCTGATTGGCTGCAGGGGCTTCCTGTAGCCAATCAGAAGTCGCGCTTTGGAAGTCAAACGTTTTGGAAGTCAAACAAGCTTCCAGAATGGATTCTGTTCGACGTCCGAGGTACGACTGTATTTAACAAAATTTACACATCGCTAGATTGTAGTAAAACCTCTCAGCGGTGTGCAGATCATTTGGACCAGATGGCGCAATTCCACACGCCTCTTCCCTCTCTGAGTAGCCTGACTCCCCTTCCACCTTCTCCTGTCAGGAAACAGCTACCGCCAGGCCTGAATTCCCAGCGTCTTCCAGTGATGAGAACAGCGACAGCACCTGGACACCACCATCCAAGAGGGTGAGGCCATCTCAGGTCAGCTGCCAGAAGAAGATGAAGAAGGTGGTCAGGAGGCAAAGGCGCCGGCCAGCAGCCTGTGAGAAACGTAGCAACTCATCTCCTCTGCAGCTGAAAAAGAAGTGCGTGAATGGCTTCATCATGTTCTGCCGCCTGAACCGCAAGCACTACATCCGGTGAGAACTGGAGGGCAACAAACTCTTACAGAGAGACTGAAGTCTAGGCCGGTCTGGACAGAACCAGGTCATGAATCCCTGTAGCGAGATCCACCATATCCAGTTAGGATTGCAGCTGGCTTTTCAGTTTAAGATCATCAAAGACACCCCTTGCCATCACCTTTACAGTGGTACCTCGGGTTACATACGCTTCAGGTTACATACGCTTCAGGTTACAGACTCTGCTAACCCAGAAATAGTACCTCGGGTTAAGAACTTTGCTTCAGGATGAGAACAGAAATCGTGCTCTGGCAGTGTGGCGTCAGCAGGAGGCCCCATTAGCTAAAGTGGTGCTTCAAGTTAAGAACAGTTTCAGGTGAAGAACGGACCTCCGGAACGAATTAAGTACTTAACCCGAGATACCACTGTACTTCCACAGATAATGTAGTATCCAGGAGGAAGCCCAGAATGCAAACTTGGTCTAATAGGGGAAGTGCAGTCCCATCCAGTTTCACATGATATCCATCTTGAACTGGTAGCTTTCTCCATCTCCACTCCCACCCCACCCCCCCGGCTTGTCTGGATTACATTTAAGTTGGTTCACCCTCATTCATCTCAAAACTGCCTCCTGCCTTCTGCAGCCAATTGAAAGCCATAGAACTCCCATCAGACATTAGGCTTCCGAAAGAATGTTCGAAAACCGGTACACTCACTTCTGGTTTTCAATCGTTCAGGAGCCGAAACATTTGACTCCCAAGGCATTTGGGAGCCAAGGTACGACTGTATTTAGATAAAATGCCTCCCCCACCCCGTGTGCTAGATTTGATTATTATGATTTTTTTCTGTGTTCCAAAATCTCATTAATTTCCATTACATTCAGGTCATAATAATAATCCCTTATACAACAACTGCAATATTAATGACTTCTATTTGTGTTGACTCATTAAATGATTTTTAAAACTACAAGTGAGGAGCTCAAACTACCGGTACAGTATATCCTTCTTCTTCCTGTGGGTGGCAATTCTGTCTGTGGTGTTTCTTCCTGACCTTGTAAGATGTTATGTCTTTCTTTCCCCTGGTTGTTGCTGTCTTCTGTCATGCCTTGGGAGGAGCTGATATCCCATTGTTGTTCCAGTTTTAGATTTTTTTGCCTGCCCCATTCTGAACACCCAGTGCAGATTCTGTCCTTCCGGATAGAGCAGAATAATATTTAATCAAGTGGCTCTGTGGGTTAAACCACAGAGCCTAGGACTTGCCGATCAGAAGGTCGGCGGTTCGAATCCCCGTGATGGGGTGAGCGCCCGTTGCTCGGTCCCTGCTCCTGCCAACCTAGCAGTTCGAAAGGACGTCAAAGTGAAAGTAGATAAATAGGTACCGCTCCGGCGGGAAGGTAAACGGCGTTTCCGTGCGCTGCTCTGGTTCTCCAGAAGTGGCTTAGTCATGCTGGCCACATGACCCGGAAGCTGTACGCCGGCTCCCTCGGAGATGAGGGAGATGAGCGCTGCAACCCCAGAGTCGGTCACGACTGGACCTAATGGTCAGGGGTCCCTTTACCTTTACCTTTTAATGTCAATTTCCCCAGCCTAACCCTGAGCAAATAGGTAGACTGTTCAAAGCTTCCAAAGAGTGTTTTGTTCAATAGGAGGGATTCCCATAATTGGGTTGGGGCGACTACTGGGAAAACATTTTCCTACCCCGATCACCCTTGCACCTGTCAACTGCATAACTCTCTGTTGCAATTACAAATCTGTCCCCTGGTCAAGAATTTGAGACTTGTATTAAAGGCCCAAGTTCTAGGACTCAGCACCTGCATAGGCTGTGCTTGTGTGTTTCTCTAAATACATCTATTTTTAAATCCCCCCTATATGAAAGTTGAGACGCTAATGATTTTATCAAGACCTGTAACCAGGGAGAAGAAAATTGCAACATCACATGCTGTCTCTGGGGATGGGCCTAGATTGGGTTGCACTTCTTCTGTTGCCTGCTAGCTGATTTAATGATAAAATTCTAGGTGCTTCAAGGGAAGAATATCTTCTGCACCAGCTCCTTGCAGCCATGGGCTGGCAAGGTGTGTGTTTGGGCGGGGGTGGGGAGGGAGGGGTTAGGTTTCATTCAGGTGTGTGTGCATGCTAGTTTTTAAACACTGGTCTCTATGGAGAGCAAAAGGCTAGCCTGGCAGGGAGTTGCCAAGGCAACCTGCTTCTCTAAACCTCAAGGGAATGTGGGGACATTGGCAAAGCCTCACATGCGCCCGCCACTTGTGAATCTGGATGACCAAACCGTCTTTTCTCTTGGCAGCGCTTGCCCAGGCATGGCCTCCACAGTTGCTACGAGAGAGCTGGCCCAGCTGTGGCGTATGATGACAAAGCAAGAGCGGAAGCCATATTGGTATGTCTGGCGCTGATCAAAACACACTCTGGCATGAGGCTGTTCCTTGGGTAGTCATCCAGCAGGCCAGTTTCTAGGTCAGCACTGTGGTTCAAGGACACAGATGTGATAGAGCACCTGTTCTGCAGGCCAAATGTCCAGAATAAATCTCCAGCACCTGCAGTTTAAAAAGGACCCGTTGTTGTTGTTGTTTCCTTACCAGCCTGTCACCATGAGGTCCCAGGGCAGCTTACAAAGATTTGGAAATACAGTCATAAAAAATAGTTAAAACAGATTGCAGTCAAGAGAATAGGCTAGGTCCTAAAATGTCTATCTCAGGCATCAAATGCCAGGGTGAGCAGGCGAGTCTTTAGAAAGTCCTCCTAGTGGTGCAGCGATAAAACTGGAAGTACATTTGCAGAAGTTAAGCAGGTTCTGGTATGGTTTCAGATTGGATGGGGGACTGTATGTTGAGATTCCTGCATATTGAGGGGAGGCGGTTTTGGACTGAATGACCCTCCGGCTCCCTTCCAACTCTACGATTCTATGATTCAGCATCCAGCAAAAACTGCACAGGTGAATTCCTGTGGAGAGGGAATCCTCCAGTTTAAGGGGCTGCCACAGAGAATTCTCCCTGAGGATGGGAAAGACCCTGGAGAGCTGCTGCCAGTCAGAGTAGACAGTACTGAGCTAGATAGACAAATTGTGAGGGTTGGTCTAAGGTAGCTTCCTATGTATATCTCAGGGTGTCGGATCCTTTTGGTAGGAAGCTGAGCTTTTCTATTGCCTTTCTATCTCCCTGTGAACTTAACCATGAAAAGAAAGGGATTCCAATTCCAAGTGCTTCTGTCATTTGGTAACCTGAGCACATACAACAGTTATATGAGCTGTTATCATGTTATGATCCACTGTGCAGCATCCTCCATCACGCAGGGAGGTTAACGAGTGTTGGTTTATATTTGATTTTTCTAAAAGCAGGCATTCATTAATCGACAAGGGGGGTCATGTTATGATTATCACCCCCTGTCGCTTCATGGCAAGCCGCATAAGTGAAGTTCCCTTGCGTTCCAATTCACATCGCCTTGTTTTTGTTACATCGTAATGGCAGCCATCACATGGTGGCTTCGTTATGTGCCGCGTTCACTGCAATCTGGCGATTACAGATGAATTGTCGGCCGGAAATAAGCACTTGAGTGATAAGCTTATCATTTTATGTTGCATCTCTTCCAGCATGAAAGCTCGGCGGTTCAGCCGCCTGAATAATCGCATCGTGAGGGACGACTTCTCCAGTGGGGAGGAGGACCCAGAGCCGCCCAAACCTTTCCACATGCTGCTTGCTGAAAAATCCCTCCATGGCTCCCAGACCTTTGGTGACCTCTCTTTACTCAAGCTTATCCCCTGACTCTTCGCACTGTAACGGTAATGGCGTATCCATTCATGGGAAAGATGGCCCCTTACTCCAGTCTGTTATCAGTGGTTACAGAATTTTCCAGCTGATGGGTTTGCAATGAAGTGTGTGCTCCTTCCCCCTTTTCAGCAACATGCCAGACAACAGGGGCTCCATGGACCCCATTGGCTGGGACATTAATGTAGGGAGTGTTGAAAAAAAGGGAGGAGATGGGAGTCCCCTTGTTGCCACCTGTAGCGCATAAACACTCCCTATTTTCTGATCCTTTCTGCTACTTGCACCCCACATCAGCTGCTGTGCCTCTAGCTTTCCAGAAGGTGGTTCCTGAGAAAGTAAAACACAGGTGGACTTTCCCCAGTAACCACATGCATTTTATGCTATACTCCACCAGAGACCCACAGTGGCTTCCACTGTGTTTAAGGCTACCAAAGCTGGCCTCTGGTGGTCTGCAACATAATGATAGCAACATTGGCAAGGGGAAGGGAAATCCCTGGGCCCGGGTGGTAGGACCATGCTGGGCCAACTGAAGTTTTGGCAGTTTACATGGGACTTAACCTTTGTTTTAGGACAGGGGTGGGGAACCGGTGGCCCTCCTCCTGTTGTTGGTTCTGTAACCCCCATTAGTCCTAGCCAAATGTCTAAATGGTCAGGAATAATGGAAGTTACACTCCAGCAAAATCTGGAGGGCCACAAGTTCCCTGCCCCTAGCCAAGGAGTACTACTCCATTTGAAATGAATGGGTTTGATTTTGAAAAAAGGAAGAATCCGCGTGGCTTTTTAAAAAAAGTTTTTTTAACCCTGACTAGCACCATGTCTAGCATAATGGAAAGTTGGGTGCCTGTTTTTCAAAACCCCAGGTCCATATTTATTGCCAAAGATTTTAACTCGTCATCCCCTTAACCAGAGGTTAGCTCAGAGAGTAAGTTTTATCCTGCCCAGTCAGTTTAGTTCCTAGTACCTTAGATCCATAGGAAAATTTTGCTGCAGCATGAAATGCAATTTCTGAAGTCCGCATGGACTCGTTTGTTCCACAGCAGATTTGATGCTTTGTTACATAGTGAGTTGCTTCATGTGCTCCTTTGCTGTTTACCTGGAGCAAATGAATGAGTTTGAAGTTTGCTCTGGGTAGCATTGTGTCCCTACTGACACAATGGGCCTGTACAGCAGAAATCTTGAGGAAGGAACAATTCTATATCTTTGGTCTGTGGTTGAAAGGGAGTCAGAAAGACAAACTTGATATTGAGCTAACAAGGGTGGATGCTTCACAGTGAGAAAGTAGGGCGTCATGAAGATTGTACTTATGAAGTGAGTCTCTATACAACATTTGTAGTTGGTTTACATCCTGCTTGGGGGAAACTTTCTCAATCACCCAGCCTTTTACCCACCTCTTAAATTGTCCCTCCCCCTGTTCACAATCAGTTTGTGTTTGAAATTCTGTTGCAGGCTTGAATGGGCTTTTACCACAGTTGTATTTATGTATTTATATATTTATTGGCAGGTTTTGTCCTCATCTCTATTTATATTTAAAAATAAAAGCTAGCTTTAAAATAAGATAACCATTTTGGTGCCTCTGTGCCTCTCCTCCCTGTGGTCCTTTCAGAACTGGTCCCAGAATATTTCTTGTTCGGGCTCAGGAATTAATTGTGCCAATCAATTTTCCGTGCAGCAGCAACTGGTGTGCATGGAGCAGCCACCTGTGTTTTTCAAACAGTTGCTTTTGGGCAACTGAAAACATGCTGTAGGCTCATGTCACAACCTGCTTGCCTCTAGCCAAGTCTTTGCTTTACATTTATGGACACTTCTTACTTACAATGGTATCTCTGTAATCTTCAAGTAGGTTAGGTGGTATTATTATTCCCATCTGAGACAATAGTGGTTTGCCAAGTGAGTTCATGGCAGCAGTGATATTTGTTCTGGGTACTTCCTGATTTTCAAGTCACTCTTATAGGGTCATGACTACTCAGCAATAAATCCCAATTGAGTTAAATGAACCTTAGTCCCAAGTAAGTGTGTATAGAATTTCAGCATTTTTAACTACCCTCCAAAAACCCACAGTAGAGCATTGCTGTGCATGTACCAAATCACCATTGGGCACAAAGCACTCAGGCTAGCAGGATGGTGTCCTTGTAAAGTTGAGCCTCTGCCCCACTATGGGTTGCTGGTAGAGCCTTTGGAGAGGGAAGGAAGCGATATCTGCCATGAGGTTTGTGCAGGAAGGCAAGTCGGCAATGGATTCTTGTTTTGAGTGCCAGACAGTCCCTAGAAAAGCCATGCCTTTGTAGAATCATAAAGTTGGAAGGGACCTTAAGGGTCATCTAGCCCAAGCCCCTGCAATGCAGGATATGCAGCTGCCCCATACGGGGATTGAACCTGCAAGCTTGGCGTAATCAGCACCATGCTCTAACCAGCTGAGCTAGCCAGCTTTGTGTCAGTATGCAAGAGGACGCCACCCTTTTCGGTTTTTAATTTATTAGAAAATTGGCAATACAGAGTAACATGGCTCAGTGGGGTAGAAAAAGAGGGTCTAGCAGAAGCAAGCAACCCACAGCAGGCCCTGATCCCATCCCACCCTCTCCAAGAAGCCCGTTCAAGAATTGTCTCCCAACTCCAGAGATTGATTCTTGCTGAACCTTCTTACAAAAGAGCTTCTGTCTCTTAACATTCCTCTCCCAGAATGGCTGTAAGTATAATGTAGGCTCAGTAGGCCATTATTTCCCATACGGATGCCCACAAAACTATCAAGTGCTTCATTAAAGTCCTCCGTCAAAGTCATGAAGCTTGTTGGAACCTCTGCAAGGCGCTGTAATTGCTCTTGCTGTCTCCAGAGGGTAAGTGTTTGCATGTGCTCAGCTGTCTAGGCTAAAGCCCTAATTAACCTTCTTAATTGGATGCTCCTGCGCTTCCCAGTTTAAGCTGCTGCATGCACTTGTACTCTGCTTCGTACCGATTTTGTTGCTTTGCTAACTGCTTCACCTTTGCTTGGTTCCATGGGGACAGAGCTCCCCTTGCTTTGCCATCAGACGCATTTCATGCCACTCTTTTATAAGATAGGAAGGCTGGGCTCTCATGATCAACTAGTGTATGCGGGGAGCAAGATTTGGGAGTTTTTCCAGGGGGTGTGGGATCAGGGAATGTGTTGAGAGCAGAAATCCCATCTGCTCAAAATCCCCCCTTCCCACAGAAGTGGTTTCTGATTTTAGCAGAAGTATGTTCTTTTCTATTACAACACAAAGTTTTGCTGGTGTTTTTTTTTTAACAATGCAGAAAGTGGAGATCTGGTGGGATTCGGGAATGGTTTGTTTGTCAAAATCTGAATTTTGAATTGTGGGGGCAATAGCATGGCCTTGCAGTGCCCATAGGCCTCTTCCTCTTATGACTGCCCCCTATAGGTCAGGAGGAGATGCTTTGTAACCGATGGCGTAAGTTCCTGTGCTGGCTGGGCAGGAGAGTACTTAGAAGTATGGAAGGAGAACAAAGGCACGGTCCATTGGGGACGAAGTGGGTGCTCCACTGTTCAGTTTCAGGAGCCCAGATCTACAAGGGTAGAAGTGAGGGGCCCCAGAAGACTATTGTGGAGCGGCTGGTGCTGCAGAAAATCTACCCTCTGGACGTTGTGAATGGAGTTTCCCGCTGGAGCCGAAAGTGGCAAACCAGAGTAGAGCAGTGAGGGGCTGGATGCATGAGCTGCAGGGCTGTCAATGGGAGAGCTCTCATCATCGGAGCTGGAGAGTAGGTGTCTTTCTCGTGGAAGGCCCCTTCCTTCCTTCAGTGCACCACCGTCGCTGTTCTCCCTGCAAGAAGTAGAAGAGGAAGAGGAGAATATTGTCTCTGGGGGCCAGATTGCTAAGGAATCAGTCCTGCTGGGTGCATACTAAGATAATAGGCATTGGGGAAGCAGGGATTAGATGGTAACTTTCAGTCTTTGCAGGTATGGCTTTGTATTTCTGACTGTCCACCCCAACTTTCCTGCTGTTTTCTTTATGCCAAATAAGAGGAGATCTGTGCTTTTGGCTGTAGGGCTAATAAAAGCTTTGGAGATGCCATTTTGATCAGGGAAACAGTGCAGGAATGGGCTAGCCCATCTCTCCAGTACTGCTGCTCCAGTAAAATTCAAATGCGCCACCTACACAGTGCCTTTTAGGTAAAAATGTTTTTTGTATACCCTCACTACCCCCCTCTTCTTTTATTCACCCCCCCTCTCTCTTTCCACTCTTTCCTTCCAGTTAATGATGCATTTAAAATTACTTGAAGAATGGAATCACTTCTGGTGAAACCCGCCTTAGCCTGAGCTGTGGTCATGCCCCAGTTACAGGTTGCATCTCACCAGTGTTCTGTAGTTAAAAACCAGAACATTTTGAACAAGCACATTCCCTTTCTGGAGGCTCATGATCTAAGAACATGGGGCATATCAAAGAGAAGAGAAAGGAGAGAGCTTGAAGAAATAAGCAGCCAGTTGCAAAAAATTGCACTGGAACAAGCGTGGCTACTACCGTGGTCCAAGAAAGGGTTTGCAGAAAACTTTAGGAGGAATATGGAGTTGATAGAGAACACAATTTGTGAAGGCAGGGTGATTGGTGCCCACTTGGAGTGGAGGATGGGAGGCCAAGAGTAGGTGGAGTCAGAGCGAACGACAGGCAGATACCAATGGATTCCAGTTTTGTCGCTATTCTCCTGCCCTCTGAGTTGTACAAGAACAGCACTTGAGGTTCATTCAGACTTCCTTTTGTGCTGTGCTTTCTAGGCACTGGTCTGCACTTAAAATGCTGTGTCTGGGTGTCTTTTTTATTTATTTTTTGGCCTTGTCGCAAAACCCACTCTTTACTTCTGAATAAGAGCAAACAATGGATGGAAAACCCAAATAACTGTTTGTTCCGATTCAGCAGTAAAGATCAGGTTTACATGGGAAAAGATCTGGGGCAAAACAAAAAAAACCCCCGACACAGTGCTTTAAAGTGCGGGCCTGTGTCTTGAAAGGGCAGGGCAAAAGGTAATTATGGGTGAGCCTTCTGACTAAGGAGGAGGAAGGTGACAGCTGGTATCACCCCTGGCTGGCAGGTGGGGGCTGGCTTAGTTCAGACTGAGGTTGGTGGGGCAGTGCCCCCATTTGCTCTGCTGGAGCAGCCTCCGATGATGCAAGGAGGTTGTTCTAGACAGAGAGAAGGACATGGCAGAGTTGGATTTGGAAAAAGGAGACCTGAAGGACTGATAGCAGATGGTTGTGTGTCAAACGAAGACTGAGAGGGAGGGAGGCCAAGGCAGGCTGGCAGCACAATTGCCTGGGGTATGTTCTGTGCCTTAAATGTAACGGCAAAGAAACTAAAAAATGGACAGCGAGCAGAGATCAAGGGCAGAGAGGAAACCTTTGGGAAAGTGAGAAAAGGAGGCAGAGGCTAAAGTAAGCAAGATATTTCTCAATGGTTTCTGTTCCAGCCCCTCTCGTAATCTCAAGGGTTCTGGTTCCCCCTGTCCCTTTTTCTGTGACTTCTAGTATCAGGGCTTCCTCCCTCCCTTCATCCCCTTCTGTGTTGGTAGGCAGCAGGCGGCTCTGCATCTTCTTTTCGTTGAACCCAAAAAGCCCACAAAGCCTCACCTCTCCTTGGTCTCGGCCGCACGGTCCCTCTGGCGCCGGTTCTTGAACCAGTTGCTGACCTGGGTGGTGGTCAGCCCTGTGGCTTCTGCCAGCTCCCTCTTCTCACGAGGGGATGGGTAGGGGTTGTGGATGTACCACTCCCGTAACACGCTCCGAGATTTCTCCTGTATGAGAGCAGAGGGTGTTAGTTTTGCTTTGTCCTTTTCATTTAAGTCAAGGGTAGGCAACCTTTTTCCCCCTCAAGGGGTATATATCCGGAATTTGTTTCACCTGTTGCAGCACTCCCAAGTTGACATTTTCAGTGAGCCCATGAGCTTTCCCCCCTCAATTGCCATGGCCTTCTATGAATCTTTTCCTCCCGTCTATGTTTATTTGTTTAGATTATTATTATTAATCTGAATGTGCATTGTTGTACAGTTGTAGCTACTAAAGGTGCTATGGTATAACATGAACGGCAGGGGGCAATAACATCATTCTCTCTTCATAGCTGTGCTCTCAACAGTGAACAGTTCTTTTATTTGTAATCTTAGATATCATTTTGGGAAGTTTTATGGGTTGGTTGGATTTTTAAACCTCTAGGCAGTGAAACCTTGGGCAAGGGCAGAATTTGTGTTCATTTAAAAACCAGGGAGAAATATATTTGAAGGATGAGGGGGCACAACAAGCACCAAGCTTCCCTGTGAAAGTTAACTTCCTAGAGTTGCCACCTTCTTTCTTCCCACCTTTCCTGGCAGGGCTGCTGTGCCTTTAACAGGTTTCTGAGGGGCAGAATTTCAGCTAGCCAATTTCCCCTTAGCACACAGATGGGGAAAGCTGCATAAGTTGAACTCCTTCCTCTCACACAACTGTTAAAGCCACAGGAGACCTGTCCAGGGGCAGGAAAATTACGGCATCCCTAAAGTTTGCCTTCCTTTTCTTTCTCTCCCTACCCCAAACCTGTTTCCCCTTTTCGCTCCCTCCCTTATCACCATAACTCAAAGTCCACAAATGCTGTTTTTAATGCCAGTGAATACTGTTCTATTATGATGGCAGGTTAGGTAGCTCTTAGCAATATGTTGGCACTGTACTCAGGGCAGAAGTGGCACTCCTCCCCAGGTGATGGGGTGGGATCCAAAGACAGGGCTTGAGAAGTCAAAAGGAAGGGGGGGGAGACACCAATGGGGGAGAATGGCACAAGAGTACTGTACCAGGTGGTAGGAAAGCAAAGAGAAAGTGAAACCTTGGTGCCCCAAGAAAAGCATTGAGAAAGAAGTATTTTTTATTTATGATGTACATATTGCTTTTCCAATCTTAAAGCTCCTTACATTAAAGAAATATATTTAAAATAATTTACAATAATGAATAGCAATGAAATTCCACTCCACCTCATCCCCCCACTCAAAAATAAATCCACAGCTTTACCCACTAAAGCTGTATCCCTTGGCCAATCGTATTCATCTTAGCAGCAAAAAGGCCACACCAAATAAACGGCTTTTGCACGACTGTCACCCAAAGGCCCTCACAGCTGCTGCATCTTGCTTGGGAGTTCATTCCAGAACTTTGCGGAGAGGAGAGATGCTATTGGCACGAAAGACAAGAGTGGGAGGCTGCTGGGTAGCTTTATCATGTAACATGGCCAATACAGAGAAAGACCGAGCCCTGCCCCAAGGAGCGTACAATTGAAGCTTTGCATACGCTCCAGCGTTCCTCAGAAAACAGGGACAGCACAATGCAGACAACAGGGAGAAGAGGGAGGCAGCAGGATGAATAGGACAGGACAGGGTTACATGTGGGACCTTCTCACCTGGGAATGAGGACTAAGGGGAATGGCTGCAGCAGAGGGTGATAGCATTTGCTTTGCATGCATAAGATCCCAGTTCAATTCCCAGCATCTCCAGGCAGGGCTGGGACAGCCCCTGGAGAGCTGCTGCCAGTCAGTGTAGATGATGCTGAGCTACATGGACCAATGTTCTGACTTGGTATAAGGTTAATTCCTACAAAAAGGAGGTGACAGCAGCCACAAAATTAAAAGACGCCTGCTCCTTGGGAGAAAAGCAATGACAAACCTCGACAGCATCTTAAAAAGTAGAGACATCACCTTGCCAGCAAAGGTCCGTATAGTTAAAGCTATGGTTTTCCCAGTAGTGATATATGGAAGTGAAACTTGGACCATAAAGAAGGCTGATCGCCGAAGAATGGATGCTTTTGAATTCTGGTGCTGGAGGAGACTCTTGAGAGTCCCATGGACTGCAAGAAGATCAAACCGATCCATTCTGAAGGAAATCAGCCCTGAGTGCTCACTGGAAGGACAGATCCTGAAGCTGAGGCTCCAAGACTTTGGCCAGCTCATGAGAAGAGAAGACTCCCTGGAAAAGACCCTGATGTTGGGAAAGATGGAGGGCACAAGGAGAAGGGGACGACAGAGGACGAGATGGTTGGACAGTGTTCTTGAAGATACCAACATGAGTTTGACCAAACTGCGGGAGGCAGTGGAAGACAGGAGTGCCTGGCGTGCTCTGGTCCAGGGGGTCACAAAGAGTCGGACACGACTAAACGACTGAACAACAACAACACAAGAAGGAGGAGGGTTTGAGGAGGGATTGGAAAGGGAGGAAGAGGAGAATCATAGAGTTGGAAAGGACCCTGAGGATCATATAGTTCAACCTCCTGCAATGCAGGAATATGCAGCTGTCCCATATGGGGATTGAACCTGCAACCTTGGTGTTATCAGCATGATGCTCTAACCACCTGAGCAAACCACCTAAGTGGTCTTGAATGGGGTTCCAGGGCAAGGAGGCTGCATCAGCGTGGGGGAAAGAGGCAAAGAGGTGAGGGAGCACTTGGGGTCATGCTGAGTGGAGATGCAGGTAGGGGAAAAGAGCATGCGATGTAATGACCTGCCCAATGCACAATCCCATCCCCAGTGGGGCTGTTCTGAGCTGACTGAAGTGGACAAGTACGATAGTAATGAGAAGAAAGTTGCCGTAGACTTAGGCAGTGCTTTTCTTCTAGAAAAAAGGTGCTGGTACTGTGTACCCTTCAGTACCCCCAGGACAAAAGCAGATGGCGCTTGCAGTAATCCAAAACAGGGGGAGTTCAGCTGAACAGCTACTTTGCCAAGCCAAGCCCTGAAAGTTTTCAAGGAACGATGTGCAGGTTTTGTGCCTGCTGAAAAATGGAGTGTTTGGTGGCAGTTGTTTCTTTGTTTCCTGCATCTCCCTGACTGCCTTTTCAGTGAGATGCCTACCACGGAAGAGGTCTCTTCAGGGAGCCTTCCTTACCTTGAAACAATAACTGGTTTCCTCTCCGTCCCAGATGGTCCGAGGCAGGGGGAATTTGCGCCGCACCCTGTACTTGCCCACGGCTCCCAACGGCCTCCCGCGCAGCTTCTCTGCCTCGATGTAATGAGCCTTGAGCCACAGTTGCTGCAGCTTGGGGTGGTTGTGCAGAGAGAACTGGTAGCTCTCCAGGATCTTATAGAGCTCCCGGAAGTTTCCCCGATGAAAGGCCACCACTGCTTTGGCCTTCAGGACGCTCTCGTTCTTGTGCAGGTGGTCACAGGCTGGCAGCGACCAAAGGAAGCGCCCCAGGCGCTCGATGTTTTCCCCTTGCTGCAGGACCTCGCACACGCAGGCCACTTGCTCCTGGGTGAAACCAAAATTCATGGCGGAGAAGGGAGGGCTCCGCGGCTTAGCAGGCTTCACAAACCCAATACACCTCCAACAAGGAGTCCCGCATGTGGAGGACAATGCTGTCCTTTTGCAAAGCTCTGTGCGGCAGAGAACAGGAAGTGATCCTGCCTCTTTCGAAGAGGGAACCAGATATGTCCCATTAAAGCTGGGGAGGGCAAGCCGAGCGGGAGGCGAGTCTGCCGCCCTCCGAGTTTCTCTCTGGGATGGCCATGTCAGCTTTCCCCTCTTGCCTTCTGTGTGCCGTCGGGGCTCCCCTCTCCCTGCCTGCCTTCTGGCTCTAGAGACAGTCGCCCAGGGTAGATGTCTTGGGGGGTATCGGTTACAGGCTCAGCCCACGCAGGCTGCAGCTGTGGCCAGCCATTGGCCAACTCCACAAGGAGAGCGAGAGAAAGGGAGACTTCACCACCACCGTCACCCTTGGATGGAAAGGCTTTCTGCAGAGGGGTTGGCGGGATCTGGTAATGTGAGATGCCCCCTACAGAGGGGGGCATGAGGAGGCAAGCCAGAGAGGAAAGTCCCTGCTTTCTGCCCCTGTCCGCCTCTCCCTTTGTTTCCCCATGTCTGCTCCAGCCGGCCTGCTTGCCCAAACCTTTTAGGATCGCACCTTGTGCAAGGCTTCCTTGGAATGTGGGCTGTTGCTCCCATCCTGTTAAGCGAGTGAAAGGGACAAAAGAGCTAAGCAGGACCTGAAGTCATCTGCAACTGCGGGTTGGCAGCTTCTGAGACTTCGCTCTAAAATCATCCGCACACTTCCAAGCTTATTTTATTGTAAGTGAAAGGCTACTTATCCTCAATGCAGCAGTTTTTGAACTAAGAGTAATCCCTCTTATTTCTCCAGATGTTAAGCTAGCTTCTTCTTTTTAATATCCCTGCTTGTGAAACAAATTTGTTTTCAACTTCTTTCCACGGGTTGCAGTGAGTCTGCAGGAGAAAATTCTTTGTCTCTCCCTTTGTTCTTGGCTCTGCCAGGTGACAGATCGGCCCCCCAAGCCAGAGCTCCTGCCGTCAGTGTTTCCTTTCCTTGTCCCCTTGCTCTTCCCATGTGGAGATCATGTTTCGCACCAAGCTGGCAGCCCTTTGCAAGACAAATAACCTGTTGCAAGACAAATAACAAGAGGCCTTGTGTCCCTGCTGGGTGAAAGCGTCATCCCGTATAGCTAGGGAAGGCTGCAAAGAAAGAGACGTTCTGCTGCGGGAAGCTCCCTGGAACTAGATGGGCCATTGGCCTGATCCAGCAGCTCATGCAGTACAAAGTTAAACTATGGAACTCGCTATCACAAGAAGCAGTGAGGACAGTCAACCTGGATGGCTATGAAAGACAAATGAATGGATGAGAGGGCTATCGATGGCTACTGGCTACAGTTGGACGCAGCAGTGCTTCTGGTTGCCAGTTCCTGGAAACCATAGAAGGGGAGAGGGCTCTTGTGTTTCAGTCCTGCCTGCGTGCTTTCCCCATCATGGCATCTGGTGAGAGCAGGATGGTTTTTTTATTTTATTTATACAGCCACCTTTAGATCTACCATCCTCCCTAGAGCCATTTTACCATGGAGGCAGGATCAAGCTCCTTCTGGGGCAGACATCCCCAGTTGGCGAGTGGTCTGCACAGCCCAGGGGGTCTGCAAAACCCACCCAGGGGGTCCGTGGTGCCACTCACATAACAAAAACTACCACAGAGGGATCAAAATTCTCAAAAGGAGGCGGGTCCGTGGCTTGGCGGGCTTGGGGGCTGCAGTACTTTGCTAATTGGGAACCACTGCTCTAGGGGTCTTGCAAAGGGTTAACCTTGCCTGAGAGCGGGTCTCCTTTTCCCAACCTCCACCCCCCTTCCCACCTAATTCAGGAGACAAGAAAAGCCCCCTAAATACTCCCACCCCAGACAGTCTTGCTTACACAGCCATCTGAGTAATACTATCCAACCTGGATCACCTTACTACTTCTTCCCAGCAATATGGGGAGGTGGGGGGAAGCTTTGTTTTGGAGCTGAGAAAGCAGCTAGAGCACAAAACCTGCTCTCTGCAGAAAGCTAGTCAGAGAAGCCAGTGGCTCCGTTCCCACAGCCTCTTTTTTTTTGCCCCCAGAGAACCCATCAGCCTCTTGTCTCTCACCACTGGGCACCAACTTGGATGGCTTTGAAAGAGGATTGGGCAAATTCATGGTGCGTACACAGGTGGCGCTGTGGTGTAAACCACTGAGCTTTGGGCTTGTCGATCGGAAGGTTGGCGGTTTGAATCCCGTGACGGGGTGAGCTCCCATTGTTCAGTCCCAGTTCCTGCCAACCTAGCAGTTTGAAAGCATGTCAAAGTGCAAGTAGATAAATAGGTACTGCTCCGGCGGGAAGGTAAACGGCGTTTCTGTGTGCTGCTCTGGTTCGCCAGAAGCGGCTTAGTCATGCTGGCCACATGACCCGGAAGCTGTACGCCGGCTCCCTCGGCCAATAAAGCGAGATGAGCGCCGCAACCCCAGAGTCGTTCGCGACTGGGCTTAACTGTCAGGGGTCCTTTACCTTTACCTTTTTAAGGCTACCAGCCATGATGGTTGTGTAATGTTCTGCCTCCACAGTGACATCTGGTTAGCTGCTGGCCTGGGTGGCCCATTGGCTTGGTCCAGTATTCTTATCTTCTTAGGTTCAGGTCCTGCTTGTGGGAATCTGTTTGGCCGCTCTGAGAACAGGGTGGAGGCATCCACAGGGCTCATCTTTCATCCACAGGACTCATTTTATGCTCTGGAGTCTTTCTGTTGCTCCAGGCAGCCACCTAAACATTTGTCCCAAATAACCTGTTTCCTCCTGCTCATGTACTGTAAGAACATACACATTCATGGAGGCTGACACGTATTAGGCCAGCCTTTGCCCACCTGGTGCTCTCCAGATACTTACCAAGGATAGTTCAGTTGGTTAGAGCGTGGTGCTGATAATACCAAGGTTGGAGGTTTGATCCCCGACGGGACAGTTGCATTGCAGGGAGTCGGACTAGATGATCCTCAGGATCTCTTCCAACTTTACAATTCCATGAAAGGCTGGCTGGTTGGGACTGATGTGAGTTGAGGTCCTAAATATCTGAAGAGTACCAGGTTGACAAACACTGTGTAAGGGAGTGGAATGGCATTTCCGCATTGCAACCAGGAAAATAGCTTTTGCAACTGATTTGGCCACGGTGACAGTGTATGGATTACTGCGACACACTCTACGTGGGGCTGCCTTTGAAAAGTGCTTTGGGACTTCAGCTGGCTCAAAGAGCTGTGGCCAGATTGCTGGATAAGGAGCCTTATGACTACTGGAACAGCTTCTCTGGCTTACAGTCTATTTCCTGGCACGATTCCGAATGCCAGTGATGACCTATAAAGCCCAGAACAGCTTAGGTCCAAGCTATCCAAAAGACCATATTCCCGCATATGAACCTGCCTGGGTTCTGAGATCTTCAGGGGACGCCCTTTTCTGGGTCTCGCCACCCTCACAGGAACGTTTGGTGGGGATGTAGAAGATGGCCTCAGTGGCTGCTCCCATGCCTTGGAACTCCCTCCCTAGAGAAGTTAGACGGCTCTCTCCTCGTTGTCCTTCTGCCGGCAGGTGAAGACTTTCTCATTCCAACAGAATTTTGGGAACTGACTGCTTTTAAAGAAAGGGCTGGTGCCGTGCTGGTTTTATTGTAATTATTGGTACGGTTTTCATAGATTAGATAATTTAATTCTGTTGATGTTTGATTGCTTTAAAATTATTGTCGTTGCCGTCCCCCTAAATGCTTTTAGATGTGCTTATTTTTACCTGTAAGCCACCTCAAGTCCCTGTCAGAATAAGCCAAGCTCTTAAGCTCTTGCAAGTGTGGAACTTAAGCTTTGGTGAAGCAGGAGCTGCAGTGGACAGATCGTATAATGGATAGCCACCTCTGTGTGGAGCATCTATAGGGGCTGATGTGGGTATTAGTCGCAGTGTTGTCTTTAAGCTCAGTTGTTGGTTCTGCCATTCAAAGTCCCATTGCAGGTGATGCGGAGGACTCTTCTTCAGCCAGAGGGCCACATCCATCCCTCTAGGCGTAGAATCATAGAATTGTAGAGTTGGAAGGGACCCCGAGGGTCATCTAGTCCAACCCCCTGCAATGCAGGAATCTCCGCTAAAGCATCCACGACTGATGGCCCTCCAACCTCTGCCTGTAAACCTCCAGGGAAGGAGAGTCCACCACTTCCCGAGGGAGTCGAACTGCTATTACTGTCAGAAAGTTCTTTCTGACATTTAGTCAGAATCCCCTTTCTTGTAACTTGCAGCCATTGGTTTGGGTCCTACTCTCCATAGCAAGAGAAAACACGCTTGCTCCCTCTTCCATGTGAAAGCCCTTGAGATATTTGAAGATGGCTATCCCATCTCCTCTCAGTCTCCTCTTTTCTAGGCTAAACATAGCAAACTCCCTCAACCGTTCCTCATAAGGCCTGGCTTCCAGACCCTTGATCATCTTGGGTCACCCTCCTTTGTACACTGGCCTTTGAGAGCCAGTGTGGTGTAATGGTTAAGAGTGGTAGACTCGTAATTTGGTGAACCGGGTTCGCGTCTCCGCTCCTCCACCTGCAGCTGCTGGGTGACCTTGGGCCAGTCACACTTCTTTGAAGTCTCTCAGCCCCACTCACCTCACAGAGTGTTTGTTGTGGGGGAGGAAGGGAAAGGAGAATGTTAGCCGCTTTGAGACTCCTTCGGGGAGTGATAAAGCGGGAGATCAAATCCAAACTCTTCTTCTACATGTTCCAGCTTGTCAATATCCGTGCCTAGACCCGAACATAGATCAGGTGTTGCCTGACCAAGGCATAATAGAGTGGTCCTATTAACCTCCTGAAAACCACTTATCTGTGGTGGGTGGGGCACGAAATGGAAGTGACAACAGTGAGAATGTAAACGTTATCTTTGTATAGCTGGCTAGTTTGACCCTTCTCTATCCTCTTCCTGGGCAAGCCAAGAGACATTAGGAGTGTTCAAGGACACATTCCAGCTCGGGGGAAAACATTCAAGGAGGATGCAAAGCAGAGCCAGCGAGTGGTGTGGCTGGGGAAGAGTTCTGAGGGCCAGATAAAAGACGCATGGAGAGCCACATATTGCCCCTGAACCTAATGCTCCTCACTGCTACCATCCTATGGTTATAGCTAAGCAGCCTGTTCTTACCTATGGCGGTGTCATGGAATAGGTATTTCTTATCTATGCAGCTTTGTGGATAGCTCAGTTGGTGGAGCATGAGACTCTTAATTTCTGGGCTGTGGGTTCAAGTCCACGTTGGGCAATAAATTTCTGCACTGCTGGGGGCTGAACTAGATGATCCTCACCGTCAGTGTGGTGTAGTGGTTAGGAGCGGTAGACTCGTAATCTGGGGAACCGGGTTCGCATCTCCGCTCCTCCACCTGCAGCTGCTGGGTGACCTTGGGCCAGTCACACTTCTCTGAAGTCTCTCAGCCCCACTCACCTCACAGAGTGTTTGTTGTGGGGGGAGGAAGGGAAAGGAGAATGTTAGCCGCTTTGAGACTCCTTCGGGTAGTGATAAAGCAGGATATCAAATCCAAACTCCTCTTCTTCTTCTTAATGGTCCCATCCAACTCTACAATTCTATGGAATAAAAATAAAATCCAGAGGCAGGTTGGATTCAGAATCCTTAATTTCCTGTCCCACATCAGTCCCGGCACTCAGGGGTGGGGAACCTGCAGCTCTCATTTTGGCTGAGCTCCCTTTAGCTGCAGCCAGCACAGACAGCTGCCAGGGATGACGGGAGTTGTACTCCAATGATATATGGACAGCAGCAGTTTCCCCATCCTTATTATAGAAAACAAGGCACAAGCCTGAAAATGCTTCTTAAATACTGGAACAGTCCTTGAAGTGGAAATGTTTTGAGACCCCTGCCACCTCTCGCAATTGGCTTATGATGGGAATTCCCAACAGAGCTCAATGAAGGATGAGTACACGCACAGAGAGAGCTTTAGGATAAAATATATTTATATATATATAAAATATATATAAAAGACACACGTACACGTAAAAAAAGGATATAAAAATATCTTGCAGAAATGATTGTTTCTCACAAACTGTGGAAAATAGGTGTGTAGCTGTAGTACCTGTTTGGGAAGTGTTGGGTTAGGAGACATTCAGATGGACAATCGAAACCCTCTGCTCAGATCCCATCGCAGCAGTGGGGGGGGGGGGAGGAACAGCGAGCCCATCCTTTTGCAGTAAGGAGGGGTACGATCCATGAGGTGCATCCCCTCCCCATTTCTTTGCAGCAAAACATGTTGATTGACACAGGCCTGGCCGCCCCAGCAGACAGCTGTTTTCAAATAGTGTACCATCCACACTCAGCAAAAAGCTTTGTGGGTACTGAGTGGTCCTGAAGCAGGATCCAGTTAGCATGGCCCCATTAAAAAAAAGAAAACAAAAGCCAGAAATTTCTGCCCTGTATAACTCCCTGCACTGTTATCTAATGCTAAAAAGCCAGGGAGCTGCCTTAGGCTAATTCTGACCAAGAACAGCCTTCCAGGTATTACTGGACTACAACTGCCCATCATCCCTGACCACTGGCTGTACTGGCAGGGGCTGATGGGAGTTGTAGTCCAAAAGCATTTGTTTGCAAAGGCTGGTCTCCACTGACTGGCTCTCCAGGGCTTCAGACAGAGGTTTCCCCTAGCCTTGCCTGGGAACTGGATGTGGGGCTATTTGCAATGCATTCTGCTACAGACCCCACCCTGACATAGAACAAGGTATCTGGAAGGAACACAGTTGTGTCCTGTCCTTCCCACCTCACTCCAAAGCAGATCTATGGATGGAGGCCTTTTCACTTATGGAAGATTCCTCAGTCCCCGCACAAGGGTCTTGGATCTTGTACTTTGCTCACTGTCTTAAAGTCTGCCACCAGCAACCTGGGTGCAGCGTGAGAAAAGGTTTTGGAAAACGTCAGCGAAAAGAAAAAAATAATTCTTCTCCCCTCAAGATGACAAGGAAACTGTTAAATATATAGGAAGGAGAGATGCCACCAGCTTATAAAAAAATAAGGGGAAAGAACTGATTTTTAAATGCCTTTTCTTCTAAAAAATACATTATTAAATATATTTATATATAATTTCTTCTCTGTCTAAAAATAAAAAAGGCAGACCACTTGCTGATTTTAGCATTCAGAGGAAACAGCCCCAGGGAAAGTTTGGGAGGAAACTCGAGTTTTCAAAGCAAATAGTATTTTAAGGGGGTAATGCTCGGTCTGGCCCGACTGCATGACATTTCTATCTTTCAAGCTGGATTGACCCCCAACCTTGAGCGTCCCAGATTAATGTGTGGCTTCTGCTCCCAATCCCCCAACACAGGGGATCTCAAGGTGCAGCTAAAGCTAATTTTTACAGTGGCTTAAGAGACTGTATATCCACACCTGACACCTGCTCCCATGTGCCTTTAATGGCAGGACTAACTGCTGTAGGATCCAATCCCACAATTAACAAATGTGCTTCTTACGCTGTTCCCGCCCAGAGCAGCGGAGATCAGCTCAGGGTTAAAACGCCGGAAAGCTATTCCATAGATAAAAGATGGGTCCAGGAGAGACATTCTAGCCAGGCTTCTCTCTGCCCTGGAGGACTGGAACAATGTCTGCATTGTTTTCTACCGCCAAAGCGTTTGACTTTGGAACAGGACAGTTCACCTCTCTAGGACAGCACTGCAAGACTAAAAGCCAGCGAGAAGCCAAGCTCGAATGACAATAGCCTCGCCACCCCAACCCTACCCTGGGAAAGAGTAGACGCCTAACTGGAACAGGAGACAAGCACTGGGACCTTGGGTGTCCTTCCTGCCCCTCCGAAATGGGACTTGGGCTCAGACTAGCAGCTGGACCCGTTCCCTAGCACCATAGATGAGGGGAGAGGAAGGCTCTCCTTGTGGTGTAAGTCAGCTGACCTGTTTTGGACTACAACTCCCATCAGCCCCCTCTCAGGGATGCCAGGTGGACAAAGGGCAGTCTATATCAGGCACCCCCAAACTCGACCCTCCAGCTGTTTTGGGACTACAACTCCCATCATCCCTAGCTAACAGGACCAGTGGTGAGCAATGATGGGAATTGTAGTCCCAAAACAGCTGGAGGGCCAAGTTTGGGGATACCTGGTCTATATGATGTGCTCCCTGCCCCAGTATCAACGAAAATCTCTAGCTTTCCAAGGAACTTGGTAGATGTTAGGTAGGCTTCTTCAAAAAGGCAGAAAGGTCATGAAGGTAGAAAACGCCCTCAACTCTGTGCCTGAGTTTTAGGAGGGCTGGGGAGGGAGGAAAGAAACATGGTGAATGGGCAACACCTCCAAGGGGAAGATAGTGCTTGCTGTTTGACTGGCAGCCACAAGGTGGCACTAGGGTTGCTGAACAGGCAGTTGTACACACCGGATAAAGGGGTCAGCAGTGTCCCAGTGCTGTGTTTTTTCCTTCTGTAGTGTTTGCAAAAAAAAAAAAAGATGTGCAGCAGCAGCACAGACTGCAGGGGCTCAGCCAGGTTTCCCTTTTCAAGGCACTTGTAGCATCCTGTCTGGACCAGGTGGGGACCAAGGATAGCAGGTTTAAAATATCGTTCCGTGGGCAGGCGAGGACTCTGCGACACACCTCGTGGGTGCTTACAAGTCCAGAGGCTCCTCCACCGGCACAGACTGCAGCTGGGTTAGCACCTTCTCGTCCGAGTCCAGAGCCTCGGGGCCCATCGGGTCTCCCCCAGAGGCGTCCAGCAAAAGGCCCTCTCCCTCCGGGAGACGCAGAAGGCCGCCCTGCACCTCCATAGAGTTCTTGTCCATCTCAAACAGCCCCTCGGCGCCGGTCCCTTGGAGGTCCATGCCCACCGGGCTGGGCCAAACCACCTGCTGCTGAGACATGGCCAGGCCGTCCGGCTGGGAGAAGTTTGAAAGGAGGCCGGCTTGGCCGGAGTCCGTGCTGAAAGCCAAGTCGGCCGGCCCGGTGCTGTCGGGCACCGAGAGCGGGGAGACTCCAGGAGGGAGCACGGAAGCACCCCCCGAGAGCAACATGCTGCCGCCTTCGCCGCTCCCCAGAGTAGCCGGCGCCATCACGGTCGCCACTTCCTGCTTGATGGGCAGGGTCAGAGTCGGGGCGGCCTGGGCTGAGAGGATGGGCGTCATCAGCATGCCAGCCGGGAAGGTGGCCGTCAGGATCAGCTTCCCCTGCTGCAAAGCCATTCCGGTGACAATGGTGCTGCTCCCCGTTGCCGGGTTGGTCAGGAGGATGTTGCCTAAGTTGGAGAGGAAACGGGGAAATCTTAATAATAATAATAATTTATTATTTATACCCCGCCCATCTGGCTGAGTTTCCCCAGCCACTCTGGGCGGCTCCCAATCGAGTGTTAAAAACAATACAGCATTAAATATTAAAAACTTCCCTAAACAGGGCTGCCTTCAAATGTCTTTTAAAAAGAAGATAGCTGCTTATTTCCTTCACATCTGAAGGGAGGGCGTTCCACAGGGCGGGTGCCACCACCGAGAAGTCCCTCTGTCTGGTTCCCTGTAACCTCACTTCTCGCAGTGAGGGAACCGCCAGAAGGCCCTCGGTGCTGGATCTCAGTGTCTTGGCTGAACGATGGGGGTGGAGACGCTCCTTAAGCAAAGGAAGGGACACAGAGCCCCCATTTCCTCTCCCCCCCGCCCACCCAAATCAGCAAACATCTCCAAGGCGGTCCCCACTCTCCAAGAGAGCCAATGAGGTGGAGTGGTTGGACTAGGGCCTGACAGAGACCAGGGTTCAAATCCCAACGCTGATATGAAGCTCATTGGGTGACCCTGGGCCAGTCACTGTCTCTTAGCCTACCCTACCCCAGAGGGTTGTTGTGTGGAAAAAACAAGGAGAGGGAAAACCATGTGCACCACCTTGATCTCCTTGGAGGAAAAGTGGGATAGAAACAAATACATAATAATTAACTAGACAAAAATATTGCTTCGCCACGTTGGAGAAATTGTGGGAATGAAGGAACATTTATACACATGTGGTGGAAATGCCCATTGATTAAAAACTTCTGGCTAAAAATATTTCAGGAAATGGAACAAACTACATCTCAATCGATCAATTTAGATCCCCAAATAGCATTGCTTTCTATATTTGCAGATGAAGCACGAAATCTTAGAGACAGAGACTTAATTGTGCATCTTATAACTGCAGCACGTCTTGCTGTTGCTAGACACTGGAGGACATTAAATGTGAACCTATATGAAGTTTGGTATGCTTATGTCTGGGAATTAATTTTGATGGAAAAGTTATCAGAAAGGGTACATGAAAGAAAACAACATGAGAAACTACATAACTTTTACATAACATAGTCCTCCTTTATTACCTATGCATCAAAGAAAGAACATGCATTTAAACCACATGCATTTAAACCACATTTAAGCCTACGTACTCCTCCTCCTCCCCCATTTTATCGCTCAAAACAATTCTGCGAATGAATTATTGGCCCAAGATCACCAAGTTTCTTGGCTGGGAGGGGATTCGAACCCTGGCCTCCCAGGTCCTAGTCCAGCACCACTCTAAATGTATGGTGCAAGCGGCGCCCCAGAGTCCTTGATTCAGCCCAGTTTCCTGAATCCCTTGAATTGTTTTTGAAACCTCCCTGGCCACCCTCTGCCCAAAGCACATACCTGGTGCGGTGCCCGGGATCTGCAGCGTGGTCATGCCCACGTTGGCGTTGATGAGGTGCACGTTGCTCTGGCCAAGGCTTCCTCCCGCCGACACTGCCACCTGCGGCGCCCCTGCCATGGCCCCCACTTTGATGGGGGTGCCGCCAGTGGTCAGGATTTGGATGGGGCTGCCCATGCCCTGCTGCAGGGTGACCACCTGGGAGGTTGGCACAACTTGGGGCAGAGAGATAATCTGGGAGCCCTGGGCCACTTGGGGGAGCGAGACGAGCTGGGGGGCAGATGCCCCCTGCGGGACGGCGTAGATCTGCGTCGGGGACACAGGCACCATTTGGGACGGGGAGAGCACCTGGGTCCCAGAGACAGGCTGGGAGAGCGGCACCACCTGGGAAGGGGGCGAGACTTGGGCGATGGGGACCAGGGATGGGGCAGGGACGTGGAGAACAGCGGCCTGGGGCGGCGAGGGGCCTGGCATGGAAAGCAGCGGCGTGGCTGTGGTAGTCTGGGAAGACTGGGCCATCTGCCCACCGACCGTGGCTGCGGTCACCTGGGGAGCTGGCAGGGCTTGGGCACCAGGGGCCAACTTGGCTAGAGGAACCATCTGAGGACTAGATGTGGCTGATGGCTGAGGTGCTGGGGGCAGCTGCTGCGCAGCCGTGGGGGTCTCGTCGTTTGATGGGACCACTTGAGGCATGGCAACAGCCGCCAGTAGGGGCCCCTTGTGGTTGGAGAGGAGCGTGGCAGCGTCGCGGACGGGCAACAGGGGTGGGGCGGACCCCTGCCCCTCTTCCAGCTTGACCTCGACGCCAAACGCCAGGGCCTCTGCCGCTTCCGACTTCACTTCCCCCTGAAGCGCGGCAGCCGGGCTGAGAATGACGGTGGCCGGGGCAAGGGGCTCCTGGAGAGCCTTGTTGGCCTCCTGGCTGCCGGGTGGGCCTGGGGGCTTGCCACCCAGCAGGGGGCTGGATCCGTTGAGGAGGATGGGCGGGCTGGGCGCTGCCACGGGGCTGAGGGTGATGGTCTGGTTGTCGCCCAGAGCCAAGCCGTTCAGGATGACGCCTCCGCTGGGAGTCTGGATGACGGAGCCGCCGTTCAGCAGCATGGTCGGGGAGCTAGCGGTGATAAAGTTGCCGTTGAGGAGGATGGAAGAGGCGCTGGAGCAAGCGGCTGGCAGGAACAGGCTGTTAGGGGTAGGCATCCCTTCGGGGGTTGCAGAAATCCCCATGGACGTTTCGGTTTCTTCGGTGCCGTGGCTGGACTCGTCCTCCGTGCTGGGGTTCCCGTCAGACTCGCTGTAAAGGAGAAGAGGTTGAGGATGTAGTAGTAGTAGTAATAATAATAATAATAATATTTATTTATACCCCGCCCTGCCCGGCCAGAGCTGGGCTCAGGGCGGCTAACACCAGTAAAATGACAGTAAAAACATAATGGGGAGGGGGAACCAATTTAAAATACAGGTTAAAACGCAATTTTAAATGCAGCCTCATTTTAAAAGTCAAAACCATAAGGGGAGGGAAACATAAGGGTCAGACTGAGTCCAAACCAAAGGCCAGGCGGAACAGCTCCGTCTTGCAGGCCTTGCGGAAAGATGTCAAGTCCCACAGGGCCCTAGTCTCTTGTGACAGAGCGTTCCACCAAGTCGGGGCCAGTACTGAAAAGGCCCTGGCCCTAGTTGAGACCAATCTAACTACCTTGCGACTTAGGACCTCCAAAATGTTGCCATTTGTGGACCTTAAGGTCCTCCGTGGGGCATACCAGGAGAGGCGGTCCCATAGGTACGTAGGTCCTAGGCCGTGGTTGCCACAGTGAACTGTCTCTGAATAACATTTGTTGGGAATCTCAGGGATGGGGGGAGAAGTGCTCTTGCGCTCAAATTCTGCGCATGGTCACCTGATCAGCCACCGTTAGAACAGGATGTTGGACTAGATGGGCCACTGAGTTTCTCCTCTATGAACTGGTCTAATCCACAACAACAACAACAACTGTTTATTACTTATGCCCTGCCCATCTGACCAGGTTGCCCCAGCCACTCTGTTCAAACAGAATATAAAAAAACCACACAACAAAACACCAGACAATAAAAACTTTCTCTTTTACAGGGCTGCCTTCAGATGTCTTCTAAAAGTTGTATGGTTCTTTATCTCCTTGACATCTGATGGGGTGGTGTTCCACAGGGCGGGTGCCACCACCGAGAAGGCCCTCTGCATGATTCCCTGTAATTTCACTTCTCGCAGTGAGGGAACCACCAGAAGGCCCTCGGATCTGGACCTCAGGGTCCAGGCTGAACGATGTGGGTGGAGATGCTCCTTCCGGTATATACAGTCAAAGCCATTTAGCACTTTAAAGGCCAGCACCAAGACTTTGAATTGTACTCGGAAACCTACCGGGAGCAGCCATCATTCTAGCCTGTGGCAAGAAATGCTGCAAGTTATTTATGCATTGCATGAAATACTTCCTTGTATCTGCCCTGAATCTCTGAAAACCTCCAGTGGTGCAGATTCCCTGCACAGAAATGCTGGTATTGTCTGGGGGCAGTGTTAGAAATTAGCCGGGTGCCGGGTGCATTTCGCACCTAGCTATTGGTTGCTATTGGGATGTGGGTGGCGCTGTGGGTTAAACCACAGAGCCTAGGCCTTGCCAATCAGAAGGTCGGCGGTTCGAATCCCCGCGACAGGGTGAGTTCCTGTTGCTCGGTCCCAGCTCCTGCCAACCTAGCAGTTCGAAAGCACGTCAAAGTGCAAGTAGATAAATAGGTACCACTCCGGCGGGAAGGTAAACAGCGTTTCCGTGCACTGCTCTGGTTCGCCAGAAGCGGCTTAGTCATGCTGCCCACATGTCCCTTTACCTTTACCTATTGGTTGCTAGTGACCAAGTGAAGATACCTGGCCACCAGGATAGCATCTGGCGTCTCCGGCATCTGGAGGTACATGCCTGGATCTAGACTGTTTTCGCACACTAGCAAAACATCCTGCAGAATTCTATCAGTTATATTTTTATCTGCACAATCGGAATGAACTTCAGGAACCAAAATGTGTTCTCCGTGCAGCCTGAGCAGGAGCAGGGAACAACCTTCTAGTTAACTGTCGTCACCTGTCTTAACTTACCCTACCCCATGGCCCTGCTCATGGTTGTGCAAAATATTCCTGCGTTATGAAATGTCCGTGTCATCATTAAGAAAAAGAAGTTGGAATAGGCCAATATATATGTAGACTGATTCTGGATCAAGTGACTTTTCTTGTTTAAGTTCTCCTAGTTCTTAACCTAGCTCAAGGCTGTCATCTGAACTAGCAAAATGCAGTCACATGTTGAACATACAACATAAAAACAAGATTACGAGGAATCTCTGGGACTTCCCTCCTCCCCTTTGTGGGTCCTATTGTTAATCATTTCCTACATCTTTTTAGAATAATCCACATCTTTTCTTTCTCCACTGTATCCAAAATTCCCCATTACAAGTGCTATTCCAATCCTACTAATGATTTTAACTGTTTACAGTGGTCTTTAAGATCAGTTACAAATTTTCCCCATTCCTTATTAAAATTATGGTCTTCCTGATTTCTGATTCTTCCGGTCATTTTAGCCATTTCGGCATAATCCATCAACTTGACCTTGCCATTCTTCTCTAGCAAAATGTTTTAACTGAGAATCAATCACAGCCAGTCCATCATTTGAAAAAGAAAACTTTGGAGACCCAAAATGGCAGCTAGGCGTTCCGTTTTGAAAACTGGTTTAAAGAGCAATTTGGCACCTAGGTTATATACCTGAGTTTCTAACCCTGGCCAGGGGGGAAGCCTCTTTGAATTATTTTCTTTGAACGGATTGTGGGAGCCCCCACCTGCAGTGTAACAAGCCCCAACCCCTGATTTACTGTGGGGAAGGGTTGTAGCTCAATGCTTAGAGCACCCGCCTTGCAAGCAGAAGGTCGCAGGTTCAAATCCAGTTAAAAAGACCAGGTAGCAGGGAATGGGAAAGTCCCTGGAGAGCCGGTGGTATTCAGTGTACAGTATATGTTTCTGAGGTAGAAAGGACTGAGAAATAGATCTTTAGTTGGAGAGTGAAGGCAGGAGTCTGGGCTCCTTGGGCAAGGTAATTTCCACCCTCAGCCCAAGGAAATTCAAAGCCAAGGGATTCACATTTCACAACAAAGGGGATGAGCTTGGCGCCTTCTACGTTGCTGCAAAGTGCAGCTAACTGGAGGCAAAGTTTTTCTCCCAGGAGAGAAAGGGGGGGGGGGAGAGGAGAGAGAGCGCCAGCTGCAGGAACATCTGGAGTAGCCAGCTTGGCTGTTCTCCACCCCCTGAACAGTCTGCAATAGAAGAATGAACTAGAACTTTCTCAAACTCAAGTGGTTTCTCCCTTTTGTTTGCAGAGGGGAAGGCAAAGGCAGACACACAAAAAATCCTCCGTGCCCAGGAACAGCTAGAAGAGAAAAGCCCTCTTCACTCTCCTGGGTGCACCCTGCTCTGGAAGCACCCAAAATGTGGGGGGGGGGGAGAGAGAAACCAGGGAGGGGAAAGGCTCTGTCTGCAGGGTTCAGGTCTCCCACCTCCTCATTCCTTCCTTACAGCCCCATCCAACACATATTTATTCGAAAGTAAGGCAGTGGTGTTACCCAGGGGTTCCCAAAGCGGGGAGGGGGATTACCCAGGGGGCAGTAAAAGGCCAGGGGGTGGCGGGGGGCACTGGAGGTGTAAATGGCTATCAGACTTTGAAAAGCTGGTATCAGCAAATCTTGTTGAATTAAGTAAACTAAGCAATTTGAACTGGACGTTTAATGACTGTTTGGAATTTTATTGCATTATTATCTTCCCTTTTCTGGGTCATGCGAATCGCTATTCTGAATAATGCTTTTTACAGGGAATTATTTTTCTTTCTTTATTTATTTATACCCCGTCCACCTAGCTGGGTTTCACCTAAAAATACATTAAAACATCAGTCATTAAAAACTTCCCTAGGGCTTGCCAATCAGAAGGTTGGCGGTTCGAATCCCTGCGACGGGGTGAGGTCCCGTTGCTCAGTTCCTGCTCCTGCCAACCTAGCAGTTCGAAAGGACATCAAAGTGCAAGTAGATAAATAGGTACCACTCCGGCGGGAAGGTAAACGGTGTTTCCGTGCGCTGCTCTGGTTCGCCAGAAGCGGCTTAGTCATGCTGGCCACATGACCCGGAAGCTGTACGCCGGCTCCCTCGGTCAATAAAGCGAGATGAGCGCCGCAACCCCAGAGTCGGCCACGACTGGACCTAACGGTCAGGGGTCCCTTTACCTTTTAGGGGGCACCAGGCAGGATTAAGCCTTCCGTAGCCCACTTTGTGGATTGTGCAAATACAAGGCTGTTCCTGTGTCTGAGGCAGCCTGTCTCAGCACTCTCACACAGAAGACAAGAGTTGAAATTTAGGGTAGCTTGTGGGTTTTGCAAAGCCTTGGCCATACCTCGCTCTTCTTGGTTTGGCTAGAACTGGAGAAGATGTAACTGATGTTACCCCTCTTTCTTAGCACCCAGAGTTTAGTAATTCCTTACAATATGCCACATTTATTTCCCAGCCTCTGTAAAAATGGTTGTTCCTTTTGCTGGAAGTTACTTTCGACAACCTTTTTTCCAGGCAGTGGGAAAGGAGTTTGCAATGCGTGCGACAGAAATCGGGTGTCTCCCAATCTGCCAATGGTCAGGCATTATGGGTATTGTAGTCCCGTTTCTAGAAGGCCCTATGACAATACCCATCATGCTGGCTGAGACGAATTGAAGCCAGAATCCCAAAACATATGGAAGGCACCAGCCTGGCTACCCCTGCCCTAGAAGGACAGGAACTTTGTAAAGGGTCCATTAGAGACCTATAAAACTTTGAGAGGGGTCTCCCAGCAGGCTCCTTCTCTCTTCCTGGGAGTGCTTACTATAAAGTGAGAAGCTCATGTGATTCAGGAACTTCTCCATCACCCTAGACTTTTTCTGAAACTTGGGAGGACCTTGAACTAAGAATAGGTGGCATCAATGTCTCCCAAAAGCCCATCCAGAGGAAATAGGTATTCTATGGGGGGTTGGAGTCAAGTGTCTAGATGATGCTGGGTTTTCCGTGAAGACCCCAAAGTCCCCTTCAGAACTTCAAGATCCCTTTAAGGAGAGTTGGGGGTCTGCCCCCTAATTATCAGTACGAGGTCTTTAAGAATATTAGAAAAGCCCAGCTGGTTCTGACCCACATCCAGGTCCAATCCTAAACCCATTTCTTCAAGAGTAAGCTCCAACTTTAATGGGACTTACTTGGGGTCTGCTGCAGTCCTAGTTGGGCTGCATCCTGCTTCCCAACAGTGCAGAGAGAATAATTGGGTGCACTCTTCCCACCTTGGATCAAATCTATGCTTTCAGGTGTTATAAGAAAGCTGCAGAGATAGTGCAGGATAGTACGCACCCCGGAAATGATCTCTTTCAGCTTCTGCCTTCTGGAAGAAGGTAAAGGTAAAGGGACCCCTGACCATTAGGTCCAGTCGTGACCGACTCTGGGGTTGCGGCGCTCATCTCGTTTTACTGGCCGAGGGAGCTGGCGTACAGCTTCCAGGTCATGTGGTCAGCATGACTTAAACTGCTTCTGGCGAACCAGAGCAGCGCACGGAAACGCCGTTTACCTTCCCGCCAGAGCGGTAGCTATTTATCAACTTGCACTGGCGTGCTTTCGAACTGCTAGGTTGGCAGGAGCTGGGACCGAGCAATGGGAGCTCACTCCGTCACAGGGTTTCGAACTGCTGACCTTCTGACTGGCAAGTCCTAGGCTCTGTGGCTTAACCCACAGCACCGGGTTATAAAGACTAGGACTAGCCGCCTGAGAAACAGTTTCTATCCAAATGCGATTTTGGTTTTAAACACAGTGTAAGGTGATCTCTAGGGGTAGTCTCTAGGGGGGAATATTGTATTTAATTATGGGGTATCAGAGTTTTTAGGGGGTCAACCAGGCTGGGATAGCAAGGATAGCAGGCTTGTTGGTTTTTGCATGTCTGATGTTGATTTTTTCAATTTCGTTGTTCTGTATGGGACAAGGACAATCAAGATTATCGTATTGTATTGTATCTGGCAAAGCTAAGAATCAGGCCAGGGAGGCAGCAGTCACCCCGCTCCCTCCCCGCAACCGGTAGGCTGCTCTTGTCAGGTTCCACTTCTCTTTCCTGCGCAGCAGTGCGCGCGCGATTGCGCCCCGAGAGAGTGTGGCGCTGCGCTCTGCCCATGCCCCGGGGCCGCTCACCTCTTGCTGGGCGTGCCGGCGCCTCCTCCCCCGGCTCCTCCTCCTCCGCTGCGGTCGCGCTGCCGTCGGTTCTTGAACCAGTTGCTGACCTGCGTGAGCGACAGGCCGGTGTCCTGGGCCAGGCGCCGCTTCTGCTCGGGGCTCGGGTAGCGGCTGCGCCCGTACGAGTCGCGCAGGGCTGCCCGCGAGCGCCGCTTGAAGCAGTACACCGTCTCCTCGCCGTCCCAGATGGTGCTGGGCAGCGGGAACTTCTTGCGCAGCCGGTACTTGTCGACGGCGCCCAGAGCCCGGCCCCGGGCAGCTTCGGCCTCCCGGTAGCGGGCGCGCAGGTACAGGTCCTGCAGGAACGGGTGGTGCGGCGCGCCGAAGGGCCGGCTCTGCACCAGGCGGTAGAGCTCGGCGAAGTCGCCGCGCTGGAAGGCCAGCAGCGCGCGCGCCTTGGCCAAGCTCTCGCCCGCCTGCGCCTCCAGGCACGGCGCCTCGGCGTCGGGCGGCAGCGAGCCCAGGAAGCGGCCCAGCCGGCCGGGGTCGCCCGCCTGCAGCAGCGCCTCGCACACGCACGAGACCTGCTCCGCCGAGAAGCGCGGCGAGCGCGGAGGATCGGGCGCGGCGGAGGCGAGCCCCGCGCTTGGAGAGGACGCAGCAGCCGTCGCCAAACCCGATCCTCCTCCTCCAGCTCGCCGCCGCCGTCCTCTGGCTCTCGGCCGGGAGGAGCCTGCGGCGACGGGGCGGGCGCCGAAGTTGGCAGAAGTTGGCGCGCCTCCTCGGCTGCGCCCTCGTCGTCCTCCTCCTGCCTCTGCTCTCCTCCGGCGGCGGGGGCGCGCCGCCCTCCCCGGCCGGGGGCTCGGCGGGGCCCGCGGGGAAGGAGGCCATGGTCGCGGCGCGCGGGATCGCGGCCCCCCCTCGCCCGCCTCCGGCCCGCTCCCCTCCCCCTGCGCTCTGCCCTAGCCGTGCGGGTCTCCTCCCCCTGCGCCGCCGTCCCCTTTCCACATCCTAGGAGCCGCGGTCCGCCTCCCGCCCCCGGGCCGCGGCGCGGCTCCCAGCCCGGGCTGGCCTCCGCCTCCGGGGCCGCGCGCCCACCCCCCCGCGGCCCCCCAAACTTCGGAGCAACTCTCCAAACGCTTCTCCCCCGCCTCGGTCTCCCTCCTTTCCACTTCTCTTCCCCCCTTCCTTCCCTCTTTCTTTCTCTTTCTCTCCCACCCGCCTTTCCCTCTATTAACTTTCCTTTCCCCTCCCTTCGTCCTTCCTACTTTTACTCCTGGGCTCCTCCTCCCTTTGCGCAGCCACAAATCAATCTCTCTCTTTTTTCCCCTCTCTCTCTTCTTTGCTCAGACGCAAAAAAGCGCCGCTTTTTGGAAATCCGGACTGCTGTCCCCGCTGAAACGATACTTTAAAAAAGGAAGAACCCACTGGCTCTTATTTCTGTTTAAAGCAGTAGATCCCGAACTCTTTTGGCCCACTGCCCCCTTGGTTCCACAGTCACATCCCCCAGTGTCCCCTATGCTTACTCTATAGAAAGCATTACAGGGGTTAACGCGGCTCGCTAAGGAAGATATTAATAGAATTGTGCAGTTGGGGGGGGGGCCCTAACGGTCATCTAGTCTAACACCATGCAGTGCAGGAATTTCAACTATACAGTGGTACCACGGGTTAAGAACTTAATTCGTTCCGGAGGTCCGTTCTTAACCTGAAACTGTTCTTAACCTGAAGCACCACTTTAGCTAATGGGGCCTCCCACTTCTGCACGATTTCTGTTCTCATCCTGAAGCAAAGTTCTTAACCCGAGGTACTATTTCTGGGTTAGTGGAGTCTATAACCTGAAGCGTCTGTAACCTGAAGCGTCTGTAACCCGAGGTGCCACTGTAAAGCATCAGGGACAGTTGCAACACAATAAAATTCAAAACAGCGATTAGTCGCACATTCATTCAAAATCCATGTAAAACTACAGTGGTACCTCAGGTTACATATGCTTCAGGTTACAGACGCTTCAGGTTACAGACTCAGCGAACCCAGAAATAGTGCTTCAGGTTAAGAACTTTGCTTCAGGATGAGAACAGAAATCGTGCTCCGGCGGCAGCAGCAGGAGGTCCCATTAGCTAAAGTGGTCTTCAGGTTAAGAACAGTTTCAGGTTAAGTACGGGCCTCCGGAACGAATTAAGTACTTAACCTGAGGTACCACTGTACTCAGTTTAATTCAGGGGTTGGCAAACCACGGTCCGGGGGCCAGATGCGGCCCCCCAGGCTCATAGATCCGGCCCACAGACCCTGCCGCCTGCTCGGTCAGTCCCTGCATGCTGTGGACGCCTCGCTGTGCGGGGATTGACTTCCACGATGCTGGCATGGCTTCTGGGCGGGTGGCGACGCTGGCTCGGAGTCGGATTGGCTGCAGGAAGCTTCAGCGGCGCTTCAGCCAGAGCTTGGCGGGCCTGCTGGCCCCGCGCCTGGTGCCCGACGCAGCGCTGCTACTGGTGGCGCGCTTGGTGGCATAGCTGTCAATGTTTCCCTTTTTAAAAGGGAAATTCCCTTATGTGGGCGGCGCCAAGACGCGCTCCTGAGCGCGTGCAGAGTGCATTCCTGCTCCAGGTCCGGAGGCAGCTGCAGGACTTGCTTGCAGGGTACAGTGATATCTCGGGTTACAGACGCTTCAGGTTACAGACTCCGCTAACCCAGAAATAGTACCTCGGGTTAAGAACTTTGCTTCAGGATGAGAACAGAAATTGCGCGGTGGCGGTGCAGCGGCACCGTGAGGCCCAATTAGCTAAAGTGGTACCTCAGGTTAAGAACAGTTTCAGGTTAAGAACGGACCTCCAGAACGATTAAGTTCTTAACCCGAGGTACCACGGTATTTATATATTTTTCTAAATATAGTCCGGCCCCCCACAAGGTCTGAGGGACAGTGGACCTGCCCCCTGATGAAAAAGTTTGCTGACCCCTTGTTTAATTCAACAAAACTAATGGACTTGAGCTTGGGCTGCTCGGGACCTCCATGCACACTGCCCAGACTAGAGTCCTGGGGACGTCACTTTGGTGGAGGCCAACAACCAAGAAGATACCAGCCTTTCAGAGTCTGAAAGTCATTTCCATTTTCAGCAGTCCCCTGATGCCCCCAAGCATGCTCACCTGAGGTTTGGAATTGCCCAAGAAAGATGTTAAATTATTTTTGTATGCCACTACGGCGGCTCGAAACTTACTAGCTAAGAATTGGAAAACACAAGAAACACCAACAGTGGAAGATTGGCAGGTGAAGATGATGGACTTTTCAGAGCTAGCTGACCTGACTGGAAGAATCTGCGACCAGAAAGAAGAGGAATATCAAGAAGACTGGAAGAAATTCAAGGACTATTTGAATAAATATTGCAATATAAAAAAATAGAAACTACTTGAAAGGTCCAAATAGGCCTAGGATTAAATTAAGATTTAATAAAATAAATGGGATTTAGAACAGTAAGAAAAGTGAATAAGTTAGATTATAATTGGAAATATTTTTGTCTAATAATGATATTGGAAAGCTGTTACATCCAGATACAAGGAAACTCAGAAGGGAGGGACTAGAGGAAGGTCAACTAATATGTACATAAGTTTGGATATTTAAAGAATTAAGTTTGTTTTATTGTTTATTTGTTTATTGTTTTCTTCTTTGATGTTTCTTTTTTTCGTTTGTTATTCTGTTATGTGATATTTGTTATAATTGTGGAAAACCATAGATAGATAGATAGATAGATAGTATGCTCACTTGAGTGGTCCTCCCCACTTTTGGAACCACTGGGAAAGAGATTTCTTGTTTCCAAGTGGATAGCTCAATTGGTGAGAGAGTGGTGCTGGTAACGCCAAGGTTGCAGGTTCAATCCACGTATGGGGCAGAAGCCTATTCCTGCGTGGCAGGGGGTTGGGCTAGATGACCCTCAGGGTCCCTTCTGACTCTAGAATTCTGTGAATCTGGCAGAGAGAATCCCGCTGCTGCCGTTTATAGACCCTCTTGTGTTGCTGCCTCCTTGTGATGATGTGAATGAAAAAAGAAGGGGGGTTGGAAATGGCATACACAAGACACCTCCTCTGCTACTTCGCACTGTTAAACTATGGAACTCTCTGCCACTGGAGGCAGCGATGACCACCCATTTGGTTAGGGCTCTGAGAGAGGGTTGGACAAGGTTGTGGAAGATAAAGCCAGCAGTGGTTACTAGCCAGGATGCCTAAGCTCTGCCTCCATGCTCAGAGGCAGCAATGAATCCCAGTTAGTTGCTGGAAACCCCAGGAGAACAGATTAGCTCTTGAACTCGGGTCCTGTTTGCAAGTTTCCCACAGACATCTGCTTGGTCCCTGTGAGGACATGATGCTGGACTAGGTGGGACGCAGGCCTGATGCACCAAGCTATTGTTTGGTTCTCATCATTTGGATGGATGGCGGATAATGGATTGAGGTTGAATCCTGACAAGACAGAAGTACTCTTTTTGGGGGACAGGGGGCAGGTGGGTGTGGAGGACTCCCTGATCCTGAATGAAGAAGAAGAAGAAGAGTTTGGATTTGATATCCCGCCTTTCACTCCCCTTCAGGAGTCTCAAAGCGGCTAACATTCTCCTTTCCCTTCCTCCCCCACAACAAACCCTCTGTGAGGTGAGTGGGGCTGAGAGACTTCAGAGAAGTGTGACTGGCCCAAGGTCACCCAGCAGCTGCATGTGGAGGAGCGGAAACGCAAACCCGGTTCCCCAGATTACGAGACTACCGCTCTTAACCACTACACCACACTGGGGTAACTGTGCCCCTGAAGGACCAGGTGTGCAGCCTGGGAGTCATTTTGGACTCACAGCTGTCCATGGAGGCACAGGTCAATTCTGTATCCAGGGCAGCTGTTTACCAGCTCCATCTGGTACGCAGGCTAAGACCCTCCCTGCCTGCAGACTGCCTGGCCAGAGTGGTACATGCTCTGGTTATCTCCCACTTGGACTACTGCAATGCGCTCTACGTGGGGCTACCTTTGAAGATGACCCAGAAACTGCAACCAATCCAGAATGCGGCAGCTAGACTGGTGACTGGGGGCTGCCGCAGAGACCTACCGTATTTTTTGCTCTATAAGACTCACTTTTTCCCTCCTAAAAAGTAAGGGGAAATGTGCGTGCGTCTTATGGGGCGAATGCAGGCTGCGCAGCTATCCCAGAAGCCAGAACAGCAAGAGGGATTGCTGCTTTCACTGCGCAGCGATCCCTCTTGTTGTCCCGGCTTCTGAGATTCAGAATATTTTTTTTCTTGTTTTCCTCCTCCAAAAACTAGGTGCGTCTTGTGGTCTGGTGCGTCTTATAGAGCGAAAAATACGGTACATTGGCTCCCAGTACGTTTCCAAGCACAATTCAAAGTGTTGGTGTTGACCTTTAAAGCCCTAAATGGCCTCGGTCCAGTAGACCTGAAGGAGCATCTCCACCCCCATTGTTCTGCCCGGATGCTGAGGTCCAGCTCTGAGGGCCTTCTGGCAGTTCCCTCATTGTGAGAAGCAAAGCTACAGGGAACCAGGCAGAAGGCCTTCCCGGTAGCGGTGCCCGCCCTATGGAAAGCCCTCCCATCAGATGTCAAAGAGATCAACAACTACCTGACATTCAGAAAACATCTTAAGACAGCCCTGTTCAGGGAAGTTTTTAATGTGTGACATTTTAGTGTATTTTTGGTCTTTGTCGGAAGCCGCCCAGAGTGGCTGGGGAAACCCAGCCAGATGGGCGGGGTACAAATAATAAATTATTATTATTATCCACCCTGCCTTGTCCTGACTTCAGGAGTTCCCAAACGCCTCCCCACCCAGGAAAATTGCTGGACCGCTTAATGCTCTCCCTTTTTTTTTTGCCCACTGTTGCAATGGTAATGCTCTTTACTAATGTTAATATATGTTGAATTTTTATTAACACTGGAAAGAACAAAGATAAGAACAGCATACAGAAATAAACATCAAATATCAAGCGTTTTTAAAACATAAAAATGAAGAGAGAGACAAGGACCACAGCAATCCACTGAGGCAGGCATCTCTTGAAAGTGCTGCGGTGGAATCGTGGCCCTCACTTTGGGAATCCCTGATCCTTGGCCATATTACAGAGGACTAGAAACCGTGGCCTCCCTGGTTCCTGTCACCCTTCCCTATGTCAGGCATTGTCAACCGTTTTGGGGCCTGCAAGTGCCTTTGCAAAATGGAGAAACTCGTGGGCATCACACAAGCCAACCACATACCACAACCTGGTGCAGGGGTCAGCAAACTTTTTCAGCAGGGGGCTGGTCCACTGTCCCTCAGACCTTCTGGGGGGGGCGGACTATATTTTTTTTGGAGGGGGGGAATGAACGAATTCCTATACCCCACAAATAACCCAGAGATGCATTTTAAAGAAAACCACACATTCTACTCATGTAAAAACACCATGTTGTTGTTCTTGTTTAGTTGTGTCCGACTCTTCGTGACCCCCTGGACCAGAGCACGCCAGGCACTCCTGTCTTCCACTGCCTCCCGCAGTTTGGTGAGACTCATGCTGGTAGCTTCGAGAACACTGTCCAACCATCTCGTCCTCTGTCGTCCCCTTCTCCTTGATCTTTCCCAACATCAGGGTCTTTTCCAGGGAGTCTTCTCTTCTTATGAGGTGGCCAAAGTACTGGAACCTCAGCTTCAGGATCTGTCCTTCCAGTGAGCACTCAGGGCTGATTTCCTTCAGAATGAATAGGTTTGATCTTCTTGCAGTCCATGGGACTCTCAAGAGTCTCCTCCAGCACAATAATTCAAAAGCATCCATTCTTCGGCAATCAGCCTTCTTGATGGTCCAGCTCTCACTTCCATACACTATGTAGGCCCCACAAATAACCCAGAGATGCATTTTAAATAAAAGGACACATTCTACTCATGTAAAAACACGCTGATTCCCGGACCATCTGCGGGCCGGATTTAGAAGGTGATTGGGCCGGATCCGGCCCCCGGGCCTTAGTTTGCCTACCCACAACCTAGTCTGTTAGCTACAATAGAATGCTTTTTAAAAGCCTAATTTCAGTGGGGCAGGGCTGCCGAGAACAGGTTGGGGCCCAGTGAGAAAAAATATTTGAGCCCTTCCCCGCAGTAAGGGCAAACCAGCTAAAGATCTTCGCACGGGAAATAAAATATGTAAATGCATTGTCTCATTTTTATGTTGACGATAAATAGGCGCTCGCTTTGGCAGCACATATACTAAAATTGAAACGATACAGAGAAGATTAGCGATAAATAGGGATAATCTTTGAACCTGTTGCAAGTATTAATCTCCTAATGACTAATATCAATAAGCACCCACACAATCATCCCTGAGCTAAGCGTAGACTGCAAATGTCAAGCTTGCATGTGCATCACGACACAAATGTGTATCAGACAACGGTGTCAAAGTTTTTAATGTTTGTTGTTTTATTGTGTTTTTAATATTCTTTTATGGGACGCGGGTGACTCTGTGGGTTAAACCACAGAGCCTAGGACTTGCCGATCATAAGGTCGGCAGTTCGAATCCTGTGATGGGGTGAGCTCCCGTTGCTTGGTCCCTGCTCCTGCCAACGTAGCAGTTCGAAAGCATGTCAGAAGTGCAAGTAGATAAATAGGTACCGCTCTGGCGGGAAGGTAAACGGCGTTTCCGTGCGCTGCTCTGGTTCGCCAGAAGCGGCTTAGTCATGCTGGCCACATGACCCAGAAGCTGTACGCCCTCGGTCAATAAAGCGAAATGAGCGCCGCAACCCCAGAGTCGGTCACGACTGGATCTAATGGTCAGGGATCCCTTTACCTTTACCTTTACCTTTAATATTCTGTTGGGATCCACCCAGAGTGGCTGGGGAAACCCAGCCAGATGGGCAGGATATAAAATTATTATTATTATTATTATTATTATTATTATTATTATCATCATCATCCACATCAAACATCAACATCATCACAAAAACAGGGAACAGAGACTGCACAGAATAAGATGTGCTGCCTTGCTGTCAAAGTACAAGGGTGAATGTTCAAATAGAGTGGCAAAATGCTCGGTTCACGGCACAAGGCCGCAAGCCGTTTCTTTCAGCATTGTGTGTGCACTGAACACGATACCTATACGGTTAAGAACGGAGCTCCGGAACAAATTAAGCTCGCAACTAGAGCTACCACTGTATATTGTTAAGAATTAAATAAAGCATGTGCAAAATAGTCAGGGCCCCTTCTAGACTGCTGGGCGCAGAAATTTGTACCGGCTTCCCTTTCCCCTTTGCCATCTGCCTGGAGGGAGGCAGTTGCGAGTGCCAGCCAAGACCTCGATGGGCATGAGTACACAGGTGCCACGTTGGCGATGGCCTGGCCTACGTCCTTGCGCGCTTTCCGGCTCCTGAATCGGTCTTGCGATGGAGCGCCAGAAAAAGCTAACAGGTCCACTCTGGAGAGAAACTGGGGGTTTCGCTTCCAGGAAAATGCGCGGCGGGTGGGTAGCTTAAGTGATGCAACTCAGTAATTTTAGACTCTGGGCTTTAATGCTCTTGCAGGGAGGGGAGGCGGACTCTGCAGTTGTGTGTGTTCACTTACAAAATGTGGAGAACTAGTCCTGCTGTTGTCTTTGTCCATGGAGTTTTCTTAGCAGGGATACTGGAGTGGCTTGCCAGTTCCTCCTCCAGGTGGATCATGTTTGGTCAAAACTCTCCACTATGACCTATTCATCTTGGGTGCCCTGCTGGTAGTTCATAGCTTCTCTGACTTATTCAAGCCCCTTCGCCACAGCAAGGCAGTGATTGAATTCTGGTGCTGAGGAGACTCTTGAGAGTCCCATGGTCTGCAGGAAGATCAAACCTCTCCATTCTGAAGGAAATCAGCCCTGAGTGCTCACTGGAAGGACAGATCCTGAAGCCGAGGCTCCAGTACTTTGGCCACCTCATGAGAAGAGAAGACTCCCTGGAAAAGACCCTGATGTTGGGAAAGATGGAGGGCACAAGGAGAAGGGAACGATAGACGATGAGATGGTTGGATAGTGTTCTCAACGCTACCAGCATGAGTTTGACCAAAGTGCAGGAGGCAGTGGAAGACAGGAGTGCCTGGCATGCTCTGGTCCATGGGGTCACGAAGAGTCGGACACGACTAAACAACTAAACAACAAGTCCTGCTGCGTCTGTGGGGAGGGGAACTTGCTCATTCTGCAGAGTGGGGCTCTGGATGTCTGCCTTAAAGTCCTGGCTAAGCGTTGCCGTTGTTAATTACCCCATTTCTTCCTTGCTACCTGGGTCCACCCTCTACCCGCTTTGCGATCACTCTATGGACTAATTTGCAGGCTAGGCACAAGAGGTCACTGTTGTACATGGAAACTGGACCGGTTAACCAAGGACTCAAACCTCTCCTGGCTTACTTACAGAATGAAGTGGGGCTACTCCCTAAGAGTTGTTACCCCAGGGTAACAAACCCCTGTTCACTCAAATAAGAGTGTTTTGGTCACCCCCACCAAGCCACTGCTACTGGGATAATTTGCAGAGTGCTGAGTTTCTTTAGGGAGGGAGTGACGATCAGCCCCATATGTACACACACTGGAGGTTGGGAAAACCACAACTTTTCTTACAGTGAAACGAAAGTGAAATAGAGGCCTCTGATCTTGCCTCGCACATGTCAACTCCATGTGGACCAGTGCCGGATTTACGTATAAGCTAAACAAGCTATAGCTTAGGGCCCTGCTCTGTTGGGGGTCCCAAAAAAAATCTAAAGGGAAAAAACCCCAGGATGTACATTTCCAAAACGTAAGATAAAAAACAAATAAAATAAAACCTACATACAGCAACAGTATTTTGTGTTGCAGAGACATCACCTTGCCAACAAAGGTCCGTATAGTAAAAGCTATGTTTTCCCCAGTAGTGATGTATGGAAGTGAGAGCTGGACCATAAAGAAGGCTGATCGCCGAAGAATTGATGCTTTTGAATTATGGTGCTGGAGGAGACTCTTGAGAGTCCCATGGACTGCAAGAAGATCAAACCTCTCCATTCTGAAAGAAAACAGCCCCGAGTGCTCACTGGAAGGACAGATCCTGAAGCCGAGGCTCCAATACTTTGGCCACCTCATGAGAAGAGAAGCCTCCCTGGAAAAGACCCTGATGTTGGGAAAGATGGAGGGCACAAGGAGAAGGGGACGACAGAGGACGAGATGGTTGGACAGTGTCCTAGAAGCTACCAGCATGAGTTTGACCAAATTGCGGGAGGCAGTGGAAGACAGGAGTGCCTGGCGTCCTCTGGTCTACGGGGTCACGAAGAGTTGGACACGACTAAACAACAACAACATATATTCAACACACAAAAACAGCGCCAATTTGTTGTTGACAAAGGACAGCTGGACATGTAAAGGGCCCCATTACCTTCAGTAGCTGAGGGCCTCATCAAACCTAAATCTGGCCCTGATGTGGACTCTGATGCACACCTCCCCACCTGACACAAAAGTAAGCCAGCTGGAATAGCTCATTCGGTAGAGCATGAGACTTAAATCTTGAGATTGTGGGTTTGAGCCCCACATTGGTAGAAAGGGGGTGCATTGAAGGGGGTTGGACTAGATGACCCTCGTGGTCCCTTCCAATTCTACGATTCTAACCCCGCTCTTCCTCATCCCTACTGCTGCCTCCAGAAAGCCAGGCCACTGCTGGGAAGGGATTGCTGCCCCTTGTCTTTGCTTCTGACAAGAGCACCTTCCTTTCTTCTAGAACATGGGTAGGCAAACTAAGACCTGGGGGCCGGATCCGGCCCAATCACCTTCTACGGGACCGCCTCTCCTGGTATGTCCCACAGAGGAACTTACGATCTTCAAACAAAAACATCTTGGAGATCCCAGGCCACAGGGAGGTTAGGCTGGCCTCAACCAGAGACAGGGCTTTTTCGGCTGTGGCTCTGATCTGGTAGAACGCTCTGCCACAAAAGACTAGGGCCCTGCGGGACTTTACATCTTTCCACAGGGCCTGCAAGATAGAGCTGTTCCACCAGGCCTTTGGCCAGGGCACAGCCTGACTCCCTCCTTTGGCAATCTTCACAGAACTCTACCCAATGGTTGCCATCAATTAGATTTGAAGTAATTTTTTAATGAAATGATTTTAAAATGTTGTCTTATTTTATTGTTGTTAGCCGCCCTGAGCCCGGCTTCGGCTGGGGAGGGCGGGATATAAATAAAAATTTCTTCTTCTTCTTCTTCTTCTTCTTCTTCTTCTTCTTCTTCTTCTTCAATCCAGCCCACGGATGGTCCGGGAATCAGCATATTTTAACATGAGTAGAATGTGTCCTTTTATTTAAAATGCATCCCTGGGTTATTTGTGGGGCCTGCCTGGTGTTTTTACATGAGTAGAATGTGTGCTTTTATTTGTGGGGCACAGGAATTTGTTCATTTCCCCACCCCCAATATAGTCCGGCTCCCCACAAGGTCTGAGGAACAGTGGACCGGCCCCCTGCTGAAAAAGTTTGCTGACCGCTGTTCTAGAACTACAAATCCTCTGTAAGATGGCCTTTAGGGGAAGGGTTGCAGAAGGACCCTGGTTTAATTCCCAGCATCTCCAGTTAGTCTGTCACTGGTCCTTTGCAGGCTCTCCTCTCCCAACTCCCTCCAAGGCATGCAAAGTTTTTTGGAAAGGGGACCCCTTGGGAGAAAGAGGGTTTGCAAAGGACTGGGTTGGAGCGAGTCTCTGTGGGCCTGGCCCAATATCATCCCGAAAGGGAGGGCGCCAGCTGCCTTCATGCAGCCAAAAGTCCTGCTTGCTCCGTCCCTCGATTTAGGCTCCAGGAATGTCTCTGTTGTTCTAAACTTAGCTCGGTGGAGACTGGCCAGTGGAAGGGGGGGGGGAGGGCGCTTCGGCAGCAGAGCCTGTGGCCCCGATCCCAGCATACCGCTCCTACTATATATATTTATATTATTTGTTTTTTAACATAATTTTCAACAGTAATTAAACATACTTTTACATATTACTCAATTTTTTTGACTTCCGTCTGTCCTGTCTGAAAATTTCCCAATCTAATCTCTTGGTATGCATTTCTTATTTTCCCTATTACATTTCAAAATCGTAACCAATCTCTCTCTCTTTTTCTACTTCGTAACACTTCGTATATTTCTCCTTACAAAACGTCTTGTAGTCCTACTAGCGTAATTTGTTGATTACAGTTGCTCTTCAAATAATTCATATACTTATTCCAATCTACTTTAAATCTCTGGTTTCAGGGAACCAGGCAAAGGGCCTTCTCGGTAGTGGCACCCGCCCTGTGGAACGCCCTCCCGTCTGATGTCAAAGAGAACAACAACTACCAGACTTTTAGAAGACATCTGAAGGCAGCCCTGTTTAGGGAAGCTTTTAATGCTTAATAGGTTATTGTATTTTAGTGTTCTGTTGGAAGCCGCCCAGAGTGGCTGGGGAAACCCAGCCAGATGGGCGGGGTATAAATAATAATAATAATAATAATAATAATTATTATTATTCCTGATTTAGTTAATTCATTGGCCTTTTTTGTGGCTCTGCCTATCTGCAGAGGCTGCCAAGGTAGAGAAGACCATGGTGCCAATGGCAAGTGCTTTATGGCTGAGTTGCACCTCTAAACCCGTTCAGTGGCTCCATGGGTAGCTGATGTGGGGTCATCTGGAGGACTCCAGTTCCCATCATTCCCAGCCAGCATGCTCAGTGGTGAGAGTGTTGGGTACCCCTGCCCTAGACGTTTATTACAGTTGTGGTGTCATCGGAACTTGTGGCATTTGGGAGCTATGGGGGCTTCCAGACTGCCACGGTTTTCAGGTGGGGGCCAACAACATCAACACCCCACCCACCCACCTGCAACAACAACAACAATATAGGTTTGTTTTTTTAATAAGGACAGAGAAATGTTCAGGAAAGTGCCGGATAACACAACATTGTATAACCTGCCAACAAATCGGAACTAAATAGATGACCCCGTCTAACCTGAGATGAGTAGGTAACAATTTATGTTATGAGAATCTGAGGTATTTCTTCTCATAATTGCATTCATAGAACTACTTTAGTTTTTGTATTATATAGACATGTTTTGTATCTGACATGTTCGTTACATTTAAATGCTGTAAACCTCCTGTGGTCTTTTGAAGAAGGGCAGTATCTAAATTTAAGAATAATCTCCCCACAAATTTAGGTGAAACAAATCACCTAATGCTCCAGAAGCTGGTTGTAGATGGAGAGACACCCGAATTTCAGCTTTGTTTTTATTAATTTGATTTCTAATTCGTTCAAGTGGTCTACAAACCGCTTATACAGTTGTACTTCGGGTTAAGAACTTAATTGTTCCGGAGGTCCATTCTTAACCTGAAACTGTTCTTAACCTGAAGCACCACTTTAGCTAATGGGGCCTCCCACTGCCGCCACACTGCCGATGCACGATTTCTGTTCTCATCCTGAAGCAAAGTTCTTAACCCAATGTACTATTTCTGGGTTAGCGGAGTCTGTAACCTGAAGCGTCTGTAACCCGAGGTACCACTGTAAACCAAAATCATCTCTCCAAGCGGTGTACTGAAAAGACCACACAGGAAAGGTAAAAATCAGTTAAAACTAAAGAAACAGACTTTCTTCCTGGAAGAATAAAGGGGTGGGTGGGAAAATCTTTGCCAGGCATCGGAAGTCGTTTTAACAGGAATGCCCAGTTCTGAGCCTGCTTGGTTTGGAAGAAAGTTCTGTTCCCAGTTTGTGGGGAGGGGGCTTCCTTCGCAGTCAAAAGAACGGAGGGGGTGCCTGTCACAAAAAGCAGAGCTTTCCTTGCCCTTTCAGGGTCCAGGGTGGGGAATCAGGTGGAGTAGAGAGGTTCTGATCAAGGGCCAAGCTGTGTAATTCTGCTTGCCTGACGCTGGCTCCATCTTCCCTGTGCCCCACCATCAGCTGTCAGGTTATAATGGAGCCTGGGTTCTAGGGAGACTGTAGTGGAGCTCTGTGGCTGGGGAAAGGGAGAGAGAGAGAGAAAGCAGGAGAGAGAGAGCTGAGAAGGGGTTAAAGAGGAGTCCAGCCTCTTGGCCTCGAACTCCATTCCTGGGGCCTTTAAATGGGCATGGGGTTGTTTGTGCCTGTGGCTGCTGCTGCAAGTCCCTGGCACAGAGGCATCCCAGGCTGGGCTGGGCTGGGCAGGAAGGGCAGGGTGTGGTCAGGAGACGGGGGGGGGGGGCTCTTTCTGGGGTAAACTGAGCCAGGGGAGGCGGGGGGAGAGACAGGACTTTGCAAGTTGGCTCAGGAGAGCCACTGCCAAAATTTGCGCAAGGTTTCTTTTTGTAGTGCGCAAAAGCGAAGGAAGAGGGGGAGACCCGGGTCTTGCACGTTTGTGGGGCCTGGACGCTAGGGGAAAAAGGTTGGGTGTGCTTGTGTGATTCAAGGGGAGAGCTGCTGGTGAGAGGGAGGGGGCGAGGGGTGTTTGTCCATGTGAGAGAGTGGGGGCAGGGGAGGAGCGTGGGTGTGTTTTCGGACCACAGAAAAGGAGGAACAACGGTGCTCAAGGCAGCATAAAGGACGGGGACAGTGGCGTGCGCTAGGGACGAGAGCGCACAAGCCCATGTGTGCCCGGCGAGAAAGACTGGCAGTTCCGACAGCCTGAGAGAGGAAAAAGTCTGGGAAAGTTTGTGCGGGGAGAAGGCTGAATGTGAGACAGAGAGAAAGAGTCAGGCGCATCTCCAGCAGCTGCCAGAAAGCTGCTCTCTCCATTCTGGACCACCCTGTGGACTTCTAGAAGCCGGGTTGATCGCCCAGGAAGGAGAAGACTGTGCCCCCCATGGGGCAGGGGGGTGCCAGCCTGGCATAGAGGACGCAAGCCAGGGCGGCTCCTGCCAGCTGTCCCTGGATGTGGCTGGAGGCACGGCAGCCGCTGGGGTGCCCTCTGCCCCCGCCATGGCTGCCGAGGTGCGACTGAAGAAACTGGAGGAGCTGGTCCTGGACCGGAGCGCTGTGGGTCTGGAGACCTTGGTAGACCTTCTGCTCTGTGTGCACCACGAGCTGAGCACGTCGCCCCTCGCCCAGGAGAAATACATCATGGAGTTTTTACAGTGGGGTGAGTCTGCCTGATCCTTGCTGGAACCCTTCCTATCCAGGCTTGCAAATAGCCACTGGCCCGGTAGCCAGACCAGTGGCGTAGCGTGGGTTGTCAGCACCCGGGGCAAGGCAAGTAATTTGCGCCCCCTAACCCGTGGATTTGCGCACCCTAACCCTAACCCCCAGATGTTGCGCCCGGTGCGGCCGGCCCCCCCTGCACCCCCCACGCTACGCCACTGAGCCAGACAGGGAAGCCTTTTCAAAGTAAAAGAAAAAAAGAGGGAGATAGTCTCCTTTTTCTGTTGTTGTGCCATAGCCAACCTCCTTAGAGCTAGTAAAAATGGGCTTGTGGCTTTTTGGGGGGGACATATTAGCTCATCTTTCTTTACCTGTGCCCAGATCCCACAAGCTGCCCTTTAATACTGGAATCTGAGGCCCCTTTCTCTCTCCCAGTGACTATTTTACATTGCGCTTCCTGAATGTTCTCCTATAGTTGCCTTGTTGGTCTTTAGCAATGATCTTATAAGGTAGGCTTTTCCCCTGTTGCTTGTCTCCAGCTAGAGTGATAGACTGCCTCTGTTCCTGGATGTTCCACTTAGCTATTATGGTCAATAGCCATCGATACACCTCCACTCCTCAATGGGTTTGTTAAACCCCATAAAGTCATTCCACCTTAGTGTTCCGGTTTTGCAGAAGGGGGGAAACCGAGGCCCTGGAATCACACAATTTGCAGATTTGGCTACAAAACCAGTGTCTCCTATATTCTCGGCAGTGACACACCCACCCATGTCCATCTAAACTTGATTTGTTCTCTCGCCGCCCTGCCCGATTTAGAAACCTGGTTAGCTCTTGCACACTCTGTGCTGTTTCCTTTCCCCGCCTCCCCCAAACGGATCTTTCCCCTGTGCCTTGGTTTCCCTCTTGTCCCTACAGCTTCCCTCCTCCTTTGTGATGATCTCATCTTTGCTCCCCTGGGTTTGCCAGTGAGTAGAGCCACAGCTCATACTTTTAAGAACCTCCTGCAAGGAGTGGCCTCTGTATAGAGCTGTTATTGATACTAGTAGCCCATGCCTGTCCCCTCACTTCCCACCCTAGGCTGGTGGTCGTCCTGCCGTCCAGGACCTCGAAACCTTGTGAATCAGGTCCAACAGGATAGCTCAGCTGGTTAGAGCTGATAATCCGAAGGTTGCAGTTTCGATCCCCCATTGGGACAGCCGCAAATTCCTGCATTGCAGGGGGTTGGACTAGATGACCCTCAGGGTCCCTTCCAACTCTGTTATTCTATGAAAACAGGCTAGCCCCTACCCCTGCTAGCGTAAGTTAAGAGTTGAAGTAGGATTTGGGAGTCAAGGGTTCACATCTCAACTTGGCCCAAGAAGCTTGTTGGGAAATATTGGCTAGTGTCTCTCTCTGGATGGATCTACACACAGGAAAAAAACCCCCAGCTATAAATAAGTCATAAATTAAATTGTTACAACAAAAGGGAAAAAAAACACTATGTAAAATCTCATAGAAAAGTTTTGTGCTCTACAGCACCATCTGGTGTTGCATGTTTATAATGCATTTAAAACACTGTTGTTGTAGCTGAGTCCTCTCAGCCTAGCCTACCTCACAAGGTTGTTTTGAGGATAAAATGAGAGCTATGTAAGCCAGTTTAAATTCCTTGGACGAAAGGCAGGATATAAATTTAAGAATACTGCCCCAGGCTCTTTCGGGAGGAATGTCAATTGAATGAGTAATATAAAAGAAATCCAGTAATAAATGAAATAGCATGTTGAAGACCCCAAAAGGAAAAAAATTCGTTTGCGGATGACAAGCTTTTCCTGGCTGGTTGCTTGCGGTTCATTTCTTCCTCTCGTTGGTGGTGCTGGTGGGGTTGAGGAGTGGGGAGATCAACAAATTGCACCCAGAAAAACGTTTGGTTCCAATGCAGGGGGTTGGACTAGATGACCGTTTGGACCCCTTCTGGCTCTACAGATTCTGTGATGGGAATCTCCTTTACACCAAACGGGGCATCTTCGTGCCATCTGTACAGGGGTCCTTTTTTTAAAAAAAATGAAAAAATGAAAAACCATTTAATCTATTGTGTAATGACACTTCTTCTTTGGCGATCCCTCATAGTCGAGTAAGATTGTCTTCCATAAACATGGTTTTAACAAGGAGTCCGTAAGTGACTGTGGAGGCCAATTCTGGATCCACACGTCCTTCCACAGTGGGTTTCCAGGTGGGAGTTGATCACGGTGTGGATTTGCCAAGCATGCCTTCCTCTTTGCACGTTTCTCCCTTGCGTCCTGAGTTCGAGTGTCTTCAAAGCCCATGACACCTTTGGTAAAGGCTGTTCTCCAACTGGAGTGCTCACAGGCCAGTGTTTCCCAGTTGTCAGTGTTTATACTACATTTTTTTTAGATTTGCCTTGAGATAGTTTCTAAACCTCTTTTGTTGACCACCAGCATTACCCGAATGAGGTGTGGAAGGCTGGATTTCTGCCTTTGATTTTTGTGGCTCCCCACACTCACGCCCAACGAAGGTTGCTTTTCCCCTTGCCTGGGAAGGCCAGAGCAGGCCTCAGGACCTGCTCATCGTGTCCCTTGATTCTCATCAGCCCCACTGTGGCCAAAGATTAGTCCTGGAGGCACGATCTCTCAGAATCACAGATTTGGAGTTGGGAGTTGAAAGGGACCTCTCAGGGTCATCTAGTCCAACCCGCCCCCGCAGTGCAGTTCTTCACTTTGAATTTCCCAGGTTTTTCACGCAGCGGATGCTTGCATCTCGTGCTTATTGGCTCTTGGTTGGGTTGCTAGTCGCATTTTTAGAGAACGGGCAAATTCCCTGCTTGTTTCCCACCCCACATTTGGTGTTTCATTTAAGGTGCTTTAACCCCATGGCCAACTGCTTAGAGTTGCGTTTCAGCAGGAGCGGCAGAGAAGCTGCCCGCAGAAATAAATAAATATAGAAATGGAAGCGTTCGAGAGGGCAGGGAATGCAAGGCGCTGAGCTCGCAGTCAAACACACCAAAAGCCCACACCGTATCCTGCCTACAGTTCACATGCTGGGGAGAAACCCACATATTCCAGCTCCCTTTGCTCTGATCTGTTTGTTGTTTGAGTGCCAGCCGGCAGGCCTTGAACAGCTGTGAATAACGTACAGTAATGGGATTTTCGCCTTTCTTTCCTTTGAAGTGTACAGAAGCTGGGGATAGGATGCTGTCCTCCTCTTCTTCTTTAAATAGAAACAGGTTTTAATACCAGTCTTATTCAGGGTGGTGTGCCTTTTTAGGGTTTAGTTCTGGAAATCGGGTCGGTTCCTGGTGGATATCAGCACCCTGCGAACTGTTGCAGCTGGAAGTTGCGGGGAACGCATTTGTGCACCAAGAAGAAACCATGAACTGCCCTCACCCCTTCCTGTGGCCACTTCTGCCATGCGTGAATAAATTTGAAAGCGGTTAGTCAGTGCAGTGTAGCAGTTTGGGTATCAGACTAGGATCTGGGCCAGTCTTCTCTCAGACCGGCGTACCTCGCAAGGTTGCAGTGGGGATTACTTGAGGAGGGGGAGATTCGTGTACATCACGCTTTGAGCTCCTTGGAGAAAGAAATGTGGAATATAATGGCAAATAATGAATCTTCAGGGATCAATCTAAAAGTTATTGCAGTTCAAGCATGCCTGGAATTTAAGTGTTTTGATCCAGGCACCCCCCCTTCTGCTGAACCCAGGCGGGTAGAACTTACATGCAAAGGAGGTTCTAATTACTGAATAGCGAGAGAGGCACTTTGCACATGTCTAGGTGTCATCTTGCTCCTGTTTGGACAATTCCAGAGCTGAGCCCTGGCACTGAACCACGTCTGTGTATGTGTGCGCGGAACGGAGCCCTCAAAGTCCTTGCTGACATTTTACGGACTCATAAAAAACCCTTTCAGTAGCACGTGCCAGCGATCAGGAGTTCCCGGCTACATGTTTGTTTGTGTTTTGTGTTTTTTCTAAAATAAGAGGCTCTAGTCTTTGGAACTGCAAAGGGAACTTCCTGGAAAACGGCGAGCCGCCTTTGCAAAGAGGACTCTGGGCAGCGCGGTGGCCGTATTATTTGTTGTCCTTGTTCAGTTCTCTTGCAGTCTCTCGCAAGCTTTGTGTTAGCTTCAGCAGAAAGGGAGAGAGCGGACAAGGGAGGGTTGTGCAGACTGTTCTGGCAGCTTCCTTTTCAACACCGCCGCCACAGCAAAGCACGCACGCCATCCCACCCCCTTGGCGGTGCACAGACTGCCTTTTGTGGACAAGATGGCATAGCCCTACCCCCTTTACCAGGGAGATCCGGCCGTGCGTGTTCCTGCGACGGCCGGGGCTCGTGTGAGATGTTGCTTGGGCCGCGGAGACTTTGCAAAACGCCATAAAAGGCTGCATGCTATGGACATGCACTCTCCATGTGCCCGTTTGGCTCCCTCGCGTCGTCTTCCTCGCCTCCTCCTCCTTCTCTCCCCCCCTCTCCCTGCTCCCCACTCCAACACCATGCTATTGGGGGCGGGGGGCCTCAGTTCCAGGCCTAACACATGCTTGCAATCTCTGCTCATTTCTGTGCCATTAATTTCCTATCGTCGTGAGAATGGCACCAAACGGAGAGGGGTAGCTCATGCTGCAGAAGACAGAATCGGGATTCAAAATGATCTTAACATGTGGGAGAGCTGGGCCCACCCAAGCTAATAAAATGAATTTCAGTAGAGACAAATGTAAGGTTCTGCACTTGGGCAGGAAGAACCAGATGCGCAAATATAAGACAAGGGACACTTGGCTTACTAGCAGTTCATGCGAAAAGGATTTAGGGGTCTTGGTGGACCACAAGCTTAATATGAGTCAACAGTGTGATGCAGCAGCAAAAAAAGCAAATGCTATTCTAGGCTGTGGCATCAACAGAAGTCTAGTGTCTAGAGATCAAGGGAAGTTATAAAGGTAAAGGTAAAGGACTCCTGACAGTTAAGTCTAGTCGCGGACAACTCTGGGGTTGCGGCTCTCATCTCGCTTTATTGGCCGAGGGAGCCGGCGTACAGCTTCCAGGTCATGTGGCCAGAATGACTAATGGCGAACCAGAGCAGCGCACGGAAACGCCGTTTACCTTCCAGCTGGAGTGGTACCTATTTATCTACTTGCACTTGCTTTCAAACTGCTAGGTTGGCAGGAGCAGGGACCAAGCAACGGGAGCTCACCCCATCATGGGGATTCGAACCGCCGGCCTTCCGATCGGCAAGCCCTAGGCTCTGTGGTTTAGACCACAGCGCCACCCGCATCCCACAAGGGAAGTAATAGTGCCACTCTATTCTGCCATGGCCAGACCACACCTGGAATACTGTGTCCGATTCTGGGCACCAAAATTTAAGAAGGATGTTGACAAGCTGGAAGGTAGGCAGTGGAGGGCAACCAAGATGATCAAGGTTCTGGAAACCAAGCCTGATGAGGAATGGTTGAGAGAGTTGGGCATGCTTAGCCTGGAAAAGAGGAGACTGAGAGGAGATATGAGAACCATCTTCACATACAGTGGTATCTCGGATTAAGAACTTAAGTTGTTCCGGAGGTCCGTTCTTAACCTGAAGCACCACTTTAGCTAATGGGGCCTCCCGCTGCCGCCACCATGCGATTTCTGTTCTCATCCTGAAGCAAAGTTCTCAACCCAAGGTACTATTTCTGGGTTAGCGGAGTCTGTAACCTGAAGCGTCTGTAACCTGAGGTACCACTGTATCTCAAGGACTGTCATATGGAAGAGGGAACAAGTTTGTTTTCTCCGGGTCTGGAGGGTAGGACTTGAACAAGGAAGGAGATTCTGGCTAAACATCAGGAAGAACTTCCTGACAGTAAGAGCTGTTTGATAGTAGGTCTCTGTCGAGAGCCGGTGGACCTTCCTTGGCGGTTTTTAAGCAGAGGTTGGATAGATTAGGCTGAAGAATCGCCGAAGAATTGATGCTTTTGAATTATGGTGCTGGAGGAGACTCTTGAGAGTCCCATGGACTGCAAGAAGATCAAACCGATCCATTCTTAAGGAAATCAGCCCTGAGTGCTCACTGGAAGGATAGATTCTGAAATCTGTCCAGGCAAGGACTCCCTGGAAAAGACCCTGATGTTGGGAAAGATGGGGGGGCACAAGGAGAAGGGGACGACAGAGGACGAGATGGTTGGACAGTGTTCTCGAAGCTACCAGCATGAGTCTCACCAAACTGCGGGAGGCAGTGGAAGACAGGAGTGCCTGGCGTGCTCTGGTCCATGGGGTCACGAAGAGTCGGACACGACTAAACAACTAAACAACGAAAACAGGGAGCTTCCTTATATAGGTTACAGACGCTTCAGGTTACAGACGCTTCAGGTTACAGACTCTGCTAACCCAAAAATAGTACCTCGGTTTAAGAACTTTGCTTCAGGACGAGAACAGAAATCGTTCTCCCGTGGCAGCAGGAGGCCCCTTTAGCTAAAGTCTGTTTCAGGTTAAGAACAGTTTCAGGCTAGGAACGGACCTCCGGAATGAATTAACTACGTAATCAGAGGTACCACTGTAACCGAGTCCTATTTGGGGAATACCGAATTCAGCCTCGACCACACTGACCGGCAGTAGGCTCTCCAGTAGATGCCATGGGGGGGGACTGAACCTGAGATTTGCATGCAAAAGACGATGCTCTAACCACTGAGCTATGGCCCTGCCCCAGCAAATGACCAACCCTGTAGGATACTGAAGGCCAGCAAGCTGCCTGTTATGTATGTGATTATATTTTTGCTGCCCTTGGTTTGGGGGGAGGGAATTATTCGGATTTTCTGAAGCAGGATTAAAAGTTCGAGGAGGGTGGAAGGGTTTCTAAAAAAGCAAGAAGGTTAGTACAGTGATACCTCAGGTTACATACGCTTCAGGTTAAATACGCTTCAGGTTACAGACTCCGCTAACCCAGAAAAAGTGCTTCAGGTTTAGAACTTTGCTTCAGGATGAGAACAGAAATCGTGCTCCGGCGGCGCAGCAGCAGCAGGAGGCCCCATTAGCTAAAGTGGTGCTTCAGGTTAAGAACAGTTTCAGGTTAAGAACGGACCTCCAGAACAAATTAAGTACTTAACCCGAGGTACCACTGTAGCATAATCCCAGTGTTTTTTTTCTTAAAAAAATGTTTAGGGGTACTCTCATTTTGACTCAAGAAAATCACCATTTTATAGTTCGAACCGGGGGAAATAAATACCGTAAATGGACAGAAGTACAAGATTCAAAAAATGTTTAGGGGTATGCGTACCCCTGTGTCCTCCCAGGAAAAAAGCACTGCGGAATCTTATGTATGTTTAGTAAGCCCCACAGATTTCAATGCATGAATCTTTTGCCAAACGTCGGACGCAAAGCCACGACTCTGAGATTAAGAGTCGCAGGTGCTCTTTCTCTCTCTCTCTCTCTCTCTCTCTCTCTCTCTCTCTCTCTGAGGGACCTTTGGGTATATATTGTAGAACTGTAGAATCCATCAACCTTTGCTGCCAGAGGATCAGCTGCGGTTGTCGATTGGCAAAAAGCACTCTGCACGTGCTCTGGAGCACCCTCTCTGGCGGCGTTTCTGCAAAAACCCCGTGGCTGAGGCCCGGCACGGAAACAGTTTCTGAGTGCAAGCCCCACCTTTGGGCTTCGGCAGGCTTTCGTCCTGGAAAAGTTTCCATGCACAGGAATTCCACAAACACACACATACAAAAACCCTCTGTTCTCCCGTGCTAGTATGCAAGAGAGTCTCCGAGGGCCCTGCTTGGAATCTGAGAATTGCTGCAAGCCCAGATTCCCAACCCATCATCTCCTGCCCGAAATAGGAAGCCACCGAAAAGGGAGCAAAGCAGCTGGTTTCGGACAGAATCTGACAAATGCCCCAGGGCAGCTTGGAAAGAAGCACCTCTCTCTTTCTCACCCCCCCACCGCCCTCCTAGATGGAGGGTTGGGGTTTGTTTTTTGGGGGGGGGGGCGTCTTTTTTTTAACTACCCAAAAATATCAAGCCATCGGATCTGTTGTGTGTGCAGCTTTCCACTGTAGGAGACAAGAGCGAGGCCTTTATAGGTCGCAGCTAACAGATTCACAGACACTGCATCCACCTATCCAATACTCTGGGGGCTGCTCAGCTGTTTGTGTGAAACCACTCTTGCAGTTTCCAGTTGGAACTCCCTGCCTCTTGATTTCAGGTCGGGCTCTTTCACCTTTCTCTTTTTGGGCACCTGGAAAAACCACTTTGCTTTGGACCAGATGTTTAAAAAGTCAATGCAAGTTTCCATCTGTTTATAGTCCGTTGTTATTTTGGCTTTTCGAACATCTCACGCTATTGCTGTTAGTTCTTCCAATTATCGTTTTTGTAAACCTGCCTTGAGGTTTTTTGGTTTTATTTTGGTTTTACAGCCAAGCAGCGTATAATAATAATAATAATATTATAATAATTTATTATTTATACCCCGCCCATCTGGCTGAGTTTCCCCAGCCACTCTGGGCGGCTCCCAATCAAGTGTTAAAAACAGTACAGCATTAAATATTAAAAACTTCCCTAAACAGGGCTGCCTTCAGATGTCTTTTAAAGATAGGATAGCTGCTTATTTCCTTCACATCTGAAGGGAGGGTGTTCCACAGGGCGGGCGCCACTACCGAGAAGGCCCTCTGTCTGGTTCCCTGTAACCTCACTTCTCGCAATGAGGGAACCGCCAGAAGGCCCTCGGCGGTATACATTTTATGGAAGAAAATACAAATAAACAAAGCATCCCAGGCTCAGTCTGGGCCTGAGATAAGAATCCCTGTCTAGAAACTTGGAGAGCAGCTGCCAGTCAGTGCAGGCAATGCTGAGCCAAATGGACCAATGGTTTGATTTCACCCATTTCCTCCCCCCCATGACCCATTGCCAACCTGGTGCCCTCCAGGTTCTCAAAGCTGACCATGGCTCAGTTCCAGGGTGTGATTCCTGGCATCTATAGCCATACAGGATCTTGGGTAACAGGCAACAGGAAAGACCTGTACATGGGACTGTGTGGAAAGCTGCTGTTGGTCAGAGTCTGTAATCCTGGGCTAGATGAATAATAGACTCATAGAACTGTAGTGTTGGAAGAGACCACAAGGGTCATTTGTGTTGAATGGTTTCTTTAAATGTAAAGGTTCATCATTGTTCCACCCGATGTGTATGTCTTTAAGGGGCCAGAGCAAACTAACGAGACCCAGCTTTACAGCTGTGAAACATAGCAGGTGCTGCTGAGTTGCATTGACTAAGCTGTGTCAGCAATTGGGTGTAGTATATAAGGAGCAGCACCTAGCTCTCCCATTACCCTGGGGGATGGGTTGGTTTGTTGATGTATTTAGCGTAAATGGAGTTTTTGTTTTTCTTATTAAAACCTTGTTTAAGTTATTTTTGAGTCCCTTTTTAATGCATGGTCTCCCCAGCAAGCTCTCTGCAGCGCTACTAAACTGCAAATAGCCAACAATTTGGCCAAACACACAGCAGTGCAGGAATCATAGGTAATTGTTGTCTAGTCATGTCCAACTCTTCGTGACCCCCTGGACCAGAGCACGCCAGGCACTCCTGTCTTCCACTGCCTCCCGCAGTTTGGTCAAACTCATGCTGGTAGCTTTGAGAACACTGTCCCACCATCTCGTCCTCTGTCATCCCCTTCTCCTTGTGCCCTCCATCCTTCCCAACATCAGGGTCTTTCCCAGGGAGTCTTCTCTTCTCATGAGGTGGCCAAAGTATTGGAGCCTCAGCTTCAGGATCTGACCTTCCAGTGAGCACTCAGGGCTGATTTCCCTAAGAATGGATAGGTTTGATCTTCTTGCAGTCCATGGGACTCTCAAGAGTCTTCTCCAGCACCAGAATTCAAAAGCATCAATTCCGAGGACTGCAAACTTTCATTGGTTGATCAGTACAATAAACTGATTGGCCTTTTAAACTGCATAGAAAGACGTGGTGCCCCAGGTCATTAATTTCAACATCAACAGAAGTATAGTGTCCGGATCAAGGGAAGGAATAGTGCCACTGTATTCTGCCTTGGTAATAATAATAATAATAATAATAATAATATCTTTATTGTCATTGCCCCCTTCGGGGACAACGAAATTACTTGACTGCTCCATAAAAACACTAATTAATCAATACAGTATAATACAGCAAGGGAGATTAGATGACTTTCAAAGTCCGGGCTTCCCATTCAGGGCCGAGATCGCTCTGGAGAAGAAGCTGTTCTTAAGACGGCTCGTTCTTGTCTTCATCGTCCTGTATCTCCGTCCCGACGGCAAGAGCTCGAAGAGACAGTGACCAGGATGCGATGGATCTTTTACTATGTCCAGTGCCTTCCTATGGCACCTTGTGGCATAAATCTGCTCTAAGGTGGAGAGTGGGCAGCCAACAATGCTCTCTGCTGCCTTAACAACCCTGCACAACCCCATCCTGTCCTGGGTAGTACAGCTTCCGTACCACACACATAAGCCATAAGTGAGCACGCTCTCAATGGCACAGTGATAGAAGGCAAGCAGCAGTTTCTGCGGAAGATGGTTTTTTGGTTTTTTTTGGTCAGAGCACACTTGGAATACTATGTCCACTTCTGGACGCCACAATCTAAGAAGGATATTGACAAGCTGGAAGGTGTGCAGAGGAGGGCGACCAAGATGATCAAGGGCCTGGAAACCAAACCTTATGAAAAACAGTGGAGGAACTTGGGTCCTTTTAGCCTGGAAAAGAGGAGACCAGGAGGACATATAACAGCCGTCTTCAAATATCTTGAGGGCTGTCACATGGGAAATGGAACAAGGTTGCTTGTGTGTGGTGTAGAGCCAGTGTGGTGTAGTGGTTAAGAGCGGTAGTCTCGTAATCTGGGGAACCGGGTTCGCGTCTCTGCTCCTCCACATGCAGCTGCTGGGTGACCTTGGGCCAGTCACACTTCTCTGAAGTCTCTCAGCCCCACTCACCTCACAGAGTGTTTGTTGTGGGGGATGAAGGGAAAGGAGAATGTTAGCCGCTTTGAGACTCCTTAAAGGGAGTGAAAGGCGGGATATCAAATCCAAACTCTTCTTCCTCTTCTTCTTCTTCTTTCTCCTGCATGGGAGGGTAGGACTCGAACCAAAGGCTTCAGGCTACAAGAAAGGAGATTCTGACTAAACATCAGGCATAACTTTCTGACAGCAAGAGCCGTTCGACTGGGAAAAGGACTCCCTCAGGAGGTTGTGGACTCCCCTTCCTTGGTGGTTACATATATATATGTGTGTGTGTGTAATTAGTTTTTTAACATACTATTTTCAACAATTATTAAACATACTTTTCTATCTTATATACAATTTTTTTTGACTTCCATCAATCATATCTGAAAATTTTCCACTCTTATCACTTAATTGACATTTCTTACTTTCACTATAGGCACGCGGGTGGCGCTGTGGGTTAAACCACAGAGCCTAGGGCTTGCCGATCAGAAGGTCGGCGGTTTGAATCCCCGCAACGGGGTGAGCTCCTGTTGCTCGATTCCTGCTCCTGCCAACCTAGCAGTTCAAAAGCACATCAAAGTGCAAGTAGATAAATAGGTACCGCTCCGGCGGGAAGGTAAACGGTGTTTCCGTGCGCTGCTCTGGTTCCCAGAAGCGGCTTAGTCATGCTGGCCACATGACCCGGAAGCTGTACGCCGGCTCCCCCGGCCAATAAAGCAAGATGAGCACCACAACCCCAGAGTCGGTCACAACTGGACCTAATGGTCAGGGGTCCCTTTACCTTTACCTTTTTACTTTCACTATTACATTTAAATATCATAACTAATATCTCTCTTCTTTGCAATATTTCATATATTTCTCCTTAGCGTAATTTGTTCATTACAGTTGCTCTTCAAGTAATTCGTATATTTCTTCCAATCTTCTGTAAATACCTGGTCCCGCAGGTTTCGAATCCTTCCTGTCGTTTTATCCAATTCTGTGTAGTCCATTCATTTTGTCTGCCATTCTTCTTTTGTTGGTATTCCTTGGTGGTTTCTAAGCAGAGATTGGACGGCCACCTGTCATGGATGCTTTAGCTGAGATTCCTGCATTGCAGCGGGTTGGACTAGATGACCATCGGGGTCCCTTCCACGAATCCATGATTTTTTGAAGTAAATTAATCCTGGGCCATTTGTTCTCAAAGGAGGCTGTCCCACCCACCCCAAACGTCACTGGGCAAGGTTGGCTTGGCAGGAGGAGATGCCAGTTGGGCCCTGGGCCTTGTGCCACGAGGCAGTTGGCCATGCCTGGAATTTGACAGTGCTTCTCTTCACAGAGCATGGAAAGGAAAAAGTGACCGGGGTGGCGGTCGATGACAGGGACGTAAAACATCCTAAAAAATTTTAGAAGCCGGCCTAGAGAGGGAAAAGTGATACGGAATGCAACACATCTGCTAGAGCAGGAGAGATCTGTCGTTCTCAGTAGAGTGGTACCTCAGGTTAAGTACTTAATTCGTTCCGGAGGTCGGTACTTAACCTGAAACTGTTCTTAACCTGAAGCACCACTTTAGCTAATGGGGCCTCCTGCTGCTGCCGCGCCGCCGGAGCACGATTTCTGTTCTCATCCTGAAGCAAAGTTCTTAACCTGAAGCACTATTTCTGGGTTAGCGGAGTCTGTAACCTGAAGCGTATGTAACCGCAAGCGTATGTAACCTGAGGTACCACTGTACATTGAAATTGAAATACTTTATTGTCACTTGTACAGCTTGTATTCAGTGAGATTACACGAGCACCCCCCACTCAGCTCTCTTAGTCTTAATTCCCCTCGTTTACTGACGCACACCCACCAAACCCAAAAGTCAGTTGCCCTGTTGTTATCTTTTCATTCAGCAGCCTAACAGCCCATGGATAGAAGCTGTTCTTTACCCTGTTGGTGTGAAAAATCATGCTTCTATATCTTCTGCCCGAGGGCAGGAGATCAAGAAAGTGCTGGCCAGGGTGTGAATTTTCCTCACTCTCCTGAGGCAACGTTCTTCCGCTATTTCATTCAGCGGATTCACGGGACAGCCCATAATATCTTGTGCTGTATTCACCACCCTCTGTAGGCCCTTCCTATCAGTTGATGTCAAACCAGCGTACCACACCATGATGCAGTATGAAAGGACAATTTCTATTGTTGACTGGTAGAAGGAGATAATCAAATGTTGATTGACATCGTTCTTTCGCAATACTCTGAGGAGATGGAGTCTCTGTTGGATCATCACCTTGCATGAACCTCTTTCTTTCTTTCTTTCTTTCTTTCTTTCTTTCTTTCTTTCTTTCTTTCTTTCCTTCCTTCCTTCCTTCCTCCCTCTCTCCCTCCCTCCCTGTTCTTTATTCTTCAGACTCAAATCCAAAGTTTCATTAGCAGTGGTCTTTAGTCTTCATACTCAAATCTTGAATCTTGAAGAAGAGAAGAAGAAGAGTTTGGATTTGATATCCCGCTTTATCACTCCCCGAGGGAGTCTCAAAGCGGCTAACATTCTCCTTTCCCTTTCTCCCCCAAAACAAACACTCTGTGAGGTGAGTGGGGCTGAGAGACTTCAGAGTAGTGTGACTGGCCCAAGGTCACCCAGCAGCTGCATGTGGAGGAGCGGGGAAGCGAACCCGGTTCCCCAGATTACGAGACTACCGCTCTTAACCACTACACCACACTGGCTCTCTTGATTTCTGCCATGGATATATTCAGGCTGGAAACATCTTTTCTCAGGGGAAGGAGAACCCAGGTCAAATCCTATCCTATTATGATTCTTTGAGGACTGATGAGACGAACACTTGGGTCTTGGTGGCCCACCTCCCCAGTCTGTCCACCTCATCTTCCCTACTTTGGGACACCATCGCTGTTTATTGCAGGTCCAGGCAGCCTGACTGGCCTTCAGGAGGCAGAGAGGGAGAAATCCACAAACCAAGGGGACCCGCTTTGTTCCCTTTTCTTCCTTTTACGCACATCCCAATCAGGGATGCCCAGTTTGGAAGAACTGCTCTGCGTTGGATCAAAAGCGTTTGCTGTTTTAATTGCAGGGCGAAATGGAATGGCTGGCAAAGCTGCCATCTTGAGCAATGTTGTCACCAGCCCCACCCCCTCAAAGTACTTTATTGAGGGGGCACAAGATCTAACCAGCTTTCAGCAACCAAAATGCCAGTTGCTAGGCTCAGGTTGTTGTTGTTTAAATGAACCTAAGAACATCATGCGAAAGGCTGGGCTGGATGAATCCCAAGCCGGAATTAAGATTGCCGGAAGAAATATCAAGAACCTCAGATATGCAGATGACACAACCTTGATGGCAGAAAGTGAAGAGGAATTAAAGAACCTTTTAATGAGGGTGAAAGAGGAGAGCGCAAAATAAGGTCTGAAGCTCAACATAAAAAAAACGAAGATTATGGCCACCGGTCCCATCACCTCCTGGCAAATAGAAGGGGAAGAAATGGAGGCAGTGAGAGATTTTACTTTCTTGGGCTCCATGATCACTGCAGATGGTGACAGCAGTCACGAAATTAAAAGACACTTGCTTCTTGGGAGAAAATGCCGACAAACCTAGACAGCATCTTAAAAAGCAGAGACATCACCTTGCCAGCAAAGGTCTGTATAGTTAAAGCTATGGTTTTCCCAGTAGTGATGTATGGAAGTGAGAGCTGGACCATAAAGAAGGCTGACCGCCGAAGAATTGATGCTTTTGAATTCTGGTGCTGGAGGAGACTCTTGAGAGTCCCATGGACTGCAAGAAGATCAAACCGATCCATTCTGAAGGAAATCAGCCCTGAGTGCTCACTGGAAGGACAGATCCTGAAGCTGAGGCTCCAATACTTTGGCCACCTCATGAGAAGAGAAGACTCCCTGGAAAAGACCCTGATGTTGGGAAAGATGGAGGGCACAAGGAGAAGGGGACGACAGAGGACGAGATGGTTGGACAGTGTTCTCAAAGCTACCAGCATGAACCTGACCAAACTGCGGGAGGCAATGCAAGACAGGAGTGCCTGGCGTCCTCTGGTCTATGGGGTCACGAAGAGTTGGACACAACTAAACGACAACAAGAACATAATGTTGCACAACACCCCGATCCCTGAGCAGATTCCAGGAGTCCCAGGAATTTACCCGGGGTTCGAGGCACAGAGGAAGCAGCGGTGTCTTTATGATATTTGGTTTCTTTACACATATATACAACCTGAGCTCATGTATGATGGAGGGGTTCTTAGCATTAACACCCAGAAGGATATTGTTTCTCCCATAGCCGCAGCCTTGGATTCAAACAGGAACCAAATGCCTCTCTCTCTCTCTCTCTCTCTCTCTCTCTCTCTCTCTCTCCATCTCTATCTCCATCTCCATCTTGCTGCTTTTTCCTTTGGCTCACATCACCAAACCCTTTGCCTTTTTTTCTAACTACCAGCCGTTTGCATCTCGCACAGATCCACTTCCTTTGTTCCCTATAATGGCTCATCACCCAGGCGATCGCCTCACCAGGAAGCTAGCCTGGCTTCTATTTTAACATATGCTGGATCCATGGGTTAGAAGGGTCTCAGCATACAGCCCACTTGCCCCTAACTCCTAATAATAAGAAGAATCCCACTGGATCAGGCCAAGGGCCCATCTACCCCAGGGTCCTGCCCTCTCCGTGGCCAACCTGATGCCTCTGGGAACTTGATGCCACAGCACTCTCTCCAACGAATATCCTCCACAAATTCATCTACTCCCCTTTGAAACCATTCAAGCAGGTGGCCATAATTACAACTTGCGGGAGCAAATTCCATCCTTTTATCTACTCTACTGGCATGTGAGGGACGCGGGTGGCGCTGTAGGTTAAACCACAGAGCCTAGGACTTGCTGATCAGAAGGTCGGCGGTTCGAATCCCCGCGATGGGGTGAGCTCCCGTTGCTCGGTCCCTGCTCCTGCCCACCTAGCAGTTTGAAAGCACGTCAAAGTGCAAGTAGATAAATAGGTACCACTCTGGCGGGAAGGTAAACGGCGTTTCCATGCGCTGCTCTGGTTCGCCAGAAGTGGCTTAGTCCTGCTGGCCACGTGACCCGGAAGCTGAACGCTGGCTCCCTCGGCCAATAATGCGAGATGAGCACCGCAACCCCACAGTCGGTCACGACTGGACCTAATGGTCAGGGGTCCCTTTACCTTACTGGCGTGGCTACTAGTCACCTGGGTTTTTGCATCCCTGAGATGAGAAGATGATTTGTAAACTAGAACTTCCTTTATTGAGGTGTTTCATACTGTGAGCGGGTCACAGGCAACAGGTTGTTTTAAAATATAGTTCCTGAATTTGTTTTCAAGCTGACAGCACCAAAGAGAACCTTACAGTAAAACGAATCAAGCCGTTAATAATAGATTTAAAGCTGACACCGTTCGTTGTAAAGAATGAATGGAAACAGTCGTCTAAAAAGCCCTTTACATTCAGAATGCTATTTTGTTCATTCTGTCTACTTTCTAACGTTATCTCAGAGCTCACTTCTGTTGGGTCCAGGATTTGTTCTGTTTGCCCCACATTTGCTAGGCATGGGTCTGAGAGGTTTTTCTTCCATCCTGCCTCTCCCCCCAGGAAAACCTGCTCTTTACTGCTGAATCAGAACAAACGTCAATCCCTGATTGACATGTCTTCCATCATCAGTGGGTTTTCCCATGGAAAGTGGCAGGATGAAAGAAAAAACCTCTAAGACCGAGTCCTAGGACAAATGGAAATGTAGATGATCCCTAAGTCATGTTGTTTTTTGTTTTTGTTTTAAAGAAGAAGATACAACTAAAAAACTTCAAAACTATTTTGAGATTGCAAGAGGTAGTAATTCTCTGGACAATGCTGTATAGGGACCCTAGCGTTCCCAGAAAGTGTTCCTACAATAACTTGGTGCTTTTGCTCTGAAATAAGACGTTATTTTCGGCATTACAGTGGTGCCTCGGTTTACGAACTTAATCCATTCCGGAAGTCTGTTCTTAAACCGAAACCGTTCTTAAACCGAGGTGTGCTTTCCCTAATGAGGCCTCCCGCCGGCGGTAAAGTTCGCAAACTTCCGTTTTTGCGGAGTTCGTAAACCAAATCGTTTGTAAACAGGGCTGTACTTAAACCGAGGTACCACTATATAGCAAAAAACCCCAAAACCTTTTATTTTTCACTTGTTGGATTTCCCCCTGAAAGGGACAAGGCCAGATGAAATTGAGCTGGGATGTAGAAACCGGCATTTTTACATCAGGTCTGCAAAACAAAACTGTGCTGGGCCCGGGGGTAACCCGAGTAGCGTGGTCCAGGTTCCTGTCCCGAATCCAGGGGTGAGGAGTCAGTCTGGCAGGTCCAAGGCAGGACACGAGGCAGAAAACCAGGCAAGGTCAGGCAGGATCACAGGCAGGTTCTGGCATACAGCAATGTTGCTCCTGCAACCTGGGGCGGGGTCCGACAGCCTTTTTTCTTTGTCAGGGTAATGACCGGTCCTGATCCCCCAATGACTCACCTCCCTGTTTCGCCCAAAGGTGAGCACTCCTCCTGCGAGTACTCAGGTCTCTCCTTCTCTCAGACCTCAGTCTCTGCAGCTCGGGAGACGTCGGTGGGTTACTAGACCCAGAGGCCGCCTCAGCCTCCCCGACCCAACCGGCAGCGGAGCAGCTGTAAGCGATGGCCCAGCTGAAGGCAATGAGGTAATCCCCACATCTGGAGCCAGGGCAGGCTCAGGCCTCTGACTCGGCCCAGCTGGTGCTTGTTGCAGGGGAACCTGTGCAGACTGGGGCTCTTCAGGATCAGACCCCAGACTTGGTTCAGATGCCGCCTGAGGCAAAGGATCCGGTGCGGACTGAGACTCCTCTGGTTCCGAGTCCGAGCCTGAGTCCCAGGCCAGCACACAAAACAAAACAAAAAACCTTGCATGCTTGAGAAGTCCCCCTCTTGCAATTGCCTGGGCGATGCACTCTAACAGGTGCAGGCAGGTAAGACTGGGGTGAAGGGAGAGCTCCCTCCTTTTCTGGGGAACTCTTGAGATATCCTGGTCCAAGAAAGGCCCCTTCCGGCATTTGGGGCATTGAGGGCAGAAGTGAAGGCAGAGTCCGTGACGGAAGCGACCAAGGTGGATTCACAAAAGGGGGTTTCTCAGAATAGCTGTCAACTTACAGATTTGAAAATAAGGGACCAGCAGCCTCGAAAATAAGGGATCAGCAGCCAAAATAAGGGATTTTGCTTAGCTTATACAGAAATCCGCCACTGACGGAGCCATGCTGCTTTTGCTGCGACTGACTGTGTTCTGCAGGGGGGGTTGGACTAGATGATCCTAAGGGTCTACAGCTCCCACCAAAGAAGAGTGGCAGACAAAACTGATGAACGACGTCGAGATGGCAAAGCTTACAGGCAGAATTAGAAATCAGGAAGAGGACCTCTTTAATAAAGAATGGGGAAAGTTTATAATTTAGTTGAAAAGCTATTGTAAAGAGTTACATACATTGGTAGGATTGACAGAACACTTGTAGTAAAAATTTGAACTATGGATGGACAAATGATTTGTAAAAATAGAGTTATGAGAGGGATGCAGAGGGGGAAATCACTACATTAAGATGCTGCACTGGTTGGAGGGGATGCTAAGCAGCACGTCAGGGCTGCCTTCGTCCTGGTGCGAGGAGTTCCATCGGCCCTTCCCCGCCTGAGAGAGAGGGAGAGAGACTCTCACCCATGCCACCCGCCAACCCGGCATGAGGTGGTTGTGGCGCCGCTGCGGCCACTGAAGCGCCGCCCTTCTGCGTCCCTCCCCATACCCTCCTCTTCCTCCTCCCTCAGGCTGCCTCCTCAGCCGCTACTGCCGCTTCCGGCTTCCCCTGGCAGCGCGGCGGAAGTCTCGCAAGAGAGGGGCTGCCTGCCCACCCGCCGCCACCCGTCTCCTCACAATGCACCCCTGAGGGGGAAAAGGGAGAGACAGAGACGCGGCAGCTCGTGCGCGCGCTCTCTAGAGGCGGAGGACCCCGGGCCGCTGCTTCCCTCCCGAGCCGGGCGAGCATGAAATCCGGGAAATTTAAGGGACAGCAGCAGGACACGGCGCTGGGATAAGGGAGTTTCCCGCCAAATAAGGGACGGTTGACAGCTATGGTTTCTCAGACACCCCAGACTGTAGGGTTTGCACCGTCCAGATGCAAAGGACGTTGAGCAACAGCTGAGAGGGGGCTGCTGGCTCTTTCTTGGCAGACCCCCGAACAGGGCCAGGTGTCCCAGCCATCGCTCTGCTCTGCCAACTTCTGGTGCCAGAAAGTCAAAAACAGGTTGCTGAAAGACAGCAGAAGCGTGTTGGAAGTGGGGTAAGACCGGGACTTTTGTGGTGGCAGTTCCTGGGGTCCGGCTCTCTCTCTCGGCTCCTGAAAGGCAGAGAGGATAAACAGGTGGTGCTTGTTCACCAGCATCTAAATCTGCGCCCTTTTTTAAAAGCTTGCCCGCAAACTCCTAACAAATGCAGCCAGCCAGCCTCGCCATCTTGCTGCTGCAGTTTGCAGGCTTGAAAAGAAGTCAGACTTTCGCAAGAGCTGGCAAACGCGCTGCAGCAACTCAGCTGACAGGCTGTCCTCAGGAGACACGGCTGGCTCTGGTGGATTTTTCCATGAGGCTTTAAGAAGAAAAAAACCCCCCAAAAAACAACAACATTGTTGCTTTCTTGCGCTGGGTGCAGGAGGGAACGGGGGAAATGTACAAATATTAAGCCTTGGCCTCGCTGGCTTGCCTTGTGTGGCGTGTTCTCTTGAAGAAGAAAGCCTGCCCTGTTCTCCATCAGCAGCGTCTGAAAGCAGACGGGATTGCGAGGAAGCACAGAAAGATATCCCCACTGCCGGCTCTTATTTTCATAGTAGAATCATATGATAGAGATGGATGGGACCCCCAAGGGCCATCTAGCCTGACCCCCTGAAATCAGAGGCGTAGGCGGGGGGGCGGACCGCCCCAGGTGTCATCACTAAGGGGGTGACATTCGGTGCACCACCCGCCCGCAACTCCCAAGCCTACCCTGAGCCGTCAATGGGGGGGAGTGAAAAAAAAATTTCCACACTGGGTACCACGTGACCTTGCTACACCTCTGCCTGCAATGCAGGAATCTCAGCTGAAGCCCCCCTGACAGATGGCCACCCAACCTCTGCTTAAAAACCTCCAAGGAATGAGAGTCCACAACCTCCAGTGGCGGACTGTTCCACCGTCTAGCGGCTCTTACTGTCTGAAAATTCCACCTGATTTTTATTTGGAATCTCCTTTCTTGAATCTCTTGGTCTGATTCTCCCCTCTGGAGCATCTCGCTCCACTTCCATGTGGCAGCACTTGGAAGATGGCTCTGAGGCTCCTCTTCTCCAGGCTAAACATCTAAACATGCCCAGCTCCTTCAACCGTTCCTCATCAGGCTTTGTTTCCACAGCCTTGATCATCTTGATTGTTGTCCTCTGCACAGCTTCCAGCTTGTTAATAATAATAATAATAATAATAATAATAATAATAATTTATTATTTGTACCCCGCCCATCTGGCTGGGTTTCCCCAGCCACTCTGGGCGGCGTCCAACAAAGATTAAAAATACATCAAAATGTCACACATTAAAAACTTCCCTAAGCAGGGCTGCTTTCAGATGTTTTCTAAATGTCAGGTAGTTGTTTATCTCTTTGACATCTGGTGGGAGGGTGTTCCACAGGGCGGGCGCCACCACCAAGAAGGCCCTCTACCTGGTTCCCTGTAACTTGGCTTCTCGCAGTGAGGGAAACGCCAGAAGGCCCTCAGCACTGGACCTCAGTGTCTGGGCAGAACGATGGGGGTGGAGACGCTCCTTCAGGTATACTGGGCCTTTGAGGCCGTTTAGGGCTTTAAAGGTCAGCACCAACACTTTGAATTGTGCTCGGAAACGTACTGGGAGCCAATGTAGGTTTTTCAAGACCGGTGTTATGTGGTCTCGGCGGCCGCCCCCAGTCACCAGTCTAGCTGCCGCATTCTGGATTAGTTGCAGTTTCTGGGTCACCTTCAAAGGTAGCCCCACGCAGAGCGCATTGCAGTAGTCCAAGCAGGAGATAACTAGAGCATGCACCACTCTGAGGTGCCCAGAACTGGACACCGGACTTCCAACCAACCCACCCCTCCCTCCCGCTTTTTATTTTAACCTTCTCATATCTGACTTGTTTTGTTGTTGTGGAGGTCGGATGATCGGCAGCTGTCAGCTACTTCTTGTATGAGCAAAGCATTTTGCAAGAGAGCTGCTGTTTAAGGTGCCAGTTAAAGCCTCTTCAAGTTCCCTTTGTATTGTGCGTTCGCAGTTATTTGTACTATCGGGGCAGTCATACTGTGATTCCTCTTTCGATGTTGTGTACACCCTGCAGAAATTTTGGGGTGCCCCCACTACTTCATTTCCAACCAGTGTGTAACTTCCTGCTGAAATACTTCTCATTCCACAAATGTTTTGGGAGGGGAGCAGTGTGGGGCTTGACCCACTTTTGTTGGGCTATGAGTAAGTTGTAGACCTCTTATCCTTTGTGAATTCCCCTGCTCTGTGTGTGTTTTTTTAAGCCTTCTAAGCCATTGCCTATGAATACATATTGTGGCAGGGAGTTCCAGAAGGTAACTTTGCATTGTGCAAAGTAGTCCTCTCTTTTTTCTGGCTTGAATCTATTGCCCGCCTAATATGATGCGAGAGGGAGAAAAACTATGTTCTCTACTTTCTACACACCAGATATCATCTTATAAGCAGCAGCTTCTTCTTCTTCTTCTTCTTCCTCTTCCTCTTCTTCAGTTCTTTCTTTTTTTGATATTCTATTTATTTATTTATACTTTCCAAGTTTATACATTTCACTAATTTTATACATTTCACTAATTGTACATTCAATTTGATATTTCCAAACTTGACTTCCACCCCTCTTCTTTCTGTGGTTCCTTAAATTCGTTTTAATATCTTCTGCATATCCACATTAACTTAATTTGCTCATTGATTTCATCTTCTTTAAGTACTGCATATACTCTTCTGAAACTGCAGGTTGTTACAAAAATCCTGCCAATGTTTTTACCTGTTTATAATTTATCTGTAAATATTCAATAAACCATTTCCATTCAATATATATATATATACAGTGGTACCTCGGGTTACATACACTTCAGGTTATATACGCTTCAGGTTACAGACTCTGCTAACGCAGAAATATTACCTCGGGTTAAGAACTTTGCTTCAGGATGAGAACAGAAATCGTGCTCCGGTGGCGCAGTGGCAGCAGGAGGCCCCATTAGCTAAAGTGGTGCTTCAGGTTAAGAACGGTTTCAGGTTAAGTACGGACCTCTGGAACGAATTAAGTACTTAACCTGAGGTACCACTGTATATGTATACATACACACACACACAAATTCATCTTATAAGCTTCTATCATGTCCCACCCCACCTTGCACACTGAAACATCGTGGGCACACGAACCTCTTTCCTGGTTCAGTATCTTGCAAGTCTAGCAGCTGCCAGAGAGCAAATTAACCTCTCCACCCCACGCCACCTGCGACCTGGCTCCAGTCCTGCTCCTTGAACAATGCCTCGAAGGCAAATAAATATATTTACCCAAGCAAATATATTTCACTCCCTCTCGAAAAGCCGCTGGAACAGGGCCAGTCTCGGGACGGAGAGGGCTGGGGCGTCAAAAGGCAGCCACTCTCCCCCAGACGCAACCACGGTCAAGGCCCCCTGTGCCTTTCGGGAGTCCTTCTCGTGCAATATTTCGGCAGGTCCAGAGGGAAGAGAGGAGGAACAGCTGCTCAGGGTGTGAGCCTGACCTTCTTCTCTGCCTTGGCGCAGGGACTGTGAAATCCCCTCTGTTGCTGAATGGCTAAAGATACACAAGTCCCTTTGAGCTGGAAGCAGCCCACCAGGCAGACAGCAGAACACAGCAACCACCGCAAGCCAGGAGGCTCAGTGCGCCTCTGATGGGTCACCATGCGCGGCTGGGGGAGGCCGGGTGCGCCACAACTTCTGCAGGTTCAAGAGACGGTGGTGGGTTGAGCGAGCTCCGGTGGGCTTTAAAAGCGCTGCTATTACAGACGCTTCAGGTTACAGACTCCGCTAACCCAGAAATAGTACCTCGGGTTAAGAACTTTGCTTCAGGACGAGAACAGAAATCGCGCAGCAGCGGGAGGCCCCATGAGCTAAAGTGGTACCTCAGGTTAAGAACAGTTTCAGGTTAAGAACGAACCTCCAGAACGAATTAAATTCTTAACCCGAGGTACCACTGTACATCTTTCCGGAGGGCCTGCAAGACAGAGCTGTTCCGCCTGGCCTTTGGTTTGGACTCAGTCCCTCCCCATATGGTTTTGTTTTATGGGCTACTTTTAAAATGAGGCTGCATTTTAAATTGCATCTTAACCTGTATTTTAAATTGTTTTTTTTCTTTTGTTTTCTTTTTTCGTATTACGTTTTTACTGTAATTTTACTGGTGTTAGCCGCCCTGAGCCCAGCTCTGGCCCGGGAGCGGGGTATAAATAAATAAATTATTATTATTATTTCATACCCTCAAACCTTTCTCTGATGAAAATAGGGACGTCCCATTCCATAATGATATTTTTAGTTTTTATAACCCACACATCTTACTGGGTTGCCCCTGCCACTCTGGGCAGCTTCCAACATATATCAAAACATAACAAAACTTTAAAAGAAAAAGCCCTTTCCCTATACAGGATTGCCTTCAACCAGCTCGGGAGTCAAATAACTCCATACCCTCCAACGTTTCTCCAATGAAAATGGGGACGTCCTAAGGAAAAGCGGGATCAAATCAGAAACTGGGACAGCTTATCTAAATGAGGGACATCCCTGGAAAATAGGGACACTTGGAGGTTCAGATGTATATTTTGGGAAGTGGTTTCCGTGACCTCTGTGCATTTGGATGCCTCTAAAGATGCCGTAACCAAATGATGTGGTTCCTGAGATCAAGGAACAGGTTTCTGTCGGTTTTGGGGTACGGTGGGGTGCAATTTTGAATCGACAGCAGACGGAACCTTCTAAAAATGCACTGAGCAATGCTGGGTACAAGGTTGCTTGTGCGCGTATGAGAGAGAAATGTCTCCATCAATAGCTAAAAGGTAAAGGGACCCCTGACCATTAGGTCCAGTCGCGGACGACTCTGGGGTTGCGGCGCTCATCTTGCTTTACTGGCCAAGGGAGCTGGCGTACAGCTTCCGGGTCATGTGGCCAGCATGACTAAGCCGCTTCTGGCGAACCAGAGCAGCGCACGGAAACACCGTTTACCTTCCCGGCGGAGTGGTACCTATTTATCTACTTGCACTTTGATGTCCTTTCGAACTGCTAGGTTGGCAGGAGCAGGGACTGAGCAACGGGAGCTCACCCCGTCGCGGGGATTCGAACCGCCGGCCTTCTGATTGGCAAGCCTAGGCTCTGTGGTTTAACCCACAGCGCCACCCGCGTCCCTATCCATCAATAGCTATGAGTCATGAAAACTCATCGTAGAACCTTCAGCTTCAGAGACAGTCTATCTTTGAATCCTGGATTCTGGGGAGGAACACATGCAGGTGGTTCTTGCCTTCCTGCTCTGCTTCTGCGCCTTCCCCAGAGGTATTTTATGGAGAGCAGGATCCTAGATTAGATGGGACTCTCTGGTCTGATCCAATAAAGCCCCTTTTGCCCCGATTCCTGTCTTTCTGGCTGCCTTGAGAGAGGGGTAGGGTTGCCAATGTCACACACACACTCTCTCCTTTTCTGCCCTGGCAGTAGTAGGAGGTACGCAGAAAATCTGCTGGTGATTATGCTTTCCCCATCATTTCTCCTGGCTGAAAACAAACAGCCCCAGCTTGTCTGCATGTTGGGTCATTGTCAAAGCCAATGGAGCATTAATTCATTTTTTTTAAATGTGGCAAACACAGGGATCAAAGATGCCCTTTGTGCTTGCATGAGAGTGGCGGAAAATCTTCCCTGTGAGAGAGGGCCTCTCCACACTGGTTTTTTTTTTTTTTATTTTGGGTGTAATTCTGAAGCATGTTTTTAATGCAGTTACTGCTGCAATCATGGTAGACGTTATGGATTGTTGTTATTATTATTTACAGTGGTACCTCGGGTTACATACGCTTCAGGTTACATACCCTTCAGGTTACAGACTTCAGGTTAACCCAGAAATAGTGCTTCAGGTTAAGCACTTTGCTTCAGGATGAGAACAGAAATCGTGCTCTGGCGGCGCGTCAGGAGCGGGAGGCCCCATTAGCTAAAGTGATGCTTCAGGTTAAGAACAGTTTCAGGTTAAGTACAGACCTCCAGAACGAATTAAGTACTTAACCTGAGGTACCACTGTATTGCATTTATATGCCGCCCTATACCCCGTGGTCTCAGCATATGTTGTTCTGCCGTTCTACCCCAGTGCTGCCACACATTTAGCAAGAGGACCCCTAAGGTAAAGGACCCCTGGATGGTTAAGTCCAGCCAAAGGCGACTATGGGGTTGCGGCGCTCATCTCGCATTCAGGCCAAGGGAACCGGTGTTTGTCCACAGACAGCTTTCCGGGGCATGTGGTCAACATGACTAAACCACTTCTGGCCCAATGGGACACATGACGGAAAGCAGAGTGCATGGAAACTCCGTTTACCTTCCTGCCAGAGTGGTACCTATTTATCTACTTGCACTGGTGTGCTTTCGAACTGCTAGGTTGGCAGGAGCTGGGACAGAGCAATGGGAGCTCACCCCGTTGCAGGGATTCGAACCGCTGACCTGACCGGCAAGCCCAAGAGGCTCGGTGGTTAAGACCACAGTGCCACCCGCGTCTCTGTGGAGGACTGCTATTCCTCTTCCAGAGCAATGATTCCCAAGGCCCCCTGGGAAGAGGAATGGTTTGTTAAACCGCTCTTGGAATAGGGGTGTCTCTCAGCACCCTTAACACACTACAGCTCCCAGTATATTTTTGGGGGGGAATCCATCGCTGTTTAAAATGGCATCGCAGCTCCCTAAGAAAGATGAAAAGGTGCCATTTTGGCTGGATCCTTTACCTTTAGGGACATGGGTGGCGCTGTGGGTTAAACCACAGAGCCTAGGGCTTGCCGATCAGAAGGTCGGCGGTTCGAATCCCCGCGACGGGGTGAGCTCCGGTTGCTTGGTCCCTGCTCCTGCCAACCTAGCAGTTCGAAAGCACACCAGTGCAAGTAGATAAATAGATACCGCTCCGGCGGGAAGGTAAACGGCGTTTCCGTGCGCTGCTCTGGTTTGCCAGAAGCGGCTTAGTCATTCTGGCCACATGACCCGGAAGCTGTACACCGGCTCCCTTGGCCAATAAAGCGAGATGAGCGCCGCAACCCCAGAGTGGGTCACGACTGGACCTAATGGTCAGGGGTCCCTTTACCTTTAGGAAGGCTCTTTTTAGGGCGTGTGATGATCGGGAGAACCAAGCATGCCATGCTTTCCCTCCTGCCTCTTCCCCCAAGTCTTTTGCAATCTCCTCCCCAAACAAACCCCATTCCATACTCCTGGGTCACATCCTTGAGCTATTTATAAGCTGCTTCTCTCTCTCTCTCCCTGTCTCGAGACTTCCAGCTGTCGCTCTGCCAAGGCGGCGGCGATTGCATCTCTCCCCGACCATCTCTTTGCTTCATCTTTCCGTCGCCATGTGAGGAAATCGCTTTCGAGATCCTCAGGAGCTATCTGTTTCCCCAAACACCACATCTCTGAGACGTCGTTGCCGCCGCCGGTTGAGTCACCCGGTTGACGCCAAGTGCTGAGGTCACCTGACCCCCCTCGCCGGGTCACGTGACCTCCCCACCCCACCAGTTGGCCGCACAGTTTATTTTAAGCCATGCGCTCAGGCCTCTGGTGGTGCACAGGGCCTTCTCTGAGAAACCTCTGAGTCATGCTACCCCTGCCCAGAGTTGGCGTTGCTGTATAAGGGAAGCTCTTGCCCGCTATTAATATGACCGAGGCCATAGCAGGTGGGCTCGAAAATGCCACATTATTTCCCCGCTTCTTGCTCATCCGAAGGACCATCTGCCAGAGGGTAGCTAAGGCACGAAAATAAACGTGAGCGCATCTGCCAGCGTTATGTGGGGTTGAGGAGCCTCTGCCAACCTGGTGCCCTCCATATTTTATTTTATTTTTGGATGACAATGCCCACAGAACCAGACTTTCCTAAAGGAATGGAAGAAGTTTTCGACCGGAAAGCAGTTGTAATCCATTGACATCGCTCGTAGGGTTAAAATAAGTTTTGTAAGGAGTACTTTATAAATTATCATGAGGAGAATTAAGAATAGATGTATTGGAAATGTGAGTTTATAACTATAGAAACAAAACGCATAATTAGAAAGGCTTTAGAAAACCGTCAGCCGAGGTTGAAGGAAGTCTGAGGCGGTGATAGCCCAAAAATTCGAAATGATGCTTAAAAGGATGTTATGTTGGAAAATGTGTGTAAAAACTAATAAAAATTATTTATTAGACAGTGCCCATCCGACCTCAGCCAGGGCGCTTGGTTTATTTTATTTTTGTTTATTGTGTTTATATCTCACCTTTTCCTCCCAGGAGCTCAAGGTGGTGGGTGGGGCGTGTTTCTGCCCCTCATTTTCTCCCCACAACAACCCTGTGAGGTAGGTTAGGTGAAGAGATGCGGCGGCTTGCCCAAGGTCTCGCCCAGTGAGCTTCACGACCAAGTGGGGGGATTCGAACTCTGGTCTCCCAGGTCGTAGTGTGACACTCCAGCCACTACACCCCATGGGCTCTCTTTTCCCCCAATTATTTTTTTATTTGCATTTTCAAATAACTGTTTATCTAAATTCTCTGGCTTTTCAGCAGCTGTGCCACACAGAGCCAGCCCTATCGTTAGGCAAAGTGAGGCAGGGGAGAGGCAGAAGGAAGGAGATGGGTGGCAAAGTGCGGATGTGAGCCATTCTTCTTCTTCTTCTTCTTCTTATTATTATTATTATTATTATTTAGATTTATATGCTGCCCTTCATCAAAAGATCTCAGGGTGGTTCACAAGATAAAAACACAAGATAAAAGCACACATAAATAGTTAAAATAGAAACGATGAAACAATAACCTCCCCCCCCCCCAAAAAAAACAGATTTTAAAGGCTGTGGAATATTAATCAGCCAAAGGTCTTGTTGAAGAGGAGCGTTTTTGCCTGGTGCCTAAAGAAAGGTAATGAAGATTTGAAATTTTGAAATGTAGATTTGAAATTTACAGACTGTTCTCTTTTGAAAGAAAACTCTATGAAAATGATGTACAGATGGTATATTACCCCAGTACAGATAGCAAAAATGTATAAAACTGGGTCAAACAAATGTTGGAAATGTAAAGAAAAAGAAGGGACTTTTTATCGTATGTGGTGGGAATGCAGAGAAGTTTAAAAAAATTGGGAAATGATATACAATGAATTTTAAAAAAATGTTTAAAATGACATTTGTAAAAAAGCCAGAAGCAGTTTTGTTAGGGATTTTAGGACAAGACCAGCCAAGAAAAGCAAAGAATCTATTTATGTATGCTACGACAGCTGCAAGAGTCTTGATAGCACAAGGATGGAAGAATGAGGAAATCCCAACGAAAGAACAGTGGCAAGAAAAATTGATGAGCTACGCAGAGCTGGCTAAATTGACATACAAACTGTGTGATAAGGACAACTGTGACTTTAAGGAAGAATGGGAACTTTTTCAAATTATCTAAAAAAACAACAAAATGAACTGGACTCCTTGGCAGGTTTTGAATAAACACCCACAAATTTATTGGTCGATTATATGATAGATAAGGCAAGGATAGGTATAATTTTATAACATGCAGAGAATAATATGTGCAGAGAAATCAGAGAGAGGAGCTGAGGGAAGTCCCATTTTTGGGGGGGGAGGGATGGAAGGGGGGGAAAGGGGAAAAATAATGTGTGTGATTTTATGGTCTGATAATTTGTTATGTTGAAATTGCTTAATAAAAATATTTTTTTTTTAAAGAAATGTAATGAAGGCACCAGGCGAGACTCTCTGGGGAGAGCATTCCACAGACAGGGAGCCACCACAGACGAGACTCCCTGGGGAGAGCATTCCACAGACAGGGAGCCACCGCAGAAAAGGCCCTGTTCTTGTTTTGCCACCCTCTGGACCTCACACAGAGGAGGCACACAAAGAAGGGCCTCGGATTATAGAATTGTAGACTTGGCAGATATCCCAAGGTCATCTAGTCCAACCCACTGCAATGCAGGTGTCTTGGCTAAAGCAGGTGGCCATCCAGTTTCTCCTTTAAAACCCTCCTAGCTACCATTCTGCCCTTCTGGGTTTCTGTTCTTTCCCCTCCCTGCCCCCCCGAAAAATAATTTGCTTTTCTTTGCCACCAGCGGAGCCAGTCACCTCCAGGCTGAAAGCGCTGCGGCTGCAACGGGACGATTTCGAGATCCTCAAAGTGATTGGACGGGGAGCCTTCAGCGAGGTGAGAAGGGCTGGGTTTTTTGGGGGGGGCTCTCTCTTCTACCAGGTGCCCTCGGTACCAGATGTCCAGCGAGGCAAACTTTTCAATAGTCCAGGCGAAAACAACGCTGAAATATTGGGCCCTTCCTGGTGACCCTAGGGCAGCCTCGGCCAACCTGGTGCCCTGCAGATATAATAATAATAATAATAATAATAATAATAATAATAATAATATAATAATAATAATAATAATAATAATAATAATAATAATAATTTATTATTTATACTCCGCCCATCTGGCTGAGTCTCCCCAGCCACTCTGGGCGGCTCCCAATCAAGTGTTAAAAACAGTACAGCATTAAATATTAAAATCTTCCCTAAACAGGGCTGCCTTCAGATGTCTTTTAAAGATAGGATAGCTGCTTATTTCCTTCACATCTGAAGGGAGGGTGTTCCACAGGGTGGGCGCCACTACCGAGAAGGCCCTCTGTCTGGTTCCCTGTAACCTCACTTCTCCTAATGAGGGAACCGCCAGAAGGCCCTCGGTGCTGGACCTCAGCGTCCAGGCAGAACGATGGGGGTGGAGACGCTCCTTCAAGTATATAGGACCGAGGCTGTTTAGGGCTTTAAAGGTCAACACCAACACTTTGAATTGTGCTCAGAAACGTACTGGGAGCCAATGCAGATCTCTCAGTACCGGTGTTATGTGGTCTTGGTGGCCACTCCTAGTCACCAGTCTAGCTGCCGCATTCTGGATTGATTGCAGTTTCCGGGTCACCTTCAAAGGTAGCCCCACGCAGAGCGCATTGCAGTAGTCCAAGCGGGAGATAACTAGAGCATGCACCACTCTGGCGAGACCGTCTGTGGGCAGCGAGGGTCTTAGCCTGAGTACTATAACTCCCATCAGCCAGCCTGGCTAAGGCTGGCTTGGGGCAAAGTTCCGGAAGAGACGGCTCCTCACGGCGCTACAATTCCTAGAGCGGTTTAACAATCCATCCCTCTTCATGGGTCGCCCTGGGAACTGTAGGGAATAGAGGCCCCTTGACAGCGCTCTGCACCCTCAGCAAACTAAAGCTCCCATAATTCTTTGGGGGAAGCCATGACTGTTTTTGAGTGGTTTCCCCAGATGGGCTGCATATAAATAAAATAATAATACAGTGGTATTATTGACTTCCACCCCTCCTCTTTCTGTGGTTCCTTAAATTTGTTTTTAATATCTTCTGCATATCCACATTACCGGTAACTTAATTTGCTCATTAATTTCATCTTCTTTAAGTACTGCATATACTCTTCTGAAACTGCAGGTTGTTACAAAAATCCTGCCAATGTTTTTACCTGTTTATAATTTATCTGTAAATATTCAATAAACCATTTCCATTCAATATATATATATATACAGTGGTACCTCGGGTTACATACGCTTCAGGTTACATACGCTTCAGGTAACAGACTCCGCTAACCCAGAAATAGTGCTTCAGGTTAAGAACTTTGCTTCAGGATGAGAACAGAAATTGTGCTCCGGCAGCGGGAGGCCCCATTAGCTAAAGTGGTGCTTCAGGTTAAGAACAGTTTCAGGTTAAGAACGGACCTCCGGAACGAATTAAGTACTTAACCCGAGGTACCACTGTAATAATGATGATGATGATGCATGGTGCAACTGTGGCCCAGGTATGTCAGTCCAGCCCCTTCTTCAACACACGGACTCCCATCCCCTATTTTACCTGCACAGGTAGCGGTCGTGAAGCTGAAGAGGACATCCCAGGTGTACGCCATGAAGATAATGAATAAATGGGACATGTTGAAGCGGGTCGAGGTGGGTATGGCAAGCTGCGCCCTCAAGGCCCTGTGGGTGGTTTGGCCTTTACAGGTCAACACCAGCTCTTTGGATGGTACCCAAAAACAGTGGGATTCTCAGGTGACTTGTCATGGACTGGTTGGACACAAAGGAATGGTGAGAGGAACCAGTTGGGGAGCCCCCAAGGGAAGAAGGCTCAGAGCCAGGAGAGTAGTGGTGGGACGACAATGAGCGGATGGAGAGAGAAGAGGGAGCAGACTGGGAGAAGGTGGTGTTGGAAGTTGAAGAGAGGACAGGGCTTAGTGAGCAGGGAGAGTCTGTGGCAGAGAGCAGTCCAGAATCGGAGGCAGAAGCAGAGGCCAAGAGGCAGAGATGAGTCTGGCTGGGGAAGAGTCCTGGGTGTCTCCCCCTCCTCCTGCAACCAGCTCCCCGCCTTTACTCACAGAACCAGAAGAGAGATGGAAAGGGTGGAGGGGAGGTTGACTGCATGCAGACACAGTCTCCGATTGCTTGGGGAAAACCCTGGAGAGGAGGCGATTTATGCTAGCGGCCAAAATTGTGGAAGCCTTTTGGGGAAAGTGTATTTCCGAGGTTTGATGGCTCATAACACCCGATTGGCTCTCTAAACACTCACTCTCATTGGCTACAGTCAAATGAAGCAAAGCTACTGCGTATCAACCTAAGCAAGTTATGCTTCCTTTTTCTGGTTATTTGGCATAACATTTAATCAAATAGAGGGACGCGGGTGGCGCTGTGGGTTAAACCACAGAGCCTAGGACTTGCTGATCAAAAGGACAGTGGTTCGAATCCCTGCCACGGGGTGAGCTCCCATTGCTCGGTCCCTGCTCCTGCCAACCTAGCAGTTCAAAAGCACGTCAAAGTGCAAGTAGATAAATAGGTACCGCTCTGGCAGGAAGGTAAACGGTGTTTTGGTGCACTGCTCTGGTTCGCCAGAAGCGGCTTAGTCATGCTGGCCACATGACCCGGAAGCTGTACGCTGGCTCCCTTGGCCAATAAAGCGAGATGAGCGCCGCAACCCCAGAGTCGTCTGCGACTGGACCTAATGGTCAGGGGTCCCTTTACCTTTACCTATGCTTAGCTACCCAAAGAAGATATGAAATTAGATGGTATAACAAATAATTGTGTACTGAATTGAGAAAATAAATCGATTTCGCTGCTGCGCCCATCAGGTTTCCTGCTTCCGAGAGGAGCGGGACGTGTTGGTTAACGGAGACAAGCGCTGGATTACGCAGCTGCACTTTGCTTTCCAAGACGAGAATTACCTGGTGAGTGATTATCATCGTTTATCTGTAGGCGGCCTTTCCATGGATAAAGCCACACTCAGGGCTGCTCACAACATGAAAAGACTTACAAAAATACATCATAAGCAGTACGTAAATATGTTTTGAAACATGCATGAACAAAACTAAGTGCCGTATTTTTTGCTCTATAAGACGCACCTAGTTTTAGAGGAGGAGAACAAGAAAAAGAATATTCTCTCCCTCTCTGCTCAGCGCCTCTCCAGCAAAGCGGGAGGAGAAACGGAAGGGGTTCTGTTTCTCCTCCCGCTTCGCTGAAGGGGCGCTGTGCAGAGAGGGAAAGCTGTGCAGCGCCTCTCCAGCGAAGCGAAGCCAGGAGAGCAAGAGGGATCAGTGCACACCGATCCCTCTTGCTCTCCTGGCTTCAGCGAAAGCAACGCGAAGTTTCCTGGACCTAATGGTCAGGGGTCCCGTTACCTTTACTTTGATTATTGCCTTCATTTTATGGATCCATGGTCTCGTTAGACAGTAAAATTCGTGTTAAATTGCTGTTTTAGGGGGTGTTTTTCATCGTCTGGAACGGATCAATCCATTTCCTATTACTTTCAATGGGAAAGTCCGCTTCAGGTTAAGAACGCTTCAGGTTAAGAATGGACTTCCGGAACCAATTAAGTACTTAACCTGAGGTACCACTGTATTAGCAAAACAAATAACCCAAAGCAATACCCCACCCCAATAGCCTATAGGCATCCTGAGCCCCAAACTGGCAACAGATTCTTCCATTGCAGAGAGTTGGTCTAGATGATCCCTGTGGTCCCCTCCAAGTCTATGTTTCTATGACTCACAACCAAAACAGTCCCTTGTGCAGCCTCAGCTTTTGTAGCTGGAGTCAGTCCACTGGTCTTTCAGTCAGCCAGTGAGGGCTCCGCCCTCCCCAGTCAGGTGGGAAGAGGCTAGCAAATCAGGGAGTGGGTCTTGCACGACTCACAGCCAATATGGGGCTGCTGAGTATGACATAAGAGCCGAAGAAGACGCAGTGGAGATCCATTTGGCCCAGTACTCTGTCTCTGACAGTGGGCAGCCGGGACTCCGGCAGAAGATCACTGGCAGGACACGGGACCCCGGCTCAGTTCCAGAATCCAGTTTCTCAACGAGAAAGTCAGGACAGAAGCAACAAAAGGAAGGGGAGATGTGTGTCTTTCCTTCCTCGCTGGATTATGTCAAGCCCACACAGGTCTGGAATTAAGAGCCTCCACTTCAAAAGGAAAGCCGTCCTCCGGTTCGAAACAAAGCGCTGACGTTTGCCATCCCTTCTAGTTTGCTCCAGATCCGGCGGTATTCTGCCCCCAAATGACCACCATTGACAAATTTGTTCTCTCCGGAGTTTAGCCTTTTAGGGTGTTGGTGGGCATGCGAGTTAGCAGGGAGTCTGCGCTTTGTGGTTTGGGGATGTCTGGAGCAAGTCGAGACGTTTTGTTTTTTAATTCAGAGGGGAAAGGGAGGAGTGGTGATAGATGGCCCCTGTGGGGGCTACATCGCTTTTGCCGTGAGCTGTGAGGCAAAGAAGCTTTTTGCAGACCGAAGGCTTGTCAAATGTATCATCTTATCCTCATGATGGCCAAACTGATGCCCCATATAGGAAACCCACAAGGAATAATAATAATAATAATAATAATAATAATAATAATTTATTTATACCCCACCCATCTGGCTGGGCTTCCCCAGCCACTCTGGGCGGCTTTCAACAAAATATTAAAATACAGTAATGCATCAAACATTAAAAGCTTCCCTAAACAGGGCTGCCTTCAGATGTCTTCTAAAAGTAGGATAGTTGATTATTTCCTTAACATCTGAAGGGAGGGCGTTCCACAAGACGGGTGCCACCACCAAGAAGGCCCTCTGCCTGGTTCCCTGTAACTTGGCTTCTCGCAGTGAGGGAACCGCCAGAAGGAAGAACTGAGCACAACAGCCCACTCCTCGGAAAATCGTATTCAGAGGCATATTTTGCCCCCCTCAGTGGAGGCAGTATGTAGTTTCAGTTTAGTAAAACCGTAGCCTGCCCTCAGCTTTCAGGACACAAAGGCTAAACAGAGAACGGCGTATTCTACAAATGAAGAACGGAGCCCTTCAAATTCGCACGCCGGCCTTCGCTAAGTCGGTATAGTTAGCGTTTACCTCAGCTTCTCCATCTGCAGTATGGGGATAATAATAATAATAATAATAATACTATCTTGCCTTGTAGGGTTGTTTAAAGACAGCTGAGGAAAACAGTAGTAAATAAAATAAAAATAATAACTAGGGTCAGACAGAACTTCTTTACTGACTCCAGGTGTGGGCATCAGTCTGACACAGAGTGTAAGCACCAGCCCTCTCGCCAGAGTTTCTTCGGGCTTCATAGAGTCATAGAGTTGGAAGGGACCCTGAGGCTCATCTAGTCCACCCCCTGCAATGCAGGAATATGCAGCTTCCCCATACAGGGATCGAACCTGCAACCTTGGCATTACCAGCACCATGCTGTAACCAACTGAGCTATCCTGAGATTCGAAACCCTGGACTCAGCTACATTAGTAAAAAATAAAACGTTATAAATGCGTTATAACACCGTGACACCAGATGGCGCTGTAGAGCTAAACTCAGAACATTATGAAATTTTCCATTGTGGGTTTTAAAACGTGTTTTTTTCCCTCAGAGCATTTTTTTTATAACTTTGTAGATGCAGCCCCTGTCTCTGGTTGTGAGGGGACTTTGAGTTTTCGGGGCCCCAAACAGCAGTTGGCATTGCGATAAATGATAGTCTTTGCCAACCTAGTGCCCTCTGGCTGTTTTGGACTACAATTCCCATCAGCCAGAGGTTGTCAGGTTGGAAAACACTGGTCTATGAGAACACGGTTGCCTAAAACAGGAGGAATGGGTGCTGTTTCTTAACCTTTCTCAACTCCATCCATCTGTAGTATCTGGTGATGGACTACTATGTTGGGGGAGACCTCTTGACGCTGCTGAGCAAATTTGGGGACCGCATCCCAATGGAGATGGCTCGCTTCTACCTGGCTGAGATGGTGATGGCCATAGACTCAATACACCGGATAGGTTATGTACACAGGTAGGTGGAGCAGGCGGGTGGGGGTCTCATGGGGGGAAGGGCCAAGAAAGAGCGCTCTAGGCTAGGCCCGAGGAAACTCCGGCCTGGAGTCTGAATGTGGCCCTCTAGCCCTCTTTATGTGGCCCTCAGGACTCTCCCTAGTCCTCACCGTAACCAGCTCAGCTTTGCACACAGAAAGCTTTTGACTGGCTAGACTGGTGTTTGCCAAAGTGGGCGATACCGTCCCCTAGGGGGCGTTGGAACGATCTAGGGGGCAGTCGTAAACTCAGGTGCAATTGGGGGGGCATTGAATAAAAATAAGGAGGCAGTGGAAACATAAAGGAAGAAAAGGAGAGAAGGAAAAATTGAAAAACCATTTAATCTATTGACACTTCTTCTTTTCCTTTGGCGATCATTCGTAGCCGATTAAGATTGTCTTCCATAAACACGGTTTTAACAATGAGTCCGTAAGTAACTGTGGAGGCCAGTTCTGGATCCACACGTCCTTCCACAGTGGGGACATTGGTTCCCGGGCGGGAGTTGATCACAGTGTGGATTTGCCAAGCGTGCCTTCCTCTTAGCACGTTTCTTCCTTTCGTCCTGACTTCGAGTGTCTTCAAAGCCCATGACACCTTTGCTAAAGGCTGTTCTCCAACTGGAGCGCTCGCAGGCCAGTGTTTGCCAGTTGTCAGTGTTTATACTTCCTAGTCGGAGAGCACCGGAAATAGCTTGTGCACATGTGTTATTTCCAGTGCACATCCGGGTCGGAGGAGGCCTGTGCACATGCGCACAAGCTATTTCCGGTGCTCCTTAGACCCAGAAGTACACTGGAAATAGCGTGTGCGCACGCGTATGGGCACGTGCTCCCCCGCCCTCCAGCCCGACGCGCGATCGGCGCTGGAGACACTGGTCCGAGGCGCGGTAATTTTGCTGACCCCTATGATAGAGGGTTCTAGGCTGCATCCTATTGCCCGCTCCCCCCACCCATTCACTCACCTTCCCCCAGCCCAATCAGTCACCCTAAATCCCAACTCTGCGCTCCAGAATAGGCAGAACTCGAACCCGGCACTGGGGCTTTCTCAGAGTTCCACGCTGATTTGCCGCCAAACTCCTCAAACCCCCAAATCCCTTCTCCTTTGCCCATCAGCGTGTTCGAAGAAGCAGAATATTGGAGGCAGAGTGTGTGGGGTGTGTGTTGGGGGGAGAGATCAACCCCCTCCCACTTTCTTGCCTTTGCCTCTGGAATTTCTGGGCTATAATCCCCTTTCAAAGCAAACTCTTTCGGTTTACAGGTCTCCGCCAGGCTCCCCCCCCTTCCTGACTCTGTAGCCTGCTCCAGAGGGGGCAGAGGAACGTCTATGGGGTCAGGAGGGGTTGTGGGGTGGGGAGGACCAGGCAAGAATTCCAGAGTCTTTGTGGCTCGCCCGCCTCCCCGCCCCCAGCTGCTGGGTCCATGAGGCCGGCCGGCGCCCCCCTCGCACACAGAGTGCCAAAACAGCCAAAAATGTTGTCCTAGATTCATAATCGCCTAATTCATCTCAGGCTGTGCAAGACAAGCTGGGCTTCCCTCCAAACCACATGAGCGGCCGAGGCTTGGGAATGCAGAGGGGCCTGCCGGTGGGGTGGGGGCAGAGAAAGGGAGGGGCACTGGGGGGTATTGAGGGCGGAGCGGCTTTCAAAGGAGGAATCCCCCAAGCAACGGAAACCCCGACAGAGGCTTCTAGGGACCCGGTTAGATCTTGGGACCCAAATGGAGAATGCCTCACACTGTGGACAGGGTCTTTCCAGTGGTGACCTCCGGAACTCCCTGCCCAGGAAGTTCCTGTGCCTCCACTTTGTCTGTTTTGGGGAGAAATCTTGAGATGTTTTTCTTCTTTGGATATCCCAATCTTTGTTTTATTCATTGCGACAGGGAATTGACTGCCACTGCTCATGTTTTTGGGGAGAGGAGGTGGTCAGGAAAGACCCCCAAAGAACCACCTCCTGTGTGTCTTTCCTCTCACCTAAATAGCCCCAAATGCTGCTGATTAAACAAAGCAGTAGGTCTTAATTTGGGCCCCAGCTCTGAACAGAAATGCCCTGTGGAGCATCGGATGGCACTGCCTCTGAGCATGTGCAGAGCTTGCTTCCTTTGCTGTTCAGTAACCATGAGCAGTGCCGTATAGTTAAAGCCTTAGCTATCAACTTTTCCCTTTTCTTGTGAGGAATCCTATTCGGAATAAGGAAATTTCCCTTAAAAAAATGAAAACATTGACAGCTATGGTTAAAGCTGTGGCTTTCCCAGTAGTGATGTATGAAAGTGAGAGCCGGACCATAAAGAAGGCTGATCGCCGAAGAATTGATGCTTTTGAATTATGGTGCTGGAGGAGACTCTTGAGAGTCCCATGGACTGCTAGAAGACCAAACCTCTCCATTCTGAAGGAAATCAGCCCTGAGTGCTCACTGGAAGGACAGATCCTGAAGCTGAGGCTCCAAGACTTTGGCCACCTCATGAGAAGAGAAGACACCCTGGAAAAGACCCTGATGTTGGGAAAGATGGAGGGCAGAAGGAGAAAGGGAGGACAGAGGATGAGATGGTGGGACAGTGTTCTCGAAGCTACCAGCATGAGTTTGACCAAACTGCGGGAGGCAGTGGAAGACAGGCGTGCCTGGTGTGCTCTGGTCCAGGGGGTCACGAAGAGTCAGACACGACTAAACAACACCAACAACCATGAGCAGCTATCTGGCTGCCTTTGAGGAGGGACTGAGCCCCTCTCTACTTCCCCCACTCCTCGTTTCAGTTTCCCAGTCTCCAGACTTTCTCACTTATCTCTTTCCACTCCCCAACAGAGACATCAAACCAGACAACATCCTCCTGGACCGATGCGGACATATCCGGCTGGGGGACTTTGGCTCCTGCCTCAAGCTCCGCAAAGACGGGACGGTGAGACTTGAATTGGGGGTGGGGGCGATTAGGAACAAGGAACCAGGCACAGGGCCTTCTTGGTAGTGGCACCCGCCCTGTCGAATACCCACCCGTCAGCTGTCAAACAGATGAACAGCTACACAACTTTTTGAAGACATCTGAAGGCAGCCCTGTAAAAGGAATTTGTTAATGTTTGATATGTATTGTGTTTTTATTATGTTGAAAGCTGCCCAGTGTGGCTGGGGCAACTCGATCAGATGGGCGGTGAGTTGTTGTATTATTATTATTATTACTATTGTTATTATTATTGTAACTGTCAAAAGGAAAGTTAGAGGTTTGGCGCGCGCGCCTAGTTCAAATGTAGAGGCGCGCGGAAGTGCAGGGAGCCCGGAGGAGGGGCCAGGTCCCAAAGCCCGCAGGAGGGGGGAAGAGCAGTCTGGGGATTCAGCGTCAGAGGAATCCAGAAGGGGCGCAACCCCGGGGGCAGAAGGACCCTGCGGAAAAGGAAGGAGAGAAAGAGGTGGAGCAGCGCAAGTCTCTTAAATTGGTGCAGAGGAGGGAGTGACTCAGAGGGGACTTCGGCGGTCTAGCGTAAGAGACGTAAGGCTGCACGCCTAGGATGTCAAGCAAACCATGAACTGCAATAAACACCTTTGTATACAAGAAGACGTAGGCGTTGGTCTTTTGTGAGCTAAGACTTGAGGCAGCCTTGACAGTAAGTCCCCTCTGAGTCACTCCCTCCTCTGCACCAATTTAAGAGACTTGCGCTGCTCCACCTCTTTCTCTCCTTCCTTTTCCGCAGGGTCCTTCTGCCCCCTGGGGTTGCGCCCCTTCTGGATTCCTCTGACGCTGAATCCCCAGACTGCTCTTCCCCCCTGCGGGCTTTGGGACCTGGCCCCTCCTCCGGGCTCCCTGCACTTCCGCGCGCCTCTACATTTGAACTAGGCGCGCGCGCCAAACCCCTAACTTTCCTTTTGACAGTTACACTACTCCCTTCACTGCTCCCCTCTCCTTCCGGGAGGGCGGCTTGCTCTGACCCCCCTCCTCTCTCTGCTGCTGGAGCTGCTTCCTCTGACACACTGGAAACTCCACCCCCTTCGCTGCACTTTGGTGGGGAGGCTGGTCCTGACGCCCAGCTGCCACTTTGGGATCCTCCGCTGGCACCCTGCTCCTGACACTTCCCCCCTGGGGCTCCCCTGGCCCTGACCACCGGCGCCCCCTTCTGGGAATCCTCTGATTCGCTGGAAAGACTCATGGAATCCCTTGAGTCATTGTCATCCTCTTCCTCGCTGGCTTGGAATTCCTCCCCCTCGCTCTCCATCTCCTGCCTACCCTGTGCCTCTCTCTCTGAACCCCTGACAATTATGATTATTAAGCCTGCCTTTAGAGGCAAACTGACATAATTAATTTGCCCTTTCTGAAACAATACGAAAACTGAAACACGGACACCCTCTGAAATTTGCACTTCTTTGAATTTTTCAGGGCAGTTCTCCAGCTAATAATAATAATTATTATTATTTTTATGCCCCGCCCATCCGGCTGGGTTTCCCCAGCCACTCTGGGTGGCTCCCAACAGAATATTATAAACATGATAAAACATCAAACATTAAAAACTTCCCTAAACAGGGCTGCCTGCAGATGTCTTCTAAAAGCCAGAGAGTTGTTTATTTCCTTGACCTGATGGGAGGGTGTTTCACAGGGCGGGCACCAATACCAAGAAGACCCTCTGTCTGGTTCCCTGTAACCTCACTTCTTACACTGAGGGAACTGCCAGAAGGCCCTCGGAGCTGGACCTCAGTGTCCAGGCTGAACGATGGGGGGGGGGGGAGACGCTCCTTCAGCTATACTGGGCCTTTGAGGCCACTTAGGGCTTTAAAGGTTAGCACCAACACTTTGAATTGTGCTCAGAAACATGTGCCAAAATGTACATAGCTACGGGAAAGTGTGTACAGTGGTACCTCGGGTTACAGATACTTCATGTTACAGACACTTCAGGTTACAGACTCCGCTAACCCAGGAATAGTAAATTGGGTTAAGAACTTTGCTTCAGGATGAGAACAGAAATTGTGCTCCGGTGGCGCGGCGGCAGTAGGAGGCCCCATTAGCTAAAGTGGTACCTCAGGTTAAGAACAGTTTCAGGTTAAGAACGGACCTCCAGAATGAATTAAGTTCTTAACCTGAGGTACCACTGTAAGTGGAAAACCCCTACTCCAGCAAAAACACACACAAAAAACCAGCACACATGTGTGGCAGGTCTGCTCAACGATAGCCGTGGGCACCCCAGATTACCTCTCCCCCGAGATCCTGCAAGCGGTGGAAGACGGCGCCCACTCCTACGGCACGGAGTGCGACTGGTGGTCCCTTGGCGTCTTCGCCTACGAGATGTTCTTCGGCCACACTCCTTTCTTTGCCGACTCCGTGGTGGAGACGTACGGAAAGATAATCCATTTCAAAGTAAGCGAGGGGCGGAGACTTCGGGGCGGGGTTCGCGGGTCTGTGTGGGTTTGCCTCACAGAGAATCGGGCCCAAAATCTCTCCCTGGGCGCCCTTGCCGATTGTCAAAACTCCCCTTTCCGAAGGAACACTTCCGGTTCCCTCCGTCGGTTCCCGACGTCCCTCCCGAAGCTCTGGCCTTGATCGAAGGGCTTATCTGCCCCCGGGAGATGCGGCTGGGGCGCAACGGAGTCCGGGACTTCCAGGAGCACCCCTTCTTTGTGGGCGTGGACTGGGACTCGCTGCGGGACTGCGTGCCGTCGTTCGTGCCCGAATTTGCCAACGCCACTGACACCTGCAACTTTGACGTGGTGGATGACTGTCTCACTGACATGGTGAGCGGGGGAGGGGTACGTGACTTTTTATTTGTCCCCCTTACTCCCAATTCCTCTCTCCCCCCCCAGTGCCAGTTCATCTGAGAAACACTGTTTAAGTAACTGTGGACTCCATGGGTGAGAGAGTTTTACAGAGGTATCCCTTCCTCATCCTACTCTTCGGACAATAATTCCCATTGCTTCGCTCGTTTCAAAATGTGGCGAGCCAGCCCTACTGGGTATGGGGCAGGGGGGGGTCATGTTTATTCTCCTAGGTGGGACTCCAGGGAACCACCCCAGAGTCCTGCCCTGGCCGTCGCAGTTTACAACAGCTAAAACACAATCTTCACACACTTGGCTGAGTGTCAGACCTAATGGCTACAGCAGCTCATCCCCAGGAGGTCTTAGAAGAGTTTGGATTCTTTTCTTACCCCTTGAATCAGTTGCTGAGACTAAAAGTAGGGTTGCCATATGTCTGGGGAAATCCGTACGTATGGCAGCCCATGTTGGCAGTGTCGTTTTTGCCGCTTTTCCTGAAAAATCGCTCAGAAACGTCAATTTTTTGTGTGATTTCCGCCAAAAAAGTTCCAGAACTTTGTCCCCCGCCACAAAGCTTTTGTGTCCGGATTTTTTTGAAATATGGCAACCCTACTCAAAGTTCCTATCTCACCACTGCCATCTAAATCACCTCCCCTCCAGGGCTTTCCCCGAGCAATCAGAGACTAAGCCTGCCTGCAGCCAACCTATCCTCCACCCTTTTCATGCCTCTTCTGGTTCTGGGAGACAAGTGGGGAGAGGAGCTTGACGCAGGAGAGGCAGGAAACACCTGCAATACTTTGCCAGCCTGCCTCACCTCTGCCTCTTGGCCCCCTTCCTCTCCTGCTTCTTCTTCTGCCTCTGATTCCGGACTGCTCTCTGCCACAGACTAACCCCGCTCACTGAGCCCTGTTACCTCTTCCGCTTCCAACACCTCCTCTTCCCCATCATCTCCCTCTGACCATTCTTTATTATTATTATTATTATTGGTTTTCACATATTACATTACAATACAGATGTACCAAAGCCAACACCATTTCCTCCCCATCCCCCCATACATTTACATTTCTGTTTCCTCGATCCATCATATTACAGCGATACCTCGGGTTACATACGCTTCAGCTTACATACGCTTCAGGTTACAGACTCCGCTAACCCAGAAATAGTGCTTCAGGTTAAGAACTTTGCTTCAGGATGAGAACAGAAATTGTGCTTCTGTGGCGCAGCGGCAGCAGGAGGGCCCATTAGCTAAAGTGGTGCTTCAGGTTAAGAACAGTTTCAGGTTAAGTACGGACCTACGGAAAGAATTAAGTACTTAACCCGAGGTGCCACTGTATTCTTTTCTCCTTCCTCCCACTTCCCTCTGCCCCCCCTTGATTTCCTCCACATTATACCATTTAGAATAATCTTTGCATTCTACAACCTTCTCAAATCATCTATATATTCTTATTATCTTTCCTTACTAATTTTTCTTCCATCCAGTACTTCACATTTTAATCTAGGCATATTAGCATATATATATTTTTGAGCAATATTTTGCCATATATTCATCAAAGCATTTTTAATTCAACTGATTTCTTATCATAGCAGTTAATTTTGCACAAATTAAATATTCATTTAGTTTACAAATCCATTCCTCCTTTGTGGGTATAGTTTGTGACTTCCACCTAGCAGCAATCCCTATTCTAGCAGCTGTACTTGCATATAGAAAGATTCTCCTCCCCCCCCCCGTGGTATCTCATCATCTACTCTTTGTTGTCCTCCACCAATTCCCTGGCTCTGAGCCTTCTTCCCTTGGGGGGGGGGGTCCCTCCAGCTGGTTCCTCTCACCATTCCTCTGCCCCCATGGCATTCCCTGAAAGTCCGCTGCAGAAACCCTAGTGTAATCTTTCTCAGCCTTGATCCCCCAGTTGCTATTGAACTACAAATTCCATAATCCCTGACCACTGCCCATGCTGGCTAGGAATGAGGGGAGCCGTAATCTGACGACATTGAGGAACCCAAGATTGAGGTACAGTGGTGCCCCGCAAGACGAATGCCTCGCAAGACGGAAAACTCGCTAGGCGAAAGAGTTTTCCGTTTTGGAGGTGCCTCGCAAAACGAATCTGCTATGGGCTTGCTTCGCAAGACGAAAATGTCTTGCGAGTTCCTGGGTTTTTTTTTTCCTTTTCCCCCTCTTTTCTAAGTCGCTAAGCCGCTTATCTGCTTATCAGATAAGCTGATAAGCTGCTAAAAGCCGCTAAAAGCCGCTAAAAGCCGCTAATAGCGCTAATAGCGCTAATCCGCTAATCCCATCAATGGGCTTGCTTCGCAAGACGAAAAAACCGCTAGACGAAGAGACTCCCAGAACGGATTCTTTTCGTCTTGCGAGGCACCACTGTACCACTGTATGTAAATCCAGCACTGCCAGTAGGAGGCGCTATGCTCAGCCTGCTGCTGCTGCTGCTCCGGTTAGAACTGACCCCCCCAAACACCCACCCACCCTCTGTGTGCTTGTGTCTCCCTTTTCCTAGGAAACCTTGTCGGATGTGATGGAGAGCTCTCCGCTCGGGGTGCACCTGCCCTTCGTGGGGTATTCGTACACCTACACGGCAGCAGCAAAGTAAGACACCTTTGGGGGTGCTGGGGGCGCTTGGGTTGGGAACCCCAAGGCCATAGCTGTCAACTTGTCCCTTTTCTTGCGAGGAATCCTATTCAGAATAAGGGAATTTCCCTTAAAAAAAGGCTGTGCCTAAGGCTGGTGTCAGAAGCCAGTTGCAGGCCCTGGAATTGAGGTAGCTGGAGGGGTTCTGTCACCTGTGCAGAAGGTGGCAGGCGTACACCTAGGCTGAATCTAGACCTATATAGAAAAAAACACTGTGAAAATGCTTTTTTAAAAAAACCACAAAAACGTTTTAAAATATATATTGAATTTTGCATTAGCTCACCACCGCCATCTGGTGTCCCATTTGTGTAATGCGCTTAAAACACACCTAAGACATTACATTTGCAGCTGCGTAGCCGAGTCCCTGGTCCCAGAAAGCAAGTTGACCCCTGGGCAAAACGGTCCTGCGGCAACGCGGAGACCCTGCCAGGATCGGGTCCGTGAGGCTCTCCCTTTCTCTCAGACAGAATGAGGCAGAGGAAAGAGGCCGCGGGGACGTCAGCATGGAGGTCGACGGTAGCCAGAGGACTTTGCCCCCAGAGCAGACCCCCAAGCAAACCCCGGAGGAGCTGGTAGGTTGGGGGACCAACTGGAGCCAGGATGGGGCAGTGGAGAGCCTAAACTGGTACCCCAGAGGCACCTCAGTGTGTGAGGTTTCACAGACACCTCCGTCTTGCTCTCTACCAGGCATGCAAACTCCCGGATGGACAGAAGCTTGACGTGGCCACTTTCCTAGAGTTGCAGTCGGCTCTCGAGGAGGAGCTGAGGAGCCGGGAGATGCTGTGTCAAGAGCTCAGCATGGTCAAGGGGGCCAACCAGACCTTTGCCAGGTGAGGGTTCTGGGTGTTAGGATATTGATGTTCTGATTCAACTTAAGAATTGGCATGTGGACCATAGCTGTCAACTGTCCCTTATTTGGTGGGAAAGTCCCTTACCCCAGTGCCGTGTCCCGCTGCTGTCCCTTATTGATGATGTCCCTTAAATTTCCCGGGTTTCAAAGGAAGCAGCTCCTCTCCCTCCCTCCCTGCCGGCCAGGGAGGAGGGAGACTCCAACTGTGTTGCTTGGCTGCGTTGCTCACCCAATAAGGAGTCTGAGAATGACTGGGGGGGTGGAGCTTGCATGCCTTGTGCCAATCAAATCGGCCGCATTGCCTGGGGACTCGCCTTTGCTCAGCGCTTCCCAGCGGAGAGGTGACGGTGGTTTTCCTTGCTGCATCCCCTTTGCCGGGTTGCTGCGCTGTGGGAACCACCGCTTGAGGCTTTGTTTGGCTGTTGGCTGGGCTTTCTGCCTTTGGCTGGGAGGGGTTCAAAAGTCGAACATACCTGTGCTCTGAAATTCCCTTATTTTGGCTGCTGATCCCTATTTTCGAGGCTGCTGGTCCCTTATTTTCAAATCTGTAAGTTGACAGCTATGATGTGGAGTTGTTGCGTGTCACATGTCTGTTTACTTCCAGCACAGCCTGCTGGGAACTTCCGTTGTGTATAGCTTTTGCTTTTGCTTTTGCTTCCTGCTCTTGGACATGAAAGAGAGCAGACATGTTTTCTTTGTCCTGAACTACCCTGAATAAACTGCTTGTAAATATGCTTTAAGGGACACGGTGGCGCTGTGGGTTAAACCACAGAGCCTAGGGCTTGCCAATCAGGAGGTCAGTGGTTTGAATCCCTGCAACGGGGTGAGCTCCCGTTGCTCCTGCCAACCTAGCAGTTTGAAAGCACGTCAAAGTGCAAGTAGATAAATAGGTACCGCTCCGGTGGGAAGGTAAGCTTCCTTGACCTCCATTAATTCTCCTCGAATTATGCTCTCTTCCAAATCCCTGTCTCCCCACACTTTCTCCCTCCCTCGATCTGGATTTACTCATTCCAGAGTTACTCCGTGAGAATTATCCCATTCGAGAGAGGGGAAAGGGTGGGAAGGCAGGAATTTGGAGGAGAACCTCCTATGGTCAACGAAGAATGAATGGAGTTCGAGGAAGCTGGACTTTCCACGTTAGACGGCAGACAGGGTGAATGGGCCCAATCCCCTCAGGCACATGAAGGCCGAAAGTCACTGAAATGATTAGCTGCGAGGGCATGAAAAACAAACCTAGTTTAGTTGTTCTTAACCTTTTTTCAGTGGGATTTCTTTCTTTTTAATTGTACTGTTTTACTGCTTTGTTTTTGCCACTCCTGTTGGCAGGAAGGACGGCTTGGAGCTTTAATAAAGTTAAATAACGTGAGTTGCTTCAGGTTAAGAACAGCAGTAAAACTTATATCTGAAAACAGTGTGGAGAAGATCAGGTACGGAATAACTAGAATGTGCAGCGTTCGTTGGGAACCTGGGGAAACCAAGGAGGAGGGGGGATCCCAGAATTACTGGATTATTTGATAGGAATTTCGGATGTGTTGTAAATTCTGTGGAAAAATATATACAGTGGTACCTCTGGTTGTGAATGGGATCCGTTCTGGAGGCCCATTCGTGACATGAAAAGAGTGCAACCCATAGCGGTACATCTGCGCACGTGCGGGTTGCAATTCGCCGATTCTGCGCATGCGCATGACGTCATTTTGTGCGTCTCCGCATGTGCGAGCGGCAAAATCTGGAAGTAACCCTTTCCGGTACTTCCGGGTCGTCGCGGGACGTAACCTGAAAGAGCGTAACATGAAGCGGATGTAACATGAATCATAGAATCATAGAATCATAGAGTTGGAAGAGACCACAAGGGCCATCGAGTCCAACCCCCTGCCAAGCAGGAAACACCATCAGAGCACTCCTGACATATGGTTGTCAAGCCTCTGCTTAAAGACCTCCAAAGAAGGAGACTCCACCACACTCCTTGGCAGCAAATTCCACTGTCAAACAGCTCTTACTGTCAGGAAGTTCTTCCTAATGTTTAGGTGGAATCTTCTTTCTTGTAGTTTGGATCCATTGCTCCGTGTCCGCTTCTCTGGAGCAGCAGAAAACAACCTTTCTCCCTCCTCTATGTGACATCCTTTTATATATTTGAACATGGCTATCATATCACCCCTTAACCTCCTCTTCTCCAGGCTAAACATGCCCAGCTCCCTTAGCCGTTCCTCATAAGGCATCGTTTCCAGGCCTTTGACCATTTTGGTTGCCCTCCTCTGGACCCGTTCCAGTTTGTCAGTGTCCTTCTTGAACTGTGGTGCCCAGAACTGGACACAGTACTCCAGGTGAGATCTGACCAGAGCAGAATACAGTGGCACTATTACTTCCCTTGATCTAGATGCTATACTCCTATTGATGCAGCCCAGAATTGCATTGGCTTTTTTAGCTGCCGCGTCACACTGTTGGCTCATGTCAAGTTAAACAGGGCTGCCTTCAGGTATGAGGCATGACTGTATATATAAAATAATAATAACATTAAATAACGAGTAGATCAGTCCTTCTCCCAGGCTTCCCACTTTTCTTGCATCAAATAATGATTGTCTCGCCTTTTCCTGCCCAGCCAACTCAAGGAAGCAGAGAGCCGCAATTTGGAACTGGAAGCTCAGATCAAACGCCTGGAGGAGCAGATCGAAGGGATGAGGCCGATGGCCGAGGAAGGCAAGTTTCACCGGAGCCCCTTCCCTCCTCCTGCCTGCAGCCCCTCGCCCAGCTTGTGTTCCTGGCAGACTCCTTCAGCTTGCTGACCACCCCCTTCGGTTCCAGCTCTTTCACCCCCTTCCCTTCCACGGTTTGGAAGAAGCACGTGCCCCAAGGCCAGCACTGCGCCCAGAAGCAAGCCAGGGAGCTCAGCCCCAGCTGCACACATGGACTGAGTGCTTTGGACTACAACTCCCATCATCCACAGCCAGCATGGCCAACAGTCAGGGATGACGAGAGTCGTGGTTCAAAACGTCCGGAGGGAACCAGATTGGTAAAGGCTGGCAGTTGAAAGGAAGTGTGTGCGCAAGAAATAGTGTATTCACAACACACATCCGAAGCACTGTGGTACCACTTTAAACCGTCGTGGCTTCCCCCAGAGGATTCTGGGAGCTGTGGCTTGTTCAGGGTGCTGCTAGACCTGTCGTCGTTTTTATTTTGATTACGTATTTTGCGGTTTTTATATTTTTATTTCGTTCTGTGAACTGCCTTGAGACCTCTGGGCTATAGGGTGGTATATAAATTCAAATAATAATAATAATAGACCTAAACACTCGGGTTGTGAACGTGATCTGTGTGGGATGCATGTTCAGCGTTCACAACCTTCAGCGGTGCGTCTGCGCACACGTGGATTGCGATTTGGTGACTCTGTGCATGCGCAAAGTGTGATTTAGCGCTTCTGCGCATGCACGACCTCCAAAACCTAGAAGTAACCCATTCCGGTACTTCCGTGTCTCGGACCGTCCGTAACCTGAAAAAACACAACCTGAAGTGTCTGTAACCCGAGGTATAACTGTATTTTCCTCCAAGAGCTACGATTTCCAGTTTATCCATCTATCCCTCTTCACAGGGAACCCTGGAAACTGTAGTTTTTTTGGGGGGGGGTAGGGAGGTTTCCTAACAACACTCAGCAACCTGAACCATGTACAGGATTCCTTTGGAGGAAGCCGTGACTTTTTAAAGTGGTCTCTTGGCTCTTTGGGTGTATGGTGCGTACTCAGAGCAGACCCCTTGGCCAACTTGAGCCCACTGATTCTGAGGCTATGTGCACAGGAGCTGCTTAAAAACCCCTGCCTTTCCAGAGAGGAGCCGCATTTCCAGAGAGACGATTGGGCTGTCTTTGCCCGATGTTCATCGCCAGATCCACCAGCAGGCTGAATGCTTGGCTCTCTAGGCCCAGCTCCTCGCTGACTGGGTTTGGGGTGAGGAGGGAGCCTCCACCTGCCCCCCCCGGCCCCATCTAGCAGTAGCCTAGATGGAAGGGCATAACTTGGAAAGCTGAGCCCTGTTCTTTTCGCTTCCCCTTCTGGGTGCTGGGTGGGTGCTCTAACCCTTGAAAATTCTCCCTCACGGGTTCCTGCTCCACCCTGCCTCTCGCCCATCAAAGGGGCGGGTGCACGACTGGTCAGTTTGAGCTCTGTCAATGGCTACCAGCATAATAATAATAATAATTTATTATTTATCCCCCGCCCATCTGGCTGGGTTTCCCCAGCCACTCTGGGCGGCTTCCAACGGAATATTAAAATACAATAACCTATTAAACATTAAAAGCTTCCCTAAACAGGGCTGCCTTCAGATGTCTTCTAAAAGTCTGGTAGTTGTTGTTCTCTTTGACATCTGGTGGGAGGGCGTTCCACAGGGCGGGTGCCACCACCGAGAAGGCCCTCTGCCTGGTTCCCTTGGCTTCTCGCAGTGAGGGAACCGCCAGAAGGCTCTGGACCTCAGTGTCCGGGCAGAACGATGGGGGTGGAGACGCTCCTTCAGGTATCCAGGCACACCCTCCGAGTCTCAAAACCAGGACACACATCTTCCCATCTGTGTTCCTGCACAAGTCACATGCAAGACCACGGAGCCCTAAATACACTATTTTTCTTGGAGCTGTACTCTCACACAATGGCATGGCACCCAAAAACATGTGTTGGGGGGGGGGGCGCCATGCGAGATTGCAGCCCTGAGAAAAGCACAAGGTCTCGGCGCAAAATCACGTGAGGTCACGACACCCAAAATGGCCACTGTGCTCTTGCCGGGGCAGGGAATGAAACGTGCCGGTTTTTCTGGGACATTTGCAGGGTGTGTTCTATACTCTGCCTCCGCTGTTGAGTCTCAGATGGGGAAGAGTTGTTCATGCACTCAAGTCCTGCTTGGGGCATCTGGTTGGCCTTTGTGATAACAGGGTGTTTAACCAAATGGGGACTTTATTGTCCTGGTGCATCAGGCCTCCTCCTAGGTTCTTAGATGTGCTTCAGGTCTGTACGCAGAGTTGCCTTAGGCATATCCGGTGCCGTGGTGCAAAGATCCCTCCAGCGTTCCACCCCCCCGTTTCCCATTGTTGTCGACCTTTTCCTAAGCCTCTGCGGGGATCGCTCTCCTACCGTGGAGGCTTGTGAACAAAGCTGCACACCCGTCAGCCATATAGTTGACGGGGCGCAGCTGGCGGGCATTCAGGAGGGAAAGGGGAGACCATCGACAAAGCCGCGCAGCTCCCCCACTCTCTGGGGTGCCTCAAGAGGCCAGCGTCCTGGCGCGACGCACCACTAAGCCCTATGGGAAAGACGGCTCTGTCTGTACGGGAGTGTGCTGGTCCCGTGGGTTACCCGAGAGGCGAGGTCCAAGTCCGGTCCATGGACAAAGGTGCAGCGTGGTGCCAGTCCGTAGTAGCTGAAGCTGGGTGCAGGGCAGGGAGTCGGGTGAAGTTAGGAACAGGCTTGCAAGCAGAGAGCCAGGGCGGGTCAGGAGCTCAGGCAGGAAAGCAGGACAGGGTGCAGGCAGGAACTAGGAACCAACAACGTTGCTCCCGGAACTTGGGACTGGCCGGCTTTTATCTGCCCCGAGGCATAGGGCGGCCCCGATCCTCAGGTGACTCACCTCTGCTGGCCTGGAGGCGAGCACTCCTCCTGCGGGAACTTAGTTCCCTCCACCTGTCTGCCCTGAGCCTCTGCAGCTCAGGAGAGGCTGGAGGGTTACTGGACCCAGAGGCAACCCCACCTTCCCCTGACGGGGCTGAGAGTGGAGCACCTGCAGGCAATGGGTCCTCCATCAGCTCAGGAGCCAGAGCAGACTCAGCTGGTGCCTGCACCTGAGGATCCAGCACAGGTGAGGACCCTTCAGGCTCATGCCCCAGCCCCGGCTCAGCTGGTTCTGGAGGCGGGGAATCCTGTGCAGGCTGGGATCCCTCAGGTTCAGCATCCGAGTCCGAATCCCAGGCCATCACAGTGAGCCACGACAGCGCATGAGAGCTGTCAGTCGCCAAGGGTTGAGTGAGAAGCCAGCTGGCCTTTGTGCACTGAGGGAAGCACAGCATGCGATGTGCGGCGCATGGCAACGGGCTGCTTCTTTTGCCCAGCACGCCTGCCGGCTTGTTCCCGCATGCCTCATAGGCTAGCCTCTTTCTCTGTACATTGTCCTCCCCTTCCTCACCCATTCACCACCAACACCCCGCCCCCCCACAAAGGAAACTCGGCCCCACGTTTCTCTTTTCCTTCCAGCTTCTCTGGGCTGGAGCCCCCGCTGGCCCCCCAACCACACCCACCCTTTCTTGTGCCGCGTGGAGCGCCTGGCAAATGTAAGCCTGACTCTGCAGGTTGCCTACCTCATGGAGGAGGTGGGGGAGGGAAAGGGATGTGTGTGTGTCCCCCGCCCCACAAGCTTAGGCTCCCTTCTGGGTGAGGAGGGGAGATGACGCTTTCTAGTCTGCCCAATATTGGGGTCCTCTGACTCTGGGGCTCTGTGGGTTCTGCATCAACCTTCCGCGCACCCCAAGTTCTGCACCCAGAATGTATTTTGCATTTTATTTTTGGAAGGGGGGCGGGTGCAGCTTATTCACATTCTCTTATGCAACTTTTGTGCTTCAAATATTAGACTTCCTGGTTTGTTTAGTTTTTTCTTAAAAGGCGAAAGATGGGAAAGGTTCCATTCCAAAAGGACTAGAAACTTGGTTCCATAAAGACAAGGGGCAGTGGCTGTCACAACCCACAGCCCAAATGGCAGCTGGGGGGTGTGGGGGTTTCTGGCTGGGTGTGCACAGAGAAAGCAAGCAGTTGTGCTTTGATCTGGTCTCTCCCCCCCCAACCCACCCACTTGCCGCCGCCCCCCAATTGCCTGGCACTCTGCCCCGCTGACTTCTGCTTTCTCTTTCCAGCAAGGCGGCACCATGGCATCTCGGCTTTGTGAATACCCGCTTGTGGTACCTCTGTACCGGCACTTGCTGCTCTTTTCTAGGGTACGTCGGCTGCCATCATCGCGCATGTGCGAACACACAGACCTCTCTCTCTCTTTCCCCCTCTTCTCTGCTCACCTGAAGTCAGTGCTTGCTTGGCCCGAGAGCGGCCTTCCGCTCCCAGCTCTTCTGGTATCGTGTTCTTTTACACACACACCCCGACTGACGGAAAGCCATCGAGGGCAAAAACACCCCTGTGCAGAGACCGGGCAACACAGCACGATTGGAAGGTGGTTGGGGCAGAGCACTGATTGCAGAAGAGGGATTAAAATACCCCAAAAACTACCTCCTTCCCTACAGGTCCTCTTGGGGGCAGAGCTTGGCAGTGGGGGTCCTCTTGGTTGTCCCTATGCCCTCAGAGGCTTGGGGGTGGGCTGGGCCTTCTCTGTGGTGGCCCCTAAAGTGTGGAACTCCACCCCCTCCATTATGCAGCTTAGGGAGGATGCTCTTGCACCCTGGCCTTTGACACCTGAGGTGTATATTTTTAGCGCCTACTTAATTTTGGGGATTGGAAGTCGTTTTGAACTGTTTTTAATGCAGCGTTTTAATTGGGTAACACACACACACACACCCGCCGGGACCTCGGGGTGAAATAATTAAATAAATAAAAGTAACGGGAATAAAAGCTGCCATTTATTTAATAGCCTTTTTTGTGGCACATGGTTTTGGAATAATATGGCGCCAACGGGCCTGTCTGCTTAGGCTGAAGAGTTTCCGTTTTCTTACGCCTAAAAGTCAGGCCGAAGGCCCAGCTTGCCAAGAACCAGAGCACACCGTCTCGTTTTGCCGCCCCCCAACAAACCCTCCCTTACTGGAGTCACACAGCCTTGGCTTCTGGCGGTATCGTGCAAGAGGTCCCAGAAGTCTCCGTACAATTTCGCGGGGCTCTCGCAAGATCTTGCCAGAACCCAGGAGCCGCTGCAACCACTTCTCCGACGGTAGGAGACGCGCCTGAAGAATGCTCCTTGGATTCTGCCGCCTGAGGCAGCTGCCTCGGCCTGCCTCCTGGACGGGCCGGCTCAGAACTGGCTGCTCCAGTTCTCTCCAGCCATGTGTCCTCTTGTAGGCAGACAGCCTCGTGGGAGGCTGGCTGCTCTGTCTCTCCCTGAGTGCCAGTTCTTCACAGTTTGTTCTCCGTCAGCCTCTGCTGAGCACCACCAAGGACCAATCCATTCCTGAAGAAATCTGGTGTGCCAGGGAGAAAGGCACTAACCTACTTCAACAGGCTAGCTTTCCATGGGCAGGAACCTTTTAATTTTAGGGCAGAATACTCAGTTGTGAGGACACCCGGCCTTGCAGTGGTATACCCAGGCATGGCTTGTGTGAGAGTAGGAGTGACTGAGAACAGAGAAAGCAGGATCCCTCGTACCTACGGGACCACCTCTCCTGATATGCCCCGCGGAGGACCTTAAGGTCCATAAATAGCAATACCCTAGTGGTCCCGGGCCCTAAGGAGGTTAGATTAGCTTCAACCAGAGCCAAGGCCTTTTCAACACTGGCCCCGGCCTGGTGGAACGCTCTGCTTCATGAGACCAGGGCCCTGCAGGATCTGATTTCTTTTCACAGGGCCTGTAAGACAAGAGTTGTTCCGCCTGGCCTTTGGCTTGGAGCCAATTTGATTCCCTCCTTCTCTTTCTTTTTTCTTTTCCTTCTCCTGCGATGAGGCTACATTTTAATATTTTAATGTTGTATTTTAATTTTGTTTTTAAGTTGTATTCATTCAACTTGTTTTTGTTATTACTTGTAAGCTGCCCTGAGCCCGGCCTTGGCTGGGGAGGGCGGGGTATAAATAAAAATTATTACTATTATTATTATACCTGAAAGCAAACCTTCCCAGGGGTTTAGGGCGCCTCCCAAGTTTTATTTCAAATAAGTGTCCTTCGGCTGAGGTTTCTGGGAAGGCAGGGCCTTTTTGGAGTGGCCCCGTCTGCCCAGAAGCTCAGCCCATTATTACAAGAAGCGGGATGACTTACGGTCCCTTGTGGTTCCAGCAGCAGCAGGGATCCGCTGGGTCTCAAACCCACTGGCTCCCCCTTTTCCCTGAAACCCAAGGGCTTCCTTCTCTCCTTCTTCTGTCTTGACCAGCCTGTTTTCCCTTCCCAGGTACATAGGCCCTGCATCGTCAAGGTGGGTTACCTGCTCTTATGCACTGGCAGATTTGCCCTGGATGCCTCTCCTCGGAGCCTGGTGGAGGTGGCATGAAGGCCACCGGCGAGTGGGGAGACCCTTGTGCCCACCAGCTGCTGCTCAGTCCGCTCTGCCCTTGCCAGGTCCCTGGGACAACCTCCTTTATCACTTGCGAGCTGCCCCCAGAAGGGAGATTGGGGCCCAGAGGGCTGGAAGCCCCCTTCCGCTTGTGCCCTGGCAAGGAAGACGACCCTTTGCGATCCAGATGCTGCCTGAACCAATGGCCGAGCCCATGCTACTCCCCGGGGCCTTGCCTCCCTACACTCTGAGCCCTGCCTATCAACTTGCCTCGCTTTGCGAAGACGGCACTGGTCTCCCCAGCTCACATTACTGGTAGCAGCCAGGGAGGAATTTCCTAAAGGGCCACGAGTGGCCGAAGAGAACCCGGCAGAGACCCCCAAGACCTCTCGACCCCCAACTCCTTCCCACTCTTTATCCTCAGGCTGCTCCACCTCAAGCGCGAGGGGCAAAATTTGGGAGCTGCTATAGGATCCAGGAATCCCAGCAACCTCAGCAGTTTAACCTCTTAAATTCCTGTAGGGGAAGGAGCCCAGGAGTCCTGCCTCCCAGCCCTTCTAGTCAGCCCCCCATCTCTGACTCCCCGGTCTCTGATTCCGATGTGGCTGTTTCCAAGAGGTGAAGGCTGGGGGGATTCCTTCGTGGCAAGTGTCTTCCTGGGGACGCAGCTCCCGCTTACCCCTTTTGAGCCAACGAGGCGACGCTCCCCCCTTGGATCACGACTGCCGCCCCAATGACCCATGGCTGCTTTGCACCAGCCCCCCCACCCTCTTGGGAGTTTGGCGCAAGGGGAGTCGGCGGAGGGGCGGCTGATGGAAGAGGACTGGACTTGGATTCTGGTTTTGCTTGGAGGACGCTCTGCTATCGGCAGAATCTGCGCAAGCAGATGTTGTACGCCGTGCTTTCGAGCCACGCTTCACACCTGGGATTCGCTGGGCTAAGACTAGGATGGTCTCTGGGTAGCTGCCCCAAGGCCCAGCCGGGACCTTGGAGAAGACTGCAAAGCCAGGCATGTCTCAAGTTCGCTTGATGGGAAGCGCCACCGGCAACAGAAAAATGACTTATACCTGCACTTCTACACTTCCGGCACCTGGTGGCAGCACCAAGCCTTTCTTGCTCCACACTGCCACACATACACAAGGTTGTTGGTAATTTATTTGGGATTGTGGTGTTTAGCTGTAAATCTTATTTCCCCCTCCAGCAGGTGATGGACCTCTGTTCCCTGCCTCTTCCAAAAGGTGTGCGCGCACTTGTCTCTAACGAAGGGAAGCGCACAGGAGAACGTTTAGCTTGAAGTGGGGGGGGGACTGTGCTAGTTTTAAGGTTTTGCACCATGCTCTCCTCTTGGTCCCTGGTCACCTTCCTTTCTCCCCATATTTATTATTCCGTCTCCCCCCCCCAGTCCCCTCCCCTCCTTTGTGTAATAATATGGCACACAGGGGCTGGATGCATGAGAACACTGTACATTTGTGACAATGTGTGTTAAGGTTGTTGCTGCTCCCTCTTCAGAGATGAAATAAAATTGGATTCTTCCGTAGCCTTTTGCTGCATTGCAATGTAGGAATTTTGCAACTAAGGGCCAAGACAAAACAAGGGAGGGGAAGGAACCGGGGCAGGTGGCAAGACACACTCACGGCACCATCACAAGCAACTCCACGCTTTCACACGTGACAAGGAAAACGACTGTCTCACGCACTGATTTTTGGAGAACAGAGCTCTCTCTCTGTTTCCTTAGAGCATCCACCGTGGTGGGTTTTTTTACTGGCACCAGAATTTATGCTCCACAAGCTTCCGTTCCTCCTCCTCCCCCCTCGAGCCCCCGACCCCCCCCCAAACCACCAACATTTAGCAGGGGAGGCTGTGGTGTGAAAACTGTCTCTTTAGTATAAATAGGAGTTCACGATTCTATAATTTAAACACTCTTCAGACACAACAGTAACAAACGTTTAGAGAGCAGGTAGTAAAGTGACGAAGGCACAGGGGGGGCGTCATCGTCGCAGCTTCCGGGCGTGTTCTTCTGCGGACTTTGGGGGGGGGGGAGTTGGGGGGTCTCGGCTGCCAGACACCAGCTGGCAGGCAAAGGCCGCAGGACCGGGAGGGGAGGGAGGCAGACAAGAGTGCGAGGGCGACATGCATTTGGGAGGCGGGGGGGGGGGGGAGAGAGCAAAAGTAATACTGTCCGCCAAGGTCTCTGCGAAGGATCCAAGCAGACCGGGGGGGGGGGGGCAAGGCAGAGTCCCTCCTCTGCTCCCCACGTTCCTCTGACCAGGCTGGGATGAAGCGGGTGTGAAGATTGTGTGAAGTGGCTCGGCACCCAGTATGGCTTTTTTTCCTGGAGGAGGGGAGCCAGTCCCGTGGTGGTCAGTCCTCTGAGAGAGGGGTTTTTTCACCCACCCACCCGTCCCAGTTGGTTTCTCTGGCAGCTGGGCCGCGTTTTGCAAAGATGCAGAGCCGACGATGGGTTCACAGTGAGCGTAGCGTGACGTACAAGACGGGTCCCCTTGCCAGGCTGGCGTCCGTCCGCCTTCGAGCCTTTGCCGGGCAGCTGATAGGCGGTCCCCAAGGTGAAGACTCGTGGCGAACGCGCGTGGTTGGGCTCGAGGCGGGCAGAGTCTCCTGGATGCGTCTCGAATGCTAAGGGCCCAACCCCAGGATGTGTGCCGGTATTACCAACGAGAGCGTGGGTGCCTCTGGGCATGCGCAGGTGGCCACCGTAAAATAACAGCCGGCTCCCCTGGGGTCCCAGGGAAGTTCCTAACGCCCTCTTGTGTTAGAAACCAGGCATGGCAGGCAGGCAGCCCTGCCCTTAGAGCAACTCAGTCAAGCCCTGCTCCTGCCCAGGTTTGGCTCCGCTGGAAACGCTATAAATCCACTTTTGAATCCACTGGGCAGCGCCAGGCCTCAATCAATTCTACTGGTGAGTTTGGAGACTGTTACAGGCACAAATCCTGGCCACCACGATACACTTGGGGAAACAGGCAAACTGGTAGGACATGGGATGCTTCTGCAGAAACCAGCATCCTTTATCTTTATCTTTTGCTGGAAGCTCAGGTCTGCAGGGCGAGAAGCTGCAAATGGAATACTAGTCCTCACAGAGAAAACTGCTCCTAGTGCACGTAGCCCAGGGGTTCCCTCTAAGCCTGTCGGTGCTAAAGCAAAAGCAGCGAGAGGGGGAAGTCCAGGGATCCTCTTGGAAGTTTGCGGGACGTTTTAAGCCCAGGTTTATGGGGATTTTTTGCCCAGCACCCCCTCCCCAAACTGCACCCTCCCAGGTGTTTTGGGCTACAACTCCCCACGGCTGCGCAGGCTGGGCCTCGTGGGAGTTGTAGTCCCAAACGCCCGGAGGGCGCCGGGTTGGCGAAGGCTGCTCTGCCTGTACTCCAGGGTGTAAGTTAAACCGCACAAGCGTGGCACTGCGTACATAAATGCAGGTGTGGTAAAGAGAGGCTCAAAGCTGCCCCAAATTGTACTTTTAACGCTTATGAAGCAATAAATAAAATAGAACACACTTGCAGAAAACTGGCTCTCTGCGTGTGTCTCTTAAGACTGCCCTCAATCGCCAAAGGATCAAAGGATGTCAGGAATATTTTAAATGGCCACATACTGGGTGAAACACGTGTATTTCTTTGAATCCGTTTTGGAGCAGCTGTTTTCTGCGACAGGAGGGGTTGTAGCTGGCGCTAAGCCCTACTTAGAGTAGACCCACTTAAATTACCCGGCCTAACTTAGGCCCACTAATTCCAATGGGTCTACTCTGCGTAGGGCCTAGCATCAGGTGCAACCCAGAATCCTCAAGCAGATCAAAACCTGTCCCGAGCTGATCAAAGCCTGTCCCAGAATAGACACATATTCCTATATTTTTTTCTGTGGACAGAATACAGATAAGCAGTTGAAATGTCTAGAGATAAGCTCTACTGGGATCCTGGCCATGCCCCAACAAAGACCTACCATGGCATCCCCAGGGCTCTCTTAAGGCTCTGCACAAGGTTATGCACCGGAATGGCTGCCCAGCCTGAATTTCTGCCCATGCCACTCTTTGCTTCAGCCCTCAACTTTTGTCTCTGGCCAAGAGGCTTGGGGAGAAAAGAAAGCAGACAGTTTTCTCTGCCGGCATCAGCCGACGACATCACAAGAATTGGCTCCACCTAAAATATTTGCCCTCTCCTCCTAAGCCACATCCACAGTAGGAAAAACGCCGAGCCCAAGCAACCATCTACCGGGACAGATGAACTTCCAGTTACTGCACGGATAATTCCGCTGCAGTATCCTTTTCTCTTAAACATCTCCCACTAGTGCCCAAATTTATTCCTTTGAAAACAAGATGGCAGCTGCTCCTCCTGTAAATGCAACCCTTCAAAGTCAAGGGTTTGAGACTCTGGGCTTCCGAGCGGCTGAAACATCCAACTGATTTCCTTGCACCTGCCTGGGGTTGGCAGCCGGAGCTCAACATTAGGGAGGGCTGGCTATTTAAAATGTGCATTGACAGACTGGACGCACATATGTCGATCAAACTAGGGGGGGCACGGGGAAAGCCATGTGGTACAAACAGGCCCGAGCAGTTGAGGTCAGAGCACATCTCGCTGGCCCAGAGACGAGATCGAATCCAGAGGCAGATCCATGGAGGAGAGAAAGAGCTGAGAAACCGAGCCGCCTGTCAGCTCAGTTCGGAGGAAAAGGTCCGTTTTGCTTCTGAAAGGACCACAGAGGAGGTCGTGAGCATGGGCAGCTGTCAGCCGTCTAGGCCCCAAGGCTGGGACACGGGACGTTGGCAAGAGGACCCGGGCAGTATCTCGCTGGATCTCAAACACCTGGCAACGTGTGTCTGTGGACCAGTAGGTTACACTGGGAGGAGGAGGAGGAGAAGGAGGGAAAGTTGGGGAGATACACCTGCTGTTAAAGACTAAAAAGACCCTGTTGGCGGAGGGGAGGGTCCTGGGTCCCGCAAGAAACTGGGACACGTTGTGCAAAACACACATAAATTTAAAACGAAGAGATGAAGAGGTGGGGGAGGTGTTCTTCCTTCGGGGCTGGGTCGTCCTCCCCCTGTGCAAAAGGGATTCCTTCCGCTTTCTCTGAGGAGCTGGGTTAGGGCGGGTGAAGATCGCAGACGGGTCCTATCCAGTCCAGAGCAGCAGGGCAGCTGGAAGGCAGTGAGGAATCCCCGCCTGGGAGACGAGGGGCAAGGGGGCAAGGTGGGGTGGAGGCAGCTCAGTTCACCCTTGTGCAAAATCTGCCCCGGCAGCAGCCTGTGCTAAGATCTTAGCTTTAAATATGGTTCATATTAATACTTTTTTTTTTCTTTAAATAGCTGAGAAGAAGTGCAAAGGGTCCTGTGCTACATAGGTCTCAATATATTAACTCTGTTAGTCTCTCTCTCTCTTTTTCCATACAGTTAAGTGTCACAGGCGAAGGAGGAAGGGGATAACCTGTACATACTCAGAAGCTGCTGGAGAGGCGGAGAGCTTCGCCATCTTGGCCAAGGGGCCCTGGCAGGGCAAAGAGTCACAGACGCCTGTGAAGAGGAGGTCAGCCAAAGGAGGGGGGGGCGCCGCCCGGTTATACCACCGTGCCGCTGGGAGAGCCGCCGTTCTGGGAGTTCAGGGTCTGAAAAGGAAACAGGGTGGGGGAGAGAAGAGTTTTAAGTGCCGAGAAGAAAAATAGCAGGTCAGGAAGGGCTGCTGGGCTCCTTCTCCCTGAGATGCTACTTTTCTAAGTGCAGGGCGGTTTGGAACTTTTAGGTATACAGTTTATATACTGCTTAGTAAAAATAAAAATAAATCTCCAAGCAGTTTATTTAAAATAACGGGGGATTAAAACTAAAGCCATCTAATACATGCCTTCTGAAGGTAAATAAGGTAAAGGTAAAGGGACTCCTGACCATTAGGTCCAGTCGTGACCAACTCTGGGGTTGCAGTGCTCAACTCGCTCTATAGGCCGAGGGAGCCAGCGTTTGTCCACAGACAGCTTCCGGGTCATGGCCAGCATGACTAAGCCGCTTCTGGCGAACCAGAGCAGTGCACGGAAACGCCGTTTACCTTCCCGCTGGAGCGGTACCTATTTATCTACTTGCACTTTGACGTGCTTTCAAACTGCTAGGTTGGCAGGAGCAGGGACCGAGCAACAGGAGCTCACCCCGTTGTGGGGATTCGAACCGCCAACCTTCTGATCGGCACATCCTCGGCTCTGTGGTTAATATATTTTATATTATATTATATTATATTATATTATATTATATTATATTATATTATATTATATTATATATAAAGGTAAATAAATATATATATTTAACTAATTATTACAGAAAAAATGAGCAAAGAAAAGGAAAAGAAGGTTTAAGAATTAAGTATCAGGCTCCTGAAAGCTTGGGTAAGAATGCATGTCTTTAAGACAGGGGCCCTCCACATACTCCCACGTGCAGCATGGCCAGGGATCAGGGATGATGGGAGTTGTAGTCCAACAACGTCTGCAGAGCTACACCTGCTTCCAGGGGAGTTTAAATCAGGTTACTGTCCCTGCCTCTCGGGCCACCCGGGGAGGGTGTTTCAAAGGGCCACCACTGACAGAGCCCGCCTCTGCGTTGCCCCCAAGAAGCAAGCCAGGTCTCCTCAGAAGCTCTTAAGCTTTGCTGCTGCCTTATGCCTGGACTGGTCCTTTGCTTTCCCAGCTGGAGAAAGCAGGCACCTGCCTGTCTGCCCACTCATAATTAAAGTCAGGAGGGAAAGAGGGAGAGGCAGGCAAGCAGGCAGGCATCAGTCGCTGCCCTGAAGGCCCAGCGCTGGGTTTTCTCCAACTAGACTGGAGCAAACAGTATTGGGAAATGGTAGCATCTGTTGTGGGGGGTGGGGGGTGAGGAATTGTGCAGTAGGCCGGAAGCACTGAGAGAATTCTCACTCGCTTCAGGAGGCTGTTTAATGGCTGGCTGGGATTGGCTCCCCAGTGAAATCAGGGAGAAGAGACCCTCTCACTTGCCCTCCCGGATCTTGGCCTCTTAACTCCACCCAAAGCCGTTTCACAGCAGTGTCGCTCCGCTTTTTGTGCGTTGCAGTGCTTAAAAGAGTGTCTGGCCAGGACCCAAATCCCCACTCAGACAGGGACTTCGCACTGGGCGACCCCGGGGGCCAGCCACTATCTCTTAAGCCCAGCCCACCTCGCAGGGTTGTCGTGAGGACGAGACTAGGCAGGGTGGGGAAGAGAGCCACGAACGCCGCCTTCCGCTCCTTGGAGGAAAAGGTGGAATATGAAAGCAGTAGACAAAAAATGAGACCACCTCATCTCTCTCGATGGCGTTCTGAGAGCACGCAATGTAGCTCCCGCCTGGGTTGTTCTCCTGGGCCTCCACTAAGCTGATCTTCCGTATTTGTGCCCGGGCTTCAACAAGGAATGAAGCGTTCGGCTGGTTTGGTGGATAGATTTTGCTTCATCACTGATGAAGCATTTCACCACTGCAGTGTTTGGGGCCAGGGCTGGGCAGGGCTCCCCCAAGCCACTCTCTCTCCTCCTAGCCTGTGGTTTGGCTTAATGGCCTGCGCCATCGGAGGTGCCACACCACACGAGCAGCAACGCCCTGCTTACGTTCTGGATTTGCGGCTCTGGGGGATAAACCAGGGCGGATTCGCGGGATACCGCCTGGGCTGCTGGACTCAGGGACATCCTTCGCAACCGATGCGAAAGGATGAAGGAACCAAGAGGAAACGGGCACAGGGAAGCACAACACCGGGATGAAGAGTCCTGCGAGCTCGGGAGATCCCTGCTGATCAAGCTAATGGAAGCCAAGCCGACATTCTGCTGAGAACATTTCGTTCTTCCAGGGCGGTCTAACATGCAGCCGTCCCCTGCAGCCTTCCGGAATCCGAGTAACTGAAGCTCTGGGCTTTGGGAAGGAGGCATGAGGGCTCTGACAGGGTCCTAGAGCCCTCCATCCTGCTTCCCAAAGCCTAGTTCAGCGGTTCTCAACCTGTGGGTCCCCAGATGTTGTTGGACTACAACTCCCATCATCCTGGAGCTCTGGCCTTGCTAGCTAGGGGTGATGGGAGCTGTAGTTCAACATCATCTGGGGACCCACAGGATGAAAGGATGGCCTAGTTGGTGCTTTTCCAGCTTTGGGAAGGAAGCGGGAACAGCCTCGTCTCTCTTTCCCAAAGCCCAGTGCCATGATTAGCAGCATGAAGGCTGTGGGTCCCCGTTCCCCCCCCCCAAAAAAAACTTTTTTGGCCTCTCCTCCACATGCGACAAAGCAGTGAGCAGCCCACAGGTTCCATGTTGAAGTACTCTTGTGGCCCACTTGGTGTGAAAAGTTGGCCTGCCCTCCTCTAGATCTGTCCCACTCGCTGTTATCTCCTCCTGGTGACCAGCAGTTCTCCAGGGTCCCAGGCCAGAGCCTTTCCCAGCAGATGCTGCCAGGACTGAACCAACGTTAAATAAATTGGAGTTCTTGTTACTAAATATACCAAGAAAAAAGCACACAAAGAACTCTGGCCAATATAAATTCCAATAGTGGGAGTGGTCAATCTGACTATGGACTAACATGAACTTATCTCTACTCGTAAACTTTTATCTCTAACACTGTAACGAATTATTGTGTCACACGTATCAGTTTGTAATCTCTTGTTTGAGTTTGTAATCCTTGTCAGAATACATACTTTTGAAGGCATCAGTTTTTGTTATAATTGACTCTTGATTTGCGAAGAGGGACCACTCCCACTATTGAAATTTATATTGGCCAGAGTTCTTTGTGTGCTTTTCTGCTTTGCCAGGACTGAACCAGCCTGCTGGTCGCACGCCCTACCGTGAGCCATGCCCCTTTCCCAGGACTGCTTCCCCCTAGATCAGAAATTGCCCCTTCCTAGGGCAACCCAAGCTCTGAAGCCCTCCTGCCAGCGACAAGGGGCTGCCCCACTCACCGCCTTCCCTGGCCTGGCCCACGTGCAGATGAGGCCCTCCTGGCAGGCGGTGATGATGCAGTCCTCCAGGAAGAGGAGCACCGTCAGCCGCTCGTGGGCAATCTTCTTGCAGACGAGGGGCTCCAGGAGGGGCACTTCGTTGATGCGGGGGCACAGCGCCGTGCCCAGGACCTTGGCCGTGTCCAGCTTGCTCCGGGGGACCACGTTGAGCTTGTCGTTGCTCTTGCTGATGTTGCCCAAGCTGTGGTAGCGCTTGTGCTCCTTTTCGGCGTTCTTGTCCTTCCGCTCCTGCAGGGTGAGCGTGGCGAACTTCCCGATGCTGAAGGGCACTGCGCCGTCCGCCACGTGGCTCTTGGCGGCGCTGGTGACGGCTGGGTGTGGCAGGCTGTTGGAGCGGGACAGCGAGCGGGGAAGGGCCCCCCCGCCGGCCTCGGCCGCCAGGTTGCTCCCGCCGCTCCCCGAGGGGGGGATGCCGGCGCTGAAGGTGTTGGTGAGCGTTCGGGCCCGGGAGAGCGGGTGGTGGGGGTACAGGACGTCCTCCGTCAGGTCCCAAAGGCAGAACTGGGTGTCCTGGCCGGCCGACCCAAACCGGTAAGTCACCGTCGGGGTGCTTTTGGTGCTGTGCTTAGAGAGGTGGGACAACGTGCTGCTGGTCCGCACCCTGCAGAAATTGGCAGAGTCCTGGATGTCCTCGTCGCTGCCGCTGAACTCGCCGCTCTCGTCGTCCTCCGTGCTGGTGGTGAAGGGGTCAAAGGCCACCGCGTTGACCCACGACTTGTGGCCGTGGCCCCTGGCAATGACCCGGCCCTCGGCAAAGGACCAGACCGTCACCAGGTCGTCCTCGCCGCCCGTCACGATGTAGCGCCCGTCGGGGCTCCAGCAGACGCACAGCAGCCCCCCAAAATAGCTCTTCATCATCCCCTGCAGGAGCATGGAATCGAAGTGGAAGACGCGGAGGCAGCCGTCTTGGCTGACGCAGGCCAGGTAGCGGCCGTCGGGCGAGAAGGCAAACTCGTTCAGCGCTCCTTCGCCCACCGCCCACTTCAGCAGCGGGTTGCGGGCGCTCTTGCTCTTGCAGGCGTAGACCGTGAAACCCTCGCCCTGCTTGAGGAGGGTGTACTGGGGCGAGGCTGAGCCGCAGGGGTGCTCCACATTGTACAGGTACAGGTGGCCGCTGGCGTGGGAAGCCAGGAAGAGGCTCTCTGTCTCGGGGATCCACTTCACAAAGGTGACCTTTGTCTTGTCAATCAGCCTCTGTCGGGTGGGAGGCAAGGAGAAAGGTGAGTTGAGAGGGCCCATGGAGTTCCCCCAGCCATTCAGTGCAGCCCTCCATGCTTGAACTTGCTGGGAACAGGCCCACAAATGTGCACCACACTCTCACTATAAAATATTTACCAGGAACGAGTCTATTAACTGCCCTTAGTGATCTCTAGGCAGAGATCATCAGCACAGGCCAGGGAGAGTCAACAAAAGGTTCTGCAGAGCTACCGTGCACTAAACAGCACATTCAGAACTAGCCTTGGGCCAAACTCCTGTGCCAACTTTGGCTTGAAGTACTTCTTTTTCCAAGGCATCGTTTCTGGGGCACAGCTCTATGGCTACGAACTGGCAACATTTCCCAGCTGCCGTTCTGAAAAATCTCTCAGGGCGACTTAAGAATACAATCGACAAGCAGTCACATTAAACCACACTTTGATTGTTTAAGCCAACTAAAACTTGTAGCCCTACACGTTATAAGCAATTAACAGCAGCAATTAAGGGAAGAGCGACATTTAAACAGAGGCCCTAACCCAAGCCCATTGACCTGGGAGGAATGAAATAAGAGACTCCAATTGATCTGTATCGACTCTAAGTCACTGCTTCTGCAGAACACTTTGGACTCACCTCCTCGTTGAAGAGCTTACTAGTATCCTTCTTGATGAGATCCAAGTACTGCACTTGCCCAGCCGAAAAGCCAACCAGCAGCGAGATGCTTTCGGAAGCAGCTGTGAACTGGTTGAAGTCGTGGCAAGTGGGCTGCGTCCCCTTATAGATCCGCTTGTCAATGGGCTTCTTCAGGTCGATAGACTGGAAAGCCAACAAAAATAGAATGGGTGGGAAGTTAGACTGCAGGAATCAAGCACTGGAAGGGAATCTGACATGGAAGCAAGAGATGGCAAAGCCACCTGCCGACACTTCCTTCACTTTGCATAAGAGAAACACAGGGAGTGCCTACAGCTGTGTGTGGAGCACAGAAATGACCTCAGAGCACGAGGCCTCTATGGAGACAGGCACCAACCCCACATTTCTTGGCCTTTCAGCAACTGCCGTTCTCCACCCATTTCGTATCGGCTACCTGCATCAACTTTGCAAAGTCACTCGCCCCACACTGACCACTTTGTGGTCTAACAGCTGCTGGTGGGAAGGAGCCTTTATTAAGCTCTCCTGCCTGGTTACGCTGAAGCGATTCTCAGTTGCCACAGGAGACCACAGCTCCAAGTTAAGCAACAGCATCCCTTTTGTCATTTTGCATTAGCTTTCCTGCTTTCCCTCGCCATCGGGACCGGCAAATACCTCTGCAAGCAACCGATTCTCCCTCTTGCGAAGAATCGGATCCACACTCCTCCGGCTTCTGAGATCAGCCACCGACCAGCCCATTTCCTTACCAACCCCTGGCCATTTCTGAGCCCGGTTCTCCTGCCACTGTAGCCTCCTCTTCCACATCACCCCAATGCCTTCCCACCTGCTTCTGCCCATCTCCCGGCAACCTGGCTGCTCCTTCCCTCCCCGCACCCTCAGTTGCCCTTTCAACATCCTCCTCCTTGCACGCCCTTCCCTCGGCTTGGCTACAAAACACACGCACAGAACACCCCAATACTGGGACAGCTCTGCTGGTGGAGGCTCTCAATCCCAGAGCTGTGGGTTCAGGTCCCAAAAGATCCTTGCATTGCAAGGGGTTGGACTAGAAGACCCTCGTGGTAGCTACAACAACTCTCAAACTGTCTCCATCTTCTCTGGTCCTACCCCCCCCACCAACCACACCCTAAACCTCCCTCTTCTGCATACCTGCGCACCCCCACTTCCTCCCGCTCCTCACCTGGGCCAGCCCCACCCCACCCATCGCCCCCCTCCCTCTGACCTCCCCCCACCCCCCACCCCACCTCGGCGGGCGCTCACCCTGCGTCCCCGCCCCGGCGCGCCCCCGGAGCCCGAGTAGAAGTACAGCTCCCGGCCCAGGTTGAAGCAGACGCGGCTGCGCTCGGCGGCCAGGCCCCCCGGGTCCCCCTCCCCGCACGGGTCGCCGCCGCCGCCGCCTCCTCCCCCTGCGCCCCCCGAGGCCGGGCTGAGGCGCACCAGCGAGAGGCGCACGGGGGGCAGCGAGGGGCGGGCGGCGCGGGGGCTCCGACGGGCACCCCGGCGGGCGGCGGGGGCGGCGGGGCGGCGTTGGCCGAGGCGGGGGCGGCGGGCGGGGTGGGCCTGGCGCGGGGCTCGGGCGCCCCCAGCAGCCGGTAGGAGCCCTCTCGGGTGCGGAACTGGCTCTTGATCTCGTGCGGCGGCTGCGGCGGGGACGGGCCTCCGTCGGGGACCGGCGCTGCCGCCGCCGCGGCTGGGGCCGGGGAGCCAGCGCCGCCGCCATCTTCCCGCCGGGCCGCGGCCGCCGCCTCCTCCTCCTCCTGCCTGCCTGCCTGCCTGCCGGAAGTCGCGACCCGCGGCTCACCTCGCCGCGCCCGGAAGCTGCGCCGCGGCGCCTTGGCAACGCCGGAGGGGGGCGGGCGGAAGGGAGGTTGCTGGGCGACGGGGGAGCCCCGCCTCGCAGGAACGGCGGCCGCCTTGGGCGGGGGCGGGGCTTGGGGGAGAGGGCGAGGCCCTTAGCAACCCAGGGAGGATGCGGGCCTTAGCAACGGGGCCTGCGCTTAACAGGCCTGCCTGGGGAGCAGAGAGGATGGAGGGCAGGGGGCTTTCGGAAGTGGGGAACCTCAGGGTGGCAACGCAAGGGCCTTCTCTGCAGTGGCCCCCTGTCTGTGCAATGCTCTCCCCAGGGAGCTTCACCTGGCACTTTCCATTACAGTTTTACCTCGGGTTACATACGCTCCAGGTTACAGACTCCACTAACCCAGAACTAGTGTTTTAGGTTAAGAACTTTGATTCAGGATAAGAACAGAAATCGGGCTCCGGCGGTGAAGCGGTAGCAGGAGGCCCCATTACCTGAAGTGGTGCTTCAGGTTAAGAACAGTTTCAGGTTAAGAACGAACCTCCGGAACAAATTAAGTTCTTAACCCGAGGTACCACTGTATACACTTTTAGGCGCCAGGCAAAAACATTCCTTTTTAACCAGGCGTTTGATCTGATTTATATACAATGCCCTTTAAAAATGTGGTTTTTTAAGGCTGGGGTGGGGTTATTGGGATGCTTCTTTTATTTTGATTATATAATTTGTGGTTTTATGTTTTGTGAACCACCCTGAGACCTCCGGGTATAGGGCAGTATATAAATTCAATTAATTTTTTTTTTCTTCCAGTAGCACCTTAGAAACCAACTAAGTTTGTTACTGGTATGAGACAAATTTAGTTGGTCTCTAAGGTGCTACTGGAAGGAATTTTTTTATTTTGTTTCAACTACGGCAGACCAACATGGCTACCTACCTGTCAATAAAAAATGTTTGACAGCACCAAGCTTTTCTAAGCCATCTCCTTCCTCCTCCTCCTCCTCCTCCTCCTCCTCCTCAGCCTCACCCAAAAAACCAACCATATTTACTACCTCCAAGGCACATGAAATTCAAGGCAATTTACATATAGCATCAGTTGTGTTTACCCAACTAACAGATTATCTCTTTTATAATTAAGAACTACGCCACCCCACTTTACGCAAGCAGGATAAAAAAAAATTCCAGTACAGACAGAAAAGCAGTTGAGACCCGAGATTCTTTATTTAGAAATCTAATCCACTTTATTCTTATTTTTCTGGTTCCTTCCCCAGTTAACCCCTTTCCCCCCAATCTTCTTTTCCTGAATCATCAGCTGTCTGCTTTTTCCTCTTGCTCCACAACGGGCTCTGGCAGCTCCTCCGCTGGGCTGGGAGAGTTTGCAGCCAGAGCAGCGGAAGGGGCAGGAGGTGGTGCCCCACCATCTGTGGCCGGCTCCTCTTCCTCGAGGGAGAGGGTGGCTTGCTTGGCTGTGGGTGGCTTGCTTGAGGATCCCTCATCTGAACTGCCGCTGCTGCTGCTACTACTGCTGCTGCTGCTGCTGCTACTACTACTGCTGCTGGCTGCTCCTTCCTTGCTCTGCAGCTCCTGGGGAAGAGACCAAGAAACAACCATCAGTGTGCAGAAGCTCAGTGTGAATGTGGCTCCTCTCAGAACTCGAAAGGCAGAGAAGCTCAACATCACTTGTGTCAAAGACTGCTGTCTTCGGAAATTAATCCGGCTTTCAAGTGAATGCCTGCCTGAACCAGATACGGTTTCGGCGGCTTGCGCTGCATCTATAATCCTCTCGGCAGGGAATGACAGAAATCCAAGACACAACCGAGGTGCTTTCATAGGTGGAACTACAGGAGGTTTGATGGCCACTTCCACTGACAAGCAAAAAAAAAAAGTTGCGGTACCTTGGGTGGCCAGGGGCCCTCTAAGCTGGAATCCAGCTGGGAGCTGTCTCCTCCAAAGCTCTCGTCTTCCTCCTGCATGCTGATGAAGATGGTGGGAGTCTCCGCTTCAGGCACCTCCTCCTGCAAGTCCACAGATTCCTCGGAAGGGAGTGGGGTCTGGGGGGCTGCCGGGCGGGGAGGCTGCTGCTGCTGCTTCAGTTTCTGCTCCTCCTCCAGCTGGCGCTTGAGGGCCTTCTCCTGCGCCAAGCGCAGGGCAATCATATCCTGGGACACGCGAGGCAGGAGGGGCTGAGGCTCCATTTCTTCCTAGGATTGGCATTGAGCTGCGTTAGGCCCTGCAAAGTGTCCACTCCTTTTTCAAACCCCTTTCTAGTTTGGGGGGGGGGGAATGAGCGCACCATGCTCCTGGCACTGGGTCCCAATTCCCAACACTGTTCTGTGGTGAATCCCTCCCTCCCCACGCTGGGCCTCTATTTCTATGTCTAACACAGGGAAGCAAGGTAGCCTGGCTTCCCTTCTGTGAAAGTGTTCCCAAACATGCAGAAATAAAAGAACACTACGCAAAACTTAGGGACGCAGGTGGCGCTGTGGGTTGAACCACAAAGCCTAGGACTTGCCAATCAGAAGGTCGGCGGTTCGAATCCCCGCCACGTGGTGAGCTCCTGTTGCTCGGTCCCTGCTCCTGCCAACCTAGCCGTTCGAAAGCAGGTAGAGCAAGTAGATAAATAGGTACCGCTCCGGCGGGAAGGTAAACGGCGTTTCCGTGCGCTGCTCTGGTTCGCCAGAAGCGGCTTAGTCATGCTTGCCACATGATTCGGAAGCTGTATGCCGGCTCCCTCGGCCAATAAAGCGAGATGAGCGCTGCAACCCCAGAGTTGGTCATGACTGGACCTAATGGTCAGGGGCCCCTTTACCTTTACGCAAAACTTGTTTGCATCAAGGTCTCCAAGTTCGGGCTAAGCTGCGCTGTCTCCAAACATTGCGATCACGTATCTGCAGTGCTGCAGGCTTGCAAAAATAAAAACCATTGCCCTTCTGCTCCCATTTGCAAACTCTGACTTGCTCCCATTTGCAAACTCTGACTGGACATCACTGAAATGGTTCTCTCTACCCTCCAAGGCCCTTTTGAGTCTCTCCACAGTGCTTTGCTCCTCCTACCATCAACCACTCAAGCTGCGCTCCTATATATGTTCACATAGGAGCGTAAGTCCTACTGAACACAGTGGGACCGACTGCCAAGGTTCACTGTGAAGGTCACAGAAACAGAAATCCAATGGCAGATGAATTGTCCTTCACAGTTGCCTTCTCCCCACCCTCCGTTTCTGGCGTTCCCAACACACTGAATGCTCACTATGCATGTTAATGTAACTTGGCAAAACCCGCATTTGTTCAACGCTATGAACGCCGCCCACTCCCTGCCCACCGTGTGCTCTGACCTCTTTCTCTCTTCTCAGCTCCTTGGTCCTGGGTGGGGCTGAGCCCCTCGCCTCCTCCAGAGGCTGCAACTCCTTCCCTTCAATGTCTTGCTTGTTGCTGGCTTCTAGGATGGCCATGGTGGAATTGGGAACATGAGCTTGCTGGTGGAAAAAAGCAGAGGGGGGGTGCCTCATCCAGACGTGCGCCAATCATTGCATTTGAAAGTATTCTCTCAAACAGTATTCTCTCTGATACTTTCACACATATCCTATCTTGGTTAAAATCCTACTGGGTTGGTTGAACAGAAGTTCATTAGTACGTTTTGCAAGAAAACCTGTTTTAGACTTTGTGGTCTTATTTAAAATTACTGTTCTGGACTGGAGATGCGTGCATGTGAGTATTACTGATGTAGTACTGGGTTTTCTTGTGTCTTCTGACCTGTCCCAACCTCCGCTGTAAGGACTGAGTTTCAAGTAGGACTTCTAGCTCTGCCATGCCCCACACTTTAGACCAGGGCTGGGGAGCCCCTCCCTTTCTGACACCAGCTCCCTTCAACTCCAGCCAGGGTGCCCAATGGTCTGGGATGATGGGAGTGGTAGTCCAACAACATCTGGGGGGGGGCACAGGCTCCCCAGCCCTGATTTAGATAGGAAAGGTCTGCATGTGTGGGATCTTTGTCTTCAGCAGTGCCTGTCCAGGGAAGAGCCCAGCACAGACAAGGAGCAGGAACCAAAAGACTGTAATAAATGTCTGTGTATCTTAATATATCATGCCTTTCAGTGGGTTTTTAATTGTGGGCTGCTTTGGGAGCCAATCCTAGCTAAAAATGGGATAGGAATACAATACAGTAAAATGAACCAACAAGTTACCTCTTAGGATTCTTTAAACCAGAGCTTTCCAAACTGTGTGTCGTGACACATTAATGTGTTGGCTGCAGTGTGTCACGCGAACGCTCCCCGTGCTCCTCCTGGGGCTGGAAAGGGGTTAGTTTAACCTCCAATTTTCTACCAGCAGCACCTTAGAGACCAACTACGTTTGTTATTGGTATGAGCTTTCATGTGCATGCACACTTCTTCAGAGATTGTGTGCATGCACACGAAAGCTCATACCAATAACCAACTTAGTTGGTCTCTAAGGTGCTACTGGAAGGATTTTTAAATTTTTTTTATTTTGTTCCGACTACGGCAGACCAACACGGCTACCTACCTGTAACTGCGATTTGCTAGTAAATCTGAATATGTCACAAAATGAGGCGTGTCTAAAAAGTGTGTCAGCAACCTGAAAAGTTTGGAAAGCTCCGCTTTAAACAATGCCCTTCAAACTTCGAACCTTGATTTAAAAAGGCACCCTGAATTTTGTTTTGACTCGAATAACCTCTCCCCCACCTCGCTGCAGGACCATCTGCTCTGCAACTGCAGCTTTGTTTGGGGCAGTACCTGATGTGGGGTGAAGGAGCGGACATGGGCCAGCAGAGGCTCCCGCAGCTCTGGGCACTTCTCGAAGACGGCGGTGAGCTGCTGAGGAGGCAACTGGAGGATGACTTGGAAGGACTGGGGCTTGGTCCGCTGGCAGCACTTGATGAAGCCCTCCCAGACCTTGGGGTACTTCCACACCTGGGGGAGGAAGGGGAAGAGTTAAAATGCGGCACCAGCAGCCAGAACCTGCTCTGTGTCTCGCCCCAGTGGCCTAAGGTTCATCAGGCTGAACTGGCCACCAGCCAGATGCCTCTGGACGGGTCACAAGCCAGGCATGAAAGCACTGGATTTCCCCTATAGGCCAACCAGTATGCAGAGGTATAGGAGGCACCTGTACACAGAGGTTGCATTTCTCTATCGTGCCATCATCGTGGGCACCCACAGGCCTACGCTGCATGAGTCTGTCCAATCTTTTAAAAAAGCCATCTATAGCAGTGTCCTTTGCTACTCAAGTTTTTCTCCCTCTTATAACACTAGAACTCATGGACATGCTATGAAGCTGAACGGTGGAAGATTCAGGACTGACAAAAGAAAGCTCTTAGTTTAGGGAAGTTTTTAATGTTTATTGCTGTATTGTGTGTGTATTGTTTGGTTGGAAGCCACCCAGATGGGCGGAGTATAAATAATAAATTATTACTACTACTACTACTATTACTATTATTATTCATAAAAAGGTAAAGGGACCCCTGACCGTTAGGTCCAGTCGTGGGCGACTCTGGGGTTGCGGCGCTCATCTCGCTTTATTGGCTGAAGGAGCAGGCATACAGCTTCCAGGTCATGTGGCCAGCATGACTAAGCCGCTTCTGGCGAACCAGAGCAGCGCATGGAAATGCCGTTTACCTTCCCACCAGAGCGGTACCTATTTATCTACTTGCACTTTGACATGCTTTCGAACTGCTAGGTTGGCAGGAGCAGGGACTGAGCAACGGGAGCTCACCCCGTCGTGGGGATTCGAACCGCTGACCTTCTGATTTGCAAGTCCCAGGCCCTGTGGTTTAACTCACAGCACCACCCATGTCCCATGATTATTCATGTACCGCAGTTAATCTATGGAACTCCCTCCCACAGGAGGCAGTGATAGCTACCAACCTGGGTCGCTTTAGAAGAGTACTGAACAATGGCTAACAATGGCTACTAGCCACAAGGCTCAGAGGCAGCAATGCTTCTGAATACCAGTTGCTAGAAGCCACATTATGAATTCTGGTGCTGGAGGAGACTCTTGAGAGTCCCATGGACTGCAAGAAGATCAAACCTCTCCATTCTGAAGGAAATCAGCCCTGAGTGCTCACTGGAAGGACAGATCCTGAAGCTGAGGCTCCAAGACTTTGGTCACTTCATGAGAAGAGAAGACTCCCTGGAAAAGACCCTGATGCTGGTAAAGGTGGAGGGCACAAGGAGAAGGGGACAACAGAGGACGAGATGGCTGGACAGTGTTCTCGAAGCTAAAAACATGAGTTTGACAGTGGGAGGCAGTGGAAGACAGGAGTGCCTGGTGTGCTCGGGTCCATGGGGTCACAAAGAGTCAGACACAACTAAATGACTAAACAACAAAGAAGCCGCAGGAGGGGATCCTGTTCTTGGATCCCGCTTGTGGCTTTCCAATAGGCATCTATCTGACCACTGCGAAAACAGGATGCCGGACTTGACAGGCCATTGGCCTTCTTCTTACAGTATCTTGTGTGCTGGGCTGTTCCGCCCACCCTCGGGAGATATTTTTGGTTTTGCGGGATGGCGAAGAGTCGCCACGCAGTAAGAGACCTCCCTCTGTCCCCAACAGAGTGAATCCGCTGAAGCAGTCCCCTTAGAAGGGTGGCCGCGTTGCCCAGAAGTGCTGCCCTCGGCAGCAATGAGTGCAAGAGGCAAAGGACAACGGGACCCTGGCTGCAGAGGACAAAGGCAGGTCTCTCCCACGTCCTTCTTGTTAGAATTCCCGCTCCATGATTGCAGTCATGGGATTGTTGTCTTTCACATGATGGCATATGTTTTGACTCCACAGAGTGGGAAGTGACAGAGACAGGATGTTTGTGTTACTGTGTTCCGTGAAGTGGGACTATGGTCCTTTGTTCTTTCTCTCTTTGCTGTCTGATGCTAGAGAGAGAGGGAACCATGTTGCAGTGCTCTGTGTGTGTTTATATGTAAATAAGGTAAAGGGACCCCTGACCATTAGGTTCAGTCGTGGACGACTCTAGGGTTGCGGCGCTCATCTCGCTTTATTGGCCGAGGGAGCCAGCGTACAGCTTCCGGGTCATGTGGTCAGCATGACTAAGCCGCTTCTGGCAAACCAGAGCAGCACACGGAATCGCTGTTTACCTTCCCGCCGGAGCGGTACCTATTTATCTACTTGCACTTTGACGTGCTTTCGAACTGCTAGGCTGGCAGGAGCAGGGACCGAGCAACGGGAGCTCACCCCGTCGCGGGTATTCGAACCGCTGACCTTCTGATCGGCAAGTCCTAGGCTCTGTGGTTTAACTATTATGTAAATAGATTAGCCCAAATGCTGAGTTGCTGAGGTCTGTTAAGCGAGATGCGCAAACTCTGCAGATCCCCAAGTGTGCCGGTGTCGGTTGGCATCGGTCGCTGTGATGTTCGGGCAGAAGAAAGCTTTTGAAGCTCCCGAATGATCGACCAGGAGGGAGAGAACATGCCAGTCGGACATGTGTCTCTGCCAGGGTCCTACTCGAGTGTAGACTGAGCTCCTGACACTTCTCACCTGCTTCAAGATGAGTCGGGAGAGGATGTTCATGACGAAGCCGCCCAGGCGTGGGTACATCGTCAGTGACTGGATCACGGTCCGCATAAGGAGCATGGGCAGCGGGTTTTGCTCCATGAGCTGCTGCATCACCACGGCCAGCACCTCAGAGGTGTACACGTTGCGCTCAGCAAAGCACATGTTGGTGGCTGCAAGCAGGGAAATGGAGAAGATCAGCTGCTGCTGCTGAAAATTCAGAGCAGCTGCCACAAGGTAACAGGGACAGGGGAACACCAGAGGTCAGAAGCTGCCCCTTCTTTTACGGCAGGAGTGGGGAAGCCTTTGGCTCTGCAGGTGTTGCTGAACCATAATTCCCATGAGCCCCAGCAAGCAAGAAATGGGAGTTATAGTTCAGCAACATCTAGAGGACCAAAGGTTCCCCACATCTGCTTAGGGGGAGAAGCAGGACTCCATGCTTCCAAACAGATGTACAGTGGTACCTCTAGATATGTACACCTCTGGTTGCGTATCTTTCAGGACGCAAATGTGGCAATCCCTGAAGTATTTTTCCAGGTTTCGCCGCACGTGCATGTGCAGAAGCAGCACCTTCCTCGGGATGCGACCAGACCTCTGAAATCGGAGGTACCACTGTACAGGATTGGGATACTAAATAAACTCCAGCACTCGCAGCCAGTTCAAGTGTATGAATTTCCTTTATGGATGTACAGTCATACTTCATGTTACGTTTGCTTCAGGTTGTGCATTTTCAGGTTGCGTCCCACGGCGACCCGGAAGTACCGGAAAGGGTTACTACTGGGATTTCGCCACTCGTGCATGCGCAGAAAATGACATCATGCACATGCGCAGAAGTGGTGAATTGCAACCCGCGCGCGCGCAGACGCGGGTTGCGTTCTTTTCAGGTTGCGAACGGGATCCGTTCCAGAGGTACCACTGTAATTTCGTGAATGGAAAAATGTAATGGGGAAATTTAACCTATGTGTCTTGAAAGGGTGGGGTGTTTTTTTGCAGCCATGGCAGCCCAAAATATTGAACACAGAGAACGGGAGAAATGCTAGGAGGATTCTAAACAAGCAACTGAATTCTCCCTTACCTTTGATGATGGACTTCATGTCGCACTTGGTGGAGTCGATGTTGTGGAGGGCAATCAACAACTCCCCAGGATTCAGAGGAGAAACTGCCGAGTTGCCTTCACCTGTCGGAATCGATGTCAATGAAGAGATCAGCCATTGACGGAGCAGACAGTAAAGCCAGCGAGTCCGCTGATCCCTTCCAAACTGAGCAAACCTCTCTCCCCACAGCCTCGGGACACCCTTTTGAGCAGACCCGCCAGAAGCCACAGAAAACTCAAGGTCCCCGTGTGGCCAGGATCCCTACCGTGTTGCGTTCCCAACAGGCGGTTGAAAACCTCCTTCACAACAATGGGATTCAGCTTGATGAGCTTCGGCAGGGCCTGAATCACCTCTTTCTGGAAAGGAAATGCAAGAATGCACATGACGCTTGACCACACCCCCAGAGGAGAGAGCCCCCATAGGGTATGAGGCACCACAAACAGAAGGGGCATACTCAGGGATACTTAATGGAAGCAGCGGGGACATGGAATCCTTCCTGCAAATCGCTAGAGAGCACACAGAAGCTGTCTCCTCCATTGCTAATCTCCAGGGTCCTTTTCCTGCACTCCCATCCTTGTGCCATCTTCCCCACTGCTCCCCTCATCTCTGTCACTCAAGAAGGCTCCCTCTTGTCCTTTAAGCCTCTTCTCAATCCCCACGTCTTATGAAGTTTCCCCCTGGATTAACTCCTCCACATCAGGAGGAGACTTAACTGTAAACCTCTAAGCTCTCTCATTTGCACAATCCTCGCTTCCCCAACTTCTGTTCCACCAACTTTTAAGTCTGCACTGGATTCACTAAAGTGCACACATCGGTAAAAAGGAAGAGCTGTTTTAAATCCCGACGTGTTACGTTAAATCCCGACATGTTACGACATGAAGTGAGAGCTGGACCATAAAGAAGGCTGATCGCCAAAGAATTGATGCTTTTGAATTATGGTGCTGGAGGAGACTCTTGAGAGTCCTGTGGACTGCAAGAAGATCAAACCTATCCATTCTGAAGGAAATCAGCCCTGAGTGCTCACTGGAAGGACAGATCCTGAAGCTGAGGCTCCAAGACTTTGGCCACCTCATGAGAAGAGAAGACTCCCTGGAAAAGCCCCTGATGTTGGGAAAGATGGAGGGCAGAAGGAGAAGGGGACGACAGAGGACGAGATGGTTGGACAGTGTTCTCGAAGCTACAAACATGAGTCTGACCAAACTGCGGGAGGCAGTGGAAGACAGAAGTGCCTGGCGTGCTCTGGTCCATGGGGTCACGAAGAGTTGGACACGACTAAACAACGTATTGGCTGTCCTTCCTTCATCTACTGTACTTTTAGGAAAACTGTTTTTCTGCTATGTGTTTGGACACCTCTTGAGATATCGTGCCCAGTTTCCCATGGCTGCTCCCAAAATCAAGGAGCAGATTTCCTACTGTGTCTGGATACAATGGCACGCCATATTGAATCCAGATGGCAGGCTAGGCTTTTCAAAACTGCACTTATTTGGGGGGGTTCTTTGAATTCCTGAGCCAAGGACAAGGCTGCTAGTTTCCAAATAACCTGCCTGTTGAAAATGTCAACTAAAAAGGCTCAAGACCAAGATAATACTGGCAGGGAGAGAGGGTGGGGGGGGAGAAGTGTGGCAGATCATCAGCAAGCCTCCATCTGAGCCTCAGAAAGTACCTTCTCCAAACCATTGAGGACAGGGATAAGGAACCGGACGTCCGGCAGCCTCTTGTTGTACAGATCTCGAACTCGCTTCACAAGCTCTGGAGAGGGGGGAACTAAGTAGAGAAAATCGCGTTAGATTGTGTGACTGAACAGCAGCTCTCAAGCTTGGACAGCTTTGCATAGCCCATATCCCAGTTCCACAGCATTTATCAGAAGCAACTACTTGTGTGAAGTTGCCATGAGCCATTGTGAGGCCTTTGTATCGGACAGCACCTAAATATAAAGGCTGAAGTAACTGTACCTTTGTCCGTCAGGCTGTGCAGACAGCGGGTCACCAGGGTCTCTGCACCTTTGGGGCAGTTTTTAACCAGTTTGAGCAGCTCCCGGGAATTCATCCCCATCCCACGGATCTGGAAGCGATAGGAAAAGATAAACGAAAGGATGGTTTCTGGGGTGGGGTGGGAGATGCGAACATGAGGAAAGGAGAGCCATCTACTGTATTGGCCCGAATATAAGCCACACTCTTTTTTTTCCAAATTCTGATCGTGAAAAGTTAAAGTGCGGCTTATATTTGCGACCTTATGCCGCCGGCAAAGCGGTGCCGCTCTCCTCTCCCAGAAAGCAGCCCAGGAGCACAGGGAGGGAAGGAGCGCGGGGCAATGGCACCCAGCCTGCCTGCCACTCCCAAGCCTCCCAAATGAAGGGGGGAAGGCCACCGGCAAAGTGCCCCCCCCCCCCCCGCAGAGAGCAGCCCAGGAGTGCGGGGCAACGGCTCCCGTCCTGTGCGCAGTTCCCAAGCCAGCAAATTTTAAAGGTGTGGCTTATTTGTGGATGTGGCTCATATTCGGGCCAATACGGTATAAAGAACGATGGTGGACCAGTGGCGTCGCAACGGGGGGGGGGGGCAGGTGCCATGTCTGGGGGGTGACAAGAAGGCACCCCGCAGCGGCGTGAAAAGCCATCGCGCCGCCACAGCCGCATGTGGAGGATCCTCCGTTCGCGGCTGCAGCCACGAGCAGAGGATCCTGGCGCCGGCAGCAAACTGCTATGTACAGCACATGTGCGGTGTCGCACGCATGCGCTGTACGTAGCGACGCCGCACATGCGCTGGACATAGTGGTTTGCCGCCGGTGCTGCTCGAGTGCTGTACGGACAGCGGTGGGATCCCTCCATTGCCGCTATAGCCGCAGAGGATCCTCTGTTCGTGGCTGCAGCCACAAGCAGAGGATCCCGGCACTGTCTGTACAGCGCTGGAGCGCCGCAGCCACCAAGCCACTATGTACAGAGCATGTGCGGCGTCGCTGCGTACAGCACATGCACTGTATATAGCGCCGCCGTACATAGTGGTTTGCCGCCCCAGGTGTCACGACGCCTTCGTTTGCCCCTGTGGTGGACCACCCAGTACCCCTCTCTAGCTGACTCACAGGCTGCTCAATAACCCTGAGGACAGTGCGCTTGATGTCGGCAATGGCCTCCGTGTATACAGACGCCAGTTCATGGATCAGTTTGTGGTTCTGGGGAAGGAGGGCCAAGTAGAGATAGAGGCATTGCTTGATGGTCTCTTCTGTCCAGGGAGCAGCCACCTCTGCAAGGCAAAAAGAGGGTTGGGAAGAAAGAGACCGGGCGCCAAGGATTACGCAGAGTGCCAGACGCCACAGGGACAGGCTCCTTGCCATTCACCACAACTAGGGAAATAGAGCTGTGAAACGGGAAAGATCTCCTTTTGGAGTTCCTGTGGTATAAGTTTAACTTAAAAGAGGGAAAGCCATGAAGCTAGAAAAGCCTCTTTTACATGGGAAGCCATTTGAGCATGGGGGAAAGCGTATGCCATTGCCCGTCACATATAGAACCACAGAACTGTAGAGCTGGAAGGAACCACCAGGGTCATCTAGTCCAACCCCCAGCAATCTTTGCCCAGCGTGGGGCTTGAACCCACAACCCTGAGATCAAGGGTCTCGTGCTCTACGGACTGAACTATCCCAGAGGTTCGGAACACACGCACTGTTTTGCCTCACAGTGAAGGCTCCATACAGGAAGCAGTTTCACATGTGACACTTTCTAAGCGGCGATGGGGATTGTTTCGCCCCACCATTATTTTTTGGCCAAGCCACCTGCTCACAGACACACCTGGACATGGTGCGGCCCAGTTACCTGTATCTTTGTCTGCGCCAAAGAGAACAGAGGGAGGATTGGGGTGGACCAGGAGCTGCAAATAATTGAGAGCAAACTTCTCCACATATTCCCGCAGCTGGTCCTTCTCGTACATCCGCTTGATGAATAGGAGCGCTTGCTGGCGAACCTGAGATGGGTGGCAAAAGATGGGTCATTTGACAGTGCATTAGCAAGCTTCAGGAATCCCAAGGATTTTTTAAAAACCAACTTCAAATTTGAGATTATTTTTAAGGGCTCTTCCACACTTTCTGCCTGCCCATGGGGACTTTCCCTGCAAAAAGCCACTCTTTCGTGCTGAACAGGAACAAAGAGCAACTCGGGTTTTCTGCAGATTGCCTTTTGCTCTGATTCAATGGTAAAGAGCAGGTTTTTGCGGAGAAAGCACCTAGTGTTCTTTGGTTCTTGTTCCCACTGTGAGCAAGTTCCAGAGCAGACATTTCCCCAAAAGGAGAGCAAAAGCAAAAGAATTTTAAGAGGGTTGGAGACAGAAAATGCACGGGCATCACCAACGCTCTCAGTCACCTTGATCAGCTAGGGATGTAGCCTTTTCCTAAGGGCACAATGCCCCCAAAGCGGTTCAAAGTACCACCAAATCCACACTCTGTTTGCCAGCACTGGTCCACTCCCAGATGACCATAACACCATTGTAAAATCCATTCAACAAATCACAGCAAGCAGTTACATATTCAGCATGTGACAAAATTTAAAAGGCCTGTTGCACTGGTGTCCTGCTTGCATGCTTCCCAGGTGCATCTCAGTGGTCACTGTGAGGACTGTCGACATGCAGAGGGCCGGGAGGCCAGCTGGCTAGCCCTGGCTGGGTAGTCTCCTTCCAGCCGTCCCGCTGCGAAGACCCATCGGCCTCTGCTCTGATGTAAATCAGCGATCCGGGCTTGAGAGCCAGGGCACACTTCAGAAGATCGAATTCTGCACACCGAATAGGTGTGAGGCTTGTGGAAGCATACTACAACTACAGATTTATTAATCATAAATCAGGACAAAAACATGTCGTCTCTCTCTCATGTTGTCTCAGAGACAGCAGCTAAAAGCAAAAGCTATACACAATGGAAGTTCCCAGCATACTGTGCTGGAATGTAAACAGACATGTGACACGTAACAATCCCATGTCTGTTCCTTAAGGTGGAATGGAAATGTCAACAAGGACATGATGCTGGGCTAGATTAACCTCTTACCCCACCCCACCCCAGTCTCTTTTTTCGGCAGGAACCAAAGTGATAATAAAGATGCCACCGGGCCATCTCTTCAAGAGGTTTCAAAGTCAAGGTGCCACAGCTGAAAAGGCCCTCCAGTCACCACCCAGCTTACTTCGGATAAGCAGGAGGACACAGAGCCGTGCCTCTGAGGGTGATCTTAGTAGCTAGGCAGGATCGTGTAAGAGCAGGCAGTCCTGCAGGCACCCTGGTCAGTTCGGAGCGACTTGCAAGCTTATTTCAGCTGCATTGCTCGGACCACACCACAGCCCCAGAGAGACAGGCTCAAGGCTCACCTTGTCCTTCTCGTGGGAGCTGAGATCCAAGAGAACATGCAGATACTGGAACTGCCTCGACGGGCGCTTGAAGATCAGGTCCCGAAGCGTCGACATGCCCAGATACGTCCGGCTCTGTAGGAGAGATGCAAAAGAAGCTCTGAGCATGTGCAGTTAATGTTTTGAGCAGTGTGCGCATGTGTATACAGTGGTACCTTGGTTGTTGAATGGCTTGGCTCCCACACAAATCAGTTCCCGAACGCCACAACCCCGGAAGTGTTCCAGTTTGCAAATGTTTTTGGGAAGTCTAACGTACAATGCAGCTTCGCAGCTTCTGATTGAGTGCAGGAACCTCCTGCAGCCAATAGGAAGCCGCGCCTTGGTTTTCAAACAGTTATGGGAGTGAACGAACACATTCCCAGGGAGGCTGTCAGTTTGGGGGAAGAGTAACAGTGTAAAATGTTTAAACTTTTAAACTGTGGCCGGGGGGGGGGGCGGTTGGGGGACAACCCACACGCTGTTTCCAACAAGCCATAACTATGTGCCAACCTTTGGACAACTTCGCAGGGATGCTTTTGTGAAACAGGAGCGAGTTGGAAGGAGGAGGCAAGGTCAGAATAGCCAATCCAGCAGCCTATTTTTGTAGGTCCCAGAAGCTTTCATTGCATTTCTTCTAGTTTGGGGTAGGATTACTGGTAGGAATGCCTTTTATAATTTGCCCTAAAACGTGTCAAGCATACTATGCTGGCCAGACCCCGGCGCTTCAGCAGAGTTTCCTTCCCTGCAACCTTGTAAGGCTATGGAGGGAGATCTAAGATGAAGCCTGGCTGATATCTTATTAGGGACACACCTCATCTTCGCAGTACTTCCGAATCACTTCCAGGGCACTCTCCGTGATCAGTGGGGCCTCAAGTACCACCTTGGTAAAGATCCTGTGTGAGGCAAAACAACAACAGAAAAAGCCTTGGTCACAGCCAGGAGCTTAGAAAATAATAGAAGAGTTTGGATTTGATATCCCGCCTTTCACTCCCTTTAAGGAGTCTCAAAGCGGCTAACATTCTCCTTTCCCTTCCTTCCCCACAACAAACACTCTGTGAGGTGAGCGGGGCTGAGAGACTTCAGAGAAGTGTGACTAGCCCAAGGTCACCCAGCAGCTGCATGTGGAGGAGCGGAGACGCGAACCCGGTTCCCCAGATTACGAGACTACCGCTCTTAACCGCTACACCACACTGGCTCTCTAATAATCAGAAATAACTATTATTTTATAACTAGGGATGCAACATTATAAGTTGGTGGCCTTTACAGTCCTGTGGTCCCCTCAGGAAAGTATTCCAAGGGCCAGAACCAGAAAAGGATGGAGGAGAGCAAGAACCTCCAGTTCTTCCGACTTCTTAGGTTTTATGATAGCATCCTTATTTGAGTAAAAATCCCCTCTAACAGATGCTCCAAAACAGTATCAGGCAGCAGGATTTGGTTTCGGTTTTTGTATTGGAAGCCCTAAGATAACCATTTTCAAAAAGGAAGAACTTAAAACATATGTTTCCCCCTGCTCAGTCCAGGCCTCTTCTAAAAAGCTGCCATGCCAACGTGCTCCATCTCAGAACAAAGTATGCATTCTTTCCCCCCTTCTCTAGCCTTAATCTTATTCCTCTGCATAGTAGAAATTGATTAAAACTTGCACGAGAGAATTGGTTCTTTGAACAAGCCCCGATTTAAAAGAGCAGATTTTGATGTTTCAAGTTCTTCCGTGTTTCACTGGCTCCACCAGAATATTCCGCAAGCGTAAGGAATTTCTGGCCACAGGCCTGTCTTGTAGGAGCTGTGGGGCAAGGACTGAACCACAAGGCTCCATCCACTTCAGTCCCCAGCATGGAGACGGTGCTAATTTAACTGTTAAGATGTCAAGGAGACAAACGGCTACATAACATTAAGATGAAACCTGCAGGCAGGGAAGTTTTTAACGCTGCATGTTTTCTTGTGTTTTCATATTGTGTTGGAAGCAGCTCAGAGTGCCTGGGGTAACCCAGTCAGATGGGTGGGGTACAAATAATAAAAAATTGTTGTTATTATTATTATTCAGGAGTGGCACCATTGAATTTTACCTTGGCTGAACTTTGTATGCACAGAAGTGGAAACAGAAAGGACTATCAACTAAAGAGGGATGGCTTATGAAACTGATGGAATATGCTGAAATGGTAACATTAACTGCCAAAACTAAGAGGACATAATGACAAAGTGTCTAAGGAGGAATAGAGAGCCCTAATGGATTACCTATCAAAATATCACCAACCTATGAAGTCAAGGGCAGGATTTGAAATATAAACAGTAGATTACCGTATTTTTCGCTCCATAGGACGCACTTTTTCCCCTCCAAAAATGAAGGGGAAATGTGTGTGCGTCCTATGGAGCGAATGCAGGCTTTCGCTGAAGCCTGGAGAGCGAGAGGCATCGGTGCGCACCGACCCCTCTCGCTCTCCAGGCTTCAGGAAGCTATCCGCAAGCCTTGCAAGCCCGGTGGGAGTTCCCGCGGGCTCACAAGGCTTGCAGGCAGCAGCCTGCAGCCCCGGCGAGTGTCCGCAAGCCTTGCGCGCCCGGCAGGAGGTCCCGCCGGCGCGCGAGGCTTGGGGCAGCAGCCTGTCGCCCGAAGCACGGGAGCCCTCCGGAGGGCTCCCCGTGCTTCAGGGAGTGTCTGCAAGCCTTGCGCGCCCGGCAGGAGGTCCCGCCGGCGCGCGAGGCTCGGGCGGCAGCCTGTCGCCCGAAGCACGGGAGCCCTCCGGAGGGCTCCCGTGCTTCGGGGGAGTGTCTGCAAGCCTTGCGCGCCCGGCAGGAGGTCCCGCCGAGCGCGCGAGGCTTCGGGCGGCAGCCTGTCGCCCGAAGCACGGGGAGCCCTCCGGAGGGCTCCCCGTGCTTTAGGCGAGTGTCTGCAAGCCTCGCGCGCCCGGTGGGAGGTCCCGCCGGCACGCGAGGCTTGGGGCGGTAGCCTGCAGCCCGAAGCAAGCGAGGCTTGGGGCGGCAGCCGCGGCGGGGGGGGGGGGAATAATTTTTTTTATTCATTTCCCCCCCCAAAAAACGAGGTGCGTCCTATGGGCCGGTGCGCCCTATAGAACGAAAAATACGGTAATGAAAATTTTAATGGTAGCAGGGTTTAGATAAAAAAAAAAGTGTTAGAAAACACCTAATAAAAAGGAGTGGGGGGAAAAATTAGAAAAGGAGGGGTGGGAAGTCAAGAAGAAAATTTGTATATTATAAAAATGTTTATGGTGATAAATGCTTTGAAATATTCTTGGGGGGGGGACTTACTTGGGTCACCATAGCTTATATTGGGGTGCATTTAGTAGCTTACCCATCTTGCTCTCAAAATGTCTGGTAGCCATGGGGCTAAAGGGGAGATCAAATAACCATAGGGGAGGTTTTGTGTCCCTGAACCTCACCCTGCCACACACCTCTACAAGGCCCCAAGTACCCACCCATCTTTTTGGTCCGGCTTCTCCTGCAGACCGGAGAGCAGGCCAATGAGACACTCGTCGTAGTTGTCGAGCGAGCCGGAGGGGTATTGGCTCAGGTAGGCATTGTACTCCTGGTACAACCAGGCGAAGGCGAGGTCCAGGCGGTTGCGGATGTCGTCCAGGATGAAGGTCAGGACTTCGCTCTTGAGAGGGACCTCGAACTGGGTCACCAGAGAAGAGAGGATCTTCACCCGGGCCTGCGAAAGAAGGAAGCTGGCGAAGGTGAGGCGGAGATGCTGGACCCAACCAGGATCCCACCACGACAAGGCTGCGGGAGACACTTACGTGGGCGGCCCCGCTGCAGGCCACGGCCTTCTCGGAGCGCAGGATCCGCTTCACGGCCGCCAGCTTCAGCTTGTCCATCTGCACGTCCGTGAGAGGCTTGATCACATCACTCAGGCGGAAAATCTTCTTGCGGCCGGTGGCTCCGGCCAACCTGGGAAGAAGCAGGTGGGAGAAAAGAAAACACATCAGCCTCTGAAGGGCAGGCAGAGAAGCAGCTCAAGCGATGAGGGTGCTTTATCCAACCAATGCCCCATGTCTTCTTTGCAAGGATTTGGGGAAAACCTTTGCAATTATGCAGGGGAATTGGAAATAGGGTAAGGACACAAGTTCATGAAAGCGGGGATCTTCCAGCAGCTGGAAACAGAAGCTGAGCAGCCACTCAGGAAGGGATTTGCAAAAAAGGAGACTGCTCCTGCGAGAGCTGGTTGCTCAAAGCACATTCCTTCTTGCACACAACCAGCTCAGGAGAGCAGCAGGGAGACCACAGTGGCCACCAGCTGGAGAGAATAGGTTAGTTTTCTGTGTAGCTCCATCCACATACAGGGTGCTTTTAAATAGAGACAAAGAGAGAGGCCGGTCCCCGGTCCCCATGGGGCTTACAATCTAGATAGATGAGAAAGGATATGACAGCCAAGGTGAATGGGAAGAAATCATCTCAACTTTTTCTGACAGGTCTCCCATTTTCATGGATTTATCTATAACTAGATAGTCTTGTAACTTTAGGACCATGCTGCAACCTTGATAAACTCATATACATTTATTTTATGTTCTGTGTTTGGCCCTTTTCCAAATGGTGTTTATCATTTGTCTCACGAGCTGCCTGTTAATTGTTCTTTAACTGAACCGCCCCCCTCAACCTCAAAGGACAAAGAGGAGAAGAAGAAGAGTTTGGATTTGATATCCCGCTTTATCACTACCCAAAGGAGTCTCAAAGCGGCTAACATTCTCCTTTCCCTTCCTCCCCCACAACAAACACTCTGTGAGGTGAGTGGGGCTGAGAGACTTCAAAGAAGTGTGACTGGCCCAAGGTCACCCAGCAGCTGCATGTGGAGGAGCGGAGATGCAAACCCAGTTCCCCAGATTACGAGACTACCGCTCTTAACCACTACACCACACTGGCTGGTGTTGCTCTCACCAGGCTCTCACCTGGGCTGAGTGGAAGGGATGATTGGTTCTGGGCGCCGCTTGGTCTGCGGCACCCCAGGCTCAGTAGAGGGGACAGAGCCCTGGGCTCCCAACACAGAAATGGCCTGGCCTGTATTGAGAGCAGAGAAGCGTCGCTTGATCAGCACGCTTTCCGGTTTGAGCATTTTCTCTTCTTTCAGCGACTCCTTGACCTGCTTGGTTTGCTCCACACCTGCAGGAGAGAGGAAGAGGGAATTAATCATCTGGCAAAACCCACTTCATCCTCTGCCCCTAACTTGTAACTTTTTAAACTTCTCTTCTGTCTTATAGGTAGAGAGAGACCGCTCCCAGACCCCTTACATAAATAAATAGCAAGAACTGAAATACAGTGCTGCAAATGTGTATACCCGATACCTCAGAACGTGGCTCAGCTTTACTGTTTGGGCTTGGTAATCATGTATGACAGTTAGCCTCAATAACAAGCATTCTGAGGATCTGAATCAGGGATCAGGAACCTCGGTCCCAGGGTCAAAAGCAGCCCTCTTTGGGATGTCTGAAAACTGCCGTTTGTGTGGATGAAGCCTGCTATAGAAGAGTCACACCCATTATTCTGCCTGCTTTGGGCTCTGGTCCCACTCACTGACTGGCATGCGACCCCTGAAAGGGTGCCTACGAGGGAAAGGAGGACTCCCCCACCCCTAAATTAAACCCATTCAGCTGTGTCTATGAAACAGTTAGCAAAATCACACCCACAAACCATCGCATCCAGTTAGTTTTTCTTTATGGGCCCATGCAAAAACAAAGCAAAACCTTTGCAAATACAAAGACCACTGTATTGCTCAAACACCCAGAGATTGGGACCATCTGTGCTAGAAGTTCATAGCAACTCCCCCAGAGTCCCTCTTAGGGGCATACCTGGCCCTAGCCCAGCTGCCGTCATCTGGGTGGCCATGAGGCGGGCAAGGTGCTTGATCTGGACCTCAGTGCCAGCAGATTCCACTGGGGTATAGGTGGCTTGGAAGGAAGCAGGCATATTTTCAGGCAGGTACACCATGCTGATGAGCACCTGGGGGGCAGAAAGATGGTGAGAGGGCCTGGCATGCCAGAGCCAAGCAGGAAAACACTTCTATTCCTAAGAAAAAGCCAATCTTGCCCTACAAGATTATAGGGCAGAGAGCCAGTGTGGTGTAGTGGTTAAGAGCGGTGGACTTGTAATCTGGGGAACCGGGTTCGCGTCTCCGCTCCTCCACATGCAGCTGCTGGGTGACCTTGGGCCAGTCACACTTCTTTGAAGTCTCTCAGCCCCACTCACCTCACAGAGTGTTTGTTGTGGGGCAGGAAGGGAAAGGAGAATGTTAGCTGCTTTGAGACTCCTTAAAGGGAGTGAAAGGTGGGATATCAAGTCCAAACTCTTCTTCTTCTTCTTCTACACCTCCACTCATCCAGCTTTCACAAGGATGAGGCGCGCCAGGCTAACTTTACGCAAAGGGACACGTGCCTCTCCGGCTTTTCCAGAATGATCACCCTTCGGTCAAGCTGAGGTTGTGTCTCCTGCCATCCCGTCTGCTTTCTAGACCCTTTGGCAAAAGGTTCTCCCCTCCCGGAACTCAAGCGAGGAGCAGCCAAGTGCCGCGTTCGCCAGCTAAACCTACCAGGTTGGCCACGTTATCTGGAGTCAGAAGGGGCTGTAGAAACTCAGCGGTGATGTCCGTGTCCGACTGCGTGCTGACTTGGATGGAGGGCTTGGGGACCGGGGCTGCCACCTGCTCCAGGTCTTTATCCTCATCATCCTCCCCAAGATTTGGCTCTGCAGCAGAGAAAGAGAAAGTCTTTGTGTGTTTTATGTGGTGGGGCAGGTGCTGAACGGTTGGGGATCTTCACAGCGTTTGGAGAAGAGCCTGTCCCTCCCCACGGACCGCTCCTGCCCCTCCTTTGCCCGCTCACCCATCTTCATCTTCTTCATGGCAGGGTCGCTATCATCCCGCGGGCGCTTGCGGAGCTCCTTCAGGTTGGGCATGTTGCGGGTGATCTCGGCCTGCTGCGTGCCCAGGTCCATCAGCAGGGTGGTGATCTGGGCCTGGAACTCCACGGAGGCCGGGTGCTTGAGGACGCTCAACAGGTGCAGCTTGAGGTTCTTCCGCACACTGCTCACCTGGGACTTGGCCAGCGTCGGGGGGAGGTTGGCTGTCGGCAGGAGGGCAGAGTAAATGAGTCAAGCAAGCGACAACATTAGAGAGGAACCCAGATCCCGGGCCCAAGGAGGAACATCCTGTGGAACACCCTCCCTTCAGATGTGAAGGAAATAAGCAGCTATCCTATTTTTAAAAGACATCTGACGGCAGCCCTCTTCAGGGAAGTTTTTAATATTTAACGCTGTATTGTTTTTAACACTTGATTGGGAGCTGCCCAGAGTGGCTGGGGAAACTCAGCCAGATGGGCGGGGTATAAATAATAAATTGATGATGATGATGATGATGAAATTGAGTGGAAATATGAAATATGCAGCCTCCCTCTGTTCCCACTTCTACAGCACCTCACCATTGGGCCCGCTTAATTTCGCTGATTAAGCCTATATAGTGGTACCTCGGGTTAAGTACTTAATTCGTTCCGGAGGTCCGTTCTTAACCTGAAACTGTCCTTAACCTGAAGCACCACTTTAGCTAATGGGGCCTCCTTCTGCCGCTGCACCGCTGAAGCACAATTTCTGTTCTCATCCTGAAGCAAAGTTCTTAACCCGAGGTAATATTTCTGGGTTAGCGGAGTCTGTAACCTGAAGCGTATGTAACCTGAGGTTCCACTGTATGTCCAAACAGCTCAGGACCTCAATACCTTAAGGGTCACCTGTTGTGGTTCTGGACAGCCAAGAGTTAACACTCCAGGAAGTGTTCTGATTCACTGGGTGCATTGCCCACATGACCCGGGCATTTTCCTTTGATCTGTGCTCTGTGGGGGCTGAGCTCTCTCTGGAGAGCACTCTGTCTGAGAATGTGAGCAAGGTAGTTTCGTTTTTGTTAGAGACAGAAAGCTGCAAGCATGCAGCTAGATTCTGTAGGTTTTTCTTTTCTGTTGTGAATGCTTCTAAATAAAGAGGGTTAGAATAGAAGCACTGGTGTCGAGCTGAGTTATTGAAGACACCACGTTGACACAGACAAGCCATTTTACGCTGCGTGTGAACTCTGCTGTTATCCGGCAACTGAGAAGCGTGGCAGCGTGTGAGTGGAAGCGTGTGGGCGTCACTGGAGTTTGTCAGAGTGGCAATAAATCAAATTTATTGCAGGGCCGTTGCAGCAGACTCAGTGGGTCAAAGGATTTACGACCCACAAACTTGTAACATCACCTCCCCGTATGAACTGACCCAGACCTGGCACTTGTCACCTGAGGCCTTTCTCTATGTCCTGCACCCAAGAGAGGTGGCTCCCTGTTTGTGGAATGTTCTCCCCAGAGAGGCCCACCTGGCGCCATCACTACATGTCTTTAGGGAACACCTCAAGGTGATAGGAAGATTTCTGATTTTTTTAAAAGACTGGGGCAGCCCCAATAATGAAGACCAGATCAATCTTAATAGGTATACAGGGGGTCCCAGATACTGTGAGCGTGGCAGGCTTACCGTGGAGTGTCTCATAGGCCTGGATCACCTCTGACATGAACATGGGCCGCTGGCGGGCGATGGAGGCCAAGGAGCCCAGCGCGGCCGTCAGGTTGATGCTGGAGATGGCTGGGTGGACCATGAACTTCAACAGCTGGTCCAGCGCTGTCTTCCCTTCTTCCCACAGAACGTCTGAGAGGGAGAGGCAAAAAGCAGCAGTGAGGAACAGCTGGTGGAGATCTCAACGCATTCTGCAGCCGCCGCCACCTTTGCAAGCACCTTGCCATATTGCACCTGCAGCAGATGATCCAGGCGAGACAGGAGGGGGCTCAGAGCAGACATTTGTGATCAAGGCATTCGTTGGAGCAGGCAATGTTTGGTCCCTTCCCAGGATGACCAAGACACCTGATACCCCTTCCTGGGCTCTGCACTTATCCATCCTTATTGTTAGTCCAGACCAGGACTGTTTTCCCAGGAGCCCTGCCGCCTCCCTTGGCTTCACCTGCTTACTGTATATATATTTTTTTTTATTAAAGATTTTCTTGACTTACAAAAGTGTGTGCAATGTCTCTCTCTCACATTATTTTCCCCCATGTAACATTTTTACAAATCAGTTTCATTTGTTGAGACATTAGGAAGAAAAGGGGGAAAGAGGTGGGGGTGGGAAAGATGGGTGGGGTCGGGTGGCGATGTTTCTATTATACTTAATATATGTGGGGGGGTTTTGTCAGCATCACTTGTGCAGGTTCTCTGCTATTCACTTGTGTTCCTTTGGTGGTGAGAGAGGTTGAGATTGGCCTAGGGTGTGGCTGTTCATTAGTGGTAGGCTGTGGTGGTCTATGTTTTCATGTGTGAGTGGGGTGGGTGGATGTTTTGGACCAGGTTAGCCATACTGATTTGTATGCTGTTGGTGGATTTTTGTCGTCGTCTTGTTGGGCTGCGTGTGTGATAAAGGGAAGCCGTACACCCGCTTACTGTATTTGATGTAGGGGTGGTCCTCTGGGACACGGTCGAGGCTGATGTCATTCTCGTGGCGCTTGGGCACCTCCGACTCCGGCATCCGGGGAGAGAGGGTGATGATCAGCGCCTCCACGAACTTGATGGCGTGGGTGCGTATGCCGTCGTTGTCCGAGTCCAGCAGCTGGATGATTTCACTGGCCATGGCGGACACCATCTCCCAGCAGGCCTCCTGCATGTCGTTGATCACTCTGGATTTCACCATCCACTGTTGGCAGGGAGCATTATTAGCAGCCTCAGGTTTGAGAGAGACAGGCAGAAAACAAGAGGCAGGGACCAGGCAGGCAAAGGGGCCCCAAAGAGCAAGCTCAGCTGCCCCCAACCCCACCCCGGGGGAGCAGCTCACCTGCAGCGCCACCTTATACAACTGAGTCATGGCGAGGATGGCCTTCTTCACCACATTGACGTTCTCATCCCTCAACAGCATGTTGAGGTTGGCAATAAGCTTGAGCAGCAGCTCGGTGTCCCGTTTGCTGGAGGCGAGAGGCAGCAGTTTGGGAGAAAAAGGAAGCAATGAAAGAAATGGGACCACGCAGGGGTCTATTAGTCAGCCGTGGTACAAACCCTCTCTCTCTAGATAGATATGCTGCCCATCTGACTGGGTTGCCCCAGCCCCTCTGGGCAGCTCCCAACAAAAAATAGGAAAAGCACAATACACCATCACACACTAATAACTTCCCTGGGATGGGCAGTATACACACATACCCCAAAGACCCGCAGAAACAGCTAAGGGGATGCTGATTGCTAGGATGGCATAACAACATCTGACTTACCAGGCTTCCTCTATGAACCCGATGACAAACTTCCGAACCTCAACAGATTTGTCTGCCTGGAAAGCAATGATCTCCTGCGGTGCAAGGATAAGGAGAAGGTCAGAGGCGGCCACCTGTCTCTCAGGCCTGCCAACAGCAGGCCGAAAAGCCCCATCCACTTTTGAGCTGGGCCAGGCCAGAACAGAACACACAAGGAACAGAACCAAGCAAGACCAGCAGTGGCTGTCCCAAGTCCATGGAGGGCAGAGATGGTGGAGGGAAGGCTGTTTCTAGCACAAGCAATACTCACATCTAGGAAATTATCCAACAGTGTGGGATCTTTGTTTATAATCAATTCCTGGACCTGGGAAACAAAAAGAATAGTTGATATAGCCAAGAAGAGAAGGTAAACCAGGAGAACGCTTATGGTGTATCATCAGGCAATCAGACAACTCCCTACTTGCCAGTCACTAAATCAGGCATAGGCAAACTCGGCCCTCCATGTTTTGAGACTACAGTTCCCATCATCCCTGACCACTGGTCCTGTTAGCTAGGGATGATGGGAGTTGTAGTCCCAAAAATAGGGCTGAGTTTGCCTATGCCTGCACTAAATCTTACCAGCCAACCCCACACAACAGTCATCTTGGAAGAGAGGTGGGGAACATTACACGATACAGAGCCCCTAACTAGGCAGAGGCAGATTAACTCATCAGATCCTGAATTCAGAAACACTTCCCTCCCACTCCCAGCACAAACCATGTTCCAAAGTGTTCAGTATGCAACTGCACATAAAACACATATACTTGAGGATAACATCCGTTTAAGGCTGCCTTGGACACAACATCGTCATTTTTACAAGATGGCGAATTTAATGCAAAGTAATGTCGGTTGTAGAGGGACGTGGGTGGCGCTGTGGGTTAAACCACAGAGCCTAGGACTTGCTGATCAGAAGGTTGGCGGTTCAAATCCCATTGCTCAGTCCCTGCTGCTGCCAACCTAGAAGTTTGAAAGCACGTTAAAGTGCAAGTAGATAAATAGGTACCGCTCCGGCGGGACGGTAAACAGCGTTTCCGTGTGCTGCTCTGGTTCACCAGAAGCGGCTGAGTCATGCTGGCCACATGACCTGGAAGCTGTACGCCGGCTCCCTCGGCCAATAAAGCGAGATGTGCGCCGCAACCCCAGAGTCGGTCACGACTGGACCTAATGGTCAGGGGTCCCTTTACCTTTACTGTCGGTTGTGGGGCTCCTGATCTTAAGAGGTTTCAAGGGAGGAGGAGCTGACTCACTTGGCTACAACTGTAGAAGGACATGACCAGATCACACAGAAATTTCTTTCTTTTGTCCCACCTAACTGCACCCCCAGCCCCCACTGGACAGGATATGGACTATTTTCCGAGAATCATTACTGCCAGTCATTCCCAGACTAAGGTTAGGCCATGCAGGTCCTGGAACTGGGAAGTATATTTCAATCCTCTTTCTGGTTTGTTAACCTCACATGAACCTACAGGTCTTAAGACAGCCCAGGTACACATGGCCCTGTGGAAACAAGACCGTTTAACCACAAAGCGTTCCCGGTTTACACCTACAATCTTATCAATGCAAAGGCAGCGATGCCACTCACCTGTTTGAGGATTGTGATTTTGGAATCGTTGCTGATTAAGGCGGCTTGATTTAGCAAATCCACCACCTGTTTTTTGAAAAGAAAGGGAAAGAAGGCTTTTCAGAAAATGTTCTCTGAAAGTGATTATCACAACCTATCCACATTTAGACTCAGATCCTGGGAATCTTACCCTCTCCGAGGTAGTCATGGTGTCTATGCCAGACGTCTCCTCCCCGGCAAAGAACTGGGAGGCGATGCTCATGCGGGACAGGCCAGAGTCGCCCATGTTGCTTACGCCAGCCATGGCTGCCCAGTTCAGTGGGCAAAATCCAGCCAGTCAGGGTGAGGTCTAGAAAGGAAGCATGCAGGGACACATTAGGAACCTCAGGATGGAGAGCAAAATGTGGTCCTCTCTAGCCGGCCCTCAAGATTCTCCAGAGGCTGTTCGTTCTATTCATTTTTGATAATCTATCTGGAGCCAAATACCGTCTGTGGCGGATCTTCATGTAGTTCATGTAGAACAAACAGTAACAAATGTTGGAGATGCAATAGGATGAAGGGTACCCTATACCCTTTTTGGGATATGATTCATGAAGAGATTAAAAATTTGATAAAGGTTTCACACAGCAAAAGGGCAGAAGCATACTTATTAGGAATCTTGAGTAAAGATATCCCTAAAGACAAAATCAATATATTTTTATACGCAACAACAGCAGCAAGAATATTGATAGCCAGCCATTGGAAAGGAAATAACATTCTAACAAAAAGAGACTATGTGAGTACCTAAAGGTAAAGGTAAAGGTACCCCTGCCGGTACGGGCCAGTCTTGCCAGACTCTAGGGTTGTGCGCTCATCTCACTATATAGGCCGCGAGCCAGCGCTGTCCGCAGACACTTCCGGGTCACGTGGCTAGCGTGACGAAGCTACTCTGGCGAGCCAGAGCCGCACACAGAAACGCCGTTTACCTTCCCGCTAGTAAGCGGTCCCTATTTATCTACTTGCACCCGGGGGTGCTTTCGAACTGCTAGGTTGGCAGGCGCTGGGACCGAGCAACGGGAGCGCACCCCGCCGCGGGGATTCGAACCGCCGACCATGCGATCGGCAAGTCCTAGGTGCTGAGGTTTAACCCACAGCGCCACCCGCGTCCCCCACAGCGCCACCCGCATTAGCTAAATTGACGGACTTAATAAGGCAAAAACTATGGTACAGAAACAGTGGGATTGTTTAGATGAATATTTACATAAACAGGGTTCAAATATGAAAATTTGGTTGTGAAGAATATAAAGAATACAAAGATTTAATTGATTAGGAAAGAACTTAAGGGAAGGAAGTGAAGAACAGAGATAAAGGCGAACTAGATAACAAAAGACATGTGGTGAAGGCAGTGGAAGTCTCTTAAAATATTTTAACTAAGATTTTTATTAAGTGTAAATTTGGTATTATGGTTTATGGAAAGTATTTTTCTTTTTTTGTCTTTTCTTTTTTCTTTATCCTTTTCTATTGTCCTCGTTTGGGAAATATGTAAATAATCGTGTTTATATGGACGTGTTTGAAATTTGTTTTGATATTCTTGTATTATTCAATAAAATTTAATAATAATAATAAAAAAGATTTTCCAGAGGCCATTCCCTCTCCCCAGCCCTGCTTTGCATCCTCAAGTGTTTTTTGCCCGGCTGGAATGTGTCATTGAACAAGGCTTCCTGTTTTCCTACTGTACAAAGGTACACCAAGAAAAAATTTCCCTCCTATTTTTGTCCAGTTTCTGAAAATACTTACCGCAAACCATCTCTATACACCCCCAAAGACCTTGAATCTAATGAACCCAAAGACCACCTTGAATCTGTGTGCGAGAGGCTTTACTCAATATACTGGAAATGGCAATGGAGTCTCCCCACTACCGGTTACCAGTGTTGCTTTCAACATGTAGTTTTAACACAGGAGGCTAAGCTCCCAGCCAGGAAATCCGTGGAACAGATCACTTTGGCTGGGGAAAGCAAGGGTCATCCAGTCGGGCCCCACTCTTTGAAAACAGGGCTAAATGGACCATTGGCTTGAACCAGCCGGAGGGCTCTCTTGCCAGGTCCACCTTGGCGTTCTGCCCCCACACCAGCAGTTCCACCCTTGCCATAGCAGAAAGCGGTGGGCTCTCTCCTTTGTTGGAGTTATTTTACACAAGAGGTTGAGTGGCCACCCTTCCTGCAGTATTATAATTATAATTATTATTTTATTTGCACCGCACTCATCTGACTGGGTCGCCCCAGTCACTCTGGGTGGCTTCCAGCGTACAGTGGTACCTCGGGTTAAGAACTTAATTCGTTCTGGAGGTCCGTTCTTAACCTGAAATATGAAATATGCAGCCTCCCTCTGTTCCCACTTCTACAGCACCTCACCATTGGGCCCGCTTAATTTCGCTGATTAAGCCTATATAGTGGTACCTTGGGTTAATAACTTAATTAGTTCTGGAGGTCCGTTCTTAACCTGAAACTGTTCTTAACCTGAAGCACCGCTTCAGCTAATGGGGCCTCCTGCTGCTGCTGCGCCGCCAGGGGCAGGATTTCTGTTCTTATCCTGAAGCAAAGTTCTTAACCTGAAGCACTATTTCTGGGTTAGCGGAGTCTGTAACCTGAAGCGTAACCCGGGGTACCACTATATATAAAAACATATTGGCGCAGGGGGTTGGGCTAGATGACCCCTGGGGGTCCCTCCCAACCCCATCAGCTCCCCCAGCTCCGCCCCAACCCGGCCAGGCCTCAAACCTCGCTCCCCCCCCCAGCTGCGCCGTTCACTTGGGCGACCTGGGCGGGGGGAGTAGCCAGCCGCCCTCCCTCTCAGGCCGGCCTACCTCGCAGGGCTGCTGCGAGGATAAAACGGGGAGGGGGAGAACTGAGCCTTCTGGAACTCCCCGGAGAAAACGGCGGCGCATAAATATAACTAAATTAATAAAAACTACTAAATCCCCATCTTCGCGGGGGGGGGGGGCGGCTTCCGTACTCCAACGGCCCTTTCCGTTGTCATGACAACCCCTAGGCCCCAAAGCCTGCCTCTCCGTTTCAAACCGTACCGGCCTCCTCTTATCGACAGAGCCGCACCGAGCGAAGGGAAGCAGGCGGCTTTCTTTTTCTTTTTTTTTTAGCCGGCCCTCTTCAAAGCCTCCATGTCCGCGGAACCAAATTTCTCGAGGTAAATATGTATTAAATTATTAACTAGTGCGCTTGCGCGTGGAGCAAAGCCTCTTGGGTAGCGTAGTCTGCTTCCTTCAAAAAGGCTCTCTCTGCTCGGCGCCACACCGCCCCTTTTCATAGGAGGACGCGGACGCGGACCGTGCTGCATTCTGGGTACGTGGGTGCCGGGGGAGGACACAACCCGCTTTCAACCTATCAAAGAAGAGGCCTGCTTGCAAGGGTTTATGGGTAATGTAGTTTTCTCACTCAAAGTGAGGGTGTTTTGTTGTTAGTCACTGCGGAATTGTGAGACTCTAGAGGTCCGCCAGGAATTCTGGGAAATAGAGTCCAATAGGCCCCTCCCATCCTAAAGTGGGGGTTCCTAAAATGTGGGTGGGGTCACCCGCATTTGTTCAAACCACACTTGATAATTAGGATTAGAATCGAATATACATTCTGAGAAGACCTGCCTGTCTGCTTCATATTCATAGGTGTAGAAGAGGCATCACAGCCACATGGCATTTTGCTTCCTTCGAAACAGGCTTCGTCTTTTTGTAATCAGCCCTTTTTTATTTAAAGTGTCTTAACCTTCTCAATAGTTTCCCACTGGGGCATCTGGTCGACCATCGTGAAAACAGGATGCTATACTAGATGTGCCACTGGCTAAATCCAGCATCCAGGCTCCTCCATGATCTTACAGACAAGAAAAAATGGAATTTACATTTACGTTTAAGGTCCGTATAGTTCAAACTATGGTTTCCCCAGTAGTGATGTATGGAAGTGAGAGCTGGACCATAAAGAAGGCTGATCGCCAAAGAATTGATGCTTGTGAATTCTGATACTGGAGGAGACTCTTGAGAGTCCCATGGACAGCAAGAAGATCAAACCTATCCATTCTGAAGGAAATCAGCCCTGAGCGCTCACTGGAAGGACAGATCCTGAAGCTGAGGCTCCAATACTTTGGCCACCTCATGAGAAGAGAAGACTCCCTGGAAAAGATGGAGGGCACAAGGAGAAGGGGACGACAGAGGACGAGATGGTTGGACAGTGTTCTCGAAGCTACCAGCATGAGTTTGACCAAACTGCGGGAGGCAGTGGAAGACAGGAGTGCCTGGCGTGCTCTGGTCCATGGGGTCACAAAGAATCGGACATGACTAAACAACAACATATGAGGAAGGAAAAGGGATGTGGGTGGCGCTGTGTTCTAAACCACAGAGCCTAGGACTTGCCGATCAGAAGGTCGGCGGTTCGAATCCCCGTGACGGTGTGAGCTCCCATTGCTCAGTCCCTGCTCCTGCCAACCTAGCAGTTCGAAAGCACGTCACATTGCAAGTAGAAAAATAGGTACTGCTCTGGCAGGAAGGTAAACGGCATTTCCGTGCGCTGCTCTGGTTCGCCAGAAGCGGCTTAGTCATGCTGGCCACATGACCCGGAAAAACTGTCTGCGGTGTCATAAGAGAATCAGGGTCAGAGAGGGGAATAAAGGAAAAATGATCCTAATGATATCATCCTACCCAAAAGTCCCACAACAATAATAAACTGTGCCTTAAAGAACGCATTGTTGGGAATATGCCATTTTACTGTGTCTTTTCACGTATCATTGAATGTAATATAATGTGTGCCTTTTAATGCATCTTAACGTAACGTGCCTGTTGCCATTCCTGTGTACCTCTTTCTCCATGAAGCTATCCTTTTAAAATGTATTCGTGGATGTATCTTTAATGAAATGCCGTACTATGCTGTACTTTTCTGAATGTATCCAAAATGTAGTTTTAAAGAATGTAACAATCTAAATATTTCAAAATGTATATACTTGACTCAATATTGTATCCAAAAGGCTGCCAAAACTCAATCCACCACACTGCCTCCTACTGGGTCTGCAAACCATACCATGAATACACACAGATATGAGCTCAAAATAAAGCAGTCTTATTTTCCAAAAAGTATGCAAACATCAGGCTATCACACCCGAATTGATAGCAATGCAGAATAGGATTTCACATTAACATTTAAGTCATTTCCTGAACATCTTCTCAAACATCCAGCCTCACATCTGCATGCTGATTATCAGCAGTTGCGGAGGTTTTCCTGTAGATAAAGGAAAAGCCATTTTAAGCAGATCCAAAAATTAAATAACACGATCGACACATATCACCTGAGCCCTTCAGCAAATTGACACCTCCAGAAAGTCTTTCAACACCCTGCTCACCTTATGTTAATCCACTCTTCACACCCCCTCATATCGCTTCCCCCCACCTCCTGCTATTGATCTGAATGAAAATCAAAAGGTATAAGAATCAAGGCAGTCCTTTTGTTCGGGGTCTCTGAATCCCTGTCATTGCGTGAGCGGGGACCCTGTTGCAACAGTTTTTTTGTGTTGTTTTTTTCTGTTCTTTCAATAAAGATCAGGCTTTGCTTTTTCCAAATCCTGGTGTGGTCTCTGTCTTTTCCCGACCGGTACAGAGCCTTCATTTGTGCTCCTTCCAAGGTCCTGGTCCTCCTTCTGAGGCAGGGGCCCCTTGGGGAGGCAATTAAATATTTATTTCAGCGGACAAACGTCAGCTCCCTTGGCCAAGAAAGTGAGATGAGCACCGCAACCCCAGAGTCATCTACGACTGGACTTAACTGTCAGGGGTCCTTTACCTTTATATGAGGAGGGAGGGAACCTTTGGCACTTCAACAGCTGTTGGCGTACAAGTCCTGCCAGCCTTGTCTGTCTCGAGGGAGAATGGAGTGCGCCTGGCGTGGGGGGTGAAGTCAAACCGCAAGCCTGGGCAGTGTGTCTGGAGGTTCCGGGCTGCCCAGACGACAAAAACAAAACAAAACAACCCTCTTGGCCTCGCTGGTCCAAAGGAAAGCAGAGCAATGCGTTTGGCACCAGCTTGGCTGCAGGAGTTGCCGGAAGAAGGCGTACAAGGTGCCACCCAACCATCTTAGGGACTGTACTCTGGATTTGTGTAGGGTCTCCCGAAGATATCTTGCAAGGAGGTTTTGCTCCTCTTAGAGGGGCTCCCTTCTCAGCAAATCTTAAAAAATGTAATATAAACACCGACAACTGAGAAACACTGGCCTGCGAGCGCTCCAGTTGGAGAACAGCCTTTACCAAAGGTGTCATGGGCTTTGAAGACGCTAGAACTCAGGACGAAAGGGAGAAACGTGCTAAGAGGAAGTCACACTTGGCAAATCCACACCGTGATCAACTCCCGCCCAGAAACCAATGTCCCCACTGTGGAAGGATGTGTGGATTCAGAATTGGCCTCCACAGTCACTTACAGACTCATTGTTAAGATTGTGTTCACGAAAGACAATCTTACTTGGCTACAAGTGATAGCCAAAGAAGACTCCTCAGCCTTCTCCCTGCCACCCCAGTATATCTCACAATTAAGTTTTGCTCCTCCTAGACCAGGGGTCAGCAAACTTTTTCAGCAGGGGGGCCAATCCACTGTTCCTCAGACCTTGTGGGGGATCGGACTGTATTGGGGGGGGGGGAATTGAACGAATTCCTATGCCCCACAAATACCCCAGAGATGCATTTTAAATAAAAGCACACATTCTACTCATGTCAAAACATGCTAATTCCCAGACCATCCGCGGACCAGATTGAGAAGGCGATTGGGCCGGATCTGACCCCCGGGCCTTAGTTTGCCTACCCATGTCCAGAGGGTCTCGCTTCCCAGGTGGATGAGTCCCATCTGCCCCTCACTTCAACAGCACGTGCAGAAGCTGCCTTCTTGATCGCTGGACCCACTCTCGATCTCGACTCTCTGCAACGTGGCTCTCCCTCTAAAACGTAGTATGGAAATGCACATGCTGTTTTTCAGTCTGCGGTTTTTACTGTTTTGCATAAATTAATCTTCTATTAGTCACACAGTGTGAGGTGAGGTCAGAGCTACGAAGGATATGAAAACCCATCATTTTAAAACTGCCAATCTCATTCAGCCTTTCTTTCTTTATGCCTTCTCGGACTCGGTTGGCATGCTTCCAATAATATCTGCAACTACAAGGCCTAGAAACATCCTCTGTGTTTTTTTAAGTGAAAGCTAAGATACTCAGCGAAGCTGAATTTTGTAGCCAGTGTTGCGTTCTGCAGCTTTCCCCCCATAATTCCATGATGTGATGAGTTCAGACCGAGAGAGGAAAAACTTAGAGAAGAAAGGGGATTTTCTTCAGAAAATAAAATGTCTTCCACGTGGTCGAATTGGGGGTTAATCCAATCACTTAAATTCTAGTCTGCCTTCTCCCGCTGCTTCTTATTCTCAAATTTCTGAAATTTCCATTTTGTTGTGTGCCAGCGTTCAGCTGGGATTTCCCCCCTTCTGCCAGTCTTTTTCTGCCCAGTCAGATGGACTTCTAACACAGCTGTTTACCTGGTTTTAGCTGGTTTCCCGGGAGCTTAATTGTGTAACCAGGGTGCAACTAAGATTGGGTTACCCGCCACTCCTTAACTAGGGATTAGGAGGAGGGGAGGTAATTAGTTAATTGTGCTCTTTTCCTGGTTTCCTTTTGTGTCCCTTCTGGATCCTTAATCCTAGAACCGGAGGCTGGATCAGGCTTTCTCCTGACAACGCCTTGGGAACCAGGGAACCGGCGGAGGTAACGGGAGCCTCTTTGGAAATATGATTCGGGGTGACAAGGACACTATGGGGAAGGGAGGAGGGAAGCACCGAAGAGAGGGGAAGAGATATGGGGTCAAAGAAGAACAGCTATAACCCCCTGGGCTCTTACAAAGGCGGCATTTTTCCATCTCCGCCAAGCTAAGCAGTTGGCTCCTTACCTCTCTCGCCCTGACCTAGCCACTGTGATCCATGCGACGGTCACCTCCAGGCTTGATTATTGTAACTCACTCTACGTGGGGCTGCCCTTGAGACTGACCCAGAAACTCCAGCGGGTGCAGAATGCCACGGCGAGGCTCTTTACGGAGTCTTTGCCACGGGATCACATTCATCCAGTGCTATACCAGCTGCACTGGCTCCCGGTGGAGTACAGGATCAGGTTTAAGGTGCTGGTTTTAACCTTTAAAGCCCTATACGACCTAGGACCCTCGTACTTACAGGACCGCCTCTCCTTGTATGTCCCACAGAGGACCTTACAGTCTTCAAATAAAAACATCTTGGAGGTCCCGGGCCACAGGGAGGTTAGGCTGGCCTCGACCAGAGCCAGGGCTTTTTCGGCCGTGGCCCCGATCTGGTGGAACACTGTGTCACAAGAGACCAGGGCCCTGCGGGACTTGACATCTTTCCGCAGGGCCTGCACGACAGAGCTGCTCCACCAGGCCTTTGGCCAGGGCACAACCTGACTCCCTCCTTTGGTAATCCTCACAGAACTCTAGCCCAATGGTTGCCATTAATTTGATTTTGAATTGATTTTAGAATGAATTGATTTTAGAATGTATTTCAATTCATTGATGGTGATTTTATGTAAATTTTATGTAAATTTTATGTTATTTTTACTGTTGTTAGCCGCTCTGAGCCTGGCTTCGGCTGGGGTGCACAGGATATAAATAAATTATTATTATTATTATTATTATTATTATTATTATTATTATTATTATTATTACCTGCTTCTGTTTGGTAAGGAAACATCCGTAAAATAAACCAGGTGGAAATGGGGTGCTCTTTGCAACTTCTGCAAGTGGCTTGAGTAGGGCTGTAGCTGGGTGGTAGAGCAGCTGTTTTGTCCCGGGTTCAATCCCCGGCGTCCCCTGGTAGGACTCGGAGAGAGTTCTGTCAGAAACCCTGAATAGCTGCTGCCAATCAGTGTAGACAGTACTGGACTAGATGGACCAATAGGTCTGACTTAGGAGAAGGCCCGTTTCTGTGTGCATAGGAGAGTGTGTGCCCACATGGAGATTCCAAGGCGTGGTTGCTCTCTGGTGGTGCCACTGCGCACAAGCGGATCTTGCTTCTGTTACGACATCCAGACCATAGCTGTCAAGCGTCCCTTATTTGGCGGGACAGTCCCTTATCCCAGTGCCGTGTCCTGCTGCTGTCACTTTTTGATGATGTCCCTTAAATTTCCCGGGTTTCAAAGGAAGCAGCTCCTCTCCCTCCCTCCCTGCTGGCCAGGGAGGAGGGAGGCTCCAACTGTGTTGCTTGGCTGCGTTGCTCACCCAATAAGGAGTCTAAAAACGACTGGTGGGTGGAGCTTGCATGCTTTGTGCCGATCAAATTGGCCGCATTGCCTGGGGACTCGCCTTTGCTCAGTGCTTCCCAGTGGAGAGGTGACGGTGGTTTTCCTTGCTGCATCCCCTTTGCCGGGTTGCTGCGCTGTGGGAACCACCACTTGATGCTTCGTTTGGCTGCTGGTTGACTAAAATCCCTTATTTTGGCTGCTGATCCCTTATTTTCGAGGCTGCTGGTCCCTTATTTTCAAATCTGTAAGTTGACAGCTATGATCCAGACTGGGGCTGGAATCGTAACCCTACTCACCTGGAAGGAAGCCCCTCTGAACTCGATAGGACTTGCTCAGAAGTGAGTGGAGTGGGCCATGTTCGCACCATGCATTTAAAGCACTTTGCCCCAAAGAATTCTGGGAGCTCTGGTTTCCGAAGGGTGCTGAGAGTTGTTGGGAGACACCCCCCCTCGTTCCCCTCCCAGAGCTACAATCCCCCCAATTCCCCGTGAAGAGGGCTTGATTGTTAAACCACTCTGCGAATTGTAGCTCTGGGGGGAGAATTGGGGCCTCCTACCAACTCTCAGCAGGACGCGGGTGGCGCTGTGGGTTAAACCACAGAGCCTAGGGCTTGCCGATCAGAAGGTCGGCGGTTCGAATCCCCGCGATGGGGTGAGCTCCCGTTGTTCGGTCCCAGCTCCTGCCAACTCAGCAATTCGAAAGCACACCAGTGCAAGTAGATAAATAGGTACTGTTGTAAATAAAATATGCCCTTTTCCCTTATGGGGTATCCAAGAGCCCATATAGAGTCCTTACATAGGTTCCCTATTGGTAGGAGAAAATAACAGAGGCCAACCAGAGAATATTGAGAAGCAAAGCAGCTAGTAAGCCTGATCTTTATAGATCTGTTGCAACAGGGTGCTCCCCTCACGTGCAGGAAAAGAGGAGGACCCACAAAAATGCTGTGCAAGGGCTTATAAAGGCTTTTGAAATTCCCATCCTCTAGATCAAGACCACCCCCAGAAACATTATGCATACATCACAGAAGGGGTGTAACCTAAGACCACCCCTCAGATACCGTACATCCCAGAAAAGGCGGTCTAAAACAGAACATTTGTATGTTGTTTTTCTCCTGTCGCAGGTTATCTCCTGTCTGGCAAGTTACTTGATTGGATTGCCTGGGGAGCCTGGCCATTCTTTTGTAGTGGTAAAATACTTATTTCCTGGGCCAGGTCACAGGCTCACACCTTATTCATATCTTAAATGTGTCCTTAAGACAGGATTTGTGAGGAAAGAGACAATGGGGAGACTTTTCCAGTTTGACCTTGCAGAGAAAACATTTGGTCAGTTTAGGAATTAAAATGGTTCCAGGTTGGTCTTCCTGTGCTGACCTATGTATGTGCGGTTATGAACATTACCATACATCTAAGACCATAAAACTCCTATCATAGTACCGCTCCGGCGGGAAGGTAAACGGCGTTTCCATGCGCTGCTCTGGTTCGCCAGAAGCGGCTTTGTCATGCTGGCCACATGACCCGGAAGCTGTACGCCGGCTCCCTCGGCCAATAAAGCGAGATGAGCACCGCAACCCCAGAGCCGGCCACGACTGGACCTAATGGTCAGGGGTCCCTTTACCTTTACCTTACCAACTCTCAGCACCCTCCACGAACTACAGCTCCCAGAATTCTTTGTGGCGAAACCACAGGTGGCGCTGTGGGTTAAACCCCAGAGCCTAGGACTTGCCGATCGGAAGGTCGGCGGTTCGAATCCCTGCGACGGGGTGAGCTCCCGTTGCTTGGTCCCAGCTCCTGCCAACCTAGCAGTTCGAAAGCACACCAGTGCAAGTAGATAAATAGGTACCACTCCGGCGGAAAGGTAAACGGCGTTTCCGTGCGCTGCTCTGGTTCGCCAGAAGCGGCTTAGTCATGCTGGCCACATGACCCGGGAGCTGTACGCCGGCTCCCTCGGCCAATAAAGCGAGATGAGCGCCGCAACCCCATAGTCGTCCGCGACTGGACTTAAGTGTCAGGGGTCCCTTTACCTTTTTTTACCAACTCTCAGCACCCTCCACGAACTACAGCTCCCAGAATTCTTTGCGGCGAAACCAGAGGTGGCGCTGTGGGTTAAACCACAGAGCCTAGGGCTTGCCGATCGGAAGGTCAGCGGTTCGAATTCCTTTGACGGGGTGAGGTCCCATTGCTTGGTCCCTGCTCCTGCCCACCTAGCAGTTCGAAAGCACATCAACATGCAAGTAGATAAATAGGCACTGCTCCGGTGGGAAGCTAAACAGCATTTCTTTGCACTGCACTGGTTTTGCCAGAAGCGGCTTAGTCATTCTGGCCACATGACCCAGAAAACTGTCTGCAAACGTTGGCTCCCTCAGCCAGTAAAACAAGATGAGCACCACAACCCCCGAGTCATTTGCGACTGGACTTAACTGTCAGGGGTCCTTTACCTTTTTCCCCCAACTCTCAGCAGCCTCCACGAACTACAGCTCCCAGAATTCTTTGGGATAAAGCCGTGACAGTTTGACGTCAGATGAGCAGAGCTTGGGTGGCCATCTGTCATGGATGCTTTAGCTAAGATTCCGGCATTGATTGATTGATTGATTGATTCTGTTAGCTGAGATTCCTGCATTGCAGGGGGTTGGACTAGATGACCCTCGG